GCAAAAAGCGGCAAGAGGTGAGCACTAAAATGGAAAGGGAAAAGTCTCAAGCGCCAGGTATTATCCGGTACATATGTATTTCAGACCATACTCCACATCGAGTAAGGCGGGTTGAGACTTAGGGCACGTATGAGGCATACAGGTAGACTTCACCGCCCCCGCACGTGCCGGGAGCCCGCAAGGGGGCTGATCCCGTCTCTCTCCTCGATGTCATTCGGACCCGACTCGGTATGGATGGATCGCTGATCTGGCTCCTAGCCTAATGTGGCTAACTTACCCTGCACCTACTCCGTAGTGCCGATTCTGGTACCAGCACGGTCATCATCGGTGGTTCGTGGGGGCGAAGGCCCTGCACAACATACTGTTCAACCACTCCCTGGGCGATGAAGAATTCAACCTGAATTTCTAACCCGACCAATCAGGGCTCTAGAAGTGCTTACCCTACCTTCTCTTCCCAAGGTTGCCAACTTATCTAGCCTCCTGCAGGGTGGCCGATCTTCCAGCCACTAATGCAGTGCTGTCGAGATGATCAGGACGAGGTCCACTTCGACCTGATTTTCTGATTCTGAGTTTGGAGTCTACAATATTCCACGGCCCTACCCGTCTCATTATACTGCAAATGTGGACCTAGTTCGGACCTACGACGATGTGTTAGCATTGGAAAAGATATGCCGGAGGCGAACCACGCCCTGATCGATTGCACCCCTGGCTCTATGGACCGCGCCTTGTTGGGGTTTCCTGGTGGGGTTGCTGGTTCGGCCCTAAGGCCTAGCTCTTATTTCCACAGAGCTAGGCACCCTCGCTGACTGTTCGGGGGCCTCATCGCTCTCAGTTTGTCGGTGAACGCTGCCAACATGGAGAATGCATCCCGCTGAATGTAAAAAGAATGCGCCGATCGCATGATGCTTCGTTTCTTCATGCGAGAACTGCCGCTCGTGCCTCGAGCCTTTCAAATCTGAGCCAACGGAAGAAAGAAAGGAAATAGGAATTTGAAAACCACTGGGACCACTCCGACAGGCCCACCAGATAAAAAAACAAATACAAATCGGAAGAGGAAAGAAAAAGAAAACTCGAATCATTCATCCCGATCCGATCAGTCTACGGAGTACGGGGTACCGAGCACTTCGTACGGATGCTCTGCGTGGATCTCACTACAAGAAGTATTGTTTGTTTGTTCTTTCGTCATTGGCCTGCGGATCTCTAGAGTCTGATACACCCACCACTTTTGTCATGGGACTGGGGTCTCTGCACGGGTATCCCGGGGGTTGATCATCTCCTCCATCCTTTCTAGTTTCATCTTATTTCGTTCTCCTGCAGCATCCCGCCCACCGGGTGTTCGCTCTGAGATGTCTGATCTCGGCATTTTAATGTACTAGTAATGGAAAATCCATCATCCCTAGTGATTTGTGCAAAGTACCGGCGTACTTGGTACGAATTCCTGTATCATGCCTTACGCTCCAGGGCTAACCTCACGGTCCGTGCAGCCGGCGTCGGGTCCCAGGGCACGTAACATGGGTCTTCCAGCCAATGCCACACGCTTGGAACGATCAAACTGTCTCGCGCTAGAGTCAGTGGTCCGATGGCCTGGGTTTAACTCTAGAGACCCGCACGCATTAGGCCCTCCCCAAAATGGCCAAAAATAAATATAGATAAAATATGATGTAAAATACCATTTACTCAGCTCGGAAATGTATATCCCCCACGAAAATTAAAAACAAAACAACCATGAGAGGTCAAAAACTACCAAAGCTCCGGTAGAGGTCGCAGCTGGACCCCTATGCACAGGTCATTCTCTTCGTCGCCTTGCTGAATACAACGTCAGCCCAGTGTCCTGGTTGGATCGGAGTCGCTTCCCGGCTTCATCATCGAGAAGACCACCTTGAGTCCACGAGTACTATGTACTGAACAGGAAATGATCCATTCTGGTGTCGCCGTATGTGTATATAGTGGTTATCAAAGGGTCCCAAAAACAGCCTTGCCAGCATATGTGGTGGACCTCAGCGATCGCATACAAATGACCTGCTCTTTGGATTCAATATCAGTTACATACACACCGTCTGCCTTCACTGCCTATTGCTCATCGTACATATATCTACTCCATACTTCAGGTAAGCCACAATCTACCAATTCTGCACGCCGTCAAAAGAAAAGAGCAAAAATTGCACGCTCTGTGTATCGGCAGATTTTAGTTTGTGTTTTGTTTTTTTCAAAATTCCCCTATTTCCTTTGAAACTTATGGATCTTCATTGCAGAATTGTCTGCCTCATTACCTCTCAGATACGTACATAGAAAGCTTGGTCTTTTATCTGTTCAGGCTGTCACACTATATTACACCAGTCTTTGGATTTCCCTTTTGGTCCTTTTTGCTGGATTATTCCATGGGGATTTTTTAATGATTATTTTATTTCCTTCTTTTTGCCATTTTTGATATTATTATTATTTATCCCCGTTGGCTGCGATTGCTATGATTCAAATTGGGAGTATTGCCAGTATTGCCAGTATTATTGCTCTCTGTGACTGTGCCTGTTTTCGGGATTGACGATTCTCTCTACCCTCCTCTACCTCTTTGGTTAGAGCCTGGTCCGATCTATTCTCCTCTTCCCTTTTTTGTCGGGTCTCTATGTCTTTGTCAGGGTTCCCATTCAGGATGTCATGTCTATCCTGGTGACGCACTCTTCTGGCTCCCGGACATCTACTTCTTCCCTTCTGGCAACGTCTGGCCGAAAGAGGCATCATCCTCTGAATGCTATTACCCTCACCTTTATAACCTTGCGCTTCTGCTTCATTGATCGCCTTCTTTATTCGCGCCACTTGACTCCCGTTACGCGGCAATCCTTCAGTGTTCATATTGTTCACCTATTCGCAGCCTCTTGTTCGCGAGATCTTATTTATCCTGTTCCTATTGTCTTTTCTATCTGTTCAAGACCCGGTGGATCTATCTGTTTCATCCGTCAATCTCCTCTCCCAGCCGGTCTTTCTCATAGGCTCGAATACACTTACCTTTGGAGTGTTCTGCACGCCGCGAGAGAGGTATCACTTTCAAGTACTGTGAGGGACTTTGACGGCGTTGCGGTGTCGTTTGGTCTATTCTCTAACTCTGTTGCCGTTCTAGACATCGCACTCTTGCCACCCCAGACATCAAGGACCAGCCGACGGCTTGGGCGTCTCGCCAGTGTTACCTCAGTCAAACCAAGCGTCAGGGTCTTTTGAGGCACCTGGCATCAGCGCGCTCAGGATGAATCCCTGTAAGCTCCTCACGTTTCCCATATTCCCCATGCGATTTATATGAGGCCATCTCTGACCCTCCCGGTCCACCAGCTCTGCTCGAGTCATTCTCATTGAGTGATCCTGTAACTTCGGAGGGTGACTATATCAGTTCCCATGTGACAGGGTTTGCGGACGAAGACGACAACGGCCAGCGAGTCGGAGGCCTCGCCTCCATGCCTGACACCAACGGCGTGAGGTACCACGCACAGCAGCCTGCGATGCAGGATTTACAGTAAGTTATTTCTGCTACTTTCAATGTCGACCGCATTTGCGCTCTCGGTCAGCCTCTCGACCCCTTGCCACTGCGCTTCCTCCGGGTCCGGACAGCTTGGACTTCAGTCCAGCCTGTTTCGGTACCTTCTATACCGATCTGCTGCCTGCATGTCTTTCTTCCGATGTTTTGTCCGTTTTGATGCTTTTGGATTTTTTTCCCTTGCTTTTCCTTTCTTTTTTTGCTTTCCTTTTTTTAATCTGACCTTGTGCTGTGACTTGAGGTCCTTGCCTCTTTCGCGCTCGTTTCGATTATCTTCTCGCGCATCAGGCTGCGCCCGAGCTCAATGTGATGCTTTCTTGCTTTGACTCCCGGCGGCTTGGTATAAGTGCTCTGCTAAATGACTCGATATAGATATACCGGATCAAGCGCTCTTGCAATGACCCCACCAGACTCCTGTCCTGGTAAGCTTCCATCTCCTACTTATACCTCCCTGGAGACCTACCTTGGCTGATGATTGAGGTCTGAAGACTCCTTTTCGCCCACATCTGGTACCATCTTTCCTCATATCTCTCGGCTTCAGCACCCCTTCGATAGAATGACAGACTATCAGCGAGTCCCAACTCTGTAAGCTCTGTCGTGCTTTCAGTCTCTGTGCTCGCATGTAAACTAACCTTGGTTTACCATCTAGTCAACCTCCTGGCATGCCGACAGGTATGCAGAGCTCAGGACATAGTTTGAACTCCATACCAGCCCTCATGGGCCGCAACAATGCCTATGGATCATATGCTCTACAACGTGGGGTTGGAAGCATGGGATTGCCTCTCATGGGGACGGGAGATATCTCGCGTAACCATGCTTATTCGGGCACCCCTCGGGCCCTGGACAATAGCCTGGATCGGACTCGGGGGACTACGTATCAACAGCAAATGGTCGACTCCTCCCAACGATCACAGCCACAGGCCGAAGCTCCACCTTTCTTGGACACAACCTACCTAGAGACCATTGTGGCCGAATTTGGTGGTCAGTATCAAACTGTAAAGCCGGAGGTCCAAGCAAAGATGGGCCGTGGGTTTTTCCCATCAGACGGCAAATGGACTTGCTACAGACGCAACTATTTTGCGGTAACGTGTGGTTTTGGTCTCCATCCTTGGCCACCCACTGCTCCTCTCTATATCCGCTATCATGATCAGACACTTGAGCCAATTCGCGGGTTTTCCATGGCCATCTCCGCCATTGTTAACAGCCAGTACAACGAGACACGCGAGTTGGTCCAGCATACTCCAAAACGCGACAAACAGTCTGAAAGGAAGCCTGGGCGTGTGATTCTACAGCCCTCACCTCCTCCCTCCTTCACATCAGCTTCAACCGCCAATGGAAACCTCTCGGGTTTCCCCATCAGCTCTCAATCAATGGACTACAACTCGTCATTTACCGGAGCCCCACAGTCCTGCCAGCCCCCGACTACCCATATGTTTGAGCGCATCCAATTCCAGAAGGCAACGGCCAATAACGGCAAGCGCCGTGCCCAGCAGCAATATTACAATCTGGTCGTTGAGCTATACGCTGAGATCGCTAGCTCGGTTCCAGGTGAAACTCAGTGGGTACAGATCGCCCGTCGCCACTCTGATGCCATGGTAGTCCGCGGACGCTCGCCGGGGCACTACAAAGATGGACGCCGGGGCAGTACTGGTAGCATGGGCCCAGACGGAGCCGGTGGTGATGGTAAGGGAGGTATACTTCCCCACTCACTGGGTCCAATGGGCCGTTCGCACGTCCTGATGTACGATGCGTCCCACCGGAGCGGGCTTTCCTACGGCAGAGCCGATCACCGACAAACAACGGTGAATGATCAGTCCCCCCTAAGCGACAGCCCTCTCATATCTTCCTCTTCCTCTTCCGGATTTGAGTATTCCATGATGGACACCATGGATCCAATGGATACTATCAAGTCTGATACGTACCTCAAAACCGACCCTTGCCTTCGATCAATTCCCTATCAGGATACACATTACGCCGAAGTTCCAAGCTATCAACACCGTCATTCAAGTACTGGAGGCTATGACCCAGTCTATTCCACAGCTTATGGCCGTTACGATCCCATCCAAAACTCGCAGAGTCTATGCACTTAAATCGCAGGCTCTTTTGCTCCTTGCTCCTTCCCTTCTTCTCTTGTTTTATGCTTATTTTGCTCAATACGACTTCTACAACGGATTACGCACTGGTGCCAGGATGGCTTGGGGGACTGAGGTTTATTTTTTTATTTTTTCTATCTGTCATTTTGCAATTCGCTATCCTCTCTTAGTCTGTGGTTGACCACTTACTTCGGGTTTTATCTTTCTTTCGCTGTCACTCTATTTTTATTGCTAGCCCTTTGCTTCAAACCAGACAATTCGAGTATTTCCTCGATATCTCTACTTCACTCTCTGCGTTTTCTTCCCTTGGGAAATATACAGAATGCCATTGAAGACTGCGCTCCTAACATGACTGAGCTTCCTGGATCGATCGAGGAATTGAGATCTGGACTTGAACAGATTATAGTAATCCAGACGGTGGCAGGGATCCACTGTATGCTCCTGCATAAAAGTACCTAGGTAGTTCCAAGGTACCAACAGTGTGTTATGAGAACTGGACTTGACTTATTCGCTATTCTACATGGATCAGAGGTGAACACCCAATGCCTAGCAAAAGACCTATATGCCCTATCAACTATGCAGGAAGGCTTCAAGGTTTAAGTCTGCTGTTTGAGACTGCATCAAACCTTGGAATCCACTAAATTAGATTGAGACTCCTTCCACGCTGCCCCCAGTCAATTTTAATTCCCCGATTTGCTCTGCGCTGGAGCCAGGAACCGTTATTTGCTGCACACCTGGTCCCAGTGTTGATTGCAGTCCAGTTTCGTTTGCAACGGACATGGGATTATGCGGTTTTGCCTTTTTGCCTTTCCCCCCTTTCCGCGACTGTTTTTTTCTTTTCTTGTTTTGGTCGTAAATCCCTTTATGTCTTTTTGCCTTGTAAACAGGTGATTTGTTTCCAAGGTTGGTACCTCGGCCAATGAGACATGGAGTATATGATCTTCAATACATCAGGCTTCCAACGGAAACTTCCCAAGTTCCAAGTTTTCGTATTCAATGACTAAAGGCTCATCAGGTGGCAGCCCTGAAGCAGATAGGGTGGCATCCCGACCGCGGGACCTCATTAGATGGGATATATTGCCTCAATATGCCCACAGGCCGACGCGAACCGGGAAGCGGTTGGCATGTAATGTGTTATGTAGATACCTGGGGGCACTAGCTCAATACAGGAGGCTCATCAAAACCATGACCGTACGAGACGGGAAAGATGGGATGCAGACTGAATCGTTAGGTCAGAGCCAATCACAAAGCCCAGCGGCAGCCTGTTTGGGTAGTAAAAGGCCCTCTTATTCGGCTTCCACTTTTTCCCGGGAGGGGATTTCTCTTCAAAATACTCACATTGGATATCTCATGCATGCTCGTACCCAGGTGTGAGGGACTGTTTTCGGTGACGATGAACCCGCAGATCATGATCTACATTGCATGTGCAGGTGATGTCTTGTTGCATGTGAGCTCAGCCCTGGGCATACCCGTGGACTAGGATCGGAAACCAAGGCGCAATCTTGAAGCATATCGAAACAATACATGTCGTGTGAGGCTTGGGGATCGTATGAAGAATCCCCTCTGATCTGCGGAATATCGCCACTAGGTTCAACGATCTTCGTATTGTCCAAGCCTCCATGCGCCTCGGCATATTCCGGTGTTTTAAACACCTGCATCCCTGCTCGTAACGTCCTTCCTAACAGCCAGGATACCGGATGCGGCAAGAGAGCTGTAGCATAGAGATATGTAGGGGGGCTCAGCCCTGTTTTGACTTTCGTCCGAAACACGTTGGCTCAAGCCGTTCGTCAATTCTGGCTGAGCACGTTTGCCACCGGAGTACTTTCGGAGTCAAAAGGAGCAGGTACATGGATTTCTAACGATGGTGCTCAGATGGACTTGAATATCTTAAACTTGATTGGTTCCATTTTCCATGGCCAGTTGATATCTGCTTCTGCACGTCGTACAAGGGACATCGGGCAAAAGAACAATCCTGGTCTTGCTTATCCAACATCCCAAACGTAGTAGCTTGACGCGGATTCTCAACTTGTTTCGGTCAGAGTTTCCGGTCTACCCTATTAACGGAGGTTTTGTGGTTTATTTTGTGTGCTTCCAAGGTTGGTAGCCCCCATATCATTCTCTCTCGTGATAGTATCAGGGATGATACCTAGGTACCTACATAGATGTAGGTAATACTAACGAACGAATTGAAAATTTCTGGTGGATTATAAAATCATAACTAATGACATCACCTCTTTAAGGCGAGAAAAGATGGTCCATGTCACCCGCTGAGATCCGTTCAATGAGCGTGAAAAATCGACACGGTCATGCGTATAGACTGTTGTATGCCTAGAGCCAATCATCGCCTTAGCACGTTGTAGTGCTAAAATAAAACCTAAGCTACCAAGAAAACTCAATAAGCCAGAGACACATGGAGTCTTCCGACTCGTTCAAGTGGCTTTGCGAACACCTTCGAGTATACAACCGTGTTCGTGGTGTTTCTCGAGGTGAGACCAATCCAGAGCCAGACAATGGTACACTAGGCACGAGTCAACAATCAGCTCAATATACAGCTATCCAGGGCATGGCACACCCCCTTTACTTGATAGAGTTCGCCGTATTCTCAATACAAACCCAACTTGAATATGGTAAATTTCATAGCCCTAAGCCAACGTACCTTCGGCCATATTGGGAGAAATGCTGCTAACGTTCCACGTTAACGGTCTTTGAGCATTATGCCGGTTTTGTCATACCTGGGCACTTCCAAGGTTGAAATGCCACCTGATCAATGTATAGATATCGGCTGGATTTTGCCCAGATGCCGTGTCTGATAGGAGCTGGTCCGCCTGCGGTGTTTTGAACGTGAGCCATATCTACCAACTTTCTTGGAAGGGATGTATTCAACATGGCACAATTCCACATGGTGTGTCCGATCCCGAGGGCACACAATGCTCATTCTCTGAGATCCAAGGGTTCCGTGTGCTACGTGAAACCATCGAGGAAACCTTAGAATGGTGTCATTCAGTGGGCCGTAAAGGCGAAGATTCCGTCCGCGGGTACTCCGTATATCAACACTAACTCAATGCTTAATCTGCCAAATAGTGAGATTCTTAGTTTGTAAACTTCCAGGCTCCAACCCTGTGAGGTTCTGGCCACGATTCAGCTCAGGTTAATCCTCAGGCCAGGGGTCCGTCAATTTTGTGGGTCGATTAGGGCTGACCAAGACATATATTTCAAATACTCAAACAGCATGTCCCGAAGCCCAACCAGACCACCTGCCCCTCGCATCATTTTCTCAATCGGACAAAGCACACCTAGGTACACACAACCTTGGAAAGGTCGGAGAATTAGAATCAACTGCTTGATTGGCCTCTTGCACTAAGAACCTCACGATACAGGCCAGGCTAAGCAAAGATATACCCTTCAGCCGCAGCAATTCCTCCGAGCCACATGAGTGCCCAAAGTCTGCATACAAAAGAGAGAGAAACAAAACGTCCGGAGAGGCGGAGGAGGTACCCGCTGCCCCCCATGTACCTTCCCTGCGAACAGCAATTGAGGCCGGGGTCGTTAAAACCGCCGCACAGACAGCCGTGGCCGAAACATGTATCAGGTCACTCCCCGTAGACGTTCCGATGACGGTACACAACAGGCAGGCTCCCAGAGTCAGCATCAATAACTGGCCATTGCTTGTTTGGATTCTGGTTTGCTTAGCCCCCCAGCAATGCGGGTGCTATGACCGCTTTCGCGTGCCTGACAAACCGGGTCTTTTTCTGAATGCCGAAATCCGGGCCCGGATCCGAAGGGCAAAAAATGGAGTAGGAAGGAAGTAGGAGTGTGAGTAATGAGCATGGGGGGACACTAGCGCAATAGTATGACGCATATGCATGCGCAAGATTCAGATGTATGTTTTCGATGCAGCAATGGTAAGGTCCCCTTAGTTTGAGCACGATTCCCTAGCAGAAGATCCTGCTATGTCTGGGCCCATCCTGTTCCGGCCAGTCATGTTTTCGCCCGTGGTTCCGTGGTGACTGCCCCCAGGTGCGTACTGGAATCAATGATGGGATCACATGGATTGTTTTTGCGCCTTGATCCCCTTCGTCAACAATTCAATCCTCATTTCGCCTGGCTGTCTTCCTCTCCAATGCGCGACACCCGCACCGCCAGCTTCCGATCCAGCGCTTCCTGCTCTTCTTTGGAGGGCTGCATTCCCAACGCATTTTCAACCTGGGGTGAGGTCCATAGTCCGATGCCTGCCCAGGCCATCACACCAATGCCGAACAGGGCCCGGGTTTTGGGAGTAAGGCCGCGGTAGGAGCTGGATGGGGGTCTTTTTTTAGCTTCGTTTCTTCAAGTTGGGATGTCGTAGACTCGGGCTTGGGTTTGGGGCTGTGTCACTTACCTCCAGAGAGACATTTTGCTGTTGACGTTGTATGGAAGAAAGAGCCTATGTACATGCGAGTAGGGATTGGGCGTAGGGTGACCTCGAGCTAGTGATGGTCACGTGACCTTTGGGTGTATAGGTCACGGGATGTGTACCTGGACACCTGGGCACCTGAGCAGCAAATTCTGAACTTCAATTGTACGAGTGTGACGGGTTCGACTGTGTCTTTTGGTTCCCTGCTTATGTCCTGCCAGGTACATGTACAACTTGAATACATGTGGTTGAGGTGGATGTCCACGGGTGTAGTGTAACTGTGGCTGATCAGTGAGGTACTGCGGTACTTTGGGCAGAGGCACTGTCCAGGTACTTTTGTATAACTATAGGTATACAGTAGATCTACCGGGGTGTTGGCGCGATGGATCATTGTAAGAGAAAATTTGCAAGTATACATGGATATTATTCATACAGAATCAGTGCGCGAGTAAGTCTGTTATGCAGCGCTCAAAGCTGTCCTGTCTACATTGTGCCGCGAAGCAAGACTGGAATCTCGAGTCCTCGGGGACCTCGGGGCCAATATCAACACGCGTAATAATGCGCGCGGGACATAAGATTGAAGCAAAACTAATAGAACAGAGAGGGTCTCACAGGTTGCAAGCAAATAGAACACATGAACAAGAAAGAGGTTGGTGATTCAAACGGTGCCCCGGACGCTCCTTTTATTTCTTGCCGTAAGCCTTGTTGATGTCGGACTGGTAGTGGTTGAGAATCTTCTTGCGCTGGAGTTTTTGAGCAGCGGTCATGAAGCCCTGTCATCTTGTTAATACATTCCATCGTCCTTGATGTTATTAAAAAGGGGACAACTCACGTTCTGTGGGGTCCACTCCTCGTCAGACAGCACAACACCATTAATGATCTCAATACCCTTCAGACCACCAGCACGGCCAGCGGATTGAAGCTGCTGGAGGACGATCCTGTTCAGCTTGTCGTTGTGGACGAGAGTCTCAAGAGTATCACCCTCGATACCGTTGTCATTGGCAATCTTCTTCAAGGCCACCTCGACGGGAACGATGATAGCAATAGGCTTGTCCTGGTCTTCCGCGGCGTAGACGCAGATGTTACCAACCACAGGAGACGAGCGGTAGACCGACTCGAGCTTCTCGAGAGCGATGTATTCACCGTTTAGTGTCTTCACCAAGTTCTTCTTGCGGTCAATGATGTTCAGGTGACCATTGCTGTCGAACTCGCCAATGTCACCAGTCATGAACCAACCGTCTTCGGTCAAAGAAGCCTTGGTCTCCTCCTCGTTGTCGTAGTAGCCTGATGTCACACTGCCACCGCGGATGAAGATCTCACCCTGAGGGGGTTTGTTCTTGGTCAGGTAGCCGGCATCGGGGAAGTCGACAAGCTTGATCTCGACGGAGGCGGGAATCTCGCCCAGGGCGTTAGGGTTCCATGCCATAGGGTCGTTCAGGGCACCCATCGCAGATGTCTCAGTCAGACCGTAGCCACTGATCATGGGGGCGACAGCCATGGACAAGAAGCGCTGTGTCTCCTTGGAGACTGGGCCACCACCGTTCATCACGATGCGAAGGTTGCCACCAGTTGCTTCCTTCAGCTTCTTGAATACCACGGCGTCCAGGATGGAGGCACCAATGCCCGAGCCAGGAATACCAGTGGCCATCAAGAAGTTCTTGGCCGACATGGCACCCCAGAACATTCCCTTGACGATGAAGTTGGCCTTGTTCAGGTTGTTCAAAACGCCCTTCTTCACGGACTCCCACACGGCTGGGACACCGACCAGAACAGTAGGCTTGAATTCCTTGATATCACCCTGGCAGTTGCGCATGGAGGCATCGGACAAGGTGCGGGGGTTACCGTAACCCATAGTACCACCCCAGAACAAGCAAAGGTTCTCGAACATGAATTCCAAGATGTGGGATTGGGGCAGGTATGTCAGCAATGAGTCTTTGTGGTTGATGTAGGGACCAACGATCTCGTTCACACCGGCGGCTATTTCCAGGTATTAGCACATTCCAATTATGATCTGAAGCTCATGTTTCGGACTTACTGGCAGCAATCACATTGGCGTGAGTGAGGGGAACACCCTTAGGTGGGCCTGTAGAGCCCGAGGTGTACATGATGCAGCAGAGGTCCTCTGGCGTGGGGGGAACAGGCTCCACGTTGTTTTCCTCGCCCTGCTTGCGCAGCTCCTCAATGCTGATGACGTTAAGGTGAATGAACTCGCTGTGCAGCTGGTCAAGCAGCTTCTGGTCCACCTCGTTGTCGGTGTTGTAGATAATGTGCTTGATCGAGGGTACGTTGCGGAGGATATTGATGAGAGACTTCAACAGGCTGGGGTCGAGGAAGATGGCAGTGCTGCCGGTCTGGACGAGAGAGTGCTTCAGGCCCTCTTCGCCGAGGGTATCGTACGCGGTCACAATGGTCACGGACTGGGAGGCAGCACCTAGGGGTAATTAGTGGATCGATCTTGAGAAGTGCATCGAGCGAGGAATTGAGTGAACGAACCGTGGGACATCGCTAGCCAGTGTGCACTATGAGAGACAGGTCAAATCAGCAGGTTGGCTCCCATCATCCCGAACCACGTATGTCTTACCTCGTCGCGCCGTACAAGTGAATTCGGCTGTTCTTCTCAAGGCCGAGCTTGCGGAGACCGCAACCCAGCTCCAAGCACAGCTTCTCGTACTCGAGGAAGCTCTTGTACGTGTAACCGCTCATTTCGAAGTAAGTCCATTGCTTATCGACCTCCTGCTCCACGCCATCCACGATCTTCTTGACCTTCTTGTTCTCGACGTGGGTCTTAATCAAGCGACGGCTGCCGACGGCCTTGGAGTTCCCGAACACGCGGGCGGAGCGGCGGAAGTTCTCGTAGGTGGTCGTCACATCTTCGGAAGGGCGCAGTACCAGGCCGTCCTTGGCCGCGGGGTGCCGACGCGGGATTGTCTCGCCGTCGACGGGCTCATAGCCAGGGGCCTCAATCGAGAAAGGCCCCTTCTTTACCATGCGCGGCTGCATGTGGAGGTCGCGCTTCGACATGATGGAATCTCTTGCTGTCAATAGAGAGGGTGGATCGACAGAAAGGGAAGAAAAGCTCCGCTGTTTTGGAGCGAATGTTAGCTAGTGCAGATGGCCAAAGCGCTGTGCGCGCAAGGGGTTAACGACTTACCTGTCAATTAATGAAATTATGAAGAGATAGGGAGAGAGATGACAGCGTCAAGAGGAGAGGAGGTGCCTGAGCTCTGATCTGTGGCTGGGCGGCAGATGACGCAGGGAAACCTTGGAAATCCAACACTTTCGTTTTGCCGCGTTTTTTGGTTTCGACGATTTACTCTTATAGTCCCTTTCTCTGTGCAAATTTGCAAATTTGCGAATCCCTGTAACCGCGGCTTAATTTTTAGGGCCTGTGCATACAGTCTAGTCTACTTGTTTAGTAGTGAAAAGTAGTCCGAAGTAGCGCAAGCGACGTTGCCATTGCCTTTGCCCGATGCCGGTCTCGGGAAACCTGGGAACTCAACAGAATCCGATATTCCCGTGAGGTCAATGGTTCTGCTGAGATGCCCGTCCATGTTCTTCTCGATCTGTGATTCTGGGCCTGGAAGTCAAGATATTCTAGTCCCGTGATCATATATCTGGAGAAAACTCGTACCGACGCCAAATATAGGAGTCCACTACCTGTATATACGAGTCACCAGACGCATACAAACCTTGGAAGCTCACGATGATTCCAATCCCCGAATGCCTCGCCGACATGGGCGAGGAGGTGGTAGACGTGGAAGAGGGTGCGCCAGCCCAAATACCAAGGATAGCTATACGAACTAACGCGCCTATAGAAGCATTTCTCCTCTTTGCCCAGGAGGTTCCAAGCAATAATCTGGGGATGATCGATCCTCGTGCCCCAGCAGTCGAAGTGGCCATCAGTGACAAGGAATTCACCATCCATCAATCCCCATCATTGCTCTCCTCGCATCGAGCCGGAGGCACAACTGGCGCCGGTACGTATATGAAAAGATCTCCGTGATTCGCGCTCCAAGCACGGACTTCCGCCCCGCAGACTGTACTTCTGAAGGACAACGGCGTGTGTACGGAGTACCGGTGCCTCGGCTAATGTCTTTCATTTGACATCCCTCGAGCCTCTCGTTCGGCCCCGTTAGCCTTGTCCCTTGTCTCACTATCTCTTGGCTTTGCGACTCCCCGTGGCTACGCTCTCAGCCACCTCCGAAGATAATTTCACTAACCAAATTCACAGTCCTGTGGAAAATCACCCCCCGCTTCGCAGAATGGATCACCAGTCCCAAAAACCCTCTCTGGGTACACGGTCTCCTCGATCAATCCTCAACTGTCGTCGAGCTGGGCACTGGGATCTCAGCGCTGGTCGCTCTTAGCCTTGCCCCATCCCTACACCATTATATTGCAACCGATCAAGAATACGTGCATAAATTATTTAGGACAAATGTCGACGCCAATGCGTCCACTTCTGCCGCGCCAGCCACCTCGAACAAGAAAGGCAAAAGCAAAAGCTCCAAGGCCAAACCCAAGCCCGCGAACCCCGTGACTAATATCTCTTTCACGACGCTCGATTGGGAGACTGATCAGGCGGGCTCGTTGAAAGAAGAATGTCTCGACTCCGTCGACGAAGACAAAGGTTTCGATCTCCTGCTCTCCTGTGATTGTATCTACAACGAGGCACTGGTGGCGCCGTTCGTGCGTACCTGCGCAGAGATATGTCGGCTCAGACCGGCCTATGTCGAGGGCGAAATCCCCTTCCGTAGACCGACGGTATGCATAATTGCGCAGCAGCAAAGATCGCCCGATGTGTTTGAGACTTGGTTACGGGAGACTATGCGCGAATTCCGTGTTTGGAGATTGAGTGATGAAGTGCTAGGGGAGGGTTTGAGGAGTGGGTCTGGGTACTTGGTGCATTTGCTTTTGGTGAAGTAGAAAGTGTTCAAGTGATGAGGCATACATAGTTCCTGGCCGAGTAGTACCCGCAGAATACCTGCGGACTTCCAACGTACGTTTGGCGCGGAAAAAACATATCTATGGCCACAAGTACTCCGTTCTGTTCGGTGATACAAAGCTCGTGAGGCTTGTCCAACATCGGCGAGTACGTCTAGGAGGCTGATATCCAATGTATACAAGGCAAAGATAGATGTCAGAAAACCTTGGAAATTCTGTGAACATAAATTGTAAAAGACTCGACCCCCTATGCAATAAGCTATGAACAATGCATGTGTGAAAAATCAAATAATCGGACATCGAGTCGCTTCAAAAGGACACCAGGACCACCCAAATACAGCAGGGTATTCAGAGAATGAAAAAGAGCACACGCAGCATGCTGGCACAAAAAGAAGATAGTAACATGATGCAATTGATTATCATATCTCAGGCGCTGCCGCGACCCAAGACAGAATTATGTATGTGATAGCGAGCGGAAGGGAATAGACATTATTCCGCACGCTCATTAGGCTCCGCGTTTTCTTTCTCCGCCGTGGGCGGCGAATACTCGTATTTTCGCTTGGACGGCACAGACGACTCGGACGAGGGTCCCTGAGGATCAGCTGAAGACAGGGCAACCAGCGCCTCGCGCTCGGTCTCAGGTGTGCGGTCGATAATGGACATGATAGATTGCTTGGTTGAGCCGTTCACAGGCTTGGGAGGAGTCGATTCAGTAGGTGTGCCTTCTGCGTCGGGCATGAATCGATCCATGACTTCGGTTTTGACGCTGTAATCGGGCTCGACTTCGGAGTCCGAGTCCAATTCGTCGTCGTGCTGGTCCCCGTCTTGGTCCATGGGGTTGGAACCGGGGGGACTTCCCTCTGTAGAGCCGCGGTGGTTCATCACGGGTGGGAGGGGGGCGTTAGGATCAAAGACTACACCGCAGACTTCGAGGGCGCGGGATTGGCTGCCCAGACTGCGGTCTTTGTGTTTCTTGGTGAGGTGGCACATGAAGCCGTGGAGCGTGACGAAGTCGGATTTGCCGCACCCTGGGATGGGACAGGTGAGATATACGAGGCTTCCGTCGGAGGGTCGTTTCCACAATGCCCGTCCGGAGGGATCGTGGGCTGCTGGGCGGCCGTGGCGCTCGCCCCATGCTTCTACGTTTTTGATGGTGTATTTTTGTTTCCGGCGGATAGAGCCGTTGTGTAATGAGTCGTGGGAGACGATTGGGTGAGATGGCGGGGGTGGGGGAGCTTGGTGAGGTTGAGCGTGCATGTGAGGTGGTGGCATAGGTGGTGCCTGAGATGAAGGTGGAAGAGGTGCTTGGCGAGGTTCGGGGGGACTCTGCTGTTTGAAAAATGCCAGTGTCGTTGCCGCACTGGTCTCTGATAACCGGCGTGGAGGTGTTGGGCGTAGCGGCGGCGAATCCGCAGCGGCGTTGAGCCCCAGGCCCATGGACTCGCGCTTCAGCTTTTTACGTTGCCTCCGAAGATCCTGAATAGCTTTAGTATGCATGTTCTTTCTCTACCGATTGATGTGGCTTACCTCTTCCTCGGCCTCCGCCCGCTCTGTCATTGCTCGAAATTCCTCATCCTCATGCTTGCGCATTGCCAGAATGCGGCTGCGGGTGGCATTGCGAGCCATTTCCTCGTGTTCTAGATGCCGAAGCCGAGCTTCGATGTGCTCCAGGGTCGCTGGACTGTGGACGGGAGGCACTGCGGGATGGTGCTCATGCATTGGCGCAAAGTGCCGATAGTGATGGTTCTGCATCATTTCTGGAGGTGGCATATGAGGTGGTGGATTAGGATTCATGGCAATGGGGTGATAGCGAGGTAAGTTCACGAGATGACCGGGCATCCCGTCGGGGACAGCATGCACCGGTGGTGCGGTGGTCATGATGAGCTCAAAGGTGTATACGAGGAGAGTGAGGAGAGGAAGAGTCAGAAGTAAGAAATAAGAAATAATAAGAAAAAAAAGAAAACGAAAAAGAGAAAAAGAAAAACAGGATGAGACAAGGATCGAAAGGGACCCATCTGCGATCTATGGGTCGATAGACAGGCTAACTGGGTTGGAGTATAGAATCAATTTTAGAGTCGACAGTACTTTTTGTTTATTGGATTGACCAATTCTAGTGCTAGTTTCCTTCCGCTCCCCATGCATTATTGAATAGGATTAATGATCAAATGGGGATCTCAACGAGCGACTAAATCCCTATTAATCCCAAAGAAAAGGCAAGGCCACTAGCGCGACCCTGCACCCCCGTTATGAGAAATCCCCGTAACGGCGTAAGGGGATCAGGGGAGACGAATGTGATGGATCGTGTTAATCTATTTGCAGTACAGCAGTCTCGAGAAGGTAAATATGAGTATTAATTTCGATGCAAAACCAGTTTGTGACAACAACAACGCATCCATGGAATTGTTGCGGCGCTAGGGCAGTAATCAAATCAGAACAGTCGCTCCCGTTTGATTTCATTTCCTGGGCCCAACGGGGCTGTCGGCGAGCCAATGATCGTCATCCTCCCAAAGTCACAGGACATGGATCCTTCAGGGGCATGACAAGTCTAAAATTTCGACGGTATCACTTTATACTCCGTATATATGTCAGTCTCTCCTTGATTCCTTACAACATTCGACTTGAGAATAAGATAAATTTAGAAATTGACGAAATGGAAAAGAAAATCGGAAAAGTCAAAAGTAAATACAGTATGGAGTACATAAAATTAAAACAAAATCTGCTCCCCAAAGGGAAAGTCAAGGGATAATCAGCCTCGAATCAGAGCCTCGATGAAATCCAGAGCTTCAAGCTCCCAGGTAATCAGTTCCGGGGCGCAGAGGGACCAATGACAAGCAACAGATCTACCCATTACGTGCCAAGAACTCTGCAACAATTAGGTAAGACCGTGTTCCTGAGAAGTTCCATGGGACGAGCGTAGAAGCGGGAAGAATCTTTTGACACTTCCACGGATTATGATGTATATCGCCTCCACTTATTATTGACTCCGTTCTTCAAGCCTGTACTCTGTACTGCAGAGCTCTGTTATAAGCACTCGATCACCAACTATACTGCACTACTACTGTAGTACTGGAGAGTATTCTAGTACATTTACTCCGTACCAGTACTATAGTAGTCACAATAAAAATGGTCAGGCGAGAACCGGATTGACAGAATTAGGGCGAACTGTCGACAAAACTAACGGTCCCAGTTTTTTCAGCTCACTTAATGTCCAACGCCAGGGCTGACCCGGAATTCGACAGGGTAAAAAGGGAAAAGGAACGACAGTGGGGAAATAGAAAACGATCATACGCACTAGGGGCGCGCTAAAGCAGATGGTCTCACACAGCGAGTGATCGACGAATGGGCGAGGGATTGCTGTGGGCATAGCAATTTTTGGATTCCGCTCTCTGACTTTATACTAACATTATACTAGTATGAGTGTAATCCGTCCGTCAACTGATATCCAAGGGTTACTGAATGGTGTCCAATTGATCAACCGGGAATCCATGCTTCGAGACAATGTACACAGAATTCACGTCATTGCAGAAGACCCACCTAATCTAGCCCGACTGGTGTGTACAACGATGATTCGCTCAAGCGCGCCGCAGGCTGTTCGACTCTTCGCTGTCTTGGGTCCAGATTGCCCCGATAACAATTCGAACATAAATTGCAAGCGCATGGCTAGATCGTGTGGGCGCATATCCCATGCCACCGGGCACCCCATTCAAAGGTACGAAGGACTAGGTATTCTGTACCTAGGTCCGAAGGACTGACCCTGCGCTCCGTACTCACTCTACGGTACAAGCCTTGGAAGCCCTGGAGCCAAGGCAAACCTGGAAACCTAGGTGTACTTAATATATCCCCTCATAATTGATATTGTATCCCCTCAATCCTTTCCTTTCACTAGCGGCGTCAATCAGGTGGATTATTTTTGGTCGATGCAAGGATATGGAGCTTACATAGACGATTGGTCCAACTCTGCAATTCGATCCCTGTACGAGGGTTGCAGAGTGGAGGCGCAGACGCCAGAATTAAATTAATGGATTGGTGCGATTCAAGGCCGTCTCGACAGTTTCAGATGGCCCAATGTGTGTGCCGAACTAAGAACAAGAACCCGTGCGCCAGCTGGTCCATCTGGCCTATCACCGTTGTCGGCTCTGTAGATGTTGGGGGTGGGCGTTTTCTTTCACCCAGTCCAATTACATTTCTCTGAGATACGGTAATAACGGCGACTAGGCCGGGGCTTGATGGCTACCACGGTTGACTGATATTGCTACCATCCTCTTGGATTGGTGTGGACGGCTGGGTAGTACTCCGTACATCGTGCAGAGGTCGGAAGCATATCATATTGCAGTCAGATTCGAGCAATATGCGACTTGCCTGTGGATTGGTCTGGATTGGTCTGTATCAAGTAGAGTTGGACGCTGATAGGTCGGAAGTCACTCCAGTCGCATCCCCGGGGCCGTCAGGATGTTTCCGACTGCCCATCCATGACTGCCAGCGAATGGTACATGTCCACATGCATTTCACTTTGATTAAACGTCGCTACAGCTGAAAACCAAATACGGAGAGAAGTTTGTTGTGTGAAGAGAGGAGAATTTTCCGATTTCTAATGTCACATGCCCCATAAGCCAAAGCCCACCACAACCTTTTTTGTGGCCCTTGCCGTAATGTCATTAAGTACAATTGCAGACAATCCCGACATGACCATGGACAGAGTGTTTCTGACCCAAGGCACAAGGGCAAACGAAGAAAAAAATAATAGATCATACAGATTGGTAGTGAAACACCGATACACCAGAAAACGAGATGGGGTGAGAAAAGGCCTTAAAAAGTATGTGTACAGGTATGCGTAAAAAAGGGGGATATGCCAAATAGGGAGATTCTAACACAAAGGAAAAAGAGAAGAAAAAAAAACATCAGAAGGAAACAGTAGAAAATACAGGAATCACCAGGGATTCAGTCATGACAGTAAGCGGGAGGGGGAAAGCATTTACTGCTTGGTCTCGCCCTGCTGCTCACCACCCTGCTGCTGCTGTTGCTGCTGCTCGTTGTTGGCCTTGTGCATCTTGTCGAAGAGAGACAAGCTGGCGGTCTGGAGCTCGTCGGTCTTCTCCTTGAGCTCCTCGGCGGTGGTGGTGGTCTCACCAGACTGGCTCTTGACGACGAACTCACGGAGAGTGGCGATCTTCTCCTTGATGGTCTCAGCCTCGGCCTTGTCAAGACGGTCCTCGAAGTCCTTGAGGGCCTTCTCGGTATCGTTCAGGACACTGTCGGCGCGGTTGGCGGCCTCAATGGCGGCCTTGCGCTCCTTGTCAGCCTCGGCGTACTTCTCGGAGTCCTCAACCATGGACTGGATCTCGGCATCGGAGAGACCGGAGCCGGAGGCAATGGTGATGGACTGGTCCTTGTTGGTGGACTTGTCCTTGGCGTTGACGTGGACAATGGAGTCGGCGTCAATGTCGAAGGTGACCTCGATCTGGGGAACACCACGGTGGGCAGGGGGGATACCGACAAGCTGGAAGTTGCCGAGCATCTTGTTGTCACGGACAAGCTCACGCTCACCCTGGTAGACCTTGATCTCGACAGCGGTCTGCATGTCGGCAGCAGTGGAGAAGGTCTGGGACTTCTTGGTGGGGATAGTGGTGTTACGGTTGATCAGACGGGTGAAGACACCGCCGAGGGTCTCGATACCAAGGGAGAGGGGAGTGACATCGAGCAGGAGAACGTCAGTGACCTCACCAGCGAGGACAGCACCCTGGATGGCGGCACCAATGGCGACAGCCTCATCGGGGTTGACGGACTTGGAGGGCTCACGGCCGAAGATGGACTTGACGGACTCGGTAACCTTGGGCATACGGGTCATACCACCGACAAGGATGATGTCCTGGATGTCACCAGACTGGAGGTTGGCATCCTTAAGGGCCTTGCGGACGGGCTCAACGGTGCGGGAGATGAGGGGGTCGACGAGAGCCTCGAGCTGGGCACGGGTCAGCTTGCTGGCAACGTGCATGGCACCCTGGGGACCGGCAGAGATGAAAGGCAGGGAGATCTCGGTCTGGAGGGAAGAAGACAGCTCGATCTTGGCCTTCTCAGCGGCCTCACGGACACGCTGGATGGCCATGCGGTCACCGGACAGGTCAACACCGGACTCCTTCTTGAACTCGTTGACGATGTGACGGACGAGGTGGATATCAAAGTCCTCACCACCAAGGTGAGTGTCACCGTTGGTGGACTTGACCTCGAAGACACCCTTCTGGATCTCCAGGACGGAGATATCGAAGGTACCACCACCAAGATCGTAGACGGCGACGACACGGTCAGCCTCCTTCTCCATACCGTAGGCAAGAGCGGCAGCGGTGGGCTCGTTAACGACACGGAGGACGTTCAGGCCGGCAATCTGACCAGCATCCTTGGTGGCCTGACGCTGAGAGTCGTTGAAGTAGGCAGGGACAGTGACAACGGCGTTCTTAACGGGCTTGCTAAGGTAGGCCTCGGCGGTCTCCTTCATCTTGTTGAGAACGAAACCTCCGACCTGGGAAGGAGAGTACTTCTGGCCACGGGCCTCAACCCAAGCGTCACCGTTGGTGTGCTGGACAATCTTGTAGGGGACCTCCTTGATATCGCGCTGAACCTCAGCGTCGGTGTACTTGCGACCAATCAGACGCTTGGTAGCGAAGAGAGTGTTCTCAGGGTTGACAACGGCCTGACGCTTAGCGGCAATACCGACGAGACGCTCGCCATCCTGGGCGAAGCCGACAACTGAAGGAGTAGTACGGGCACCTATGGTGGAGAAAATGTTAATTTCATTGATCATTCGAGCTGAAAACATCCATGGGCTGGAGCTGAAGCTCTGTCCCCATGTCTGTCAACAAGAGTCACATACCTTCGGCGTTCTCAATAATCTTAGGGGTCTTGCCCTCCATGACGGCAACAGCGGAGTTGGTGGTACCTAGGATGGAACGTTAGCTTTGCGTCGCGTTGATGATGACTGTCTGGATGGTACTCACCAAGATCAATACCGATGACCTGGCCCTTCACCTTCTCCTCACCACCTTCCGTGGAGTTCCATCGGCGGAATGTGGAAGGGAGTCTGGAGGCAGGAGTGCGAGCGAAAGCAGCGCGTGGGAGCTATGAGGTGGTCAGTCGTGCGACGCGATGAGTTTTTTTCACAGGATACTCACAGCGCGTGTGATGGTGCGAGGAAGCATTGTGAGGGAATTAATTAATACAATAAATGGAAAAACGGACACTCCAACGACTCAATCGCAGAGTGATAAGAAAAAGGCAAGAGGGATGAAGAGTTGGAGATGGAGAAAGGGAACGGAATCAAGAAGAAGGGGGATAGAAATTGCACCGGCGAGCTTCGGCCCGACGGTGATTGGCCAGATAACGTGATTCTACCAACTTCGATGGGGCGCTTCCCAGGTAACCGAACTCACCGCCTCGGGTGCAGTGCCGACTACGTCGACGCAACGCCTCCCGAGAGATCTGGCAACATTGGATTGCGACTCATCAGAATTGGCCATAATTTTACAATTCATATACCTTGTACAGTAGATGCCAATTTACGATAATATCTACTAGGATGGATATCAGTGGCCCGGGCATAAAACTTAATATGAGACTCAATCTATCCCAACCCTGGATCATGGATCTATAGTATACCTCGGGCAAGTAAGCTTCTAGGATGGTCAAAATAGGGTAGTCTGCCTAGTTATGGTATAGATCGTATTCAGTGTACAAGTCGCTGCTACTGATGGAATCAAATACTACGCAGGTCTTTTCGAGTTGAAGCTTCCAAGGTTGACATGGAATGATAGGGTCAATACGCCGATGTATGGAGGTGAGACTTCAAAATATATCTTCAAGGTTGTGTCTACCCGCAACCCGCGGGTCTGCGGGTGAGTTTTTTAAAACATCCCCGAAGTATAGCAATTGGACCAGATTTATCATCCATGGAAATACCTAGGTATACCTAGGTATCCCAGATAATTGGATGTTGGAAATATTCACGAGTTGATTGAGATTAGATGAGCATTTCCAAGGTTGTCGAACTTTGGCCGAGACTCTGCTCACTCGCGACGTGTTGGTCCAACCAATCAACCACTGGGCCCGCGCTTTGCGCAATATATTTCTGCATGTGGGACAAAGAACGAAGAACGGGATATGCAGAACCAAAGCCATCGATGCTAGAAGCAACAAATGGGTATAAGATGGTCTCAGACCCGGAGGCGCAATTCCACATGGCCATGGATCGAACATTGCTATATCATCCCCGTGAACATTGAGATCTGAGATTCACCAGCACGGATAGTATTCCGTCGCTAGCTACTCCGTAGAAGTGCCAACATTGAACCAACACCACGCCGGTTCCGGAACGCAGCCGCATTCGTTGGAATTCACCCCGGCTTTTTCAAGTCTTACGTCATCCTTTCAAAGTGAAGCGTTCGACTTCGAACTGCAGAGCACAGACTAATACTCTCCAAAAGAAATTATTGCGAAATCACTGTGCATCGCTGCCTGGCACTGTGGACGCCAATCAACGGGGGGGTGCTTTCTCTCGTCCTTTGAACTTCCCCGCTCGAACAATGTCACCTCTGGCCTAGTTCTCCATCATGACCTCGGATTCGATTTTGTCGGTCAACTGCTCCCAGCTGTCCAATAACCTCTAACAATGTCTCAGATATCGCCCGACCGAAGCTCTGATCCTCCCGACCAAGCGACGCTTCTTCCCGTTTAAGATCCCCAACTTGTCCGTTGATCCCTCTTATCTATCGTGCGCAGCCTAACCCAGGAGAGTTATGCTTTAGCCACGTCCAGCTTCGTAACTATATCAGTACCGCGGATCCCGATCGCATCTATGTCGTCGTCGAGAGGATCGTCTACGCCATACACATCTCGGCGCAGACGCGGGCGAGCATAGCTTTGATTCCATTCGAGCCACGCTGTCTGGCCGCGGGGCATGGATGGATCGCCGTCGGGGGCTCGGAGCACGGAGAATGTGCGTTCATCCGAATAGGAGATCGAGGTATGCAGGCACATGGCGAGGCGCCCTCATTCCAGACCGATGTGGACAGTGCGCTGCCACTGGATCTCGACCCACTGTCTAGAGTGACATCACCCGATCTCAATGGCGACTCTGTGCCAACTCGTTATCGCACCGGAAGGCTTCTACCTGAAGTTGAGCTGCACAGGTTTGGCGGGAGTATTGTCAACTCGGTGACGATCCACCGCTTCTATGGCGGCGGTGACGGCTTGGCGGATGAAGATGTTGTGGTTTTGAGGTGGGTTTTGGCCGCCTAGCGCACATCGACCCATCTAACCACCGGAGATAGCAACAATGACCGGACAGTCACTGTATATTCACTGACTAGGACGAAAGTCCTCAAAGCCCTTCATCACTCGACCTGCATGAACTATGCAACAATTTCCCCGGACGCCAAACTGCTCACTGCAGTAGGAGATGAAAACCGCGCCTACTTCTATGAGATCACCAGGGATCTAGAATCCGTCGGAACAACCGAATCTGGAGAAAAGCTCACCGGATGGGAATGGGAGCTGATCAATTGTTTGGAGATGGACATTGGTTTGCGAGCAGATGATGCGTGCTGTTTCACCGTCGCCTTTTCACCTTCTAGCCGCTTATGCGCTATAGGGTCTCAATCGGGAATTATCACGGTGATTAATGTTGCATCGGTCTACCAGACAAGCGGCGACGAAAGTGTCTCACCGATTCTTTGCCAGTTCCCGGCCTCCAGATCGTGTGCCAACGGTGGAGCTGTGCGCTGTATGACATTCTCGCCAGAGCCATGGGATCTCCTAGTGTGGCTGGAGGGTCATGGAAGAGCAGGGGTTGCAGACGTCCGCCAGCATTTCCTACGTAGACAAATCCTTCAACTGGACTCCCACGACCCACAACTGGAAGAAATATACACGGACTTCGCGACAGAAGGTCTGGAGCGACAACGACCGGACGAACAATCCCCAGTGCGTGCGCCGCAAGCGAGATCCGACGAGGATTCTATGCTCAGGCGAAATGGAGAGGAAACGGAACGTTCTTCACTGCGAGAGTCTTTAATTAATGATCTCACCGAGAGAGAAAGGTTGATCATGGAATTCTTGAATACAGCACGCTGGACATCAAGGCCAGAAGAAGGAACGGCCGAGCGACCAGATCACCTACCTATGGCAAGCCCTCACACCGAGCCGGTGACTCGTGTGCGAAATCACGGTTCCACAGATGGTGCCACTCGCCCTCACCGTCCTACTTCACCCCTGCATCACTATGACCCCTCTGATGTTTCTCGAGATAACCATTCGGGCCGTGCTGTGTCGAACCCAAGACGTCAAAACTCAGTGGTGTTGTCACAGGGGAACTCCTCGGGAGCAACCTCATCTCACTATGATATGCCATCAAGCATCACTCTCAACTATTCGAGTTCACCTTCAGAGCATCTCAGTCTTACATCAGAGATAATAGCTCGGGCCAATGCAGGTATGAATGCGACCAATGACGATAGTCGGCACGCCACAGATCCAAACAACACAACCCTTGGTATCAATGGGGCGAACCGTCGTTCACAGCGAGCAGCAGAGCTTTCGCGCCGCGTTGAACGACTCTCTGCCGGGGCAGAAAGAGGATACGATGCCTCGCGCCTAGAAACCTACGAGATTCGCGCAAACGTAGCCGCTGAGCGACTACGGCGTCAACGCCAGATTGCCAATGAGGTACACAATCGTTCCTTCGAGAGTGAGCAACGACAGCGCCAACAACTACTTGGTTTCGAGCAGACACACTCCCCCCGCTGGATTAGGAACATTATCAATGACCTCCCTGACCGAAGTTCCATGCCCCACACGGGTGCCGATGAACCAGACGCTACTGCAGGAATCGGCTGGGGCGCCGATGGCCGTACATTGTGAGTAGCGTAACATAGCTCCCACGAGGTTTGGCTAATAATCGCAGATATATCGCCACCCTGGAGGGAATATTTGAATTCCAACTCAACATTCATGACCGGAAGACTTTCCCTGTCTTCTCTTGCCGTTAAGCTTTGCGCCCTTCGAGTTGTGACATCTGTTTCCTTAATTTTCTTTTTTTTCTTCCAGGAATGATCTTCGACTTCATCGTTTCAAGAATTTCAATCTTGCATCCGATCACACAGTGTCTCAGTTTGAGATTCCATAACGAACAACCATCACAGCAGACTCATTCTCTTATAGATTGAGTGCTTCTCTGGGGGCAAAAAAAGAGTGACTTTTTTCAGTATGGACCAGTCTTGACGTTTCAGCTAACCTCCATTCCATTTTTGACTTGATATGCGATCTCTGTTCCGTGTCGCATACTATTTTGGCGCAATGAGGGGCGTACATTATTCTATCTTCGATCTCTCTTCCCTGTCTCAATTGCTCCAGTGTCTTTCTATCTTGTATGACTGATTTGTGGCACAAAAAGTGTGATCACATAGCTTACTTCACTAATATGATATCTTGATGCCCAGGTGACAACCTTCAAGCAGTCTAGTACATAACTTGGTATGAAGCCCTTGTTTCGCAAAACTCCAGACCTCTAGCTAGACAGTCTGTTCAGCGACGAGGTGAGCTGCGATCCATTCTAAACTATCTCATGTACCGAGGGTATTAGAAGTTGATGATTTAATTGAAGGCTCGCATCAATGAATGAAAAAGAGCTTGAGACAGGAGACAATTCCTACGTAGGCATTTTAGAATGTTGACCTTGACACTTGGATGTACGGTTTTTGTTGCAAGGCGGTCTTAAAGGCGGTATCCCAAGATGTGTTCGTTAACCGACGTCATGAATCCTGCCGCGACCTACCGCCTGATTTTGTTGAAACGAGATCCTTCGTTGTTTGGAACGCTCTCAGATAGCCCCAGGCCCTTTCGCCGAAAGTGATCTTTACTTCAGCTCCTATCATTCTTGCCGGGACTGATTCTGCAATATCTACTCGCATCATTTCCACTGTTCCTGCCCGGTCATAGGCCTAGTAACCTAGGTGTGGGGTGCGGATGTTGCCGAGTCAATCATTGCTCCAACTTCAGCACAACGCTTAGCGCACTCGCACCATTGCTACAATGACGGCTCCCCTCGAATCCGCTATGGAGAAGCTAAGCATAGGGGCTAGTCAAATCGACCCCGCGGCTTTTGAATCCCGTTTGGTGGGCGAGGCGAATGGTTCAATTGACAACCTTCAACCTCGCAAAAGAGCTCGCCAAGATGCCCAGGACCTGCTTTCCGAGCTGGAGAATGAATTCTTGGAGCCATCAAACCAATTTGGCACTAGATGGTTGAACGCATTACAAAAGTGAGTGCTGTGCATCTATCAGCGGTGGCGGGGTAGTCTAACAGTTCTTGTAGGCGATGGGATGTTTCCACAGATCACACGGACCTTTTCGAGATTGCTCCAACTCAGACACGGACCGTTACTCGATTCACACGAGAGGGATTGGAAGGACGGGTCACTGGATATCACGAAGTTACGGTGCCTGCCGCAAGCGCCAACGCTAAGAATTCCACGTCGCTTCTTCGCCGACCTGCCGGTCGTGCCGACTTTGTCCGAGGAGCTGCAGGATTTTTCCCTTTCGCCCCCGGAGGCTTAGAGGGCGTTGAAGCCCTTGCAGCTCTGGAATCAGAGGAACAGGACACAGAGCAAGCACGCAATGGCAAACAACCAGGGCTCGACCGTATTATCAACTTTGGCACCGAAGGTGGTCTATTGACCACACCACCTGGTTTTGATCGCGGTTTGAACTTCGACGCGATCAAGTCGAAGAACACTGAGGGTGACCAGGAAGTCGAGACCGCCCTTCAAGAAGAGAGCGATCTGAAGGTAAAGGAATCAGAGGAAACGTCAGAGAATACCCCCGCCAAGACAGCCGGTGAAGGCGACGCCAGTGATGATGATGATGAGGAAGATATTGACGTTTTGCTTCCGGTTGAATTCCCAGCGCTTGAACCACGTAACCAATTACTCGCTGGCGTTCAAAAGCACAAGGGCAGAGAGTGGGCCCATGTCGTTGATGTCAACAAAGATATTCCGAACTTCCATGAGTTGGTTCCTGATATGGCCCGAGAATGGCCCTTCGAGCTGGATACCTTCCAAAAGGAGGCCGTTTATCATCTCGAGGGTGGCGACTCAGTGTTTGTTGCTGCTCATACATCGGCAGGCAAAACTGTTGTAGCTGAGTATGCAATCGCTTTGGCTGCAAAGCACATGACCAAGGCAATCTACACGTCTCCCATCAAAGCACTGAGCAATCAGAAATACCGAGACTTCAGAACTGAATTCGACGATGTTGGTATCTTGACCGGTGATGTCCAGATCAATCCGGAAGCCAGCTGTTTGATTATGACGACCGAGATTTTGCGGAGTATGCTGTACCGTGGTGCCGATCTCATCCGAGACGTCGAGTTTGTCATTTTCGATGAAGTTCACTATGTCAACGACCTTGAAAGAGGAGTCGTATGGGAGGAAGTTATCATCATGCTTCCCGAGCATGTGACTCTGATTCTGCTCTCTGCCACAGTTCCCAACACGCAAGAGTTTGCGTCTTGGGTTGGTCGCACCAAGAAGAAGGACATCTACGTGATTTCGACCCACAAGCGACCTGTTCCTCTGGAGCACTATCTGTGGGCCGGAAAGAGCAAGCACAAGATCGTTGACTCCAACAAGAGGTTCCTTGAAAGCGGTTGGAAGGAAGCGAATGATATTCTGTCTGGTAAAGATAAAGCGATGGCCAAAAAGGAGGCTGAGGCCCAGGCGCAATCGGCACAAGCCAAAGCAGGCTCACAGGGCCAGGGCCGCGGCCGTGGTGCTGGCCGCGGTGGCCCACAGCGCGGCGGCGCTCCCCAGCGAGGCCGAGGAGGAGGAGGCAATCGCGGAGGACAGTACTCCAACCGGGGAACCGGCAACATCGCTCGCACAGGCCGTGGAGGTGGTAGAACGAGCGCTGCCCAGGACAAAAATACTTGGGTGCACCTTGTGTCGCACCTCCGCAAAGAAGATCTATTGCCCGGTTGTGTGTTCGTTTTCTCCAAGAAGCGATGTGAGGAGAACGCAGATTCATTGTCCAACCAGGACTTCAATAACGCTACAGAGAAGAGCTTGACGCACATGTTTATTGAAAAGTCACTCACTCGACTGAAGCCTGAAGATCGCACGCTCCCACAGATTCTGCGCCTCCGTGAGCTTCTGAGCAGAGGTATTGCTGTTCACCATGGTGGTCTCTTACCTATCATGAAGGAAGTTGTGGAGATTCTGTTTGCCAGATCCCTGGTCAAAGTTCTCTTCGCCACTGAGACATTTGCGATGGGTCTCAACCTTCCCACTCGAACAGTAGTATTCTCTGGATTCCGAAAGCATGATGGTAAAGGGTTCCGTGACCTTCTGCCAGGCGAATACACCCAAATGGCTGGACGTGCAGGCCGCAGAGGTCTCGACACAGTGGGTTATGTGATTGTGTCGAATGGCGGAAAGGATGAGGCGCCGCCTGCTGGTGCACTGAAGCAAATGATTCTCGGCGATCCAACTAAGCTCAGGTCCCAGTTCCGACTGACATATAACATGATATTGAACTTGCTGCGTGTGGAAGCTCTCAAGATCGAGGAGATGATCAAGCGGAGTTTCAGTGAGAACGCCACGCAGGCACTTTTGCCGGAACATGAGAAGCAGGTTCAGCTGTCAGAAGCCAGCCTGGATAAAATCAAACGTGAGCCATGCGAAGTTTGCGACGTGGACTTGCAGGCTTGTCACGACGCTGCGATGGAGTACCAGAAACTAACCACCGAGTTCCACACGGAGCTATTGTCATCCCCTATCGGTAAACGCCTATTCACGATGAAGAGGCTGGTGGTTTTCCGGAAGGTAAGTTAAATGCATCTCACAGGAAGTTGCATAGGATCCTGCTCTGACACTCAACACAGGATGGTCTCAGGACAGCGGGTATTATCATTCGTGATGGAATATCTGGTGGTATGGGTGGAATCGCACCTTGTATTCATGTACTAGAGATTGGAACATTGGGTATCAAGCGCCACCCCACCGACATTCTTCCCTTCCTGCCTCACATGAGGCCATTGTTCCAATCGCTGCCTACCAACCCGGCCGACATGAGTCTCCGCTCAGCTAGAATCCCGCTAGCTGATCTGGAGTGTGTCACCAACACACAGGTCAAGTTCTCGGGACCTATGTGGTATCTCAATATCAGAAAAGGTAAAAGCACCATTCCGCTCTCTCGATGTATACAGATTTGCGCTAACATACTCTCTAGAGTCTATCAAATGGGCCGAAAGGGAATTGGCCCAATACACAGAGTCTTGGGTTGATCCTGTCTGGGATGAAGTAGACTGGCAGCGTCTCAAAGAGCTGCAGGTCCGTGAGCTTATGGAGAAGAGACAAGCTCAAGCAGACATCGTCCAGTCATCACACTGTTTACAGTGTCCTGACTTCGTGAAACATGTGAGCTTCTACTTTTCGTCTGCAGACCAACGACTAACATCTCATAGTTCGAAATGCAACACGACGAATGGCAAGTGAAGGAGAACATCTCGCAGCTGAAGCAGTTGATGTCCGACCAAAACCTCCAGCTTCTTCCGGACTACGAACAACGTATCCAAGTGTTGAGAGAGCTTGGTTTCGTTGATGATCAATCCCGCGTCCAACTGAAGGGCAAGGTGGCATGCGAAATTCACTCTGCTGATGAACTGGTCCTCACTGAACTGGTTCTGGAGAACGTGCTTGCGGAATATGAACCAGAGGAGATCGTTGCGCTCCTGTCGGCATTTGTCTTCCAGGAGAAGACCGAAAGCGTTCCCACACTCACACCTCGCTTGGAGAAGGGTACCAAGGAGATCATCGCCATCGCTGAGAAGGTGAACGATTTCCAGATCCAGCATCAGGTTATCCAGTCCAGTGAAGACTCCAATGACTTCGCCAGTAAGCCACGCTTTGGTCTTGCCGAGGTTGTCTACGAGTGGGCCAAGGGTATGTCTTTCAACCGCATCACAGATCTCACGGATGTCATGGAAGGTACTATTGTTCGAGTGATCACCCGGCTTGACGAGACTTGCCGTGAAGTGAAGAATGCAGCTAAGCTGGTCGGTGATCCAACACTGCACCTCAAGATGCAGCAGGCTCAGGACTTGATCAAGCGCGATGTTATCTTTGCCGCCTCTCTATACATGTGAGATTTGTCGCTTTTATCCATGGATTCCGAGCCGCGGCGGCGTGGGGGAATGCCATCTTGGACGTTATGCTTAGGTGGACGACGAAATGAATATGAATGCCTAACAATTTGAAATATAATATCAACTCGTAGCGAACATAGGTACCTAAGGTCTGAAAATCGGGGGGTTTGTGTGCTCTCTGATTAGCTGAGGGGTTCCATTTACCGCCCCGAGAAAATCGAAAAAAAGAATCTCCATCTCCCCTCTTCCACCTTTTCCCCTGTACAAGATCCACCCGATCTCCTTGGACACTCTCGTCCTTATTTGAATTATTTCTCACCGGCCTCCTTTGCCCTTCCTAGCCGGTCCGCGCCCCCGGGATTCCTTTACTTGGAGATTTCTTGTCTATTGTGGTGGGGGAATTGTTGCGCAATGGACGTCACTGCCCTTCGAGACCGCATTCAGTCTACCTTGGACGCGAATGCGGATATTCGCCGGCAAGCAGAGCTTGATCTGAAATACGTACGTATCTGACTGGCGGGGTAGAATGTGAGGCTCACATGTGGTTCCCTTCTTCAGGCCGAGACACAACCCGGATTTATCAATGGACTTCTGGATATCCTGCAAGGCGAGCAGAACAATGCCGTCCAGCTTTCCGGTAAGCCTCTATCTTTTTGTGACTGTGTCTCCGTGCGGAAGAGCTCCTTTCGGCTGACCATCGCTCTTCTTCGCAGCTGGTGTATACTTGAAGAACCGCATCACTCGCGGATGGGCTCCCGTTGAAGACAGCCCACAACGTAACCCGATTCCCGAAGCCGAGAAGCCCGGTTTCCGCGAGAGACTCATTCCTGCCTTGGCTTCGACACCACCCAACGTCCGCAACCAGCTGGTTCCCCTCCTCCAGAAGATTCTTCAAAATGATTTCCCCGAGAAGTGGCCCGAATTTTTGGATCTCACTCTACAGCTTCTCGGCACCAATGATGCTGGCACGGTTTACGCGGGCCTGCAGTGCCTTTTGGCCATTTGCCGGACGTACAGATTCAAGGCTGGCGAGAAGAGAGAGGAATTTGATAAGATTGTCGAGCACTCGTTCCCTCAGCTGCTCAGCATCGGATCGAAACTCGTGGATGAAGAAAGTCTGGAAGCCGCGGAGATGCTCCGAATCGTGGTGAAGGCTTTCAAGCATGCTATTTACGTTGGTTGCCCAGATTTTCTATATTGGAGGGACTTTGAAAACTGACCCGTTGCGATATATAGTTTGAACTTTCTCCCGCTCTCCAGACCCACCAAGCGACTGTGGACTGGTGCACACTATTCCTGCGCATCGTTTCGAAGACGCCCCCCGCAAACGCAATGGGAGAATCCAAGGAGGACAGAGAAATGAACCACTGGTGGAAATGCAAGAAATGGTCCTACGCCAATCTGAACCGCCTCTTTATCAGATACGGCAACCCCACCACTATCACGAATTCCTCCACCCCCGATTATAAGCCCTATGCCAAGACTTTCATCAGCACATTTGCCCCCGAAATCCTGAAGGGATACCTGACTGAGATTGATAAGTGGGTTTCTAAGACACAATGGCTCAGCAACTCCGCGCTTTCATATACTCTGGTCTTTATGGAAGAGTGTGTCAAGCCCAAGGCCATGTGGGACCACCTCAAGCCGCACATGGAGAACTTGATCGCCCACTTCGTTTTCCCCATTTTGTGCCAGTCTGACGAGGACATTGAATTGTTCGAAGAAGACCCCTCCGAGTACCTTCACCGCAAGCTTAACTTCTACGAGGAAGTGTCAGCTCCCGATGTCGCTGCTACGAACTTCCTGGTTTCGCTCACTAAGAACCGCAAGAAGCAAACTTTCTCCATCCTTACTTTCGTCAACACCGTTGTCAGCAAGTACGAGGCCGCACCTGAAGACCAGAAGCAGCCCCGAGAGAAGGAGGGTGCTTTGAGAATGATTGGCTCCCTTGCATCGGTTATCCTGGGTAAGAAGAGCCCTATCGCCGACCAAGTCGAGTACTTCTTCGTTCGCCACGTTTTCCCTGAGTTCCGCAGTCCCCATGGCTTCCTCCGGGCACGTGCTTGTGACACTCTGGAGAAGTTCGAGCAACTTGACTTCAAGGACCCCAACAACTTGATGGTCATCTACCGCAACATTCTCGAATCCATGACCGATTCCGAGCTTCCTGTGCGAGTTGAGGCTGCTCTTGCCCTCCAGCCGCTCATTCGCCACGATGTCATTCGCACATCAATGCAGCAGAACATTCCTCAGATCATGCAGCAGCTTCTCAAGTTGGCCAACGAGGTCGACGTGGATGCTTTGGCTAACGTCATGGAGGACTTCGTTGAGGTCTTCTCGGCTGAGCTTACTCCCTTCGCTGTCGCTCTGAGCGAGCAACTTCGTGATACCTACATGCGTATCGTTGGCGAGCTCTTGGAGCGCAACGCCGCCAAGGGTAACGACGAAGATGCCTATGGCGATTTCTTGGATGACAAGAGTATCACCGCACTGGGTGTGCTGCAGACCATCGGCACCCTTATCCTCACCCTTGAGAGCACACCCGACGTTCTCCTGCATCTCGAAACCATCCTGATGCCTGTCATCAGCATCACCCTCGAGAACAAGCTTTACGATCTCTACAACGAGGTCTTCGAGATTATTGACAGCTGCACCTTTGCCTCCAAGACCATCTCTCCTTCGATGTGGCAAGCTTTCGAGCTCATTCACAAGACATTCAAGGCCGGCGCTGAGTTGTACCTCGAAGACATGCTTCCCGCTCTTGACAACTATGTTGCTTACGGCTCTGAGATGCTGGTCCAAAACCCAGCCTACCTCAACGCTATGGTCGGTATGGTGCAGGACATCTTCGCCGACGACAAGGTCGGAGGTGTTGACCGCATCTGCGGTTGCAAGCTTGCCGAGACCCTGATGCTCAACCTTCGGGGCCACATCGACCAGTACATCCCTATGTTCATTGAGATGGCCATGCGCGTCATTGACGCCGGTGGTGTGCCCACCAAGTCTTACCGCATCCACTTGATGGAGATGGTCATCAACGCCATCTACTACAATGCCGCCCTCAGCTTGCAGGTCATGGAAGCCAAGGGCTGGACTAACAAGTTCTTCAGCACATGGTTCGCCAACATCGACAACTTCCGTCGTGTGCATGACAAGAAGCTGTCCATTGCCGCAATTAGCTCCCTCCTCACCCTCAAGGCCACCGATGTTCCCGTCAGTGTCCAGCAAGGATGGCCGAGACTCTTGCAGGGTGTCACCAGACTGTTCCAGACCCTTCCCGCTGCTATGAAGCGTATGTATCAAATCAACCCCGAAAACTCCATCAACTAATAAGCAATATAGAACGCGAGGATGCTACCAAGGAATCCGACTTCACTCTCGACGATGAGGATGATGATGATGACGAAGACAATGATTGGGATGGCGATGTGGAGTGGGATGAGAACGAGGTCGAAGCAGCTCTCGATGACGATGTCGCTGATGAGAGTGCCGCCTACCTCGATTTCCTCAACCAGGAGGCTTCCAAGTTCGGCTCATTTGCTGATGATGACGACGACGATATGGATGAGGAGAGCCTCCTGGAAACTCCTCTCGACAAGGTCGAACCCTACGGCATGTTCAAGCACGTCTTGCTCAGTATGTTTACCCCATTCCCCATTCTTTTTTCACCTGCTAACAACAGCCTCAGGCCTTCAACAAGAACAGCCCCAGCTTTACGAGAGCTTGACCAAGGTTCTCGGACCCGATGAGCAACAGGTCATCCAAGGCGTCTTCCACGAGGCCGACGCCAAGGCCATGGTTGCCGCTGCCAACGCAGAAGCCGCTGCCGCTGCCGGCATGCAGGCCAACGGCAACTAAGAGACGAGTTGAAGTGAAACAAATCGTTTTCGCCTGAAAAGTCTCGCAGTCTCGTTTCTTTTTCATTGTCCACATTTCCTCACGAGACCATATGCCCATTTCATGTCTTTCCCACCTTAGATCATGCCCCCATCTGCCTTTGTCGCTTCTGCATCGACCTTTCAATTTGTTGTCATGCTACCGCTGATGTACTTTAAAAGTCCTTCTATTTGGACATCCCTCTCGAGACCCCCCGCCCCATTTCCTTATAATCTTCTTGTGCACAGATTCCCCAGACATTTCCCTCATGATATAGTACATCAGCCATGCTACAAATGTTGGACCCAGTGTCAATACTGTGCCGTAATTGCTCCCTTAGGCTTGACTCATGACATGTTGGGGGTAAAGCGGGCCTATGCATCAAGCGACTGACGTCACTTGGTACACTCCCAAAACGTCAAATCGAGGGGAGATGAGGTATGTCAATCCATCTAAACCGACAGGACTGAACCCTGTGAGTAGATTTACTACTTACTTGAATATAAGATAGGACATTGAGATCCAAAATCCATAGTAATCAATAGATTCTTAGCGTAGACTCGCTTCATCTAGTTACCCTCGACCCATGACAAGCCTTCAGACGGCACCTGGGGTCCACGGTGTTATCATACATTAGTTGATCTCTTACATCCGTAGCATCCACTGGGCTCTCTTAAAGGTAATCAAAATATAAACCTCAACTCTCAACGCGTCCCTATCATTACCCTTGTAAGGTTATACCCTGTGATAATAGGGCATCTCTTAGCAGCCATCTAAGATCACGCCAACTGCTTGGTTGCATGTAATTTCCAACGATTAGCTGTGTTGCTCTACCCTGGTAGTGAAGTATAAAGTTATATAGCTGTTTTACACCTCAAACGTGATGCGATGTACTAGCACTAGTACAAGTTTCGCCGTCGCTTTGGAAAACCTGAATTTCTAGAAAGTGAGCTACTAGTATAGATGAAGATAACTATGATCTTGATTTACCGGGTTTTCCTAGGGTCCGATGTGTACCTAGGTAGATCGCCTCGAAACGTCATGATGATGGCCCACGACCGGTTTAAGACCCGGTAACGTCAGTTCAACAATAAAAGGCCCTTTGCCTCTCGACATCCTAACTATTCTACATCACTGCACTACCATACGTGCCTAAAGGTACAGTACCGAAATTGAGATTGTGTCCATCCTGTCGTACACTAACGCCCATGTAGCATTCACTACAATTACCACTCCAGCTTCATAACTCCATTGACACCATGTCCGCCCCTTACCCCGGCCGTCAATCTCCCTCGCCTGAACGTCAATCGGGCGCCCAGCAGCAAGACACACCCGGCACGGGTAGAACCTCTGTCGGCACCCAACAATCGCCCGAGCACTCAGCGCATGCTTCGGAACACTTCAAGAAGCACAGCCTTCAGAGCAACCCTGAACATCCCTTAGAGAAGATTGAGGCGGAAAAGTTTGCGAAGGGGAAGCAAAATTGAGAGTCCTGTTTGAACATGTCATTTTAGTTGGGTTACGAATATGTGGATAATGATATCATGTTGTTATGCTTAGTGTGGGGCACGCCGCCATTCATTTGGTCTCGGGGGACGGAGTACGGAGTAGTGCTGTGGTTGAATCGTAATACCTACAGTACGGAGGTAGCTAGTAGCTATTTCAGGTGTACAGATGTACTAGTAGACATCGAGACCTGTAGAGTAAAAGTTAGCTTCACAGGCCGTATTTGTCTGAAGAGGATCGACACGACAGTGTTCAGGTGCGTTGTACATGTGGAGAACTGACCAGGTGCCCAATTGGGCGGAGCTACCTAGCTACGCTGATGTTTTTCTCGGGCTTTGACTCGGCATCCCGCTCAGAAGCCGTTGCTGCCAGTGGTTCCCTCATGGAAAGGTACAAATTTGGAAATAATGGAGATGCAATGGCTTCATTGGGCCGAAAACGAGCCCAGCGATAGGCGGTCTACAGTACATCTACCAGCCAGAGCATCGAGCTACGTTCATAGTCAAAATCAAAAGGGTTATCATTGAACAGAATCAACTATGGACACATCATGGCATCATGAGGGATACGAAAGCAATAGAGACGAGTCACGTCCAGCGCAATTCATCAACGTCCATCTCTTAAGCCTTGGGCTCAACGGGAGCAGCAGCAGCCTCAGCCTGGGAAGGAACAGCCACAGGCTCGGTAGCAGAGCTGTCAGTCTTGCCCTGCTTCAAGTCCGCAAGGCGACGAGCCTCGTTGTGGATATCGCGAATCTGCTTATCGGTCTGAGTGTAGAATCCACGGAGCTTCTGGCCAGAAGGGTGGTTGATGGCCTTCTCGAAGTAGTGGCCCAGTCCGCGCCAGCCTGTAGCGGCCTTCTCGGAAATCTGGTAGTTTGCGTCCAGACCCTTGGCGCGCTCAGTGGCGTTGAACTTCTTGTCGAAGTCGCCGAGCGCGGAGGTGAAGCGCTTGGAGAATCCGTGCTTCTGGTCCAGGTCAATAGCACGGGTGATGGCGTTGTCACTGAGCACGTAGCCGTGGGCAAGGTACTCGGCGACAATGCGCGAGCGGGGCTTGTCCTCCTGGGCGATGTCGTGATCTTCGCTCTTCTCTTCGACTTCGGTAGCCGAGGGACCGGCTAGGTCGTCAATGTTGGAAGCGGCTTCGACATGAACGGCGGAAGTGCCCAGTTGGGTCTGGTCGAGGAGAAGTGCAGTCTTCGCGGCACTGAACTGGGTGTCAGCTTGGGAGTCAATGGGTGGAACTGCGGGGTAGCTTACGCCTCCTTTTCAAAGGTCACGGTCGCGGACTGTTTGGCGTCCGCCTCACCGGAGACAGGTGTAATGGAGAGGGAGACGATCTTGCCGCTGTCGCACGTTAGCATGTGTCAGGTAGATGTATGCGGGCGCCAAGGGTGTATCCCTTACCAGAAGCTGAAGAAGTCGCGAACCTCCTTCTCGGAGGTCGTGGAGGGGATGCCAGAAACGTGGACGGTAGAGTGAGACATGATGGATAGGACAATCAGAATGAATCAAGTGAGGGAAATCAAACAGAAGCAGAAAGTCGCACGACTATTTATCTGCCACGCCACAGGTGACGTAGAGCGGGGCACTGCGCCTCAAGCTAATTTCTTGTTTCATTTGGCCATTTTGCTTTATGAAGTTGCCTGGGAGAAGCCATTTCATTCTAAATATGTTTGCCTGCAAACCCGAGAATGTTGGGCAGTGCCCGTGGAAAGACCTCAAACATTGATCCCTTCTGGGATCTCGCTCGAGGGTGAAGGCTCCTGTTGTTTCTTCAGGGTCTGCTCCAGCTCCCGCACACGCTTTCTGAGCTGCTCATTCTCCCGCCTGGTCTGTTCCAGCTCTAGGCGATGATGTGTCGCCTCCTCAAATCGCGACAGGGAAGCTCCTGGTGAATACCCCAAGTGGGTCTGCGAGACGGAATTGCGGTGCGGGTACACGCTACTGTTACTATGGGAGAACGTTGACAATGATCCGATCGAGGGTCGGCGAGATGTGAGGGACGGCTCGCGGCTGCGAACGGTGCGTGAGTGATCACTTCGTGACGGATGGCTCGTCTCTCGCGACGGCGCAATCCCGGTAATGCTTCCTGTCTGCGGAACTTGAGTAGCTGAAGCGTGCGAGCTAAGACTGGAGCTGGATCGGTTCCGTCGCGCAGACTGTGAGCGATTTGAATTACTCAATGTGGGAGACGCTCGTGCGCCTTCCGGTTCGTTGAAATTCGAGGTAGAAGATCCTGTAGATGCCACGGACGCTGTTTGCTGGCGGAGGAGGGACAGTTCTCGGGTCAACCGATTCACCTGCGAATATTTCCTTATATAAATGTATGCCCTTGTGCTCAAGTGATCTGGTCCAGGTTTGCGGGATCTCACTTACCATTGCTTCTTGCTCCTTCTCAAGCACTAGATGGAGGTCCGAAGGCGTCAGCGGTTGTGGATGACGCAATGGCCCTTGCTCTGTTAGTCGGGAGTACTTCCAGTGACGATTGCCACAGACATACCCTGAGCGGTGCTTGTAATGCCATACTCGCCTCCCAGCGGGGGACTGCCCGGCGGAAACATCGAAGTAAGCCCCGGCACTGGTTGACGGGGCGTTGAGGCTTGTGATGTCGCCGGCAGGGCCGTCGTTGCGGCACGAGGCCGTTGCAAGGGGGAGGTGCTCAACTCAGTTACAGCCATAATGGAGATGGTGAACAAGCCCCCGATTGTCGAGGGAGGAGGAGGTTGAAGTATCACGGGATCTAGTAAACAATGAGAATCGACGTCAGACCAAAACACCCCTTGATGAGAATTCCAGGGAGGACTTGAAACATACCTAGATACCACTGAGTCTTTTAAGTCAAGAGAAGGAGAGCCTTGGAGTTGAAACATTGGGCTCTTGTTTCTTTGATTGGGCCGTGGCCATAGTCCTTGTACAAGGTACTGTACTTCGATAAAACAGTAGGAGTATAGCACGGAGAACTCCGTGGACATTCCAGCAAATCTAGCATTTGAATCCATGCTGACAACAATACAATACACATACTGTACTCTGTACATGGCCGCAGCTACATGTTGGTCCGCTTGGGCCCTGTGAGCTATAGATTGGATGTCTCGATTGGAGCTATCGCCGGGTTGGGCACAACAGTACACTTCCTCCGTACACCTGGGCATGTATTCATGATTACTCCGTACCCTCGGTCATATGTCTGGCATCACAGAGCACTGCTTCATAGATTGCACAGCCCAAAATTGGTTCAGTTGCCCTCAGACAAGCTGGGTTACATAAGCTGTCTGCATCGCAAGGGCAAAACAGCAAACCTCCGCACCTGTCAGGGTCTCAGCTTGTCTTTCCCCCAATGATGGCCCGCGCAGACTCCGATATCCACATTCCACCTGTGGTGAAACAGCTTGCTCCTTACGTCAAATCCCGGCAGGAAGCTCTCCAGATCCGCCAGGCATTGACGTCTTATCTGCGCTCCTTTATCGTGTTCAACGAGGCCAACGATCCAACCCAGTCTCATCTCTCCTTGAGTGTCCCGACCGGAACCGTCGCAGATGTCAATCGCATTCCTGCTGACCTGCCTGGGCTGCGCAAGGATTACCTGAAGGCGCTAGCGGCCAATGTCGCAGCCCGCAAAGATTTCAATGCTACAACTGACAATGTCGCGGCCCTGAGGCGTCAAAGGACCTCCCCGAACCGCCCCTGCGAGTCCGACCCCCGAGAATCCGGTGCCGAAATTCGGGACTATCTCGCCCTCCTGCGCGATCGACGCCGCCACAACAAGCTACAGGTGTTTCAGCAATATCTTGAAGAAGTCAAAGCACGAGATACGACTACATTGGGGGATTCTGGATATGCCGAGGAACAGATATCACTGCCGGAGGCTGAGGTGGAACAGGATCATGCTGGTACAAACTTGAACGAGCTTGTTCATAGCCTTGAGAGGGCGGTTGTACGCGCCAAGTCTCAATTGGATCGTCAGAAGCAACTGTTCGATAAAGCGAAGACCCAGCATGACTCTCGGCACAATCCTGCTTCAATTCCAGTCTCCCCAGATGTCAAAGCCCAAGCCTTACAGAAGACTCGGGACGAATTGGTTCAATGGGTGGAAGAACGACTGGTTGGCCAAGGCGATCCGGATGAAAATGTGCTTCAAGAGCTCCCTCCGGAGGAGATCGAAGCTGCTCAGCGCGATTTAGAAGATCGCAAGACACAGATTGCAAACCAATATGCCGTATATGTTCAGGCCCGGCGTGAGCTCCTCGAGGCCGCCTCAAGGGCCTGCCAACCAGTCAATGTGGCACCGAAGCCACCATCGCGTTCCAACAAAACCGAGCCCGTCCCGGCAGAGTTACCACCACCGAATGCCATAGATGTGTTGTCATACGCGACCGAGAACCTCCTCCCCCTCTCCAAGGGCCAAAAATCGCTATCCCTCCAGAGGTCGTACCTATCTGGATTACTTTCCAAAGAAAAATTGACTACTCTTCGCGCACTCAATCGACTCAGCGATGAATCCCACCTACTCCCGGAATATCCCATTGATTCCCGTCAACCGCGAGCCAAACACGCCAACTTCGGCACCCAGGCCCAACCCGAGCAGAGTTCGGACGAGGTCGTCCAGCTTGCCGAGGCCTGGGCCTTTGCTGCCGGTGCTGCTGGCGCCAGTGGACGGGACTATGTACAGGAGAAAGTTGTGCTAGGCACCGAAGTCGCGCAAGACGCTCGACAGACTCTGTCCGATGTTTACGGGACCCTCAATCAGGACCTCGATGAGGTCATGGACGGCCAGAAGCGGCAGACGTCAAACCCCACTCGCTTGAGAGGTGGGTCTCGGATTGAGAAGCGACCGACTGGTCCCTGGTCTCAATTGAATGGGAAAGTCGGAGTTGAGTAGGATCATGTCCTGTAGTTGTATAGTTCATATATCTATTGGCTTCGAGTAGGTCTCGACCTACTAGTAGGCAGCGTAGATACTCCTACGGTGACGTCTAGAGGTTGAGTATGAAATTGAAAATTGCCCCGATATTCGGCAGAACCCCCGAAGATCCGTGCAGCGCGAGTAACAACCTTAACATCTGCACAGGCATTGTTACGTAGGTGTAAGGGATATCTGCTGGCTAAACTGCGGTTAAAAGCTTGATATATTAAGGATTGACCACGAAGGTCGACCCATACACTATTAGGTTACTACTTGTGTAGTGCTAGTAAACTAGTAGTAAAGATACACCTCTATGGAGTGCTTTACCAAGCCATATTCATCCAATGCTACTTAGTGTTAGCTCTCAATCTCGTGCAATTGCATCAGGCTAGGAGATCTTCTTATGGCCATATCCCCGTGAGGCTTTGTAGATTTCTGTACGTCAAGTTCGTCGAAAGATAAGAAAGCTCCACCCTTATTCCGGCATCGGCGCAGATCATAGCACACACAGTAAGCCCAATTGTAGGGCTACACAGGAAATTTACAGGTCAGAGATGGATACCAATTTCTGCCTCACCAACTTGGAACACCTTTGAGGACACCGTGAAGTCCCCTACAGAGGACTGTCGTAGCTCTAGATTCACTCGATTCGACTCCATATAGATCCTCTTCCCCTGATATTAAAAAAGTGACAAGATCCGGAACCGTCTCCACACCCGATTGACTCATTCTGCAAAAAAGAAAGGAAAACTGCCCTAACTGGCGCTTTAAATACTGCGTAGTGCCAATTGGCGTGTCATTCTCACGAACTACCATATATAATCCTAATTTATCTGCCCTTTTTTTCCCTCTCGCTCTTCTCGTTGAACTCCCAGTGCCTCGCAAGTGGAGAATACGGTGAGGGCTACGGACCAATCAGCGAATCCGTGGGGGGAAAAAAAGAAAGATTCCCGGGAAAAGTGTAGACTCATCCTCCACACACCTCTCAACAAGCAATTGAACCCTCGTTTTCCGCTAAAGCGGTTGTGCGCAATGGTTCTTGCTGCTCGATGTGGGCAGGCCGCCGCCCTGCTGCGCCAGCGTTGCCTCGCTGAGACTCGTCCAGCATTCGTGCGCGCATTCTCCTCCCAGCCCGTTCGCTCGGTTTCCGCTCTGCGTCAGAAGATCCCCACGGCTCGCTCTCAGCAGCTCCGTTCCTTCTCCAGCACCCTGAACCGTCTTGCCACTGAGAAGCCCCCCTCCGCTGAGTCTTACCTCGCCAGCGGTGCTGTCAAGCCCGGCAGCGGTCTCGTCGATGTCAAGAAGGTCCTTGTCATTGGCTCCGGTGGTCTGAGCATTGGTCAGGCCGGAGAGTTTGATTACTCTGGTAAGTCAATCAATTCAAGTGAAATCTCAATTGCATCGTCAATCGGTCGCCCCATGCAAGCTCCGTCATCCCTCATGGTCCCCATGGGGTCGTGCACGGGATGCCGTTCTGCGGGAAGCGGAGAGCTGAGGCGCTCCCAAGATTTCCCTCCTTATTTCCAACGCATGTTTTTTCTTCAATGACAACAACTAATCATTCTTTTTCTTAATTGAACAGGCTCCCAGGCTCTGAAGGCGCTCAAGGAGGCCGGTGTCCACTCCGTCTTGATCAACCCCAACATCGCGACTATCCAGACCGACCACAAGCTTGCGGATGAAGTTTACTACCTCCCCGTTACCCCCGAATATGTTACCCACGTCATTGAGCGCGAGCGCCCTGATGGTATTCTCCTCACCTTCGGTGGTCAGACTGGTCTGAACCTGGGTGTGCAGATGAACCGCATGGGTATCTTCGACCGCTACGGCGTCAAGGTCCTCGGTACAAGCATCAAGACCCTCGAGACCAGTGAGGACCGTGACCTCTTCGCCCAGGCCTTGAACGAGATCAACATCCCCATCGCTGAATCGACCGCTGTCGAGACTGTTGAGGATGCTCTCAAGGCCGCCGAGCAGGTCGGTTACCCCATCATCGTCCGCTCTGCGTACGCCCTCGGTGGTCTGGGCTCTGGCTTCGCTGCCAACCCCGATGAGCTCCGTGATCTGTCCTCGCGTTCTCTCTCCCTCTCCCCCCAGATTCTCGTTGAGAAGTCCCTCAAGGGCTGGAAGGAGGTTGAGTACGAGGTCGTCCGCGATGCTGCCAACAACTGTATCACTGTTTGCAACATGGAGAACTTCGACCCTCTCGGAATTCACACCGGTGACAGTATCGTCGTTGCCCCCAGTCAGACTCTTTCTGACGAGGAGTACCACATGCTCCGTACTGCTGCCATCAAGATCGTCCGCCACCTGGGTGTCGTTGGCGAGTGCAACGTCCAGTACGCTCTGCAGCCCGATGGACTCGACTACCGTGTCATCGAGGTGAACGCTCGTCTGTCTCGCTCCTCTGCGCTGGCCTCCAAGGCCACTGGTTACCCTCTTGCGTACACCGCTGCCAAGATCGGTCTGGGACACACCCTGCCCGAGCTCCCCAACGCCGTTACCAAGACTACCACTGCCAACTTCGAGCCTAGCTTGGACTACATTGTCACTAAGATTCCCCGCTGGGATTTGAGCAAGTTCCAGCACGTGAACCGTGATATTGGCTCCGCTATGAAGTCCGTGGGTGAGGTTATGGCTATTGGCCGTACCTGGGAAGAGTCTCTGCAGAAGGCTATCCGTCAGGTTGACCCTAAGTACATTGGTCTCCAGGGTGACCACTTCGAGGACCTCGACGAGACTCTGCGCAACCCCACCGACCGCCGCTGGTTGGCCGTTGGTCAAGCTATGCTCCACGAGAACTACTCCGTCGAGAAGGTTCACGAGCTGACCAAGATCGACAAGTGGTTCTTGTACAAGATCCAAAACATTGTTGACTGCAACAACGAGCTTAAGGAAATTGGCAGCCTCTTCGGCCTCAAGCAGGAGATTCTGCTAAAGGCCAAGAAGCTCGGTTTCTCCGACAAGCAGATCTCTCTGCTTGTTGGTTCTTCCGAGGACGATGTCCGTGCCCGCCGTAAGTCCTTCGGTATCACCCCCTGGGTGAAGAAGATTGATACTTTGGCTGCCGAGTTCCCCGCCGACACCAACTACCTGTACACCACCTACAACGCTTCGTCCCACGATGTGACCTTCGATGACCACGGAACCATCATCTTGGGTAGCGGTGTGTACCGTATTGGTAGCTCCGTCGAGTTCGATTGGTGCGCTGTCAACGCTACCTTGTCTCTGCGCAACATGGGCAAGAAGACCGTTATGATCAACTACAACCCCGAGACCTACTCCACTGACTTCGATACCGCCGATAAGCTGTACTTCGAGGAACTCAGCTACGAGCGTGTCATGGATATCTACGAGCTTGAGGCCGCCAGCGGTGTCGTTGTCTCCGTCGGTGGTCAACTGCCCCAGAACATCGCCCTCCGTCTCCAGGAGACCGGTGGTGCTACCATTCTCGGTACCGACCCCCAGGATATCGACAAGGCCGAGGACCGTCACAAGTTCTCCCAGATCCTCGATAGCATCGGCGTCGACCAGCCCGCCTGGAAGGAACTGACCTCCGTCGATGAGGCCGAGACCTTCGCCGAGGCTGTCGGTTACCCTGTCCTGGTTCGCCCCTCCTACGTCCTGTCTGGCGCTGCCATGAACGTCATCTACAGTGTCGACGAGCTCAAGGAGAAGCTCCTCAACGCTGCTGCCGTTTCCCCCGACCACCCCGTTGTCATCACCAAGTTCATCGAGGGTGCCGAGGAGATCGATGTCGATGCCGTTGCCTCCAACGGCAAGCTTCTGGTCCACGCCGTTTCCGAGCACGTCGAGCCCGCTGGTGTCCACTCCGGTGATGCCACCCTCGTCCTCCCCCCTGCCAACATTCCCGAGCCCATCATGGCCCGCGTGAAGGAGATTGCCGAGAAGGTAGCCAAGGCCTGGAACATCACCGGTCCCTTCAACATGCAGATCATCAAGGCCGACCAGGAGGGTGCCGAGCCCGCTCTCAAGGTCATTGAGTGCAACCTGCGTGCTTCCCGCTCTTTCCCCTTCGTCAGCAAGGTCCTGGGTACCAACTTCATCGACGTCGCCACCAAGGCTCTCGTCGGTCGTGACGTCCCCGAGCCCGTTGACCTCATGAAGGAGAAGCGTGACTACCTCGCCACCAAGGTTCCCCAGTTCTCCTGGACCCGTCTTGCCGGTGCCGACCCCTTCCTTGGCGTCGAGATGTCCTCTACTGGTGAGATTGCTTGCTTCGGTAAGGATCTGATCGAGGCCTACTGGGCTTCCCTCCAGTCCACCATGAACTTCCGCATGCCCGAGCCCGGTGAGGGTATCCTCCTCGGCGGTGACATCACCCAGCCTTACCTGGCCAAGATCGTCGAGTACCTGAACCCTCTCGGCTACAAGTTCTTCGCCGTCAACCCCGATGTCAAGGCCCACATCGAGTCCACTGCCCAGGACTCCGTGTCCGTGCAGCTGATCGAGTTCCCCAAGAAGGACAAGCGTGCTCTCCGTGAGGTCTTCCAGAAGTACGACATCCGTGGCTGCTTCAACCTTGCCAAGACCCGTGGTAAGACCCAGCTCGATGAGGACTATGTCATGCGTCGCAACGCTGTCGACTTCAGTGTTCCTCTCTTCATGGAGCCCAAGGTATGTTCCCAGCCAGTTTAACCCTCTCGTTCGAACATCCACTAATCAACTTTCCATAGACCGCCCAGCTCTTCGCTCAGTGCATGAACGAGAAGTTGCCCCGTGGTGACGAGATCCCCTCTGAGGTCCGCACCTGGTCCAACTTCGTCGGTGGCAAGGCTCTTTAAATGCTTTCCTGCCCAAAATGACAGAAAAAGTAAAAGTAAAAAGCCCATGTCATAAAGAGAGGCCCAATCCTCCTCTTCCCCCCGATATCCCCTATGACATCAGGCTCCCCCGTCAGGATCCGCTATCAGAGTCCATATCCTCACTGGTACAGTGAATGCGGCCATTCTGTTGATAGATTCCGGTTTTCCTAATTGTTGTACTCTTGGATTGGAATGTTGTGTTTTTCGCTACTGTATCGTAGCGCTTTATGTCCCCTGGTCTCAATATGAATTTGGATATGATCTAAATTCTGGTGTTTTGATTGATCCAAAGCATTCCTTCAGTCTCTAGTAGCTTCATTCTTCCTGGGGAGCCAAATTATTCCTCAGTTAGAAATCTCATTAGACATCGAATATTCAGGCGTAGCCCTCTTCACTCTAGGGCTGCCAGCGCCAAGAGATCAGATGACTAATATTTATCCACAGCGCTGGAGCAACGTTGACCTGTTTAGAGACCGCTTAGCCCCCCAAGGTCCTTATTATAATTGATATAATGGCCTCGAGAACAGTTCTTCCATCAGTGACGACAAAGACAGTCCCCGGCCCTGCCCCTAATGGCATGGGTAATGGTTTGTTTGCAACGGCAGACATGAACCCCGGCGATACTGTCTTACACATTGAGACACCATTTGCGGCTATTCTCGATTCGCCGCGCTTGGAAGATACATGCGCCGGTTGTTTTGGAAAGCGTCAGGTAGAAACCGGTAATGAGCTGAAGGCTTGTACGGGATGTCGGGTCGTGAAGTATTGTGATCGGGTGAGTCGCAATGGCGATCAATTTATCCTGATTGTAAAGTTGGAACAAATTGCTAACCCTAAGATCAGACTTGTCAATCTAAAGATTGGAAATTTGCCCATTCCCTTGAGTGTCCTATTTTCAAGAATCTCAAGCCGATGGTACTTCCCAACAATGCTCGTGCCCTTCTGCGTATCGTGCTGCGCTCTGCTCGTAACAAGTATGATTCTGAGGAGTTCAAAGTCTTTGATGGGCTGGAGACTCATATCAACGAGATATCAGAGAGCCAGGGTCAGCTTGATAGGATCACCTTGACTGCAAGAGCTGTGAAGAATTACTCAGGCACAGATATCGAGGAAGGAACAGTTTCATCGTATGCTGCCAAGGTAAGTCTTGTTGATCCAATGCATTGCTTCTGCGCTGACATTTGATTAGCTGGATCTGAACTCGTTCAATCTCACTACGTCCATGTACGATCGTATCGGTCTGTACATACACCCATACGCTGGCTTGATCAACCATAGTTGCGACTATAATGCCACAGTTGGGTTTGACGGAGCAGAGCTATACGTCAAGGCCATGCGTCCCATCAAAAAGGACGAACAGGTATTCATTTCCTATATTGATACCACAACTCCATACGACATTCGGCGCAATGAATTAAAAGAGCGCTACTTCTTCGACTGCCTGTGTACCAAGTGTCAAAAGGGGGCAGACACGTTGGAGGATCGATTCCTATCTGACATCGAAGACATGACACCCCTCGAAACAGCAGAACGGGAAGCCCTGGAACTACTGCAGAAAGCCACAGGATCTAGCACAGAGCACGCGGAAGCAATCGAACAGCTCGAAGCTGCTATGCACAAACTTCACGACACAGGTGCTTGGCCCCTCACTAGACAGCCCTACGCTTCGCTGCGCGACAAGTTGATCATTTCCCTGCTATCCGCTGGGAACTTCACTCGGGCATTCATCCATGCGGCAATCAGATATCTACGGATTGACCCTGTCGTGTACAACAAGGCCCATCCAATCCGTCACATTCATGCCTGGAGCCTGGTTAGATTGACGGTATTCCTTTCTCAAGAAGGATTCCAGCCCGATCCTAAAGATCCTGTGCAGATTCGTGACTTCCAACTAAACTTCCATTACCTGATTTGGTACATTTTGGCTGAGCTTGCAAGCACTCAAATGGAGAGTTGTACTGTTCCTAGCTTCAAAAAGCTAGTTGGAAACCAGTTCGTGCAAGTTCACAACGAGTTCAAGGCCAATGGCCTCGATCCAAGTAAGTCCAAAGGTGTTTTGGCTGCTGAATGGCAGAAGCTGGAGCGCCTTGTGACTAAGGCCTTGGAAAAAGAGTGAGTGTTCCAAGATTACTATAAAATACCGACCTAGATGAAGAATCAGAAATTCGCAGCGAGGTTCGCAGGCCTCAGGTTCGTTGTTTTCAAATTGCGATTGGGGTATTCCAAAGCCCGTATAGACCTTTATTTTACCTTCAATGAGGGCTGCGATGCACGGATACCAGCGAGTGATGCAAGTAAGCTGGAGGAGCAACCTTGCCCAGATGGAATTTCGAACATTGAAAGAATCCGTATATCTCCAAAAGGGTGAAAAGAACAACCGTGAATGATTGAGGCCCTGAGCCAGACAAGCCTGGCATAATGAATTTGCGCAGGCAATACAAGTAAGGATTGGTATCATTCCCATATGCAGATCATGGATGTCAATAAATACATGGGTTGAACTAGTGGAATCGGTTGAACATGCTTGCATGCTCGTATATACATTATACAGAGTCCTCAATTCACGGGACCAGCTCTATCACATCAGACTAGTTCGGCCTCCAATCTCGTTGGCTGCCTCGCCATTAGGCATCTCACCATTGCGGCCAGCGATGAACTCCCGATAGATACCCTGGAGACGCCTACGTTCTGGCGCGCTGAGGGACGAGCGCGTGGTGTTCAAGGACCGTTCAACATGCTCCCAGCGGACAATGATGTCCTCATGCAGCTCATCCTCCGCTGGCTCGGTGCCATTGGTCACGGGCCCAGCAGGATTAGACCCGGCAGACCCTTGCTCGAGCTGACGCTGACGGCGTCGCGAGTTCTTGATTGCTTCTAGCTTAGCTGAGATAACCGCCGGGGGCGGCATAGAGACTGATCCAGATGCTTCCTCGGATGAGGAATACAGGAATTGGATGAAGGATTTGGAAGAGGCATGAGCGGAGCCCTTGGTGGTCGTGGATTTGGCGCCTGGTTTGGCCGTATCAGTAGTGCGATCACCCAGAGCATCGTGGACTGCCTCCAAATGGGCGTTGTATACGACTGCCTGTAAGTCTGCACCAGAGAATCCTTCTGTCTCGGCAGCAATATCATCAAGACGCGAGGCCACCTCATCACTCATCTTCAGTTTCTCGCTCACGGAGCGAATGATGTCAGCACGATCTTCGTGGTTTGGCATGTCACAAAGAAGTGACTTGTCCAGACGTCCGGGGCGCAAGAGGGCAGGGTCGATCAAATCAGGGCGCGAGGTTGCTGCCAGCACATAGACGCCTGACAAGCCTTCTGCACCATCCATTTGTGTCAGCAGCTGGTTGACAACACGGTCCGTAACACCCGTAGAGTCATGACCACGTTTAGGTGCAATACTGTCAAACTCGTCGAAAAAGAGAACACAAGGACGGGCGGCTTGGGCTCTCTCGAACAAATCGCGAACACTCTTTTCACTGGCTCCGATGTACTTGTTCAGAATCTCGGGACCCTTGACACTGATGAAGTTCAAGCCACACTCGCCAGCGACTGCACTGGCAAGCATTGTCTTACCGCAACCGGGGAACCCATAGAGAAGTAACCCAGATCGCAGTCGCAACGGACATTGTGCGAAGATTGGGGCATATTTGGTGGGATACTGCAATGTCTCCAAGAGCATCTTGCGAGTCTCGAAAAGACCACCAACAGAGGAGAAGGTTGTGGTTGAGGATGTTAAGGTCACGTTGCGAAGGGATGCCGGGGTGAAATCTTTCAAAGCGCTTTCGAAATCTTCCAGTCCGAGGGTGATCATCTTTGACGTCGACGCCAAGTCTGATACAGAACGGATGAGGGCTTCGTTGCGCGCTCGAGCTACAAGCAAAACAAGATCACCGGGCATGTACCCGTCAGTTTTGCCTGCCAACTCCAGATATTCCACGTCTCTTCCAATGACAAATCCATCACCCCCGGAAGAGCTGGGGCGACTCCCAGGGTTCGAGGGATCTAGCCAGGAGTCCTGCGTCGAATTACTTTCTGCTCTCGCATGTCCATTGAGACCCTCAACGGGTTTATCCTGGCTCGTGAGCTTTTCCAAAACTTTGCGGCGTCCTTCCTTGTCGGGCGCCCTCATGCTGATGATTTCACGAACAACATGACCACCAATGATAACGTTGTTGAGAGATTCCTTGGCCTGAGCAGTGGCCAGCAACACCACAGATGAGTTCAAAGCGCAGAATTCTCGTACCATGGAGCAGATAACCTCACTGTTTTGTCGACTGCGGCCGTTGTCACCTCCCACTTGCAACTCGGTCTCCATTGGACAAAGCTTGTCTAGGTCGTCGAGAATCACAACAGATTGACCACCAAGGCGTGCGCACCATGCCGCAGACATGAAAAGACGATTCAGAACCTCTTTGATATTGGAGATCCGTGTCTCATCTGTGACGAGCTTGCGGCAAGAGAAATATTTCACATTTGACAGATGATCACGTCTCATGCGATGAGCCAATAGCTGGGAAAGAGCCGTCTTTCCAGCACCGAGGCCACCGGTGAGCAAAATCGACGAGGATTTGGTTAGGTTGTTCAATGATTGCTCGATGATGGAATCGATCCCTACCAATTGAGGAATTTCCTCTGGGAGAGGATCTTCCAGGGGTAACAGAGACAAACTCGTGTCTAAAGGCTTGGGCACTTCAGCCTGAACCTCGAGGTTCAGCTTTGCTTCTGAGCCCAGTAGCCAACCGAACATCGATTTTGCTTCTTCGGGTGCCCCTTTCAGCGGGGGGTCGAATCTGATGATAGCGCCATCAAATGAGGAGACAGATGGATGATATTCAGCCTTTGGTAAAATCATACCGTCGGTCAAAGGCCCGGAAAACAACCCAATGTCAGAACCAGTGCTGCCATATATGACTTTTAGGCGCTCTGCCAAAGCGTCCCGAGATGCAGCAGTATCAGCGCCGAACTTCAGCCCATCTTTCTTCTTTGAAGCATCCCCGATGAAGGGATAGACCTTGAGAGTCTTCACTGCTGATCGATGCAGCTGTGGGGGAGCCGCCTCAATTCGAACGATCCCACCCACCATACTTTCCGCGCCAAGGGCCGTGCACAATAAGGTGGACATCGCCGCATGCCGGTTGTCTGGGGCTTCCTCCCAAGGAAGCAGCTTCGCGACAAGTTTGGAAGAAGGAGAGCCGGCATCACTGGCCTTTTGCTGTTCCGCCTGAGCAAGCTGCTGTTGGGGGTCTGGTGGAGGCTTGAGACCGGATGGTTGGACAACTGAAACACAGGCCCAGGTTGCTCCGCGGAGTTCATGGCTTGCCAACAAGTCGGGATCAACCCAGACGCGAAGACCTTCGTTTAAGTCATCTTCTATATCTGCATCAAAGTGCTGGGCGGTTGCCGAGCGATCAAGGCCTCTGAGATAGAGAGAGCCTCGGGTGCTGGAGTCCGATCTGCCACCCTTCCCACGGACTGTGCTTGAGGCGCTTCTTCCCCCGGCGCTCTTCCGGGAATTTCCGGAGACACTACGAGTGTCGCCGCGCGAGGACTTGCTTGTCTTTGATCGCACTTTCGGGGCCACTATAACTTCAGCATCCGGAGCAATCTTGGCAAACGGGGACGTGTTCGAAGGCGGAGGTGTGAGAGAAGTAACGACAATATTAGCGGTGGATGTGGGAGAAAGATGCAATGCGAGTGGATGCATATGCTCGGTTTGCGCTGCAGTATATGTGGGGTTGGGCAAAGCCCGAATCTGAGACAGGAGGTTGAGTTCCAAGAATGTGGCGTGTAGTTCGATGACTATGGTCAACTTGTTAGCATGACTTAACTAGTAGGAGTTGCAACTACCTACTCTCCCAGTCTTCCGGTGTCAGTGGCTCAATGTTAATTGTATGCGCAACGGGTGGGTCAAGGTGGATGAATAGCCCGACCTGCAAGGACCGCTTGGTTAGCATTCCACGTGGAAAACGATATCCGGGTGAGTATATACCTTCTGGCCGTCGGCCAGACCAAGAAGCCGCCCGAAAGTAGTGTCGAGCTCAACAGTGGATATTTCCTGCTCTCTGGATGCTCCACTGTTGATTCCGTCCCTTCCAACGACCGGCGCAAGCCTGCGCTTGCTTGGCATACCCGTCCAGCCAAGGAAGCATGACTGCTGGGGCGGAGCTCCATTGGCCTTTGGGGAGGTTGACTTGTACTGTAACTCAATTATCACATTCTGAGCAGCCTGGAGTATGAACAATGGTTAGCTGGGACGACGCGCATTGGCTCTTTGGAGCAAGTATACTGACCGTGTTTGCATTGACCAGCAAGGAAACCAGTGATGGCGGTAGGTTCACAAGACAATTCTTCAGGGGCACAAGTGCCACTTCAGCCGTCGCAGCAGGCTTTTTGGGCGCCATATTTGAGCACTGGGTTATGATGAACTCCGGAGATATGAGGAGAGGGGAACGTGAACTCGGAGAGTCACGACCCCGGACTCCACAGTACCTGCCTCGGCCCGATGACGAAGCACGTGACCACTGATATCGATAACGGAACAGACAATGTTCCGAGAAATCAAGCGCCTTTCCTAATAAGGCTAGTGGCATTCCCAGCGCGTCTTTGCGTCGCGTCCGCGTTTTGCCAGCGATTTTGGTAGGGGAGCTGCGGTTAGTAACTAGACCCTCTTCTCCTCCCTCCCGATCCCACTCTCTTGTTTTGCGCCGCTTTCAATTGAGCGCTCTCTTCAACCCATCATGTCCCTCCCTCAATACCCCCCACCGGTGGATTATGCCGCGCAAACCAATGGCTTCAGGGATTTCTTGAAGGGCTTCAAGTCCTTCCAGTCAAGCTCGGAAGCGGCAGCGACCGAAGCTATGCAAGACTTGAACATCGACGGAGGCCGGACTAGTGATGAATATGATTTCATGGATGATGCCGACGAGATGGACGGGGCCACAACACGGGGAAGTAAGCGTCAAACCCCGAAGGTCAAGTACATGCAGATTCTGCAAGATGTCGCAAATCGCGATACTGCTCACATCCAAATCGATTTGGACGATCTGGAAACCGTAAGTATTGAACGCATGGGTGCCTATGTGTGTGTCCGAAACAACAACTCATGCTTTGACCTAGTTCGAAAAATCTATGCCCGAGGGGGAGGACCTCAAGCTAGTCCAATCCATCGAAAAGAACGCACACCACTATGTTGACATTATTTCCTCCGTTGTTGACGAGCTTATGCCTCAGTCAACGAAAGAGATCACGTAAGTCCCACTGGCTGTTCGCCCAGATGCATCGCAACTGACCCTTCTCCCGTAGTTACAAGGACGATGTGCTCGATATAATCATGTCTCAGCGCGAGAGGCGCAATGAGGCAACGGAAGCAGCCCTAGAGGCTGACATGGAATCCGATCCTGCTGGTCTTCCTACCTTCCCCGCGGAGCTTACTCGCAGATATACTCTCAACTTCAAGCCCCTCACGCCCTCGGGATCCAGCAGCGACCGCGGCTCTAAAGCCCTTGCCGTCCGAAACGTTCGTGGTGAGCACCTCGGTAACTTGATCACTGTCCGTGGTATCACTACTCGTGTCTCCGACGTCAAGCCCGCGATTCAGATCAACGCCTATACTTGCGATCGTTGTGGATGCGAGGTTTTCCAACCCGTCACCACCAAGCAATATCTTCCCTTGTCGGAGTGTCCTGCAGAGGAGTGCAAGAAAAACAACTCCAAGGGCCAGCTCTTCTTGTCAACCCGCGCCTCGAAGTTCACTCCTTTCCAAGAAGTCAAGATTCAGGAAATGGCCGACCAGGTCCCTGTGGGCCACATCCCCCGCACCCTGACTGTCAACTGCCACGGTGCCCTCACTCGTCAGCTGAATCCTGGTGATGTTGTTGATATTGGTGGTGTCTTCCTGCCTACCCCATACACTGGTTTCCGTGCTATTCGTGCGGGCCTTCTTACCGACACATTCCTCGAGGCTCACCACATTACTCAACACAAGAAGTCTTATAATGACATGGGCATGGATCGCATCACGCTGCGCAAGATTGAGCAGCACCAGCGTTCTGGTAACATGTACGAGTACCTCTCACGGTCCATTGCTCCTGAAATTTATGGACACCTCGATGTCAAGAAAGCCCTGCTTTTGCTCCTGATTGGTGGTGTCACAAAAGAGATGGGTGATGGTATGCACATTCGTGGTGACATCAACATCTGTTTGATGGGTGACCCTGGTGTGGCTAAGTCTCAGCTTCTCCGATACATTACCAAGGTTGCTCCTCGTGGTGTTTACACCACTGGACGAGGAAGCAGTGGCGTCGGTCTTACTGCCGCTGTTATGAGAGATCCAGTCACCGACGAGATGGTGTTGGAGGGTGGTGCTCTTGTCCTTGCTGACAACGGTATCTGCTGTATTGATGAGTTTGACAAGATGGAAGACGCAGACCGCACTGCCATCCACGAAGTGATGGAACAGCAGACCATCTCTATTTCCAAGGCCGGAATCACGACTACTCTCAACGCACGAACCTCCATTCTTGCTGCGGCTAACCCCTTGTATGGTCGTTACAACCCTCGCGTGTCGCCAGTTGAGAACATTAACTTGCCCGCCGCTTTGCTCTCCCGTTTCGATGTCATGTTCCTGCTTTTGGACACTCCTTCCCGTGAAGGCGATGAGGAACTCGCCAACCACGTCACCTATGTCCACATGCACAACAAGCACCCTGAAAGCGAAGACGCAGGCATCATGTTCACCCCCCACGAGGTCCGTCAGTACATCGCCAAGGCGCGAAGCTTCCGTCCGATCGTCCCCAGCACTGTCTCCGACTACATGGTCGGTGCTTATGTGGCTATGCGCAAGAGACAAAAGGTGGACGAGTCCAAGAAGCGCCAGTTCTCTCACGTCACTCCCCGTACCCTCCTTGGTATCGTTCGTTTGTCCCAGGCCCTGGCTCGTCTTCGCTTCAGTGATCAAGTTGTTCGCGAGGATGTTGATGAGGCTCTGCGCCTCATTGAAGTCAGTAAGGCTTCTCTGTACAACGACGGCGAGCAGGGCGCAGACAACACCCCCTCGAGCAAGATCTACAACCTGATCCGCAGCATGAAGGAGAGTGGTGCCGCTGCCATCGGAGATGGCGAGGAAGGAGAAATGAGCATGAGACGTATTCGCGAGCGCGTCCTGGCTCGTGGCTTTACCGAGGATAACCTCACTATGACTATTGATGAGTATGCCGAGATGAACGTAAGTTTTGATTATCTCGATTGTTCCTTCTGTGCTTTTACTGACATGCTCGTTCATAGCTCTGGCAAGTTACTGGCAATGGAACTCGTCTGCTCTTCACTGAGGTTGACAGCGATATGGATATGTAATGTTGCAATGCTCTTTGTTTCTTTTGATCTTCATCTCGAATTTCGACTGGGCTTTTGTGCGTTGAAGATGCATGTGCAACAGGCTGGAATTAAGGCGACTGGTGTTATGGTGTATTCCTGGCAATATGGGGCCAGTTACGATTTCGCATGGTCATTCCGAAGATTCTTTCCAATTTATTTATTTAATCTTCATTTCATCGTCTTTCGTTCTTGAGTAGAGTAATCTTGATTTATGAGTGGATATGGTGCTATGTGTGCAGCCCCCAAATAGTGCTATATGTCCACCCATCATCAACATGTTTCCCTCTTTGAACATAAGCCCTTCTCCGCTCAGTACACCATCTCCTACCGCCGTTTACTTCCTGGCACCATCCTCCACGTAAAAATTATTTGCTGAATAGATGCCGCTCTATGCCGGGCACTGGTTATAAAGTGGAACTTCGTTGCAAAGGGCCGATGGAGGAGCCATGGGGTTACCGCAGAGAGTGTTGCAGGGCGTGTTCTCGGGGACGAAGACAAGGAACTCATAGTTCGGCATCGGCAGGCGGAATTGCTTGTTCACGTCGTTGTTGTTCAACGATGCCTTGTAGCCAGCACGGCAGGCACAGTGGAAGGAGGTTCCAGTGTTGATGCACGAGGTGGTAACATCACAACGGTTCTGGCCAGAGATTGGATTGCAAGTCCCACATGGGGGCTTGGGATTTGGAATGGCAGCCACCAGGGTAGTAGTGGCAACAAGCACAGTGAAGATGGAGAAATGCATATTGAAATGAGCGGGTGGTGGTTGTAATTGAGTGTAGATTTGAAACTAGCTCTCAAGGCCTGTGTTAATGGATTGGTCTGTGATGGCGTTATTTCCTGGGGATCTCACCATCTTATATGCTATTTCTCGTGTTGTATTTTGCTCCCTCGTAAGGATATCCTTTCCGCCATGTTCCCTGTGAGGCCCATCAGCATCACATCACGCGGTCATCCTCAGCTTGGGTCTCCTCGTAAAGAATATCCCAAACAGTATACAATGGTGCATATTCAATCCGAGTATCGATCGACGTGGAGGGGAAACCAAAGCAATAGGAACCGAGCTGTGAATACGAGATTTGGAAAATCGCTCGAGACACCACCAATCTATGGCCAAGGTAATGTCCATGGCTTGCAAGGAAATTGGTTCCGTAGCACACACTTACATTTTCTCACAGCCTTGCAATCGAATGGGCATTCTCCACCTCGGAAGGCTTGAAACAAAATGGATGTCTCAAACTATACTCTGCGCTAGCCGCATCCAACTCGAGATACCACACATCCCTCGAGTCTATGTTTAGATTTGCGAGAGGGAATACGGGGTCTGACCTGTGTTCATGGATATATCACACCGCTTGAAGCCTTCTTCTGACCCGGGCTTGCTCTGACCACTGGAGGTTATTGCCTGTGAGTGATTTCCTATTCAAGACGCAGAGCTCTACTTAGGTATAGCATAGCGAAAGGCAGATAGCAACAAACCATAGTAATACCTAGGTTGGATAAGGTGTTGGTTGCCTACACCTACTACCTAGGCATCAACCTTGGAAGTAGTCTTTTCCAAGGTTCTTACCTGGGTACTTCGTCTGTTGGCTCCCAACATCGGCTTCCAAGATTGTACTAGGTACTAGGTAATCGAAAGGAGCGGTCTAAACTACTTGTCCTATCCGCCAACGTTCCACCTGGGCTTCGATGGACCTGCTTATAGCCAAAATCCCAGCCTCATTGGCGACCGCAGCTTTTCATGGGTGTAACCTTGGAACAATATCATGGTCCCTATTACCTTCCGACCTGGACCAACACTGGAGGTTATATACAGATTTCTCTATAATTCCCAGGCCAGAAGTATTAGTCAAAATAGCAGGCTTGACCCTGCGTCGATTTCAATCATTGAATGGCAATTGAATCCAGGCCGTGAAAAACTGAATGGTGTTACTGGTATATACGTATCGTTCCATGCCCTGTGCTGCCATGGCATACCCTGTACAGAGTAAGCGCTACTGGGGTCACGTAATTGCACTGGCATCTGGCAACGACAACTGCAGGGCTCAAGACCGTAGACCCTTTCTGTGCTGCTCATGCATAGCTTTGGGGCATACAATGGTATTGCAATGTCATGCGATTATTGACAACATTTTCATGATGATAGGTGTTGTTCACGCTCTCCATGAAGCACGGGATTTGATCTCAATCCATGTTCCAATACATATGATAGCTAACACGGTCTTTGTGCAAGTCTGACATGCTAGCCTAGAGGCGTGTCTTAGGCTCATCTGGTTCTCCGATAAGTCGCAAAAAAGCGCCGTGTACTTCATCAGTCAAATCGCTCGCTTGCATGCTCCGTCCCTTAGCCTCAAACGCCCGTCTGGAGCATTCTCGGGTAATTCCACTTCCTGCCCAAGCAGCCAGTAGCAAGGTTGTTGCTGGGGACATGCGTTTGTTCTCGGAAGTAATTTCAGCCTCAACCTCTTGCTGACTTTGTGCCTCTTTCTCGTTATCCTCCTCGTCTGAATCCCACAATTTTTGGTGATAAGCCGCTCGCCACGCAAGGAAGGTGCCCAGCGATCCCGTCAGGGTATCTCCCTGACCACCACTGCGCTTCAAGCCCCCTTTGACGTCAGAAATGATACTAGTAATACCATTAGAGATCACATCATGAGGACCCTTTTGGACTATCGTCACGCCACCCAGGGCCTGAGAAAGCTGCGCGCAGGCTGCTGATTCCTTGTCGGTGGTATTTTTGTCCTCGCCTTGTGCGATTTCGGCAGGGCTAGATACTTTGACACCCAGTGCTTTTGCGAGTCGGCCGAATTCGACCACGTTAGGGGTGAGGATACAATTCTTATATCCTTTGACCAGATCCGGGTCTTCCGTCACTATAAGGAGTCCATCTGCGTCCAGCACAAATGGAATGGACTGCGAGCGCGCCTCTTTGATCACTTCTGTAACAACTTGGAGGGTAACACTGTCGCGGCCAAGACCCGGCCCAATGACAAGTGCGTGGAGACGGGATAGCATCCCAATGATCGGCTTCGCTAGTGATGGCGCATCAAATGAATTGGAATCATGAACAGTCTCGCTGCTTGGCAGCAATGGATGCACCATGAGATTGGGGGAGTAGCCCTTTATGACCTGTTCACGTGCTATAGTTAGCCTGGGATCATCCAGGTCGAGAGTGAATTTACCGGTGCTGCGGTTCGCTCACAGACAACGTGGCTCTGATCATGGTCAGTCTTCTCTGGTAGAGCCCAACTTATCATCAACATACCATGTCACATCCTGAGAATTGAGAATTAACGTTGTGTTTTCACTGCATTTGGAGCGGATGCACATACCGAGTCTCGCAGAAGCCATGGCAGAAAAGTATGGCGCGCCGGTATAGCTTGGGGGAGTTAGCTGGGCAGAATATAATTCTAGAAAGACCCCTACTCAGCACATCCACCGATCACGGCCACCCGACCAAGCTGGCCTGCTCAGGTAGTTAGCTCAGTCACCCAACGTGAGAGCCATGGAGGGTGATCACCCGAACAGCTCGCGGATCAACGAACCTTTGTGGAACTTTTCAAGCATTGGAGGTACGATTTTGCGCACTTTGCTAAACAGCATTTTTGACGATGCCGATACATGGTGGACAGACTCCATATTGAAAATGTGAAGCTGAGGGTTAAGGATGAGGAGGGGAGAAACACCCAAGAACTACATAAGGTCAAGTGATGTCACCGCCAAGTGGGGTGTCTCGAACTTGATATTTCGATGATTTCACCCTGGGGCAATAATTTCAATTCAATGACTTAGGAACAGCAGTTGATGATCGAGTACGGAAAAGCAAGTTGGTATTGGAATGACGCCCGCTATGGTTCTTCAAAACAAAATCAAGGGCACACCGTCTATGGACACCCCAAACGCTCATGATGCGGAGTTTGGAAGGATATAAAAAAGCAAAAGCCCAACCGAGATGAAAGGAAACTAAGAGATAAATGAACGTATCGAGGAAGCAATATGCAAAGAGGACCGAGCCCGCAGGATCAACGCTTTCGAGAAGCCAGAGCAGCCAGTTTACGCTGGCGCTCGAGCTTCTCTTTCTTAGCAGCCATCTCTTGCCGCAGCTCTTCTTCGTCCTCTCGTTTCGCGAATTTCAGCGCAGCCGCTTCTTCGCGGTCCACATCATCAATGCCAGCTTCCATGTCGGAGGAGGCATCTGAGTAATAATCGTCGTAGCCACCGTAGCCACCGTAATCACCCTCGTCTTCCTCATCGGTGCCGAGGTATTCGTTTTGTCGGGAGTTACGAGACTGGTGTCGACGGTCATGAGCACTGCGGTTCGAGGGCAGACCCGCGGTGCCGCGATACGCAGGCGGCTCAGGGGTTTGCGTTGGTTTGGCGGTACCCTTGTACGATGGTCCGTCTGTGTCGCGTTTTCGAGCCGGCTTGTCTTTGGCGGAGACCCCAGTAGACACTTTCTTGCCTGAGCGTGCCTCTTTTTCTTTGGCCAGTTCCTCCTCCTGTCGTCTTTTGCGCTCAACTTTGCTAAGACGCTCTTTAGGTCCTGCCTGGTGTTTAAGCATACCTGCCTGGATCGGCGCTTTGTCCTGGGCGGCCTTGGCCTGCGCCATGATGGCTGCAAACGATCCTTTGGGCGGTGGTTTCGACGACACGGGGGCAGCTGCTGGAGCAGGCTTCGCGGCAACTTTGGAAGGAACGGCTTTTGTCGCACTAGTCAAGTTGCTCTTGAGTGCAGGCTTAGTCGAAGCTACCTTCGACGGCACCGCCCGAGGGTTGGCATTGGAGACGGGCTTGGGCACAGCTCTAAGCGCAGGTGAAGGTGCAGCTGGCTTCCCGGGGACTGCGGGCTTCGCGACTGCAGGTCGAGCTGGAATTTTGGCTTCGATTTTGGATGGGCGGGGTAAAGGGTCCTCCGCCTTCCTCTTTGTTCCTACAGCATGTCCGCTGGCTGGGGGCGCTTGGCGTACAGCTGGCGACTTTCGCTCCTCCTTCTTGGGTGCCGCAGTAGGGACAGGCGAGGCGGGTGCTTGGGAAAGTGGGGTTTGAGAGGGGTTTCCCGTCTGGATAGACGAGAGAATAGAGTCAAGGAACTGTGCCTAACGTTAGTTTCAAAACCAAACTGAAAGATCCGAAAGATAACCATACACTCATATTGATGTGAGAGAAATGACCCGATGGATATGATTCCGAGGAGTGGTACAGAGAAGAAGTCACGCTCACCGTCGATATTTGGTACGACTAAGTAACTTCATGACTTCGAGCCTGATACCGAGAGTATGTCTCTGGCCTAGCTCGTGCTGGAGTTCCCGTTATCGTCGAGATAACAGGGCCGGAGAGAGCGCACTCTCGCCTTTACCCAGAACTTCGTAGGTTGGAAAGATGCCGTTGACGGGAGAAAGCAGGTAGACGTGGTCAGAGGTAACCAGATAGGCCAGCATGCATTTATCAGAGCTGGACCCAGTATGGCAAAAGCTACCACGTGACTATCTCATGCGCCACACCAACTCGCTTAGAGGGTCCCGCCGGCACTAGCCACACCCACATCTTTTTTCACCTTTTTCTTAGATTTTGGCGCTTCGGTTAATCCTTCGTCAACCAACCCTCTTCCACCAGAACTCGACGTTGCAGTCTCCGCCCAACTTGCGGTTAAATCGATTGTTTCTCTTGTTCAGATTTTAATCACCAACGGTATGTCCCTCTTTTGTGTGCCTTCAAGTCGACACTCGCGCTCTTGAGAGCGCGGTCGCATTCGATCTTGAAATTCGTGAACGATAGCTGACAAAATTTTCGATCAGTCAATTCACAATGAAGTACCTCGCTGCCTACCTCCTCCTCGCCCTTGCCGGCAACGAGGCTCCCTCCTCCGCCGACATCAAGGCCGTCCTCTCCTCCGTCGGCATTGACGCCGAGGGTGACCGTCTCGAGAAGGTCATCTCCGAGCTCCAGGGCAAGGACCTCCAGGAGGTTAGTGACACCAACCATATTATCACCACTTGAACAAATGCTAATCTTTCAACACAGCTGATCGCTGAGGGTTCCACCAAGCTCGCCTCCGTTCCCTCCGGTGGTTCCGCCGCCGCCGCCGCCCCCGCCGCTGCTGGTGGTGCTGCCGCCCCCGCTGAGGAGAAGAAGGAGGAGAAGGAGGAAGAGGAGTCCGATGAGGACATGGGCTTCGGTCTCTTCGACTAAGCGCCTTCCTCTTCAAGGTCTCAAAAATTACGGTTCTGGGGAACAGATGTTTGGTTGGGTCGTCAATCCTGCAAAGTTTTGTGCCGGTTTGCTTCCGAAATGTTTACGGTTGAGACTGTTTTAGTACAGTTGCGACTCTTTATGTGAGCTGAAATAAGCTTCTAACCAATGCATTCCATCTGGGTTCCACTATTTATCTTCAAATGCGTACAATGTAGCTCACGTAGTACCCTTCGGTCATGTCTGGGGTTCATGACCGCCAGAGCACTCCCGAGGTCGTGTAGGCAAGTTCACATCAGCTTTTGGTATGCCCTGCTACTTCAATGTTAGCCTGGTAGGGCTGGTTTGCGACGGTAATCACCTTGACAAACCGCTATTTTCCATCAAGTCAAAGACGGGGCAGATTTGTTGTCGCTATAAAGTGTCGTGTGGAACATGATATGAGATTCCCCTCCTCTCTGATGCTGCCATTGCTGAGTGTTGACAAGATACAGAAATGCGTCAGTTATTCTCAGCTGCTACTTGCCATGTTTCTTCGGGAGTGATGCTTTGAACCACGACTTTAGCTTGAGGTGGTTTGATGATGCCACATACCATTGCTCCCCAAGCATCGAAATCTCGCTCCCAATTTCTTCTATACTATTGCGAAAGCAGCTATGGGCGCCTCATGTATTCACATCATCGAGGGAGATGGTGATCAAATTCAAGTTTCACATGCAGTTCGAGGAAGGTAACTCATTTGGGAATAGAGCAGGAAATCATGCCCATATAATTCAAGCTTCGGCTTCTCACTATAGTTCTTACACCGGTAGCATCTGGTTAAAAGGAGACTCTGTACACTCTAGGTATGGATATGCGCCGTTCATAGAATAGCATTTTGTCAACGGCTACCCGTGGACCCGTATATCGATTGTCTGCCTGAGGCAATAACTTTCAGTGGGTGAAGCCCAGGCCGTGGATCCACGCGCTCGGGCCGGGCGATATTGAAAGATGACTAAGGACCACATCCCTCCAGGGCTCTGCACGTGATTTGATACCGGTCACGTGGACCAGTTCAGGGCTGTTGGAGTCACGTGGAGGGTTTCGCTTAGTGTCCACTGTGTGGGCGGCCCCAAACTCAGCGTGCCAGCAGCCGACCGCTTGACGACACGACAATTTCCGACAACCCATCTTCCTTCGCTTTTCGTACGTTCGAGAAGCGAGCTAACAGGAACATCTGCAAAAATGGCTGACCACGAATACGTGAGTCTTTTTTTCTCCCTTCCTACCGCGAGGGTTCGCGACATGCTAACCTGACTTTTCATCTAGAACGCCGAGGAGGCTGCCGGTACGTTATGAACCACACCAACACCCATCGCCCATTACCAGAAGGATACATCCAAGGAAGAGGAGGAATCTTCGTTAATCGACTGCTTGATCAATATTGAGCTGGCGGGGCAAATCTTAGGATGGATGGGATACGACATCGAGATCGCAAACGCTGACTGAGTGTTCGCCTACCAGAGATCAAGAAGAGAAGAACATTCCGCAAGTTCTCTTACCGCGGCATTGACCTCGACCAGTACGTTACCACCAATCACCAACCCTTTCGGAATCCATTCGCAGCCGGCACCTTGTGAGACATGATTCGGATCTACTTGCACTTCCACAAACGTGGTATTCGCCAAATACTTTCTGGATTCGTGTCTGCTCGGTACTGCGCTGCGATAGGAGAATCCGCATTTTGTTCAGTTGTGCGAAGGATATGGTCTGACAACAAACTTAACAGGCTCCTCGACCTCTCCTCCGAGCAGCTCCGTGATGTTGTCCACGCCCGTGCCCGCAGACGTTTCAACCGCGGTCTGAAGCGCAAGCCCATGGGTCTCATCAAGAAGCTCCGCAAGGCCAAGCAGGAGGCCAAGCCCAACGAGAAGCCCGACCTTGTCAAGACTCACCTCCGTGACATGATCGTCGTCCCCGAGATGATCGGCTCCGTCGTCGGCATCTACTCCGGTAAGGAGTTCAACCAGGTTGAGATCAAGCCCGAGATGGTTGGCCACTACCTGGCTGAGTTCTCTATCTCCTAGTACGTGCTCCCTTTGTGTCTCCCACTTTGTCTACTTCTAACAACCTTCCAGCAAGCCCGTCAAGCACGGTCGTCCCGGTATCGGTGCCACCCACTCTTCCCGTTTCATTCCCCTCAAGTAAACGATTTCAAACGATTCCCCTTGGAGTGGCGTGTGGAGGAAATGGTGCTGGGAAAGCAAAAAATGGAATTCAGCGATATTCGCAACTGGGCTCTTTTTTTCAGCATGTATTTCCAGTTCGGGTCAGCTGTGTCCTGCTCAATTTAAGATCTTGTCGGCATGAAATCACTTAGGGATCTGGATTCTGCTCGTCGCTATCGGCGAGGTAAAAAAAGATGCCCTTGCCCAGTCTCGCTTTGATGCTGGGCGAGGCGCTTAAATCTAACGACACAAACATTTCAACTTATCGATGTGCACACCTTGTACGGAGTAGACTGTACCTAGGTAGAACCTTCCAAGATTCCCACCTGGGCAGGATTAAGCCACTTCCAAGTTGGATAAAACACCCTTGGGACCAATCGCGCATACTAGGTAAATCCATGATAGGGGGACATCCATGGATTTTGCCATGTCCAACTTGGAACCTTGGAACCTATGGATAGGTATGAATGGCTACAAACGTCCTCCAGGAACAAATGTGCTGCATGCTCGGACGGAGTACAGGAGTACAGCCCAAGACCGTTGCATATACGTACACCATACCCCACAGTCAACTTTGATCTGCGCCCGTACTCCGAATGTGATCATTGCCCAGTCGAGATTCTGTCTAGTCTCAACTCGGGAGGATTTCTGTGTATATATCAAAATTTGAATTGTAGTACAAGATCTATCTAATATTGACCGTGCAATTACTGCCTTGGGGTTGCCCAGGTGGGTAAACTTGGAACATAGGAAGCACCTAGGTGCGGTTTTGCCCAAGTGCCGCACGTTATATATTGTCGGAAGTGACACATCAGTTTCTGGGGGAGCACCTGGGTGAACTGGGGCAGCCCAGCTCCAAAATCAGCACCTGGGCGTGTACTCCGTACCCCTTCGAAGAGCTTCAAGGTTGCGACAGGGGTTTGATTATCATCCATTTGCCAGTAGAACATTGATTTGTTAGGTCAGAGGCCGGCCCTCGAATGGATTACATCATCGCCGAGCTGGCCAAAAATCGCCGAGATGGCCGAATCTGTCAAGTTTGTTGGAAGGTCAAGACAATCCATATATTAAGTAGTCGAGGTGCAATGGGAGATGGTTATTCCAATCAAACTACGGAGAACGGAGTACAGCCAGTAGCTATGATGCAAGGGCCTGAGACTAGAATAGACACTGGTATATGCCCTAACAATGAAAGCGATAAAGTGCGGAGAAAACGGAGTACGGAGTGATCGGGTATTGGCGTTCTGACCGGTCCAATCGACCGAGGCAAGCCGCAATGGGATGCGGAGTTAGAGGAGCTTAAGTATCCAGCATGTCCCTCTTTCCTTTCGGTTCATACTCTGTGCCTCACATTCCCCGGATCCACCTGTCTTCCCCGCAATCATGCCCGTTTCTTCCAATTATGCCCCTATCGACATCCCAGCAGTAGACTTATGGACCTTCTTATTCGAACGCAAGGACAGGGCGTTCCCAGATGACAAGAGTATGTGATATCTACTACCATTCCCAGACCATCTCCAGGGCTCCCTCCATTCTGACACAGCCGCAGTCCTCTTTCAAGATGCCGAAACCCAGCGTCACTACACTTACCAATCTCTCCGCGAGGCTTCACTAGACTTTGGCAAAGGCCTGCGCGCGCTATGGGACTGGAAGAAAGGCGATGTGCTCGCCCTGTTTACGCCGAATAGTATCGACACTCCCGTGGTGATGTGGGGGACGCTGTGGGCGGGAGGTGTGCTCTCACCGGCGAACCCGGCGTATACAGCGGATGAACTGGCCTTCCAGCTGAAGAACTCAGGCGCAAAGGGTCTGGCAACACAGGTCTCAGCGTTGTCGGTTGCAAAACAGGCGGCGAAGAAGGTTGGCATGTCTGAAGATCGCATCATTTTGATTGGCGACATGCGGGATTCCGATGCACGGATCAAACATTTCACCTCCGTGCGCAACATATCCGGGGCGACCCGCTATCGGAAGCAGAAGGTGACGCCTGAGAAAGATGTCGCCTTTTTGGTTTACTCGTCGGGCACGACTGGCGTGCCGAAGGGGGTTATGCTGTCGCATCGGAATATCGTTGCCAATATCTTGCAGCAGGATGTTAGCGACGGTGGTAACTTAAGCTGGGAAGGGGGCCATGACGGCAAAGGAGATCGACTTCTGGCGTTTTTGCCATTCTATCACATCTACGGTATGATCCCATAGGATGCACTATGGTTGGTACGGCGCTGACGAGAATACTTTTAGGATTGACATGCTTGATTGGCCAAGCCACATACCAGGGATACCATCTTATCGTGATGTCCAAGTTTGACATTGAAAAATGGTGCGCTCATGTACAAAACTACCGTTGCACCTTCAGTTACATTGCTCCCCCGGTGGTCTTGCTACTAGGCAAGCACCCAGTGGTAGACAAGTATGACCTCTCAAGCATGCGAATGATGAATTCTGGTGCTGCGCCCCTCACGCAGGAACTTGTGGAAGCAGTCTACTCGCGGATCAAGGTTGGAATCAAACAAGGGTACGGTCTCAGCGAGACCAGCCCGACTACCCACTCGCAGAAATGGGAGGACTGGCGAGAGGCAATTGGCTCAGTTGGTCGCTTGATGCCCAACATGCAAGCCAAGTACATGAGCATGCCGGAAGACGGCTCAGAACCGAAGGAGGTTGCCGTGGGCGAGGTCGGTGAATTGTACATGAGCGGCCCCAACGTGTTCCTTGGCTACCATCAGAACCCCGAGGCGACCAAGAGCTGTCTTTCCGAGGATGGTTGGTTCCAAACTGGCGACGTGGGCTTCCAGGACGCTAAGGGCAATTTCTTCATCACCGACCGTGTCAAAGAGCTCATCAAATACAAGGGCTTCCAAGTTCCCCCTGCCGAGTTGGAGGGAATTTTGGTTGACAATGCGGCTATCGACGATGTGGCAGTCATTGGTATTGAGAGTGAGGCGCACGGCTCAGAAGTTCCTTTGGCCTGTGTTGTTCGCAGCGCGAAGAGCAAATCCTCAGGCGCAAGCGAAAAAGACGAAGCCGAAACCATTGTCAAGTGGCTAGATAGCAAGGTTGCCCATCACAAGCGTTTGCGCGGGGGTGTGCAGTTTGTGGATGAGATTCCTAAGAACCCCAGCGGGAAGATCTTGCGTCGTGTACTCAAGCAGAAGTTCAAGGATATAGCCAAGGCACCAAAGGCCAAGCTATAGATGATTGCCTTCGTGGGATATTGCTCATGTGGATATAGAATCATAATATAGATTGTGATCGTTTGTTCATAGACACATTTGTTCAAGACCCCGAAAAAGTAGTCGAAAGGGATCGATTTGATCGAGAACCTTTCTCAACATACAAAAGCTCAGATTTTCGAGCCGAAGATATCAAGGAAAGAATCTCTTGATCATCCCCTCAACATCCTCTCCCTCCACAGCATCGACCTTCTCCCGGGCAACCCGCTCAACAGCCTCTTCAACCACCTCGTCTCCATTCACAAGATCAATCCATCCCTCCGTATCAGCCCGTGCAAGCAACTGATCCGCAACAATGGCAACATCTTCTCTAGTGACACTTCCACGTCCCTTTGGCGTGATTCCTAAATCAACCTTCCGCGTCGCAGGGTCATCTTTCAAAATTCCCGGCCGCAGATTAATAGCCTGGAATGGGCGTTTCGCTGCTTCGGGGTCACGCTTCCGCTGCGCCGCCAGTGCGGTCATATATTCATCTGCTTCCTGTTTGGCCTTGGCATATGTAGGCAGCACTTCGGTGTTGGTTTTGACTATGCCTGCCCACTCACTATCTGGCATCCAGGTAGGCTGCTTCTTGCGACTGCCAAGGTAGGAGACCATGAGGAATTTACTGATGCCAGGGGACGCGAAAGAGGCTGTCATGAAGTGCTTGGCGGCTTCTTGATCAATGGCAATGGTGCTTGATGGTCCACCTTTGCCGCCGGCGCCTGTCGAGACATATTAGCTTCACGTATCTCCATAACGGTGGGCTGTTTATGGGTGAGGTGGGGTATGATCCATACCGGCCGACCAGACCACATAGTCGGGAGAAACGGTATCAATGATCCGCTTGGCGTCTGAGGCGCTTTTCACGTCCTCCAAACTCGAGATGAGGACCTTGAGGTTGCCCTTGAGTCCCTGACCCAGAGCCAGAATCTCGCGTTCATGGTCGGGGTTGCGAACTACGCTGGTCACGTTCCAGGCGCGTTTTAGCAGAAGTGGGGTGAGGTGAAGGGCGACTTTGCCATGGCCTCCGAGTAGAAGAACTTGCATTTTGGTGATTGTATGTGAGGAACAATATGCAAGTCGCGAGGGGCACTGGCATTTATACTGATATGCGGGGAGATCATTGCGTCACCGCTGATTTCTAAGGGACCCTCTTAAGTCTCCGAGACTTTTCAGTCACTTCTATTTGTTTTTTTGCGCCCCAATTCTTAACATAAGAATACTAATGTGCTATCGTCAAATTGTGATGATCACAAAATATATTATTGGAGACTGACCCTGAACCGGGGGAAAAGTCTATATATTGCTAATATTACAATGTCGAACACATTCTAGCCTGCAGCAAACTTGACAATCTGCAAGCCACGGTCTCGGACAAAATCAGTCAACATTTAGCAAGAGGCACCGGAGGGCACGTTCTTGCACTTGCTGCTGGTCTTACCGCCGGAGACCTTGTTGCCAGACCAGGTCCAGTCGGAGCAAGAGCCGGAACCGCAAAGGATGTAGACATCGGTACCGCTGGACTTGACGCTACCAGTGACCTTCTCGACAGTGAGGCCAGTGATGGGGACACCGGTGGTGGGCTTGCCGGTGGGGCTGCCGTTCTCGTAGTCCTGCTCGATGACGATACCGTACTTGGCGATGTTGGAGAGCTCGATGTTGGAGAAGGTGACGTCGGCGACCTCACCCTTGGCCTTGTAGATGGTCTTGATGCGGATACCGTTGTCGGAGTTGGAGACGGTGGAGTCGGAGATGGTCACGTTCTTGACGGTGTTGTCGTCACGTCCACCGACGGAGCCGATGGAGAGACCGTGGCCACCGGAGCAGGTACCACCAGTGAAGATGATGTTCTAATGTATGTCAGAATGATTCACAAGGGGGCGTATGGAAAAGAATTTACCTCGCCAGAGTTGATGGCCAGGCAGTCATCCTGGTTCTTGATGTTGGCGTTGCTGATGGTGATGTAGGTGGACTCGCCGACATCGAAGGCATCGGTGTTGTGGCCACCATTGGTCTTGTCACCGTCGGTGTTGTCGATGGTGATGTGGTCGAGGACCAGGTTGTCGGCCTGAACACTGAAGCCCTGGACGGGGGTGTTCTTGACGTTGAGACCGGTGATGGTCGAGTCGTCCAGAGAGTGGGCGTAGAAGAACTTAGGCTTGGTCTTGCCGCCGTTGGTTCCCTTGCCGTCCCACCAGCTGGCACCGCCACCGTTGATGACATGGCCGGAAGCACCGTTCACTTCGATGTTCTTACCGGAGAAGCGGATGAGGGGACCCTTCCACTCCTTGTAACCGAAGGTGGTCTCACCCTTGAAGGTGACCTTGGTGCCGCTCTTGAGGTTGGACAGATCAAGAGTCTCACCAGCGGGGACCTTGATGTTGTCAAGGACGATGCTGGAGCAGGACTTCTTGCCGGCCTTAGCAGCAGAAGCGGAGGTGAAGGTGCAGGAAGAACCGCGCTCAACGAGCTCAGCAGGAGCAGCGGCAGCCGCAGGGGCGGCGGAGACGGCAGCAGCGCCGAGGGCGAGCATAGACAGAATGGAGGTACGCATTTTGAAGTAGATGTCCGATCAACAGACAAGTAAAAGAGTGTAGAATTCGGGGCTAGCCCAAGTATGAAATGATAGGAAAGTAAAGAGGGAATGGAATGGTTGGAATAAGCTATGCCACGGTCTTGGAACCCGGTATTTAAATGCTTAGGTCTGCTCCCTATCACCTCGTCCCCTGCGCTAGCACCATGATGAAACGGGGAGCTGTCTGCCACCATGCCGACCCCTGGTCCTCGCTGGGTCGATTGGTGGATGAACCAGGGTGATGGTCTGCAGGGACCTTCTAGATGCCTCAATTAATTAATCCTTCGAGACCCTGTGTCTGTAATTGGCAATCCTCCGAAACATCACTATCCTGCCCCACCGCCGAAAGGCCGGAGTATTGTCGGCTAAAACACCTCCGGCACGCCGGGCCCTTTTCATTTCAGCCCAGTAGGATGAGTAGGAACCATCGATGATCCAATGAGGGATCGCAATTGAGCCCGTTCGACGCTAAGACGGGCACCGTTGGAGACCGAGTGGGCCCCGTTCGAGGCTTGTGTTTCATGATGTTCGATTTAGGGCTCGGGTCAATATCAGAGTCTGCAGCCCACTCTCTCCACTTTATAGGATAGATTAATTGCAGGCCTAGGAGTACGGCCGGGATTGCTTGTATTCACTGGAGCCTGGCGTACTCTCACTCGAAGTACATTGTGCTATACATGCTATACAGAGTTCAGCCAAGCAATATCTGGCAAAGATAGGGGATGGATGTACTATACTTGGACGGGTGGATGCCAAAATGTCCAAGGTGTACTTCGTATTTAGTCCTCTGGCTATGATGGAAAGTACGACATCAGATGATCTACAGCAGATATTAAGGGGTCCGTTGCATAGCTTGCGAGGCAGCAATATGAAGAGATGAATAGAGACAGGAGTCATCTCGCGGATGTACCGGCTTATGCCATCGGGCTTATCTCCGCGGATTCATGCTAATGGCCGTGGACCCTCCGTAGTTTCATAATCCTTTGGTCCTAACTAAGATCGTCTGATATGGTACTTTGAATCGAAGCTGTGGCCTTGAGCTGGTCCAGGCATTTGTCACGGAGAGACGGGTACATGTTCCGGTGATGCCTGTACTCCGTAGGGCCAGAAATGCACAAGATCAAACATAAGAAATCAAACAAATGCAAAAAAACCAGAAAGGGCTCTGCCAAACCAACAGTACCTGGCCATTGTACTCCGTACTTCGTACTGCTTGTCATGTGTTGATCAGAATTGCCGAGGTCGGGAATGAAGCGGAGAACACCCCTTCTCCCCAGACTTCGATGCTTCACGCTGGCATCAACACCCAACATGCCCGACAACTCGGTGGATCCGACCCTCCCACCACCTGCAGTACGCGATATTCTTCGCGTGGGTCTCAGCGCTAAAGAGTACCGGATCCTTCACGAGACCCTCCTGAAACGCGCCCCGGCTGTCCAAGCCAAACTCCCATCCCCATCGCGATTCGATGCCATCGTCCGACCCAAGAACCGACATAGCGAGGCCGCTATCCGCGCATCGCTGCGCGTCTTTGTCGGCTCGGGGATTGCCTTGAAGTTGGCCGATCTCCTGATTTCTCGATTCCAAGGCGCCACAGAGTACGTTCGCTACGGACCCTTTCAACAACGCATACTAACGTTCGCCTCAACCACAGAAAGAAGACCCGCACTCCACTCCTCCGCTCTCCCAAGTTCCGCCTCTCAATCTCCCTATCTCTCCTCCTTTTCATCCACCGCCTCCTGTATCGCTTCCTGGTCCGATTGCGAGCCAACCTTCGCACCGATGATGCGCAGCCTTTCAGAGAGCGCAACCCGCGCATTTCACGTGCATTGACCTCGCGCTATGCTCCGGCCATTGGCGCCAGTTTGGCGGGTTTTGCTCTGGGTATCGCGCCCCAAGATCAGCTGCGACTGACTGCAGCGGTCTACACGGGAATGCGAAGTTTGGAATTCTCGTTCAATTTCATTGATTCCAAGGGTTGGTTGGGTAAACGCCCAGAGTGGTTTGGCAGCTGGATGTTGATGCCCGTTGCGTTTGCGCAACTTTTCCACGCCTTTGTGTTCGACCGGGAAACGACACCCACGGTTTGTATCCTCGCTCAGTCTAGTGCCGCCATTCGCTAATGGGGACTCTTCAGTGGTTTGGAAATGTCATTCTCAGACTCTCACCCAGCTATATTCAAAGCCGACCGGAGGCGCTTCCGGACCACGTTGCATGGCCCGAGAAACAGGAGATAGTGGACTCTCTGGCATCCATTGCTAGTCTACGCTGGCCGTGAGTTCATCAATATCCGATTGAAGGTATACCATTACTCACTTTGTTCTACAGAGCCTTCGTTTCTCCCATCCTACACCCTAACGACCCTACCACTTTGCCATCTTCCGTGTCGTCCATTTCGCCAATCACCGGCCCAGCACACCCCGCAATAACGAGCTTATCATGCGCTCTTTTGCACCCCAACCTGCCAAATTGCAGTACGGCATTCCTACACCATATTCTTCTTTCTGTGCCGATACTCGCGCGGTTCGTTACCTCCGTCACTCTGGCCCTGTCAATCCCGAAACTCAAGAGCCTCATGCTTGAGCCCATGTCATCGATCAATGATATGTCCAAGCGCATAATTAAGATGACAGCGGTACTGTCCGTTGCCATCGGGTCCGCCTGGGGTAGTGTTTGTCTTTTGAACAAGAATCTACCGCGCTCCACGCTGCCCACCAAGCGTTTCTTTATCAGCGGAGCACTGGGCGGCCTGCCATTCATGTTCCTGGGAAATAGTCGTACCACATTCCTCTACTTTTTCCGGTCCGCTATTGTTTCCGCATACAAGACCGGAATCAAGCGTGGCCTTTGGAAGGGAGGGAAGGGCGGTGAACTACTCCTATTTGTCCTCTCCTGGGCGTTGATGGGCTCGATCCTCGAGGCTAACCCTCACGCTGTGCAAGGCGGCGGTCTGCGTAAGGGGCTGGCCTGGCTGAGAGGTGATGGATTCGCTGACCCGGTGGAGGTGAAGCGCAAACCGCGACGGGAAAAGAAGCCCGGTAATGAATAAGTGTTAAATTATATCCCCGTGGGTACTCTACTTAGATGTCCCATGTCTGCGAGCTTGATTCCCGGAGACTGGCCTCCGCATTTCATTTGTATCCCTGCCCGACGAGTACGCTCTAGTTGGGGCCTAGCAATTGCATTTTTTTTTGGGTCTCTCTCTCTTGAGGTCCTATACGTATGCTACACCTTCGGTGGCAGCTGTCAGATCGAGACGACTTCATCGTACTTCCAACACACTTCGTCGGGGTCGTGGAATCGTCATGATAGAATCTTGATTTTCACCCAAATTGGCGAAGTTTCACAAGACCCTGAGCTACCTAGGCATTCCAAGGTTATTGGGCTTCGGAACATCCCAAAAAGCTCGGGTACTACTCCGTACGAAATATGAATTAAGCTGATTCTGAAGCGAGCTTCCACCGAAAGGCAGTTCCGCCAGGCAATGACATGCTGCGGTATCACATGAAAATGCTTCAGCTGGTCAGTCTGTATAGGAAGGAGATGCCATTGCTGAGCTTTTGTCTGGTGGAGCATCACCGGGCACTCACACCTGTGGACAGGTAGCCTAACCTCAGGAGCTCAACGCCTGCCCAGGTGGATACCTTCTTCTCACTCCGTACTCCATACATATGCCGCTGTTTCTGCAGATGAGTTATTCATGACCATCGTCAGCTTCAAGAAGTGACATCAGACTGAAGATCCTGAGTATGCATATGTAGTTGCATGTGCATTGCATCCAATTATTGATTTTTCCAAGCTAAAAAGCAGACTAGGATGCATAGGTAGTACAGCTATACACCGATAAAGTAGAGATTGGCATGTATGGCTATCAAATTCAACATCTCATTGGCCTTTGCCCAATCCGAGATCCACCTGCATGTTCTCAGCCAGCCTTCTGTGCTGTACGGAGTACGGGGTACCTGCGATGTGAACGGCATCCATGGAACTCTTGGTGGCCAGGCTCAGCTCTGACTAGCGGTGAAAATATTCTTGAGGGATGATCAACTCAATGACCTCTGCCCCTTGCAAGATTTAGAGGTATAAACAAGGTGACCTCCCATCCACCAGACTGCTTGTCTCCATCAGCTCAGCATCTCCATCTCAGTCAATATGAAGTTCTCAATCCCCGCTCTCGCTCTATTGGCCTCAATCACTCCGGCCTTGGCTGATTATGCACCAGGCGAGGTATGTGAAGACCAAATTTGCGTGACGACAGAACTAACAATTTCATCCAGGTCTATATCAAGAGCGAACTCAGATCTGACCGCTATGTCCCCAAGCTCCACCAGTGTGAGAACACTTTAGCTCCGTATGTATTGACTCTAATGATGTGGTGTATTGTGCTCATTGCTATCATAGCGAGATCAAGGTTACTGAAATCGAGGTTTACACAATTGGACCCAAGGGTGTCGCGTGCGAGTTCTTCAAGTATGATGCCAATTTACTATTGATCAACAGTTATCTAACAAAACTAGGGACGCGGACTGCCAGGGTGACAAGTGGACTATCAAGGCCCCTGTAGGCTCCCCAGGGAAGCAACAGAAATTCAGCAAGCCTTTCTACGCGGCCAGCTTGAGCTGCTCCGACGACAAATAAAAGGAATAGTGTGATTAGTTACCATTAAAACTATGAAGTACATAGAAATGAGTGATGTTCAAGTTAAAACTCGAGACAAGTTTGCAGTTGTGTTCCCACACTAGTCTTGCGTTGACCCTTCATCAACATGCGGCTCAGGTGTGCATTGAACAATAACCGAAATATCAAAATGAGCGGTGCCTTCTGCAGACTCGGACTCCGCCGAAAATATTTTGTAAAGAAGGGCCCTCTTGACAGCTTGGTAAACAAGAAGACTTCCATCGATGGTCTCTTGACCACTCTATCTAACAACCCAGTAGCGTAGAATCCAGTCTGTCAGACGGCTTCAAGATTTTTGATACATGCACGAAGCTCGCCAGATCCTTTCAGAGCATCCGTGGGTAAATTTGAGCATAGGGATCCTACAGCTATCGTGTCGTCTGATTTTCGTTCATTGCAGCCGAAGGAAGCGATAGGCCAAGAAGTTTCAACGTTCGAACCTTCATTTTACCAGCCCACATGGAAGTTGGAGAAGGTGGGAGCTTATCCGCGTATTTTACTGAAGATCCAGCAAGTCAAATTCGAACATTTTTTGAAGACTGGTCAGCTTACATGAATCTCTCTATTTACCTCCAGGGCTAGGTACCCGTGGACTGGCCCCGTCAATTTCATTAGGAACGGTAACCTCGCATCCCTGGGTGTATCGCAGGAGGCGCCGGACTTGTACCATGGTTGAATGCCACATAGCTCGGACCTTGTAAGTCATTCCAGACGTTATCAAGACAGAGATGTGAAATAAGTATGTCATAAGAGGAGCCCTGAAGGGCATTGTATCCTGAGTCCGGAAATTACGTTGCACGTTTCATCCCAGGGCCAATTTTTACTTTGGGCTCAAATATCGGTGGAATGGAATGGGGATTTCGATTTTTGAAACTTCCAACTGCACCATCCCACAGAGAGGGAGAGGGAGAGAGAAAGAAAAAAAGAAGAAGAAAAAAACATCATTCACAGGGCCAGTTTGCGAGCCAGCAAGACAATCTCAGCTGGGTCTATCAAATGGGCTCAGCCACAATCTCTGAGAATCGCTCTTTCCCCGCAGAACGTGAGCATCCCTATATGTACAAGCGCCACATTCCTCGGATACTTGGGATCCTATTATGCCTGGCTTTCTTTGCTTTCTTCTATCTGAAACTCGTCAGTATACGGAGCAGCGACTATGAACGTGATTCTCACGCTTGAATGACGGCGTGGATGCAAAAAGGGGTGTTTTGAAGCAGGCCAACATCCCTCAGCCCCCCCCAACCCCGGTCAATGACAGCATAGGGTGTCTAAAGTGTAGAAACCAGACAAATTCTACAGTTTACGAGTCAGCGAGGCGCGGACAGCGCAGAAAAAGGAGAGCAAAAAGGACACAGCAGCGCTTAGACCATGCAGGAACCAGCGCTCTTTGGTCGGATAACGATTCTCGCAACTAATGGAAACTCAGCCACATCTCATTTCGACAGAAACCCAGGCTCTGCCCCAGCGTGAGCCCCTTGACACGATCATTTTCATGGACCTCACCTCGGGATTGGCGTCGATCCAGTCGGAGGTTTCTCGAGAGGATCGCTTGATCTGGCCCACGGGTGCCTGCACCACGAGTGAAGTACCTCTGTACATCGCCAATCACAGCCCGAGATGACGCAGAGGCTCAGGAAAATTCTGTCAGGTCCATGCCTTCCGTCCAAGGCACCCAGGTAGGTCAATGACTATGGGAATTTGACTCTGGAGAATTGCCTGAGCAGAATAAATAAGCTTGTCAAGCCCGTTGCTTCCCCACCATTTGATGGCCCACTCGAGTTCTGACATTTTCCGCTATTGCAACTCACGATATTTGCTATTATGCGGCAATATTTGACTCATTTCACTTTCGATTTCCCTTTGGAGGGCGAACCATATCCAGAAGCAGTATCACCTGATTTCTCGTCATTTTCCTTCACGCCTGGAGACATAACAACACCAAGTCCCCCGGCACTACCGACCTCCACTCTCCCCGAGCCCGTCTCTTCTAAAGCTGAGGCCCAACACGATAGCATTCTTGAACAAGGCGATGGTGCTTTTGATGCACCAGTTTTCAAGCCTGCCGGAGATATCCACAAGCCCGGTTCCACTGTGGAGTCATCCGTGGAAAACGATTTTGAGTCGATCGAAAGCTATAAAAATGATGCACCGCCGAAATCCCATGGAAAAGTGTCTATGGGCGTGAAGTAAGTTCTTTCTGCTTCCGAACCTACCCATATACTAGTACAGATTCTCTGACACTCGTCATCCACAGAGCTCGTCGTGCATATTCGAACGTGTTCAAGTGCCACTGGAAAGGCTGTCAGTATTCCGGTGAATTCTCGGGAGTAGCAGCCATACTCCGACACATAAGGACCAAACACCTCTGCCCGGGTATCTTCGATTGCCCTGAAGAGGATTGCTCCAGATCTTTCAACCGCAAGGACAATCTGGTCGCGCACATGCGAAATGTACACCGTGGATCTGTTTAAATACACAGTCGAGTTTTGTTTATGTGAAACCATGGAAGCTGGTGTTGGTGAGTGATCGTGGGTTGGCATGTTTGCAAGAATCCCCAAAAGTTGTTGGTGTCAACACAAAAGCTTTTCAGCGCCTAGAATTTACCTTGGCTTGTTTTATTTCTGCAGTTGTTAAAAGAACTTCAGAGAGGCTTTCCAATTCACAGACTCTGACATGTAGAAGAACCCGTAGAAAAGTTCAGGCTTGCTTTACAAGCATGCTGTTCATATAAAACCCTCCCAGCTATTGGCAACTTAGAACCTTGGAATGCATGAAAACACTTGATCATGTACTTGATACAAACATTTACTGGGGACAAAAAAAGCAGTCATCACCAAGGCAAGCCCAAGAATATCTAGATTGGCTTTATCACTTCTGAGCCGGCGTTAGGGAAACCTGCGTGCCATTTGCACTCGACAATGTCAACTTGACATCCTCGACCCAAGGATTCGGGTCTCGACTCTCAATTCTCTCAAACTCCTGCAAAATTCGGACCGTCGTGTAACCGGCCTCAGTGAGTGCGAACTGCTGCCCAATGCAGATTCGGGGCCCGCCGTTGAAGGGGAGGTAGGCCCAGCCTGGTCTCAGCTTCTCCCATCGTTCTGGTCGATACTCATCTGCGTCGGCACCGTATACTGCCGGGTCACGATGCATTGTGTATACACTAAACGTAACCTGTTGCCCCTTTGAGACGAACACAGGGGATTTGCCATCTGGACCTCCGCCGACCGGGAGGACTGTGTCGTTGATGGCCTCTCGGAAATTGAATGGCACGATAGGATACAATCGCAGAGCTGGAGGTAGTCAGCATACTGAAACGATCAAAGAAAAATAGAGGATCGAGCACGCACATTCATTGAAAACCCATGACATATAGGTCATCGACTTGAGATCTTCAAATGACGGTTTCCGTCCGCCTAGAGCGAGTACTTCGGCTCGAAGTCGGTCCCAAATATCTGGTCGTCTGGCCAAGGTGAAGAAAGTGATGCTTAGCAGGTTGGCAGTTGTATCACGCCCAGCTATGAGAATACTCAAAAGCTGATCAGTTATCTCCGTTTTATCGAGTGTTTGTTTTGCTAATTCATGGGAAAAGACGTATTGTCTGTCGGTTAGCTCCTTAATTTTGGGATCGACCTTTTGACCACTGTCTGCCGCAATACGGTAGTCAATGGCTTTCTGCACAAACTTGTCAATGTAATTGCGCAGACCAGCTCCTGATGTCCAGTACTCCTTGTTTCGGAAGAACATCATCAGGGGACCCATTCTAATGCGGATTGCTGTTGCATCCGTGACGGTGGTGAATTGGGTCGCAAACAATGCGGCTTCGGCAGAGTTGTCTTCCCTTAAAGAGTGAACAGAGTCCCCAAATAAGAACTCGCTAGCGGTATCCAGAGTCTGCTCTTGATCAGCAAGCCGATTGAGCTTGTATCGACGTGAGACTGACCTGCCGCAAAAACAGATCTTGTAGTTCGACTGTCGACCCATCACGGGGCACATGTTCGAGCAGATCTGTAACATGATTCTCATACATCTCCGTATTGGTGATTTGGGCACGCGAAAAGTTAGGACGTAGAAGAGCTCGTGAATGCTCCCATCTACTCCCATCCACGCTGAAGATTCCCTGGCCAAAGACGGGGCGTAACGCATTCTGTCGCACGGGGCCGATGGAAAAGTCTTTGAATTTCAGCGCAAGCATAGTTTGAATATTCTTACTCTCGGCTGTGAAGATTGTGGTCCGAGTTGCCATTCTGGCTGTGAATGTACTCCCATACTTTGAATGCCAGCCGCGGATAAGTTCAGTGAAGTTGTGCTCTCGATTTGAGTTGACCATCTCCATGATCATGTTTATACCAAACCAGCCATGGCACACTGAGTGCGCTGGTGCTTTGCAGCCATTTTGGCGAGCAAAGTTCCATCCTGTCGATGTGTCAGCGATCCTATCTTCCAAGGTTGGGCCAAGGGTGAACGTTTTCGTACTCCGGATGCTTTGAGTAACCTTCACTACACAAAATACAAATACCACTGCCCCGGCAACAGTGCCATAGAGTGGGACCTGGGTCAGATTGAAAGGCACTGGTGCCATACCTGTATAGAAAGAAATGAAATGAACTTTAGCTGAAAAGCTTAGTGCGGGTATTCAAACAATTGGGCGAGTTTCCATGATATTTATACCCAGCAGGCCACGTACATTGACCGTTCAAGTACAAGGATACTGTTGTACATTTCTTTCAATCTGTGCCTGTGGGGGAGTTATGTGAATGGCCAAGCGTCCGAGGGTTGGCCCCTAATGCAATCAGGAGTCTTTGATTGACTCTCGACGGACGATACTGGTGTGACCAGAACTGCGTAGCCATTTTTGGACAAGGCTAAAACCATCCAGCAGGTCGCTAAGAGTGAAGTATCTCAACCGAAGAATTTCACTGGCTTGATGTCATTGCAATAAGGCGGGCCTCGTCGACTAAAAGAGTTAGCAGGGGACTTGGCCCGCTTTGGTGCATAAGGCGCCGCACCATTTGACCAACTCGGGTAGTGATGATTGCGGGGAATTTTCTCTTGACGTAGGCCTAGTTGTGCAACAAGATAGGTGACAGCTGGCTTTGTAGGGGGTACGGGATATACATGACCGGTACTTGAATCATGGGAAGAAAAGAGGCACAGGGACAGAAGGACTCTTGACGCATGTACGGAGTCCATCTGGGAAGACAAGGGACTATGTACGCCTTGCATCTCTATGCACAACCGTTGGCAACACTAATAAAGTCCAGACCTTCAAGAGCAATGCTAGCCTCTTGGACGGCATGACGATCAAATTTGGGAAACGACAGTGAATGCTCTGTAGCATGTCGGTAGAAAGTCGCAAATATCGCCAGACGCTTCAGGGCTGATCGATTGAAACTAAAACAGGTGATTTTGATGGAAGAGAAAGAAAATCCTACCTAGAAGATACATATAACAACCTTGGAAGATGAGGGGAAGGGAAGTACTTCTACTCAAAGTATCTGCATGCTAGCTTGTCTGCAGGCTAGTCCACCCCTGTCAACGCCACACACAACTTGTGGTAGCATAAAGCCAGCACCTATCGGACTCATGCAGCCACTGGCGGAGCGGGTGTTTCATTCAAAGTGTCTGACTCGACCCCATGCTTCTCATGGACCACATGCTTCTCGTTGAGTTCATGCTTCTCGTTGAGCCCATGTTTCTCGTTGAGCTCATGCTTCTCATCGGGTTCATGCTCCCCATCGAGCTCATGCTCCTCGTTGGGATCGTGCTTTTCGTTGGCCTCATTCTCGGGACATTCACTCCCAGGAACCTCAGTCTCCGGTACTTCACTCTCGGCAATTTCGCTCTCTGCAATATCGTCCTCGATGACGTCACTCTTGGGCTTAGGTGCAGGGTAGAAGTCCACCAATCCGTCCCCTTTGATTATTCCAGTCCGGTCGAGGATGGAACGCACCCGTACGTAGGGGTCCAGATCCCAGTAATTCCTGCGGAGCTCTTCAATCACATCGTTTCTTGAGTACAAGGATCTGGAATCCGGGTTTGCAATCCACTCAGCAGTCAGGCTAAAAAGCTCATCGCCAAGCTGCTCCCGCTCTGCTAGAATGACATCTCGGGCAGCCTTGTCCTTGAGCTTCTCTTTCTCTTCGGGGCCAGGCTCGACGTATGTATATTCCCAATCTTCATCTCCGCCGAGCTCTTTCAGAATGCGATCGCGGGCTATGACTTTCTCAAGCTCCTGAGCGCCGTTGATGAAGTGGACCTTCGCGGCAACTACTGGATCGAGGATCCCTTGGATGATTTTCCACATGCCGGAGAAGACCCATGGGGCGTTATATAAGATCATGGCGCCAAGTGACTCGGGATAGTTCTCTTGGAAGCAGTCGATCACGAATTTAATCGAAGGGAAGTCCCAATTCGCCAGAGTAAACGAGGTCAAGTCAAATACAACCACGAGTGTCTCTACAGGAGAGACCTGAAGAAGACGCACAGTCTCCATGCAGTACACAATGTAGTCATTGATGGCTTTTTGCGTCTGAGTGTTTGGGTCGTGGGATCGCACTCGCACTATACAGACAGGTCGGTTCCATCTGTCACATCCATGGAAGAAAGCTTTGCCACTGGTGAGTTGCAGGGCAAAGCCTTGGGCATCTTTCTTCTCTGAAGAGATACTGCGAGCTTGAGACTTTTCCAGTGCATAGGCTTCCCCCTTGAGCATCACCTCCTTATCAACCTTGTATTCATTGATTCGCCAGTTGAGAGACGCAGCAAACTTGATCCAGGCCTTGGGGAGGTTCCACTTTTCGGCTCGGAGGAAACGGAGCAGCAAGGCATCGGGGTGGTCCTGTTTGAGCGCAGCTAAAAACGCGAAGCGGAGTCTGACACCTGGGAATTTCACCATCAGCGATTGGATGGTTTTGATGTCGCCTGGACCCGCATCCCACACCTTGAGAGTGGCAAGCAGATTTGGTGGAATAGCCGATGTCTCCTCTGGCGTAGGCGGTGCTGCGAAAGCCCGACCCAACGAGAAGAGCCTCCGATGGCCTTTGGGTGCGGACTTTACTTTCCCAGAGGCTCCTTCAGGGGCTGGCATGCTCGTGTCCCACGATTGGATCAAGATCCTCCAGAACTCGCGGAGCTTTTGGCCCTCCGACGCGGTGAGCTTGCCTACATGGCCACTTGGAGGTTGTGTGTGGGTAGCCATTGTGAAGTGATATACAAAGTCAGGACGCTTAAGCAATTAGAATGGTCTACTCGTATTCCCTCAGGGGTAAATTCAAGCATTCCACCACATTCTTCAGGTGAAAATGCCGAGTAGCATATGAGCTCAAGTCACCGTCAATGCCATATGCAACCTGGTGTGATAGTCAACACTAGCGCAGCCATCCCGTCTCCGGGTTCAGATGAGGGGGTCTCGACTCGCACTGCCAGCGCATGACTCTGTATTTGGTACCCCGTATGCCGTATGGAATACGACACACTGAGTGGCTAGCACATGAATCGAGTGAAAGATAAACTCAAGGGAAAATACTGAGGGTGGCCCTGTCATCTCCTTGAAGATCGGCGCTTTGACCGGGGAAAACAACGTAGGTCCGACGTGTGAATGTGATACAACGCAGAACGATGTATCCCGGTCTTTCACTTGAACCCCTTGTTACTCCGTACTCCGTACGGAGTACTCCGTACTGTCGTCGATATTGAAATCTCAATGCTCCAAGGACAGAAAAAATATTGTTTCCCGTCTGGAGCAATTGTCAATATGCTTCTGGTGTTCTCCACGCGCCCAATGCGGAGATGATATTCTAATTTCAAAGGGTCAGTGCATTTCCATGCAAGACCGAATCACCATTATTGAATGCAGAAAGAAAATTGAAGATCCTCCCGTGTTGCCGTGACCCTAAGTGCGTTTGCTCTGATCGGTTCAATGCCGGGTGCGAACGAACCAACCTTGGAAGACGGCGATAAAGCCACGGCTAAGGGTACTCACCCCGACAGAAAAAGAATTCATGAGATATATGCCGTGGAAAAGACGCGATGGTGCTTCGACATGAGACAGGTTTGCGGTACCGCGTGCCTTATCTCTGTCCAAGGGCAGGGATTCCCATCGGATGATAACTACAGTAGATAACTTTGCCCAGGTGATGGATAGAAAGCCGCTTATTCGCCGACTGAGAGGAGGTTTTTTCCCGCTGTTGGGAGTAATTCGAGCCACAATCACCTTATTCTGATCTTGTGTCTATGGAGTACATCGGGGGGACGCAGTATGTGCTCCAAGACAACCCCAACAGCCCCATGCGTGATCGATCGGGTTTGACCCTCAGATATTAGCGAGGCACGGGGCCCTCCTTCTTGGGCGAATCTATTCTTCTTAGTATTCTGTAACAACTGAGAAGTTTTTGGGCTCACACTCACTCATTGTGGGGCCCCAATCATCTGGAAGCTTTGATTGATGATGCGTCGATAGGGCTGCCCCGGTATCACGGATGAATCCAGCCCAGCGAATGATGCTCAAGCTCGCCTCGACAAGTGGGCCATATCTAGAAGAAGGCCCAAGATTGGTACAATATCTGGTGACAAGTTGGTCCAGAGAACACAGCTGTTTCAAGGCCGTATCAAGTAGATCAGTTGGCACGAGGCCTTCGTCAATTATCCTCATCGGTGACACGATGCCGACAAAGGTAAATGTTGCAAGGACCATCCGGAAAGAGCGAATATCTTTGGTTTCCAAAAGAATGGACCGAGCTTGGATCCACGCATCGATGAACGAGTTCAGCGAGCTATCATTCTCTCTCAATTTGAGCCCGCGACTTGATGGAGAGGTTCCGGGATTAAAGCCCGGTTCATACGTCTCTAGTGCACTGGGAGGCCACTGCACTGAACATGCTCTGAGCACAGCCTTCCGGGCTTTATCGGACTGCTTTCGAGCAGCTGGCTTGAGGCGGTTCCCGTAAAGATCGCCGAAATGATCAAGGAAGCGGACACTGCCCAACAAAGATATCTCATGTCCAATTTCATCATGTGTTGGCATGGAATCGGTATGATTGTGCGGGCCTGCGTGTGATTTCGTACCTGATGCTGCAGGACTCGATCCATTCGAGCCCATGCAGGCACCCCATTTTATGCGATAGCGAATTTTGGGGGGATAGAGATTGCAATCATAGTCCAAAAATCTCGACGCGCTAGGTGTTGCAATTGCCTCGTATATGCGCGTCAGGCGATCGCCAAGAATCTGAGCATCGATCGCACTATTCAGCAAGGAGATTGGGCTTTTGAAGGAGAGCCCAACGATGGAATTTAAATGAAATGCACGAATATTCTCAATCGTCGGGAAGCCTGTTGGATGGAGGGTGAGTTCATTGTCACTGTGATCAGACGTCGGTGAGGGTCGAAAAGAGGACTGGATGGGTTGCCCGATGGAGTGAGACTCTGGAGGATATGGCATCTCCGGCTGTGTCAAAATCGAAGAAAGGTGTAAGGTGTGAGGCGCAAGTCACCCGATGTAATTCGGAGCCCTACCATGGTCTCTAGCCTTATACTTTTGGATCATTGTTATAGATGTGTTTTATTTCCGTGTGCTTTATACTCCGTAGACAGGGACCAGGATGAAGTTTTTGAATACCCAGGTGGCTCCTTCCTGATCTTCGATTCTTCGTACAATATGAGTACATGTAAACGTGAAACCTCCCCGGGGCCCCCCAAGGGCCAGGAACAGAAGATAATCTTAAGTCACCAGCTTTCAGTTACAATTCGCCACATTAACTTTGAAAAACAACTTGGAAGCCATGGATCCGGAGAAAACGGTGCCGACAACGAATCCAAATTCGGATTCGTTAGGCAGCCCGCCTGACTCTATTGACTCCGTGGCAGCACCTTCAATTTCCTCACTACCATCTCTCACCGAAGACTCAGGTAGCAGTCTAAATAGCCCGATAATCTCTACCAATACCCTCAGTATGGAGGGTGGACCTAACTACCTTCCACGAACAATGGAAGAGCTCGAGTCTCTGGGGTACGCCCCAGTGTGGTCGAGGGTACATGGATACCCTGGAACGATCCCCGAAGAGATACTAGAGTATCTCGATGAGAGCAGCCCTAGTAAGCAGACCTGCAACTCCGATGCTGTTCTTACAGAGACGGAGAACCTTGAAACTAATTTGGCTTCAGAAACAGATGAGTGGATTGGACCACTCAGTAGCCTATTTTGGTTGGCTGGCTTAGATGAGCTGGTTGACGCAGTCTCTGACCCGGCAATCCGCCTCCAAGACGAAGTTAGGATGATTCCGACAAATGTCGGAATCACCTGGATCCTTGAGGATTTGTTTATCGAGGAAAAGCTTCCCAAGAGCCTCTACAATCGATACTTTTATGATTTCGACCCCTATGAAGGAGCAGGATCGACAGTTATGCCAGTTCGGCTGGACGCTATCCCTTTCAAGGTTGGAAGTCTATGTGCTAGACATAGGCTTTGTGATCTGTTTCCTGTCTCACGACTCCAATCTTTGCCACAGGAAATTACTACTGTGCGAATCAAAGGCGACAAACACAAGCTACGATCGGCGAAGAAAATTGAGGAGTATCTCCCTAAGAGCAGAGGTACACAGTTTTTGTTCCGAGTTTGTACTCGGTCTGCCTTGGCCTCTCTTATGGCGTTCTTCACGCCAGTGGTCAATGGGAGTAACTTTGACAATGAACTTGGACCGGGGATATATACATCTGACTCTCTTGAGTGGGTACTGAAATTTGGGTTCAGAAATCGGGCTTTGCTGGTCTTTAAAAACCCGGATTTTCGAGCTCTGAATGTCTGGACTGCCTCGTTGACAGATTGGCAGCACATAGTTGCCACCTGGACCCAGAAACCACTCTCCAATACACCGAATTCGATACCAACGGAATGGAGATCCGCTGACATAATTCACGGGCCAATTTCGAAGCCAAGCTCAACCAGAATTGCGCTTCCAGAGCCAGGGGAGTATTCACAGACAGTCGCAGTCAGCCCTGCAGGATGTGCAGCGCTCGCTTCCTCCCTTGATCTTATTGTTTGGATCGAGTAATTTTTACTTGGTGTTCTATGTTATTTTTAGTTTCTTCGATGCCAAAGCGGCGCCCACGCATCTCTTATTCACCTGGCAGCAATGACACCAAAACTTGCGTTGTTTTCCTGCAAATTCCCTACCTACATAAGCTTCGTCCAACTTCAAAATTGACCTATATCGGTAAAATTTCATATCGCCTATCAACGGAGCTGTGAAGTTGCTTTCTTAGATTGATACCCTCTCCCAGATCACTATTGGCTCAATCGGATTACAAATGAGGGGCATTGAGGGTCCGCGGTGATCTTGAAATGCCCCTGACCTTCAAAGTGAGGCTCATTTTCTGACTTGAGGTCAGTAAGGGAGATCTCGTATGGATTCCGTTTGGGTTACTCCAGCCCAGCTTCAGAGTGTGGCAACCTTGGAAGGTTCTTTGTCTTGACACAAAGCAACCAATGTAAGTCTCTTTTGTCTGTAAATTCCTTTCACGAGTTAATTCCAACTCCAATTCAAGCTTAGCTGGGCTTGAGGTTCTTTTTGATTCCGCAGTAAGTTTCAAGCAAATATCCAATAGGAATGGTGTTACGTTGAGGTGGACTTCAAACGATTCAAACGGCGCCCACAATGGTTGTAGTTACGTGAACTCACCAGACTTAGAATTCCGGAAAAGAAAAACTTTGGATTCACTCAATGGATCTTCTCATCTCGATTTCCCATCTCTCGTCACAACACAGCCATGGCGTCTGACCAGGTGCGTGTCACCACCCGGCACACGCTGCACTGCGCCAACGAAGCGACAGTGGACACACTGGAGTCCCCTTTCTGCTTGGGTCCGATGGACTACATAGTCCCCTCTACGTTGCCCATTGAAGCAATCTTCGTCTACAAGAAGCCCCTGTCATCACCGCCAGACAAATTCTTTGTCGTGGACCGACTCAAGCAAGCAATATCCCATCTTCTCGACTACTACCCTCACTTGACAGGTCGACTGCAGCAAAACCCCACAACCCATGCTCCAGAGATTTGTCATCTGGCAGCTGGAGTAGATCTCTGGGAGGCATGTTGCAGCGTGACTCTCCGAAGTATCGCCGCGTCAAGTCTGTCTGGGCGAATCATCACCCCAAAGCTTCCCGGTGACGGCGATGCACTTCTCCCAATCTTTCATGCGACAGTGGGCTCGATTTCACACAACGCTATCTTCGCCATTCAGCTCACCCGATTTGCCTGTGGGGGAGTCAGCCTGGGGATTCGAATTCACCACCAGGTGTGCGATGCCCAAGGGTTCTTCCAGGTTGTTCGCGATCTTGCTGAGATTTACCGACAACTGCGCGACTCTTCCCCTCCAACACTTGTCTATCCTCCTGAGATCCGCTCCCACTTTCGAAGCTCTGGCAAACTCTCCCCGAAAATAGAAAATCAAGCCCCTGCGTTCAAACCACCAGACTTTTATCTCCAAAGCGAGGACGACGAAGATGTATTAGAAGAAAGCACAGACGAGGTCACAGCCGAGGTCACAGCTCGGGTGCTTCGCTTCTCCGGTGCAGATTTGCTTGCGTTGAAGGAAGCTGCCACCAATCCTGACCCCTGGAGTAACACACGGGTCTCTACGTTCGAGGCCCTTTCGGCATACTTGTATCAACGAGTGTACCAAGCCAAAGTCCAGCTGCTAGAAAGCTATGGCATGTCTGCTCAGGAATTGCAATGCCAGCCACTTCGCAAGTTCTTGACGGCAATGGACATGCGAGACCCAGATCGTCTGAACCTACCACCACACTATTTGCCGAATGCTGTCTATTGCCCTTCCACTCAGTCTTCGCACGAGCATCTCATGGGAAGGGAACTCTATCACGTTGCATATAACATCCATGATACCATTCGATCCGTTGATGTCATGGATGTCAAGCAGCAATTTCAATGGATTGCCGCCCAGCCTGACCAAAGTCGTGTGAAGCCCACAGACGAATTTACGGAAGGGAATCTCATTGTCTCGCAGTGGACCAGGGAGAATACATATGTTGGTGTTGACTTTGAGGTTCGCCGGAACGGCAGACCTGTCTCGCCCTCTTTGGTCTCCCCGCCTCTCAGTGGACCTTATCTGATGGATGGTCTGGCGATGGTAATTTCAACGGACGAAAAGGCTGTTACGGATAGAGTGAACTGTGACCGACCCGCCGGATCAAAAAACCCCTATGCCCTTGATGTGAATCTGGCACTGAACGACGAGATCTGGCCATTTCTCGACCGGGACATCAATTTCTTGAAGTACATTTCCTGATCAATTTGCCCCACTCGAACATCGTGTGTACCTAGTCTTGATTATCGCACCCTTTAGCTCGAGCCTGATGTATGAATAAAAGAATTGAAAGTCCTCATAATATGAGTCCAACCCGTGGACTGTTCAAGCGTTGAGTAAATATTGATGGATGCAAACAGAGCAAACACAGTCATCTCCTGGGCTGTCGTCATAGCCCCCTCTACTGATGTGGCGTCTGATTGGACGAGTGTCACGTGGGTCCAGTATATGACCCACCGTGCCCCGGGGAAGTGTCGAAGTTACCATGGTCTCCATTTGTTTGGGAGCTTCACATATTCCTTTTCTTGAACTACAATTGAATACTCCATTGGCAGAAAAGGCAGTGCTGTTTGATCCCGAGGCTATCTTGCTGTCAGCACTCACCCTTTTTTATTGGACATTGCACCCTGTGATGTCATAGGGCCTCACAGGCGTAGCCACGATGGAAGCTCAACAGCGTCACAACTCCGGATTTCAGGGTGAGGATCTGATCAAAGAGGGAACTCAGGTCAGAGGTATGTCTTTTGATGGGCTACCCTGAAGTATTGGGCAGTACACTGACTCTGAAAGATGACGGTCGAATTGAAATCGACTTGGATTCGAAAGTCGGCAGAGAAGTGTCAAAGTTGATTCCATTCTTGCACTCAGAGGAGCATCTTCCTACATCAGAACCACCTCTCGAGACTAGGTGTGACCTTGAGCTCAATATTGTGATTCAAGTTGTGGGAAGCAGAGGCGACGTCCAACCCTTTGTTGCACTGGGCAACGAACTGCAACGCCATGGTCACCGCGTACGGCTTGCCACACATGGAGTCTTTGAATCGTTCGTGCGGGACTCCGGGCTAGAGTTCTACTCTATCGGAGGCGATCCATCGGAGCTGATGGCCTACATGGTGAAGAATCCAGGCCTGATCCCGCAGATGAAGTCCGTGAAGGATGGTGATATTCAACGAAAGCGCGTTATGGTTGCCGAAATTCTACAAGGCTGTTGGAGGTCTTGCATTGAGGATGATTCGGTGACAAAGACACCCTTCGTTGCCGACGCTATCATTGCAAACCCTCCCAGCTTCGCTCATATTCATTGCGCTCAGGCACTCGGCATTCCATTGCATTTGATGTTCACTATGCCGTGGACTAGCACAAGATCCTTCCCTCATCCACTCGCAAACCTCAAGTATTCGACCACGGAGCCCAAAATGGCTAACTATCTGTCCTATGGGATTGTTGAATGGCTCACCTGGCAAGGGTAATGGCCCAGATAACCGAAGCTTCAAGGCCGAGCTAATTAATCTATAGGCTCGGTGACGTTATCAATGACTGGAGAAAGTCTATTGATCTGGAGCAAATATCTGCCACCGAAGGCCCCCGTCTGGCGGAGACGTTGAAAGTTCCATTCACATATTGTTGGTCGCCTACACTAATGCCCAAACCAAAAGACTGGGCAGGTCATCTTGATGTTTGCGGTTTCTTCTTCCGGTCTCCGCCTGACTTCACGCCTCCTCCGGATCTTGATGCATTCCTGCGCAATGGACCCCCGCCAGTATATATCGGGTTTGGGAGTATCGTCATCGAAGATCCACCGGCAATGACTGCCACTCTTGTGAACGCCGTGAAAGCATGGGGAGGCCGCGCAGTTATCTCGCGTGGATGGAGCAATCTTGGCGAAGCAGAATCGACCGACCAAATTTTCTATTTAGGGGACTGCCCACATGAATGGTTGTTCCAAAAGGTGTCGGCAGTCGTACATCACGGAGGAGCTGGTACCACGGCATGTGGACTACGTTTTGGGCGACCGTCGCTCGTCGTTCCTTTCTTTGGAGAGTAAGTTCCTATAAGAACGTCCGATCTGACCACTAAGCGCTGACATCTTCCAGTCAACTGTTTTGGGGTAACATGGTTGCATCCCGCGGTATTGGGCCCATGCCGATTCCACATCGCTCTTTGAACGCCGAAAACCTCGCAGAAGCAATCCGCTTTTGTTTGCATCCGGACACTCTCTCGGCAGCAGAGGAACTCGCCCGCCAAATGAGCGAAGAGGCTGGTGTATCAGCGGCAGTCGAATCATTCCACCGAAACCTACCAAGAGCTGATATGAAGTGCCAATTCATCGACTCTGAGCCCGCTGTTTGGCGTTTGAAGCAAGATCCTAAGAACTCCATGAATATGTCGAAGGTTGCGGCAGGGATCTTGATTGAAAATTCGCTCATTGATCCAAACGACCTCAAATCGTGCGTTTGAAAAAAGGACCCACCAAAGCAAACATATCTCATCATCACTAACCTCCGTCAATTCTATAGATATGCGAGCAACCCCATTTTTATTCAAACACGAAGGTGGGATCCTATCACGGGCGGTACCTCTTCTTTGCTTGGGATGTACAAGGACATCCTCACAGCCTCAAGCGACGTGGTCATCCGACCTTATAAAGAGCTCACTCGCCCCCGGCAGGAGAGCGAGCCTGAATTAGTCGTCATTGAATCGACGCGCGACGAGTCCGGTCAAAGACGACCCTCTGCGGCAACGTTCCGATCCGGGTCTAGTATGCAGGATGAAGATTGGAAGGTCGCCGGTAACGCTGTGGGAGGCTCGGCCAAGAGCGTCGGTAGAATCATTGCATACTATTACAAGGGTGTCTTGGTTGATATACCTGGAGCGGTCAACGAAGGGCTGAGGGCAGTGCCGCGACTCTATGGCGAGGATGTCAAGCGATACGACAACATCAAAGATTTCAAATCCGGCGTCGCTGCGGCTAGCGATAATTTTACTCATGGGTTCTCCCACGGACTTACTGATATTTTCAGGCAACCTTACGAGGGAGGCCAGAAGGATGGCATTAAGGGAGCGATCAAGGGATTCGTGAAAGGCCCAATTGGCATGGGCACGAAGGCCGCATCAGGTTCGTTGTTATCATCATATCGGACTGATTCATTCCATCTTGCTAACCCAAAATTGTAGGTGCACTGGGCCTAGTGGCTTACCCAGGTCAGGGACTAGCAAAAAGCCTGCATTCTGCCATTCATTCAAAGACAAGGAAGGAGATTGTGAAAGCGCGATTAAATGAGTCGCAATATCTTGCCCGGGAGTCGTCAAAAGCTCAAACTATGAGTGCGTATGTTCTTGATGCATTTGAGGTTCAGCGGCGGCCTCTGGAGTCTCGGGGCTCAAGGTGAAAGAATACCCCGGGGACAGCATGGTAGAGATACCTACCTAGGTAATACAGGCTGTAGGCCATTGAGCTATATATTAGGTTGATGTACATAGAAAGCTAGTCAAGCAGCAGACGTGGGTATTCCGAACACCGAAATCCACTCTGGATGATTGTTGATAGGAACCTAATTGGATATTATCATATAAGACGTCTTCCCCTCCTCAAATCCCCCCATATTACTAAGTAATCTTGAACACCTGGGCACTTGGGCACTGCACCAACGCTCATATCTACAAAGACCCAAAGACCCAATGGCATCTTCTACAGCGCAAAAGCCATTTCCTCAGCCGGCAGAGGGGTCTACCCAGTCATTTTGGCGCACCAAACTCGATCCCCTTGATGATCATCAGACGACCCCATTTCCCACAGAGACCGATGTTTTGATCATCGGTGGTGGATATGTCGGTGCATCGGCTGCTTATCACATTCTTGCAGAAAACAAGCAGGAGACCCCTCCCCGAGTAACTCTTGTTGAGGCCCGTGGTCTTTGTTCTGGCGCCACCGGGCGCAACGGTCAGTCACCCCACCACGACATGCAACGAGGTTAAGCTAAGCATCGGGCCTGTCCGCGGGTATTGGGTTCAGGTGGACATTTGAGACCTGACATTTATTCCGCTACTGCGCTTTTCAATGAGCGCCATGGACTCGAGGCTGCGGCCGAGGTCGTGAGATTCGAAGTCTCCCATCTGAAGGTGATAGAAGATTTGGTTCGCAAGGAAAACATCGACTGTGAGCTCACTTTTACACGCTCCTACGATATGTATCTCGACGAAGATCAGCTCAACAAGGCGAAGACATTCTATGACTTCTTGGTTAATGAGGGGTTCGACTCTATGGGCAATGTGACATACATGACCCAATCCGACACCCAAAAGGTACGTTTGAATCTTTTGATCTCGTTTTCTTCGGCTGACGGATTTTTTTTGCATGAAGGAAGCCCACGTCCGGGACGCCAAGGGAGGCTTCAGCTTCCCTACTGCGCACCTCTGGCCTTATAAGCTAGTAACGCAGCTCGTGCGGATTGCCATTTCCCATGGCCTCAACTTGCAAACTCACACATTGGTATCCGAGGTTGCAGAGACCCCAACTGCGGATGGCTTGTGGCCAGTGACAACAGACCGAGGGGTCATTCATGCCCGCAAAATCATATTCGCTACCAACGCATATACCAGCGCCTTAGCACCACAGTATGCCAAAGCCATTGTCCCCTGCAAAGGAGTGTGTACGCAAATATTTGCTGCTCCTGGTGCACCGCATCAGAATCTTCCTGGGACTTATGCCATTCGTCTCGGCACTGGAGCATACATTTATCAAATCACACGCAAAGACGGCTCACTCATTGTTGGTGGCGCATCGCATACTTTCAAGAATGATCTTGAAGAGTGGCACAACAACCCAGATGACAGCAAGCTGATTGACGTGGCGGTAAATTTCCTCAAGGGGTACATGCAGCGCACGTTCTTGGGATGGGAAGACAGCGGCGCTGAAGCGAAGCATATTTGGAGTGGTGGTACGTGTTTACCGAGTTGTGAATAAGTACTACCTCATTTGGCTAACTGCTTTGTTTGTTCTAGTTATGGGATATAGTGCGGACTCGCTGCCCCATGTTGGAAGTGTCCCTGGAAAGCCAGGACAATTCATCGCGGCCGGGTTCAATGGCCATGGTATGCCCGTTGCTTTCCTCTCCGGTAAAGCGGTTGCAGACATGGCACAGTATTCCATCTCATTTGAAGACACCGGCTTACCCAGATTATTCGAAACATCGGAGGCTCGCTTGGAACCAATTTACGATGACACCAAGTAAAAGTTGGATTTTCGACAGAAGTACCGAGTCCAAACTTGATGTGAATTTGGGTAGTCACCCTAGTATATACAAACCATCCCAGATTCGTGAAACGCAAGATTGTCCACAAAAGCCATGCAACGCTATTCAATGGGTGCTTCAACGGCTTTCTCCGCCAATGCCTTCAGCGATCGCTTCTCCTTTTCAATTCCGTTGCGTAGTTGCGCCGTATCGCATAGATCCAAATTTCCACACTCGCAATCCCCATCTCGGAGCCAGCGATATGTGATACTCCATCTTTTATCACGCGGCCTCACAGTACCATCAGCCAGGGTATCGTTTTTGCGCTTCCTAATACCATGAGTCCAGTGTAGCCTTGAGTCCCCACTCATCTGCATCATGCTGCGTGGTGTCAAGTCGACGTCGAGACGCACATCACCTCTCCGGAAGACCATCATGGCTGGTGCACCAAGGGATAGCGCATAGAGTTGATCATATGGCTTGTGTGCATCTACATGAGGGGGAATGCCGGCGCCTGGAGGATAGTACTGCAGACAGACTTGGTCTGGAGGGCGGTCCTCGGTGGTTGGAATGAGTGGTTGCAGCCATGTTGGAAATTCTTTATAAGGGATTTCCGGGTCTATTCCAAATGTTTTATAGTCGAAGGTATAGCCGTAGTGAAGTGATAGACGACCGTTGCGATCAGGCCATTCTAGCTCATTAAGGAAGATGGAAATGAGTCTTTGCTCGTGCTCGGCATCGATGAAGTTGTCTTGCCAGATGATACCATGTGGCTCAATGGGCAACTCTTTGAATTCGCCGGTCATATTTCTGGTGTATAAGATCAGTGTGACTTCTGGGTCAAAACTCGGATTTTCGTGTGTATTATATACTGGTATTGTTACCGGTCCTGTTACCCTGCGGCCCGCACAGAACTGCGGGATGACTGCTTTCTACGGTATTCCAAATACACTTTACCGAATTGGGAAATTTTGATGTTTGCCCAGAACCCAGATGGCCAAAACATTTGAGATTTGTCGTCTTATGATAATGATCTGCTGTATAACATACAACATAGCTGTTCCAAAGCACCTGGACTATTTTGGATGATGGAACCGCCCACATTGCGTCGTGATTCTGAAGTTCAAGAGACGAGATGCCTTGTCAGAATGCTAGTCAGACTAGTTCAAGTAGAAGCAAAGTACAATATACGCTTTTCAAAATGCTGAGAATCGACTAAGGGCAACGGAGAAGTGGTTAAATTGAGATTCTGACCTCGTGGGTGACATCCCTTTCTTCTCTTTCTTTTCTCTTGGTCTCCAACTCATCTACAGCCGTCCCGCACTAGCTTCTTCGGCTACAGTGAGATCCAATACCTTGCTTTTTTGACTATTGTCGCCCACCCTCGGCCTCCCGAGGTCGTTTTGGTGCATAGCGTCACGTGTGCGGGTAGGGTCGCCTAGATAGGCAGCCGAAATCAACAATTGGATACAATCCAAGGCCAACCTTGGAATTAATTTGCAAGCTATTTGACAAAGCATCCTGCAGCTGCAGCATTGGCAACTATGGATGGATACGAGAAGCTACGTCCCGTTGGTGAGCTGACTCCTGTCAAAAGACCCGGAAACCAGTTCCGGAAATCAGCTAACAATCCCAGGTCGACTGGAGCAATATTCAACATCTCGTCACCAAGTGGGATTCTATGTGAACGTCGCTGTAGCGGCAACATACCATTTACCGGATACATACGTGCTCCCAGTGAAAGACTATGTCTATCAAGCCTGTGAAGCCGCAATTGCTGAACATCCGGCTCTATCCGCCATCGTAGCAGACGATCACACACAAGATCCATACTTCGTGCGTCTGCCACAACTAGATCTTGACCGGATTGTCTCTATGCAAGACCGCAAGCCTGGTCTGTTGGCCACTGAAGCTAACGGCGAGCCCGCCCCGGATCTCGATCTACAAACGCTCCTGGCAACAGAGCACAACACGCCCTTCAAAACACCTGATGCTTCCTGGAGACTCCGAATCCTCCTGGACATAGAAGATGAGTGCCAGTTTACTGTGGTGTTTATATTCCACCACGCCATTGGCGATGGGACCTCCGGGAAAGCATTCCATCAGACTTTCCTGCGCGCCCTAGATTCAATAGGTGACTCGGAGAAGACGAAGTCGGTCATTGACTCGCCGCCGAATCCACTCCTGCCCAACATTGAGCGTATCTCATCGATGTCGCTTTCCTTCACGTATCTCGCCAAGAAACTCTTCCAGGCGAAGATCTACTCCCGTCGCCCAGCAGGGCTATGGTCGGGCTCGAAGATCATGGGTCCGTCGCAGACTCGTGTCCGGCTGGTTCCATTTTCCAAGTTACTGGTCTCCGCCGTTAGGGATCTCTGCCGAGCCCAGAAAACAACGATGACAGCTCTGCTGCAGACGGTCGTGGCTCGCGCACTTTTTGCCAACATTCCAGATTCTTTCACGCAACTTGTCTGTACTGGCGCGCTATCATGCCGTCGTTGGCTGCCAGAGATCACCGATGAAATGATTGGCGTGTGGGTTCAGGGCTTCGAAGAGTCGTATACGCGAGATGCCGTTTCAGCTCTATGGGACGAAGCTAGGCGGTCTCGAAAGACCATCGAATCCGTTCTGAAAATGAAGGGCAAGGACTCCAGTATCAATCTCCTACAATTTGTTGATGACTATCAGGAGGAGTTGTGTTTGTCCAAGATTGGCAAAGACCGAGAGACCAGCTTTGAGGTCTCCAATGTTGGCTTTGTTCCTCCACAGATGAATGCGGACAAGCCTGCTATTCATGGCATGGTGTTCTCACAGTCTGCTAGTGTCATGGGTAATGCTGTTGAATTTTCCGCTGCTACGGGTGGTGATGGGTGTTTGGTGTTGTCCGTTTCATGGCAGCAGGGTGTTGTGGAGCCGGACTTGATCAATGAGGTTGTGGAGTCCATTAAGCAGGACCTTTGTGCTCTCGCTGAGGTCTCATGAGCTATGTGTTTCCATAGACTCCACCGTTGTAATGTTTAATCAAATAATAACCTGTGAAATCTTGGAATCGAGTCCCTACCTGGCGGTGAACAAGAGCCGAGGTGGCAGAATCGAGGGGAAGTCAAGATATTCACGACTTGATCTGATCTTCGATCACTTTGAAACCTCCATTAATTCTTGAAAATGGCTCGCGCTCCCTTCGTTGTCCCCGCGCTTAAGAAGCATACCGCCACGGTCATTATGGCCCACGGGTTGGGAGACAGGTACGTCCAATCTTCCAAATACGATAACACCGACTAACAGTGTTTGAACGCAGTGGACAGGGATGGTACGTTATGACGAAGAACCGGAGACCATGAATAAACCGTTGATCTTATCAGGATGGCCCTCGCTCAGAACTGGCGCCGCCGCGGCAAGTTCGAGGAAGTTGCCTTCATTTTCCCCAATGCGCCTTCAATCCCCATCACAATCGTACGTACATACGCAACTTGCCCATCCGATAGGAACTGACACATACAGAACTTTGGCATGAGCATGCCGGGATGGTATGATCTCGCCAAGCTAGGCCGCGACGTAAGCATTCCCACCAGCCTCGAAGCACAACTCGATCCTAACCAAGGTGATACAGCTCGACTTCGAGGAAATGGTCCGCTCCCAAGACGAGCCCGGCATTCTTCGCTCCCGCGAATACTTCGATAAGCTAATTAAGGAGGAGATGGATAAGGGCATCAAGGCGTCGCGCATCATCCTTGGCGGATTCTCACAAGGCGGTGCGATGTCTGTGTTCACTGGATTGACGGGCAAGGAGAAGCTTGGTGGTGTTTTTGGACTCTCATGCTACCTGCTGCTCAGTGACCGGGTGAAGAACTACCTGCCCGAGGAGTGGGCGAACAAGAAGACCCCCTTCTTCCTGGCCCATGGTGAGGATGATGAAGTTGTGCGCTTCGAGTTTGGTCAGAAGTCTGCGGAGATGCTCAAAGAGATTGGACTGGAGGATGTGAAGTTCAACAAATACGAGTATGTGAAGCCGTTGTGTCTGGCTCGTTGATTTACTAATCGTTCTGCAGGGATCTGGGCCATTCGGCTGACCCCAAGGAGATCAATGATCTTGAGATGTTCATTGAGAAGTCCCTCTCTGAGAATGCCTCTGCTGGCCTATGACTTGGCGAAGATGAATCGACAGGACATTGGGCATCTGTGTTGGTGCTAGGCCTCGTGGCTCTGATGTTTGCAATCGCCTGGTCTATATACAAGCCCAATCACGCCGAGAAGTCCGACTAAGGCCAAAATAATAGATGCAATTTGCAGGATACCAATATACTATAGCTTTTGTCCAAGCTTAGGCCTTGGCAACCGCCTCGTTAATCACCCGGGCCATTTCTTCTGTATTTTTCATGTCGAAGGCCACCATATGCTTCATGCCATGGTCATGGAAAGAAGTCTGCGAGGGTTCGCAAAGTTCAAATAGCTTCATGCTCTCAGGCAACACATGGTCCAACTTGCCGACGATGTTCGCTGTTGGAATCTTCAGTGGGTAGTCATCCTTCCGCACGACACGCTCCAATCCGTTGGGCGTCCAGGGCGACGCACCGCAGATAAAGGCCGCGGCGCGAAACAGTGGTGGTTCCGCCGGGCGCGTACGGCTGTGGTGGATTATCATCGATGCGGCGAGTGCGGCACCCTGGGAAAACCCTAGTACGGCGTCAAAGGGATCACCAGTGGCCTTTTGAGCTTCAATGATCGATCTTGTGTGCTCGAACGCTTCCATTACGGTCTGTCCAGGCGATTCACCACGGCTATAGTGGTTGTAGAAGGGGCCGTCGACGAGGCCCTCCAGTTCTGGCGGGGTTAGCTTGGAGGGGTCTAGAGGTGTGTGTTGGCGCACCATCTTCAACTTTGGCAACCTGGCTGCCGTTCTTGAATGTGAATCTGTGGCCATTCTCGGCGAGCCTTTGGCACAATCCTCCGGTTTGGAGTTCGAGAATCTGGCTTACTTTTAGTTGGAGTCGAACAGCTCGGGGTGGTCACTTACCTCGCTGTTGGTACCAGCACCGTGAAGACAGAGAAAATGCATTGTAGAAAATATACCTACCTAGGTACGTACGCTGTGCTAATTGGGTTGGTAGAAAAGGCTTAGGAACAGGTGGACGAATATATGTTTTTCAGTACACGACACGTCCGATGCGAGTGTTCAGCTATCGGGTTCTGCACGTAGCTCGCATCTTGGCATTGGCCGTGCCCAATGTGGGGAGTATTGCATATGTGCTAGACTTGAACCGTGGTGCAAATATCCATACGGATACTCTGATGCCATGTAACTCACCTAATTGATAATATTTGGGTATACTGTAGGGTTCTCCAAGGGCGGGCAGATGCAGCTGACTGGTCCAATTGAGAATGATTACACGTTGCAATGCTTCTCTGAACTTCGCTTCTCCAATCTGAGCTATCCAGACTCGACAATTGCCTTTCAAGGTCACTTGACTATGGCGACTCCGTACTTGTGTGCTCAACCTCGGCCGAGGTCACATCCGATCCGACCTCAACCAACCTGAGCACCCATGGACTTTCGAGATCTCGCAGCCGTTCGAGGCTTTGCAACCTACAGTCTCCGCCATCCCCTTGAGGCTCTCTCGAGCTTCGGTCCGACCCTCAATGAAACCACATTTGGCACCCTTGGGGCCTCGTTCTCACCGGAGCGCGACATCCGCAGTCTAGAGGACAAGGTTGTCCTTGTAACAGGAGGTAAGCTCTCCCCCTAGACTACCTGAAGTATGACCAACACGACCCAGGCAATGCAGGTATAGGCAAGGAGACAATCCTCCAGCTCGCCAAGCACCGCCCATCGCGCATCTACATGGCCGCCCGCACGGAGAGTAAAGCGCGCGAATCAATTGCTTCACTGCACAGCCAGCTCCCCTCCGCCGACATCCGGTTCCTCTCTCTCGATCTGTCCTCCTTTGCCTCCATTCGCGCTGCCGCGCGGGCCTTCCAGTCGGATAGCGATCGTCTGGACATTTTGATTCTGAATGCGGGGACAATGGGGAATCCGCCCACGAAGACGGCGGAGGGGTTCGAGGTCCAGCTCGGCACCAATCACATTGGACATTTCTTGTTCACGAAACTGCTTGTGCCGACTCTGTTGAAAACCGTGGAGATCCAGCGCGCCAAGGAGGAGGATCCGGATGTCAGGGTGGTCACTGTCGCGTCGGCCGCCCACGCCGTTGGGCCTTCCTCCTTTGAGGAATTGACATCTACGCCTTCGTTGCTACGCGCGAGCACCTGGACCCGTTACGGCGCGTCGAAATCAGCAAATATTCTCTTTGCTGCTGAGCTTGCTCGTCGGCACCCAGACCTTACATCGGTGGCTGTGCATCCTGGAGCCGTGGACAGCGCACTTTATGGACATACCAAGGACCAGAGCTCGATGATGAACTTCTCTTTAAATGTTCTTGGGTCTATGATGTTCCGAACCGTTGCTACCGGGGCTCTCACGTCGCTCTGGGCGGCTGGCTCGCCGAAAGAACACCTTGAGAGCGGAGCTTACTATACTCCCGTTGGATATCGCAGTAATGGTACTGCAGTTGTTCAAAATGCCGAACTTGCTAAAAGGTTATGGGACTGGACAGAAACGCAGGTTGCGGGAAAATGCTGAGCGCAGCGTGAACACACGTACCCGGCCTTTGTATACTACATGACAAGAATAAGTGAATCAAGTGTTGTTTATCTCTCAATTCACTTGAACCAAATGTTCACCACTTCTCGCATCAAATGCCGGACTATGGAGGCAAATGGCATCATCATGATTTCGATCTCGGTCATCTTGCCCCAGCCCAGCAGCCCCGACAGAGCCCTTCTACGTCCCTCCATGTTGGCATCTAGCACCAAGACTCAATCGAACCGGAAATGGGCCGCATCGTCGTGACCGGAGGCTCCGGAAAGGCTGGTCAGTTCGTGATCGCCGAGCTCCTCAAACATGGCCATATGGTCCTCAACCTGGATCTGGCCCCCATGGACCATCCGCAGGTCTACACCTTGAAAACAGACCTTGCAGACAGCGGCCAAGTCTTCAACGCCCTGTCCGGCCAATGGTCCCTCCGTGAGCCCTTCCCAGAAGGACTCCCGCCTCGTCCAGATGCTGTCGTCCACCTCGCCGGCTACGCTCGCAACATGCTCGTCCCCGACAACGAGACCTTCCGCTCTAACACACAAGGCACCTACAACATCATCGAGGCAGCGTGCAAGCTGGGGATTCGAAAAATCGTGCTCGCGTCCAGCGTCACCGTCTACGGAGTCTCTTTTGCTCAAGGTGATGCCAATTTCCCTTCATTCCCCATCCACGAGGATCTGGATGTGAACCCGACGGATACGTACGCAATTGCAAAGCTCTGCAATGAGCGCATCGGGCGTGGGTTTGCCTCGCGCTTCAATGCGGACATTTATAGTCTGCGCATTGGCCGGGTCATCGAACCGGAGGAGTACGACGGAGAGATCTTTTACAGCTATGTGCATGAACCATTGTTGTGGAAAGTGCATGGGTGGTCATACATCGATGCTCGGGACTTGGGGGGTATGTGCGAGGCTGCGCTGAGGACGGATGGACTGGGATTCCAGGTCTTCAACGCCACCAATGATCACATCACCAATTTGAGTCCTACGAGGGAGTTTTTGAGCAAGCAATTCCCGCATATCCCCATCACTCGAGATCTGGAGGAGTTTGAGGCCCCATTCTCGAATGCAAAGATCAAGTCTATGCTTGGGTTTGAGGAACAACATCCCTGGAAGAAGTACTTTAGCAAGTGGGAGAAAAAACAGAAACAGATGGCTGTGTAGAAATTGAAACCGCGAAGTATATGCATATACTGTACGGCGTGTACTGTAGTATGGAGTGTCATCTAGACGCAACCCGATTAGGGTTTAGCCGAGCATCATTCCCACAACGAAATGGAATCAGAATGGAAAATCATCACCAGCCCCAAAAGACGATAGAAACACAGTAAACAATCGAGTAAACGCCTCACGGGGTCTAGGAAATGTAAAGATGAAGTTGCAAAGACAGCGTCCTTATTAGCGAATCCGATTTTGACCCCCCCACACAAAACTCTCGTGCATCATCATTCCCACTACACGATCTTCCCTCTCCATCTCCCTCCCCCAACACTTTTTAACGGTACGCGACGTCCCGACCTTCGCACGGAATTGCTGAAGAATTTCTCGTTCGCCTGAGAATTAATCGCGATTTCCTCGACCCTCGAACCACCGGCTAACTCATCCCCAGCACTCCCACCTTCATCATGGATCAGGCAAAGTTGGCTAAGCTCCAGGCCATGTCGGCCAATGCCCGCATTGGTATGTGATATTGGAAATGAAAAGGATCGGGAGCTATCAAGGATTCAATGACTTTTCGACCCATTCGGCATCTGGCATTGGGATCTTGGTAGCTCTCCGTGGCAATCTCATTTCCCCGAACCTCCCCCCAGCGCTACAGAAATTTTGACTGACTCCCGTCTCTGCAGGGTACGTATCCTCGTCTCTACCCTGAGATTCCAGTCTCGTTCCGTCGGATTCCCCGATCGCGATCGCAATATGCATTCGGATTCGGATTCGGATCCGCGATACGCCGACAAAACCCCTCTTCGTATATCTCAAAAACTAACGACTCTCCAGTGGCAAGGGTACTCCCCGCCGTAAGGTCAAGAAGGTTGTCCGCAACTCCGGTGCCGATGACAAGAAGCTCCAGGCCGCTCTTAAGAAGCTGAACGTTCAGCCCCTCCAGGGCATTGAGGAGGTCAACATGTTCAAGGAGGACGGCAACGTCATCCACTTCGCCAACCCCCGTGGTGAGTACATTCTCGATCGGGCTTAACGGATCCGAGGAAGCTAACCAGTGCAAGTTCACGGTGCCGTTCCCTCCAACACCTTCGCCCTCTACGGTAACGGCGAGGAGAAGGAGCTCACCGAGCTCGTCCCCAACATCCTCAACCAGCTCGGCCCCGACAGCCTGGCTTCCCTCCGCAAGCTCGCCGAGAGCTACCAGAACATGCAGAAGCAGCAGGGTGATAAGAAGGACGACGAGGAGGATGATATCCCCGATCTCGTCGAGGGCGAGAACTTCGAGTCCAAGGAATAAATATTTAAAAATTCGTTCCATGATCAATGAAATTGCAACTCGCAGAGAGTTTTTTTGTTGACCTCGCTGGGTATATCACAGTATGCATTTTCGAGCCTATGAGATTTCCAAGGGTTCATCCATGGATGTCTAGTCTGACTGCGACTTCTTCTGCTTCGTTTTCTTCCGCGGCTATCGTACAATTCCATTCGGGACTTGATACCGTCGCTATTCTAGATTGCCCGTATGAGACTATGTCTTAATTTTCCTCCCTCAACCCACACATATCGGTGTGCAAGAGACAATCGAATGTGTACCAAAATCTCCAATACAGACTCGACGTATCCCAATCGAACTGGCCGTCCTCACCAAGTATCGGTCCCTCGCCCACAATGTCCCCCGTGAACCAGCTAAGAATGGGGATCGAGCGCAAGACACGCTCTGTCATCGTAGGTTGTGGGGGAAGGGCCTCGGCGAGAGGGCGTAGCTTCGTACGGCGCACGGTCGGGATATGCGTCATGAATTCGCTCTCGGGAGCGTGGTCGGCTACAGCCGCAGGGCCTGGACGGCGGTTCACTGCCCCTTGGTCGGTACTGGTGCCCGAAGACCATGTGGAGTGTGAGGTTGTTACGCCTTGCTGGAAGGATGAGGTGGCGGTTGCGGTGGCGGATGTTGCGGTGGATGTGATTGTGTCGGTGTCGGCAAGGGTGGAAGAGTCATTGGATTGACCTTCGAGTTCTGGGGCGTCCGTGACGCTGGAGAGGTTGTTCATAGCAAATGAACGGGGCAATGTCATGCGCTCCTGGTCTCGGCTGGGGTTGGACAGGAATGCGGTGGAGTGAGAGCTGGTCAGCGTGCGCGCAGAGCGATGCTGTCGAGGGTTCGCGAGTGAGTTTGCAGGAATTGGGGCATCCTCTGCCGGACCGTGGCCGTGGTAGAGCTCACAGAAGACCTCGTGTCCGTCGATTGTCTGCGGCGAGTAGAAGCATGCGCGATCTGCCGCATCTGTCGAGTCGTATGTGACCTTGATCCAGTGGAGGCCACCGGCGTAACGCTTGGATTTGCGGTTGGCATCGGCGGAGAGATTGCGGATCACGACGTCGCCGCCGCTCAACAGCTGGGTATATTGGTTTGAAGCGTTGGGATCGGTGCGAGGGTAGTCCTCGCAGATCATACCTTGTGAAATGCGCTCGTATTTATCGATGACTTTCCACTCGTGATCCTTATCCCTGTATCCGTATAGTATGCACTCAGTCGCAACCAGCTCCTTTTGTTTGCGTGGGTTGTCGAGACTGTTTGACGATGCCGACTTGGGCAAGCCATGTGGTTTCTCCTCGTCCTGCTGCATCGCGAATAGTCGCCCAAACTCGGAGACATTGGGATTTTCTCGCTTTGCGGGCGTTCCAGTTCGTGTTCGTGAGCGGGCATTATCGTATCGAGCATTTCTCCTTTTGCCAAAGGGACCTGACTCTTCCGCCGGTCGTCGAGGGTTGCGAGTTTCGCTAGCGGACGGTTAGCACAAACTAGAAGCTGTAGCGATCATCGACGCACTCTTTGTGGACATAACCCCAAGGGAGAAGGTTGCCCTTCTCGTCTCTGGCGCGCTCCTCTGGTGGGACAGCGTGGTACTCCATGGTAGCTGTGAAGAGGGATGAAAGGAGAATTCGAGGGACCAAAAGCTTGCGCAGATCCACAACTTTTGGTAAACAGTGGTTCGCCGGGATACAGTCACGTGATCTTTGCAACATCCTCCAGGGCTTGGACTTCTTTGTCGTTTGCATCCAGGCAACATTTCACTCTCTACGAAACAGGGGCTTGACCTACAAATATACTCAGTTTAAGCAAAATTCTCGTCTCAACCCGGGCAAGCCTAAAATCTTCCAAGGTCCAAATTATTCCAAATCAGCAGTTCGTCTTCACCTAGCCAACGGCCTACTGGTACTGTGTACATATATATCAGGATATGATACTTCCAAGATGAATCCAAACTGGAAAGTTTGCCATCAGTTCCAAACCTTGGAATCTTTCAAGGTTGGCAGCTCGCCGGATCTGACTAGGTAGGTACCTAATGACCATATGAAGTAATTACCAGTCGTCCAGGCTGGGGAATGACCTTCGAAGAGACAGCTTTTCGCGGATCCACACCTGGGCATCACTGCGGTGTGCTAGACAAGTCTCAAGAGCATCTTTGTTAGTTGAATTTAGCCCTTGGAGGAACTTCGTCCACTCCACACCGGGCTTTGCATCTTGACGAGTGGTTGGGATATCTCTCAAGCTTGGAAATACTTCTTGGGTACTGCCTCCGAGTAGCTCTACTGGCAATGCCGTTACCTAGGTACCGGAGGTGCCATCCGTACATAGGCAACAGCCAGAATATACACCCGGCCAAGAGGCATAGGGGTGGATTTGCATTTATAAATAGAGGGTCACGGGCTCACTTACCTAGGTAATGAGTTGACAACCTTGAAAGGGATTCGAATCTGCGCGGGCGGAAGACACAAATCAATTCTCAATCCAGATCAGTAGGGAGTACGGAGTAGAGTTGGTTCATGCAATTCCATGAGGACCCAAGTGTGTGCCCGATTCTGGCAATACGTGGACGGCGGCTAGCGTGACTCTTCACGAACGAGTAGGAGAAATGGGGCATCCTAGCCAGTGAGAACCGCCGTCGATTCAGCTGAATGCACCTGTACGTCCAGTGGAAATCAGAACAGCCAGCCCTGAGCGCGTCTTTCATTTTCGATCTTTCTTAACCACAATATACTGTCCTGGTACAGTATCTTCTTCTTACAGACACACGACACCATGGGCTTGCGCTCATTCAGCTCAGACCACATATGGAGGATTCATGGTACTTCAAATTCTCCTCCCAGAGGCTTCCTCTTCGATAGTGACAGATGCGGTCTTCGAAAATGCATGTGGCAACGACCTGGTGATGGCGTTGCTTTTGAAACGACGAAAAAGCAGTCTCCCAATGGAGAGAATGCTGCAAAATATTGGGGATGAGCCCGAATTTGGGGCATCTGTCTTGCAAATTCTGCTCGGGCAGGATCTGGTGACTATCAAAAACTCCGCCGTGGAGATCTTAGCCCGCAACTGTAACGCCTTGAGAGTTTTGCTATTCCGGAAGCCGAATGTGCCTATACAGAGAAGGCCCTCTTGGTGGCCGCATCCGACTTTGAATCGCATCCGACTTTGAATCCGTGAGTCTGTTAATGAAGGCTGCCAATGTAACACCGGTTACAGAAAATGTTCTGATAAAGACGGCAGGGGCATTAAAAGGAGAGCAGTCACTGGCAGCCATCCAGGATCGAAAAGGCCTCTTCCCAATTACCGAGAGGATTGCTCGAGCAGCTTTGTCTAGCCCAGAACGTCGCAGTCTGGAATTTCTGCTTGAGCGAGCGCCGGAGTCTTTTGTCGAGAAATTCTTGCACGACACCTGGCAAGAAGAGCTGGAGTTTGGCACGAGATGTGTCATACTGCAAGCCTGCTTGACACAACAAGACGCAAAAATCACCGATTCCATGATTCGCGATTACCCTTTTGACTTGGAGAGGGTGGTCAACTATGATTTGGACGAGATGGTGCGGAATTCTGCTCTGATTTACCCTCGACTGAGGTAGCGACAGAGGTCATTGTAACAAGGTGCTCCTTGGAAGCCATTGGTATATTTATTGTGGAAAGGGAGATCTTTGTCACTGAGCATTTGATTGAAGTGGCGAAGAGAAACGCAATTGCGGACCAAAAGCAGTTGACGTTGTTTCTGGAGCAGCAAGCGGCTGAGTCTCGGAAATTGCTTCTGTCGGGGGTCTTGGGGTTGTAATTAGGTCCACGGGTGGTTTCAAGAGGTGTGTTTTACCTAGGCATGAATCCATTTTGTAACTCGTTGAAAAGACAAGGAGTTTGCTGTAAGCTCATTGACCCGTGGACCTGAAGTGCTGCCGAGGGATTATTGTTCAGATCCTGCGAGTATGAGTAGGCCCCAATATCAATTTGGACATATTGGCTGATGTTGCTCCGGTGGATAGAAGAAGCAGAGCTGCGCGTTGGTCATTGACGTCCCCGGACTTCACGCAGGCAACAAATGACATCCTTCCACCGTATGTAGAAGCATCCATCATTCAGATCCAGATCAGATTGACAAGCATGTATAGGCAGAACCTATACTCTTGGCAGCGTGGTGGACGTGGCCCCGAAGTGGTGCCCGCCCTGTAGTTGAGTCATTACCCGAACCAGCCCGAGCACATGACATCATCCAGGAACTGCCTAAGCTCGATGCTCCAATTCTCTCCTTCACCTCCTACACACCCAATCCACGTAACTATGTTCCGCTTCGTGCGTGCTAATTCCCCATTCCACAATTGCAGCAACAACTAACTCGACGCGCAGAGCAAAACCCTCGACCCAATCACCCTCTTCCACTCGCCGTCGATCCAAGCGTCGACGCGCACCCTCAACCTCCTCAAGCAGGCATCCGCAACAGCCAGCGAAGGCGCAACCGAAGACCAAGCCAGTGACCACTCCCGCCATGCGAAGCAACAGCGTGGCGAGTTCGAGCTCGAGGTCACCACCAGCCCCCCGACTCTCGACCAGCTCCGCAGTATCCTGGATTACGTCTCGCCCACCAGCGGCGTGGGCGGACAAGGCGAGAAGATGACGTACGGCGTTGCGGAGCTGGTTAAGGGAGCTCGTGATGCAGAGGATGCGTTGAAGAAGTTCAAGGAGAACAATGAGAACTTCACCAGACCTGTGGTAGGTACTTGAGCTATACCGGATTGGACAAATTGCTAATTGTGGACTAGACTGTTGACTGGACCAATGGCCGTGCTGTCGTTGGAGATCACGAGTCTGAGATCCTGCGCATGGTGCGCCAGCTCCCTGCAAACTAAGGGAAAGTGTCATATATAGCCTACTATGTTCGATCAATTCATACACCATTGATATTCATATAACCAGCAGGAACGGTCTAGGCCTGTATCATACACAGCAGAGCAGAAGAAGAAACCATTTTGCCAGATGGCACTAAAAACGTATTGCGAGTGGAAGATGTAATTTGACAGGAAAAGAATCGAAGAAAAAAAAAAGAGGCGCCATTAAACCTGGTGACACAGAAACCAAGATCCAGCTCGGAGTCGCGCGTAGAAGAGAAAAAACCATGAAGACTCGAGAGAAACTCAGAACATCGTGCCGAATGTGCCATCCGTGGCAATTGGCTTCCGTGGCGAGCTGCTGCGACCGTTGCTATCGACTGCAGGTTTGCGATGCCTAAATCAATGTCAGTGGGAGCGTTGACAGGATCAAGAATGGATACATACCGGAAAGTAAAGCCAACAAATAGACCCTTGCTCATCTTGTCATCGCGATCGGCCATATCCTCCAACGCGCGTTGCTTGTCGTGAACCTCCTTATACTTCGCCATATCAGCCTCACTGCTGAAATCGTCAAAGTATCCGGCATCAGTCTCGGAGTCCAGTTCGGGAACGAAAGGAGCACGCTGCTCGCGGAGATTGGCGAAGTCAACCTCGGCAAAGTAATCGTGGGCGTGAATCTCCTTGATGTTCTTGAAGCGGGTATCTTTTCCAGCAACCAGTCTGGTGATGAGGTCCCAAGTCCGCCGTGAGAGGAAGTAATTGGGATCTTCGTAGACTGGCTTTCGCAGAACCTTTTGCCAGCGCTTCAAGTTCTGCCATGTCTCTTCGACTGTCGCTCCTGCAAAGGGTGGATATCCAGCCAAGGCCTCGAACAACATACAGCCCAAACTCCAGTAATCGACAGTAAAGTCATACTGTTCACCCTTGAGTACCTCGGGGGCCATGTAGTCTGGTGAGCCGACAATGGACTTGGCGTAATTGACTTCACGTTGGCGCAATGATTGATAACCTTGTCGGCGCTCGGCCATTGTTCGTTGTTCCATGGGGCGACCGAAGGGAACGGGTGTGTTTCCGACTTCTTCCAACTTGACGCGCATAGATTCAATCTTTCCGGGACTCAGCATACCAGCCGCCAGACCAAAGTCAGTCAGCTTGACATGACCGGTGGAGTCAATGAGGAAATTCTCCGGCTTGAGATCACGGTGAATATAACCCAGAATGTGAAGAGCATCGATACAGCTAAACATCTCAGCGATGTAGAACCGCGCATGTCGGTTGTGCAGAACACCGGTATTATTCAGAAGGGTGCGGAAGTCACCACCAGGAACATATTCCATGGCGAGGTAAATCTGCGTGTCATCCTGGAAGGCGTACAGCAGTTTTACCAGCCAATCACTCTTCGCAGCCGTAAGAATATCGCGCTCAGTGAGAATATGCCGGATCTCATCCAATTTGAACAGCAATTTCTTGCTCATCACTTTCAATGCGCACACCTCCCGGGTATCCTTCTTCTGCGCCAAGTAGACCTGCCCATATCCGCCCTGACCAACTTGGGTCAAGATCTGGAAGTCACCCTGTCGAAGACGGGTGCGACGCTTACGCAGATGCGCACGCTCGCGACCGAGATATTTGAGAAGCGCAGGTTCGTGCTCCTCTTCAGGGGTCACGGGGGGATCGGGGTAGGCGGCTTTAAATTGGGTGTGGCGGGTTTGGCGATTGTGGACATAGCTGAGGAGGTCGAAGTAGTGGTCGAGAAAATCTGGGTTGTTAGAAGGGCGGGGTCGGGCAGGAATTGCAGTGACTTACAGAGTTGGGTCACATTGACCAGGCGCTTGACCTTGGGCTGTGCGAGCTTCTCGATCTCCTCCGGGGTCAGGCCACGCATCTGCACCTGGCGTTTTGTGGTCTCATCGCGCGGTTGATATAGTTCCTGGCGCGACAATGCTGCGGCGGTCGGGGTGGAGCCCAAATCCTTGGTTAGGCGCACTGGGTTGGGAGGTGTGTTCTCCTTGTTGGATCGGCGTGTTGGGCTTGGCGGGGCTTGGTGAATCACGCTCTCGTTAAAGTTCTCACTTTTGTCGGAGAACATGGGGTGATTGTAGTGGTTGTAGGTCGATTTGGAGGGGGAGGTTGGAGTCAGTTTCATGGCCTTGTCGAAGACATTGGGCAAATCGAGTGCGCCGGGTGGCGGTCGTGACTTGCTGGGACTCCCTTGAGGGGTCTGTGGTGGACTGGTGAAGGCATCCGGGGTGCCAGGACGGTCGAACTGACCCCGAGTATGGAGCAATGGAGGTGGATTGGGGAGACGGAGCCCGTGACGGTCCTCTGAAACGATAGCCATGGTTGATGAGGAGGGGTGGTCTAGAGACACACTAGAGACTTAAGGAGTTAAGCTGCCTAACTGCCTGAACAAAGGCTAAGTACTCCGTCACCACACAAAAGAAAAAAAGGGAGGGGAAAAAAAGGCAACAATGATCTTGTTAAGGAAGGAGTCAAGGTTTATGTTTATTATTTCCCAGTCGATCCCCCCACCGAGATCGATGTGATCTTGATTCCTTTCGACAATCCCCTGCGAAATAATAGGTTGCCGCAGCAACTCCTCCCCCACGTCGTACAGATTGCGTGCAAATCCGGTTGAAGGTTCATTTGATCGATCGAAGCGAGCTGAACTCGATCCACTTGGGACTCATTTACGTTTATGACCAGCGGGATCGTCTCCCGCTTAGTCCCATCCTAGATTAGGGGCCTGAAGCCCCATGGCCGAGCTGACGTGAAACCGGTGGGACCTCCGAATTTTGACTTTCATGTTTTGCATAGTGTCGCACAGATTGTACTGCATGGAAGAAGCAATTATTATCCGGGCTCAATATAAACCCCACGCAAGGGACAACTGCCAGGTGCCCAAGCAGACTGCCACTTCAGGACAAGGTTCCATGGTTCAGGCACGGGGAGACCCCCTACAATTGGATACAGTGGACTACAACCAAGGAACGGGAAGAGTCAAATCTTGGAAAGTGCAGGGTCAATGACATTCTATTGGTCGTTTAATTTCGCACTCAGGTACGAGTAACTGTACAGTACGTCGGCATCCTCTCGGTTTCCGTCTCTATGTATCTTGTACGGAGTACGCCGTTCCAGTACGGACGCGCTGCTAGGCGATTCACGCAGCGCCCTGTTTCCGTTGGCCAGTCTACCCGATCGTTAGCGCGACTCAGCCTCAGCTTCGGGGTACCCACGTAGAAAGCTAGCCCATAATCGTCCGTCGTGAATGTGATGGTGGCGCCCTTGGGAAAGTAAAGCACATCGCCCGGAGTCGCCGTCACCTTGTTGCCCGTCTCGTCGGAAATCTCATACTTCCCCTCCAGGACGATCTTCATTTCGTCATAGGTATAAGTATAAACCAGCGGGGTGCCTTTCTCGAGTCGATAGAAGCCAGCCGACATGGGCTTATCGGGGTTTTCCTTTTCGCTTTTCACCCATTGAGTCAGAATACGATCAACAGCGCCTAGCAGAGGCGGCAAGCGCATACCTGGTTTCGATATCGCCTAGGAAGGCATTTTCGTTGGCGATAAGAGGCGGCTTGAAAGTGGATTGCGCCTTAGCGTGGTAGGTGAATGGAACTGCCATATTTATAGTGGAGCGTCAACCTTGGAAATACGAGGTTGTTGGATAACACAACACATTCATCCTCGATTGTACGCTCTACTTATACTCTTGTATCAGCCTCGGATCCAAAGAGGGGATGCTTCAAACAATGAGATCCCTCAAATCCGGGCAACTGGATGCGAACGAACGAAACCCTCGGATCCGATGTCTGGACTAGGCAGCTCGTCAGAGATCCATGAATCTGACTGAGATCAAATCATAGGCTGAGTGAGGGGTCTGAAGAGGGGAATCCTAGAGTTTCCAGGATAGATCGCCGATATCTGGCGGGCCAGTTGCCACTAAGCTCTGAATATTGCTCACATTCGAGAAGCGCGTCACTCAAATGCCACTCATTGGATCAAACAATTCGATGCGACCTACTTCGTAAACCAGCTCAATGTCATTTCAGATGAGAGCATTCAATTAGGAAATTTTTACCAAATCGGGCTAGACTGTCATGTCAATCGGATCTGCAGTAAGAGTATAAAAGCTGACAGACTCAGGCCGATGGAAACAACCATAGATTCCTCCCATGGATCAATGGCCGGGAATATGAGTATAAAATCTCAGTTTATAATCTTTTAGACCCCCAGAAGTACGCAAGATTGGAAATATTAAGACGAAAAGCCAACTGTGTCAGAAGTAGCACAGCTTACATCAATGTTATTATACTACCGTTCTGCCCTCCCGAGGTCCATACATCCAAACCATCCTATTTCTGACTACAACGGGCGCCCAGATCAGGTCCAAGGTTGGCTTATCACTATTACCGGAAACCCCTCAGCTTCTTCCACATCCTGGAAATAAGGATCGAAAACATACGCTGGGCTGGAGATGCCCCGATTTTGGAACTTGACTTGTGAAGTGAATGCTTTGAGTTCATATCAATGAAAAGGAATCTTCAAGATTGATGTATGAAACCCCATTCTTCGAGCCGAAGAACAACAAATGCACAGACTTCTGAAACTCAATTCGTCAGAAAGATGCTTAAGTGCTCCGTTGCATTGAACAAATGCAAGAGAAAGAATATCTGGCAGCCAGATTGAGGTTACAAAAGCTCGATTCGCCATCAATGATGGAGATCATCAGCACAGTGGGGCACACAAATACAGGTGAGGTTTCAAGCATTCTTTTTTGCAGTCTATTCAACATGGTACTTAGGGCCACTCTGCTGAACAATGTATTCTTTCTAGCAGATAAGAAGATGAATTGGACCTTCATCTTACGTCCTCGTGACCATTTCAATGAATATGAAGCTCCTGGGGAGAGACTCTCTGTGGGACAAAATCTTCTGTGAATAGCCCCCGGTCGATTGAATAGTGTTCAATCGGAGCGGTCTTTCAACACAACAGTCAATTCGATTCCTATTCAAATTGCAAGACAATAGCCTCAAGTTAAAGCAGTTAGTTTACTTTCTAGCTATAAAGATCTCAGAAATGCAGCTGTCCCTGAGCTCTTTCTTTCCTCTCTGATAACCCTTACTATCACCGCCGTGACCACTGCTCCTGCCTGTCAACTCTCTACCAAGCAATTCCAGTCTCTTCAACCAACAAACCAAATGGAGCTGGGCACCCTTGTCAACCGGGTCCCATTCTCGAAGAATGGCCTCCAGGTACTTGCTGGCATGTACCTGGGTGGTCTTCTTCTTGGATGGGACCAGTACGGCCTGTTCGATTCCCTCTTCGACACGGGCATCGACCCCGAGATGTGCGTGCTGCACTGGAACTTCAGTGCACTGCTGAGCGAGATGATGCTGGTCATCAACCTCGGAAAGGCCAACGCTTTCCTTCTGCGCCTGAACATGGCACCCGAGTACATCTGGCTCGGTCTTCACTGGGCTGGGACCCCCGAAAACGGTATGTATCTCTCACTTTGGACGACAAAATGAGAGCTAACACATTCAGTCCCAATCTCCGCATACCTCTCCTCCCTCGGCGACCTCCTCGCAGACCGTCCCCTGCTGGCAGGGGCGGTCTTGCACCGAACCGACCCCGTCAACCAGCAATGGCAGCCCATCATGGGCGCCCTGCTGCAGTACCTCGACTCGGCCTCGGCCTCCGTTGCCCCCGCTACCTCCGACGTCAACATGGAGATTTGTGGCGTCGAGACCCCTCCGCCCTCCTATGCCGACACCATGCTTCGGGATCTGTCGACCGACATGGACGTTTGCGAGACTCCTGCCATTGGTCTCGCCGCCGAAGTGCCCTCGCGTCCTGCCATGAGCCCCGACTGCAAGGCTTCGCCAACGGCCAAGAAGGCCTACCGTGCCCGTTACTAGGCCGGTAGAGGGAATGGTGGTGACGAAGCGTGGATGACTTGTGTCTTGTGTCTTGTTTTTTTGTTTTTGTTTTTTTCGTCTTGTGCGACCTCATGTCGCTCTGAGTCCGATTCTGATGCTGAGAATGAAGAATCTTTCTGGTCCTTAATTCCCTCTTCGTAGTAGAGCTGCTTAACTGACAAGCTTCAGTTCCTAGAGTAAACTCTCACTGGGTAGTATGCGGTAAATCAGGCTGTAAACGTATGAAGAAGCTTCTTGGAGCAAAGACGACAACATTTGGGTGATGACGAGTAAGAAGAACCTTGGAAGAAGTAAGAGTGGTAAAAGATCAATCAGTCAAAGAAAAGCAAAGCAGAGGAAGCAAAAAGTGAAAACAAGGATAAAGACGTTTGGGTCGATTGAGTATCAATCGCCAGTTGCAAATATGGAATACCTTTGGTTGAAGGCTAGAGTGGGTAGCAAAAAAAATCATCATATATCCATACCCAGACGGTGGCATCGTTCAACACCTTGCATTGCTAGGGGTGTCCGCGAACCGTGTCCCAATGTTGACAATTGCCATCCTAAAGCTCAACCTGCCACGGTTTCGCTGCTCGTAACACGAGGATGAACCAGACACGCGCAGGGCTTACCTAGTGGGCCTTTACCGGGGGGTGATCAGTCCACCAGGGTAACCACCTGGGCAAGGATTGGAACCTTAGAATGCCAGGACCTCACAGGCAGTAGTCGCCCTGGTAAAAAAAAAAAAAAAAAAAAAGGGATCATCCTGAAATCCTAGGTAACTCTCTACTACTCACCCCCGGAGGGGGGGGGCTGGGGGGGGGGATTGGAGAGGGGAGGAGGGGGGAGCGAGTCGCAGAGAGATACCGTCATTAGAAGTCGGAGATCCGAACCAGTCGACTATTGCCGGTGGTTTACAGAAAGTAAGGGCCTTCTGTGCATGATATAGACCCTTCAACTGCTGTCATATGTTACTCGGCGATCTTACTTTTGAGATTACCATCCCTCTGTATACCGTAGGAGCCTCAAATTCGGCCAAAGTCTATTCTGGATATCAGCACCATACATACTCGAGCCCGAAGCTAATCCATGCATGCTATATGATGCATGGTCCGCTCAAAACCAGTGAAGTACATCCCCCATGAGCTAGGGTGAAGCTTTTCAGTTCTCACCAAATGAAGAAGGCGCTCCTTCCTTTTAAGGCCGGGGTTGGGTGTTCGATTCCTGCTCTTGGGGGATTTATTAACGCTTTCAATCTCTCCCTTTCTACGCCATTAATTCCCTTTATGCCCAGGTGATGATGTTCTCAATGCGAGGACTCCATACTGTAGTAGTACTCCGTACTCACACCCATGTCTCGAGGGCTATCAGCCGCGCCCCACTTTTCCCGGACCCCACCGTCTCCACCCCGAGATAAGAATCCAGCATAGAGTCAACGCCAGCTTGAAGGAATCTACATTGGAGCACGGTGTTGACTCGGGAGCACGTTATGACTTGGAGAAATACTCGAATGCTATAGTTCTGGTGTGGGGTAGGCGTTCCGTGGATACATTGCGGGGGCGGATACCCGGCCCAGAATCCGGTAATCCGGGGTACCGTGCTGATGATGTTATGCTCCTGCATGCTACGCTCAGGACCACGAGCGGTCTTTTTTAGCGCATTCCACAGAATGGCAAAAGAAGGCTGCATGCAGCTCACGGGAATAGAATCGGCCCCCGAGGCGGGGAACTTGGATGTGCTGTGATATGCCACTGGGCAGGTGAGTTGGCATCTTGACCGGCGTTTAAATGTCCACACTCGTCGCCCAGGGGCTTACTTTTCGCTATTCAGTTCCAAGGTTCAAGGTTATCATTTGATGACCTCGGGATGTTTCAACCTTGGAATATATATTTGGAGATTTAGACGAGACATACCCTCCTACCTGGTAAACAGACCATGAGTAATTCAAGAGTCGTGACAGTACCTAGGTATCATTCCAAGGCTCTAGTGTATGAGTACATACCCGGTACCTAGATGATCACCCACTAGCTGCAAGTAAATTCTAAGCTGGTGGCGTTAAGACGGGCCTAAGAAGCATAGGACAGGTGACCGGCTGCAGAGATCTGTGTGTTTGACCTGTCTGATCCAAATCAGTCCAAGGCCGCCCTGGGGCACCTAGGTAACAACAAGCGATAGGCGACCAGGTTGATTGCTTCGGAGAATACATGAGGGCCTACCAGGTACCTATAATATGGCGGATATTAACTGTACTATATCCAGCAACAGGCGATAAGTAGGATGTCAACTCGAATCTCCCCAATGATGACATTATCTCCGGAGGTCGGGTCTACATCCGTGTGCCGAAGCCAGTGGAGTTGGAGAGAAAAAAAAGTCTCCGCACGCAAAGATTGTGCAAAGAGATGAAACCATGACTTCTTGCGAGGAAGATAGGCGTGGACAACACAGCACTCAATCCGATCAATTCCTAAGTCAAATATAGAATGCAGTTGAAATCCCAATGCATACGTACCTGATGTAGACTGATATATAGCGAGGTGTGGCAGAGACGGAGTGATCCCGGACGAGATCGGCATCCCCGCATGGGCTTATCAGACTCCTCTCGCCTCCGCTGGATTCCCTATCAATCATCTACTATTGGCTTCTTTCTCTCCTCTCTCAGCTCTCAGCTTCATACTTCTCTCTTTATTTTCCTCTGGACTCTTTGTGTGAATGGGGAGCATCGGCTGGGTATGGAAAGCATCAAAATTCCGTCGCCGTCCACATTTCTGAACGACAACCCGACTCGGGGGCATTCTGGAAGGACACAGAAACCAAAGCAAACAAAGAGCCGTAATGGTAGGTGGAAAGCTCCGGGGAAACACAGAAACCCCAGCAGCCATCAGGTTTTCAGACCCCGTTGACCGTCTCCATAGGCTGTGTCACCTGCAAGGCCAAACGGCTGAAATGTGACGAAATCAAACCGTCGTGTCAACAGTGTGAGAGGCGAAAAGTCAAATGTGGAGGGTACAAGAAGGACTTCAAATGGCGACCTTTTGAAGAGACCAACTTGGCCCCAGGGCGACCTGCCACGAAAGCGAAGAAAGGTACTACCAAGCGTCAGAAGTCAAGGCCAGAAATTGACACAACGCTAGCCACTTCTTATCAACCTCCAACCACAGATAGTTTTCCAACGCCCCCTACCACTGAGCAATCAGCCTCGCCGGCTCGTATACCCCACAAGGCCCATGCGCCGCATTCACCGCCAGGTTCCCCACCGCAGAGCTCGCCGGTCAGTATCACCAGCTTCCCATCAGAGACACAGTCTATCGACGACTTATCGGGAAACCGAGAAGATGGCCCTTTGGTGGATGATCACATCTCTCTGAACGTCAATGTTTCATTGTCGGCCGACACTCCTCCCTTCGACTTTCTTTCCTTCCTCGAGCCCTTTCAAGACTCTTTATCGTTGGCAAACTCTTTGGTGTCGGATGTCGACACATGTACTGGAAAACAAGGGCCTACTAGCCCTGACCAACTGAATCCTACTACATCTGGATTGAGCTTCTCCCAGTTGCTTGAGGATGAAAATGATGACATCGAAGAGATCATTCGACGGTCGGACCCAGGCCTCGGACCTTGGAACTTGAACCTACCTGACATAGATGCGTTCAACTTTCAAAGCTGCAGCGTTCCTGGAAGCCCGTCCCTGCCCACAGGGAGCCCCGAAATGCTTGTATTACGATTTGACAAGCTCACGTGTGGAATCCTCTCGGTCAAAGATGGAGCTTTGGAGAACCCGTGGCGCACCCTTGTCTGGCCTCTGGCCAAGGACACGCCAGCACTCCGTCATGCCATTTTTGCTTTAGCGGCATTCCACTCGGGCAAAGAAAATCCTTATCTCCGCATCCAGGGAGTCAAGCACATGAGGCAAAGCATGGCATTCCTTGTCGAGAACATCCAGAACATGAGAGCAGACACAGCGCTGGCCACAAGCTTGGCGCTGGCATTCGCCGACACCTGGGATCAGCACACACGAACATGCATCCAGCACCTGCGAGGGGCGAAGGCTTTGGTTTCTCAAGTAATTGCGACTGGAATGCAAGGAAATTCCAGTGACGAGGAGCTGGACCGGATCCGTTTCCTATACAACACCTGGACCTATATGGACGTGATAGCGCGTATGACGTCGCTTGATGATTGCGGTCCCCATAGCTGGAACTCGTCAGTATTTGATCTTCCCAGCACCACGGTCCATGATATCGATCCATTGATGGGCTGCGCAGCCACGCTGTATCCATTGATGAGTCGGGTGGCCAAACTGATCCAGCATGTACGAAAAAGTACATCGAATACCGTATCAGTTGTGGCACAAGGAATGGAACTCAAAGCTCTGCTCGAAGAATGGGAACCTCCACGCTGGTTTGAGCCTCCTGAAGATCCGCATTCGGAGGTGCAGCATAGCATTCAAGTCGCGCATGCCTATCGCTGGGCCACACTGCTTTATCTGCATCAAGCTGTTCCTGAGATTCCTTCCGAGCCCGCTGATGAGCTAGCAAAACGTGTACTCATTCTGCTGGCGACGGTCCCATACACGTCTCGCACCACCATCATTCAGATGTTTCCTCTGGTGGTTGCTGGAGCGGAGGTTGATGCCGATGACGATCGCAAGTGGGTCTTGGACAGGTGGACCACGATTCAGGCACGGCTGATGCTCGGTGGGGTGGATCGGTGCCTGGAGGTCTTGAAGGAAGTCTGGGGCCGACGTGATGCGATGAATGCTCGAAGAGAGCATGAAATGGGCTCACGGCGGGCTGGATCAGCTTCTTCGGACAGAGAACGAACGAGCTCATCACTACCGAATGATTTCAACAATTACAGCCTGAACGGATTTCACAAAAGCGCTATGGCCGGACGAGGTCATTCGAGGCATGCGCGTCGAGGCTCCGCTCTGACGTCGTTGGAGAATATCGAGTTCGAGAGGACAGTGCGCGGCAAGCTGCACTGGGTTAATGTGATGGCTGAATGGGGATGGGATGGTCAGTCCACAATTCTAGCTTGACTGAATCCCAGAGCTAACTCCAGCAAAACAGTATTCGTCGGTTAGTATTTCACGGCAACGATCATCTCATTGCTCGGATATGGTGTGAGACGAGAATCCAGAATTCCGGCCTCCCAGCCTGTTGTACTAATCTCTCCGAAAAATCAAGCCTGGTCGGCCTAGTACTATTCTTTTGATGTCGTTCATATGCTGTTTCAATACTGTGCCACTTGGACGTGCGTTTACCAGCGCGGCGTCTTCAGACCACTCACTGTGATGACTTATGACAACAAATTCTTGAGACTCTGCAACTCCAGCTGTTATCTACTCTGACTACCGTTCGTGTTTGATCTAGGTAATACTTCCACGGTGTACCTGGCCCCGGTCACCAATAATTCGCCCCCTGCAACTCCCCAAGTGCGACATCCCATCAGGAAGCGACCCCAAGCGACTGATCTACCCGACTCTCCAGGGCTTCGATCACCGGTACCACCCCTTCGTCTAGCGTATTGGAAGAGTAATAACAGAAGCCCGACCCAATCTCTCTGCTGCCAGTGCCATCCATGCAGAACTCGACAGCCCACGGATCTTTATGTTTCATCCCATCGCATGCCTTGCACTCTGCCAGTCTTTTTCGGACCCCGATGAGGGGTCTGGTGCAGGTTGTAAAATCTTGGCTCTCGGTCTTGCGATACGCTGCATTCCACCAGTGATGTCTCGTGCCCCAATCTTGTAGACTTGGCCTCGGTCTTCGCAGCGAGTCAACTGCTTGTTCATTAAGTGTCTGCGGTGAGAACCCCGAAATGCGGATTAAGATGCCCGATGAATAGATGAATCTGGCTTAGTCCTTCTTTTCCCACCCGTCAAGCATGCCCTTTTTTTCAAAAAGAAAGAAAAAAAAGAAGACAAAAGAGAATTATACCAAAAGTCCCATCGTCGCTTTGGGCAGCATTTTAGGATGAGCTAACCACGAGCTGTATAGTGGGCAACCTTGACATGCACCGTGTCACTCTCTTGCTTGACGTCTTCAACAAATACCACTTCACCATGTTCATATTCCCTGGGCTCCGGATTTAAGGGAAAGGTCTCTAGAACTTAGGGCTGCCCCGGGAGATGGACGGGCTAAGAAGCCTGAACCTCGGCAATGCCTAGGTAGAATCTGTTTCTTCCTTCATTTCTGTTCTGAACAGAGAAGCTTACCGAGTACCTAGGTAGATTGAGGTATAGTTAGGCGCCCGAGGGATTAGTTCCAAGGTTGGGACAGATCCTATGGATGCTGCCATCGTTTCAATGTAGCTTGGAACTTTATTGAGCAGATTAATTTCTAGAGGAATGTCTCTGTATTACATATCTATCCACTGGTGATCAACCAGAAAAGAAGCCGGTATCTTAATTCCAAGGTTATATCGAGTTGCACCTCGAACGTCCGACAAAATTATACCACCCGAAGAAAAATTAAGGAAGAAGGCAACAATTAGTAGACCTTAAAGCCACCAGGCATCAAAGTCTGGAAAATGGCATTGGGGTCGTACTTCTGCGCCACGTTCACGAGCTTCTGGTGGTTCTCCTCGCCATAACCAGGGAAGATCGACTGGAAGCCAGCGGCATCACCCATGTAGTTGAAAGCGTCGTAAAGACCAGCCTTCTGGGTGGCGTTGTTGATCTTGTAAGTAGTTTCCTCGAGCCAGTTGGCGACGATGTCATCATAAGCAGATCCAATCCACTCAACAACCTCGGCGTAGCAGAGGTAGATCTGCGAGGAGTCCAGACCCAGGGCGTTTCCGCCGCGAGATTCGGAGGCCTTCATCCAGTCGGCGCCGATGGGCTGCCAGTCGAGCTGGATGGTGGAGATGTTGGCGGTGGGGATTTGCTTGTACAGCTTGGGGAGCTCGTTGAAGAAAGTTTGGTTGATGATGGTGATTCCCTGGAGCAATTCCTTGTAGGTTGTTCCCTTGACGGTACCGGCGACGAAGACGTCACTGGGGGTTGGTTAGCCGTGTCAGGTCAGCAGTGGGTTTGGTTCTTACTTGATTCCGTCAACCACCATCGCTCCGGTCTCAGTGGCAAAGTCACTGACAGTCTTGAAGTCAAGGGTGCTGCTGACAGCCGGGATGTCGGTGAATGGCTTGAAAATCTCGGGGTAGCTGGTGTTGTCACTGTCGTAGAACAGGATCACCGAGGCGAGAGTAGTCTCACCGGGCACAAGGGCGGGCACCACGTGAGTCTTGGGGTCGTAGATGTTGGATGCGTAGGTAGCAGCAGCCTGTTAAAGTCAGTAACACATCTGGCTATTCGGAATAGTCACTCATACAGCCAAGAATTGGTCAATGTATTGGGCAGACACGGTGTGAGAACCGGCCCAAACCTTGCGCGACTTGACAGTCTCCAGATCGAATCGAGTAACGATTCCAAAGTTGCTACTTCCGCCCTTCAGAGCCCAGAACAAGTCCTGGTTGCTCGTCTTGTTGGCTTGGACGATGGATCCATCGGCGAGCACAACCTCGTAGTTGACAACGGTGTCACAGCCGAAGCCGACCTGGTTGCCGTAGAAGTTGACGCCGCCAGCGAGGAGCAATCCCGGGACACCGACGGGGCCAAGGCGACCACCGGCGGCGGAAAGGTCGAACTTCTGCAGATAGGCATAGACATCGCCCCAGCTGTCTGAATCAGTACCAAGATTCGTGCCTCCAGCGGACCGAACTCACCGGTGGGAAGGACCAATCGACACAATGGAGTGATCCTCGTTCACTTCCAGGGTAGTCAGGTTCGACATGACAATCAAGACCCCATCATTGATGTTGTTTGATCCCTGCGAGCATTAGTGCGGTTTCATCGCAATCATGTGCCTCCCACATACCCGAATACCCATATGTCCACCACCCCGAACAGCGAACTCGGCATTCGCATTGGCCAGGGCGTGAATGCCCTCAGCCAATTGCTCACTAGACTGCGGTCGGAAGACACACCCAGGGGTCATCAACTCGGTGTTCGACCAGAAGTTCGCCGCCTCATATTTGTACACACTGCTGCCACGAGAGAACAGCGCGTTACCAAGGGGCGCACGCAGCGCGGAGCAACCCGAAACATGCGAGGCCGGAGCAGTCGGGGCCGAGAGCGACGATGCCGCGACGACGCCGGCCAGAGAAAGTACAGATGGAACGCGCATGGTGTCGGATTCCTACAGCGCGTGCAGTCTCAAGGGGGGTGAAACGGAAGAAACACTTTGGTTCGCAACGAAGCTCTCTCCACCAGGCCGGGGACCTTGACTTGGGGTGTTTCGCTGAAGCTTCTCTAGTCTGTCCTCTAGCCGCATTGGGCTGTGGTAGGAGGGTTGAATCATGTAACGCGGTGCGGTCCACTTTGTGGACACTCCGCGGAAATTGTGATGAACGTCGCTTGCAATGGACTTGTACGGGACTCTCACGAGATGAACTGACGATTTGGAGTTCATACTACAAACTACTACTACAAAGTAGAGTAGTAGTACTAACAAAAGTACAACTCACAGTTAAGCATAATTGGTGAAGAATGTGAGCATGATTCAAGGTCCCCACCCGACTGGCGCTAGGGAGCCAAGGGCATTATTGGTTTATAGTGCACTATACAATTTCGAGTCCATCTTGGCCATTATTTGAAATCATTTCTATCGTGCCTCGGCTAATTATATTACACTATGTACATTATTAGTGCATTTGGACTCGTGAGCTCGATACATTTTCGATATCAAACTCAACGGTCCGAACAATGCCTTCATCCTTTCCAACGCTGAGGCCCGGCGACAAGATGTGCTCTTCACTTTCATTATCCGGTGCTTTGCTATTGGTGGTGAGGGTGGCGGAGTACTGGTGATGGCTGCGTCCGGTAAAGTCTGGGCGAACGCTATGTGGATAAGAGCCAAGCTGGTGGCCGTACTTGCGGGATTTGGAGGTATCGTCCGAGGAGGAGAGGCCCAGCAAGCGAGGGAAGTATCGTCGAGCGAATGGCCTGATTGCAGTCACTGAATGCTGGTTTAGTATTCGAGACTTACAACAGAATGGGGGAGTCTGTTTTTCTTACCACAGCCGCCAAAGATCCCCAGATTCAACTCAATGCAGCACCACATTAGAGCATCGGTAGTTGCCCCTGTCGTCATATTAGCCCTTTCTGTCAATGGGAATTATTCCGGGTCTCATACATGTAAGGTCAGGGCTTCTCAAAAGAGTGTAAAGGGATGCTAGCCGAATACAGCTCACAACACCCACGCTAAGTCCGTCAGTACTTGCCAAGGGCCAGATAGAAGGATCACTCACAAGCAGCCCATAGCTAAGATCGCGCTGACCGCAATCTTCTGTCGTAGTGGCATTTGCAATCTACGAAGCCATGGTCTGTGACACAAATTAGCATCTGCCGGTACCATCCGCGCAGTCGCAACATACATTGGAACAATAACAGTCGCAAAGTCGGTAAAGATTCCCAGTCCGGCGTTCGCAAAATAAAACACTGGTCGATTCATGCAATGGCCCGTGGTGATTGTCGCATCCCATGATTTGGCAACCGGGGTACAGCTGAACAGGTTGGAGAGAACGCTAGCGAGACTGTATCCCACGGCGACAAACACGATGGCCCAGACAGCAATGTGGAAGTTTCGGCTCGGAAAGATGCGAAGGTAGAACACCAGGACGGAGGTTTTCGTAAATCCCGTTGCGGCACAATAGACTATGGCAGAGACCAGGTTCAACTATCTTGGTGATTAGCAGAGCCGGATGAATATCACAAGGACAGCCACGAACCTTGGCGAACATCGGCGAGAGGTATGCCGCCGGGACATCCCACATGTGCCTGCCGAGACCCCAATCGAGCACTGTTGAGCTGTCAGCGATTCACATCGATTGATCTCGAGTGATCCAGTTCTTACTTTCTAAGGTGACACCACTGAGAACACATGATAAAAGCTGTCATCGGTAGACGGTTAGCGACGAGCCTCGAAACGAGCAAACTGGCACATACGAGGGCGATAATCATGAAATCTACAGTTGGTCAGCGAGGTCATCCCTTGATTCACGAGAGCCACTTACAGTCATCAGATCGAAAGCTGCGCACAATGTACAATCGAGTCCATGTTCTGATTGCCAGCCCGATGATGGCCAATGGCAAGAAAATACAATTCACGACTAGAAAAGGCGTGCTCTTATGCGGCGGGTCGACGAAGTTGGATGTCACCCCCGCCGGCGGTGGCATGGCCGGCGTAATGTCAGAAGCCATAGCGCTGAACCATCCGGTCTGGAACCCTGGAAACGACCGGTATTTAAGAAATATGACACAGGAAAAGGGGAGCGGGCAGCCCCGAGACGTCAAGTCGAACCAGAAAATGAGAGCTTGTCAAGGTTTGCGGGCACATAACACAAGCAGACAGTACGGAGTAGAGTGTACAATGATCGTGCTTTGCGTGGAGTCCGGCTCCACTCTGCAAACCTCCCATTCTACCATTCGTCCTTGCGAGCCTGAGCCTGTTCACTTGTCCGGTTCTCCCTTATGATGATCTTCACTGCCAAAACGCCAAAAGCAATAACTGAAAACTGTATTTGCCGAGTATCAGCCGATACCCGCGAAATCCGCAATTCATTTACCTCTACAACGGAGAACTATAATATAATTGCAATTCCATTTACAATCAAAAACAATCAATGCTCATATGCAAAGCGGAGACCTTGGCGGACATGATTCTCGGTGCGGCTTAGCGAGATGGAGCTGCGAACATGCGAACATGAACTTGAGACGGTTCTCGATCTGCAGCCCTAACCCAGTCGAGACTACTGATCCGATTGTTCCACTTCGCGGCAAACCCTACACTCCATAATAAATCATAAGCACTAGCCTTTCAACTCGGAGAATACCCAGACTCTGAGGTCAGTTCCCAATTGTGAGATGTTCGATCAACAACTTGAAACAAGATGAACGCATGGTGCAAGGGGGTATTATGCAGATCGGGCTTGCAAACCCCAACGGGTACGAAGTATTGTACTACGGAGTACGCATCACGGATTACACTGCGGAATGGATTTGTGTTTCACCGAGGCTCGCGTGAGTTCAGCCTTGCACTGGGCATTCCATAGTGTCTCATCATGGCGCTTGGGCTCCACTAGCGACTATTGAGGCGACTAGACGCAGAATGCCACCTGAAACGGATATTGCCTACGTAAATTCTAGCGAGGGCTAGTACAGTACTGTGCTCCGTGCAGTAGTCTAACATCTGTTCGGTCATGACGCCGGTTCCTCAAGATTGGGATGGTTTGGGCCGGTTTACTTGAATTTGATCCTTGTTGATTGGATCCGTGGACTACGATGTACAATGTGTACTCGCATATCGTGAACGTTCAGGCGTGACTCCGCATATGGAGCACTCGTGGCATTCGTGGATTCTTTCTGGAGAAGTCTGGATCTACCCCGTTGGCTCTGTGATGCTATATTAGTACTATAGGACCGCCAGCCGATCCTTGCCACGGAATTCTACAATGCGCTTGTAAATGATCTACTCCGTATACGAGGTGAGATCCATGAATCGGCGCGCACATACCCCTGACAGCCCTGGGCGATCATACAAACTATGAAGATACTATTTCGTACTCCGTAGGATCTACTATATCAACTTACCTGGACATCAGCCATGCCTAGCCAATACCCCATATTTCACGTTGATCTGGTATCCTCATTTCTAGAGCCTTGTTTCAAATGAGTTCAATGTTACTTTAGGTTTCGCTCCATTCTTTGCTAGTCGGCCTGAAGGCCATCGCAATTCCTCGCTTGCTTGTTCTCCGCGGAGCTTTGTCCAAACTCTGCAAGTGGCCTACAGTGATTAGGAAATTTTGTCTACCGCCCAGACATACCGCAGACGTTTGAAACACGAGAAGCCATTTGAATCCATATGCTCAATTTTCAGTCAAAATCTTGTCAGCAAGTGGCCAACCAGGATATTCAGACAGGTATATGCGACCGGAACCATAAGCAAAGCCTAACAAAGAAAACAATATGTTCATGATTACATCTGCATGTCCTGGTCGCCATCTGCATCCCCAAGCGCACCACCGGGTATCCGACCTTCATTAAGCTCTTTCTCCAACCTCGTAATCTCCCGCAGACTCTTCGCCTCGCGAATCATCTTCTCCACACGCTTGCGCTCCGCATCTGTCAGCTGTACGCGAATGCCCTTTTCAGCGGGGGCGGATGTAGTAGCGGGGACGTCGAAGGTGCGGGACTTCACGCCGAGGATTTTAGATGCGAGGGAGGAAGGTTCTTCGACTGTGCCGAAGAGCTCGGCGGACTTGGCGCGCTCGGCGTCAGATACTTTTTGGTAGTCGAGGAAACGGACGGAGGGAATGCGCCAGATGACCCAGTAGCGATAGTTCTGGATATGGTAAGCTGAGGATCGCGGGCAAGGCTAGATATGAAGCGGAACACACCTCTTTCCGTGTCAATGGGTTCTCGAGCAGGGTGAGGTGGGTCAGATGGCGGAGATCGCGCAGCGGATCAAGATCCGCTAGCTCGGATAGGTTGTTCGCTGTCAACACGAGCGTCTTCAGAGCAGGGATGGATGTTGCTAGTGACGGTTGGATGTGATTGATGCGGTTGCGGGCAAGGAGGAGAGTGCGGAGGCGGGGGAAGAATGGGAAGTTCCCTAGGGAGGACAGGTCGTTGTCGGTGAAGTCGATTGCGTCTTGATCCTGGGAGCTGTTAGCAGGGGACTTGGTAGATTCAGGAATTCAAGATTCACAATTGATTCTATCAAATGCGATATATCTCGGTATCGGGACAGCACTTACTTTGGCGATACCCAGGTTCTCAATGGTGGGGATCTTGTGCCCTAACCACGCAAAAATACGATATCAATCCAGCTCCCGTAAAGTGTAGCATCTGTTCTTTTCAGACAGGCTGTTGGTACGCACCTCGGAGATCCAGCTCGCGGTCTGTGAGCGGATTAATGTATGATAGCGAATTTTGGATGAGCTCGACGGTGAGACGCATTGTGGCGGGTGGCTTTGGCCGGAGGAGGAACGGTCAGGTTGAATGGTGTGGTTTATCGCGACGGCATAGGCGAAAGGTGAGAGAAGATCAAATCGCGCGGCAAGCTGAGTGGGCAAGCAATAGAGTGATCGGAAGCTGGTCGCGCCCAGTTTCTATCTGGTATCGAAGCCCTTTTTGCCAAGGCGGTGAGTATACATACACGTGATGAGTCTCGCCCTGATCAAATTGGACAACGGAGCATCAACCAAGATACTAGACATTGTGTCTACTCTCTGTATGTAGATATCACATTAGACTCTGTCTGAAGCTGAAAATAAATGCAAAATAAACATATTCAGATGAGGGACTATAGCCAGTGCGAAGGGGACATACGGAGGAGTGAACCTGTGAATCGACAGGTGCATACTCCCGGGAAAAGCAGATTGAGTTGGTCTAAGTCCTTTAGAAAAGGCATACCTAGGTATTTGAGTCATGCATTAATCTATATTCAGGTCGACTCCACGACCACTAATGGTACACAGCTCATTACGTGTAAACACCCGCCTGAGATCGAAAGCACTGCAACCAGAACAAGAAGGTACTCCAGAGCACAGGTTTGAAATATGATATGAAGAATCGAAAGCAGACGACCACAACACAAGCCGGGGGCAAACGAGAACTCCCCGAATGAAAAGAAAACAAAACAGGACGTACCGCACCGAATAGATCAGTGCGTGTCGGAGGAAACTCCAAGGGAAATGCGATGCTAGGTTGATTAATGCGTTATTCAGGACAGGTGCGTTAGTCGTCGGCAAGGGGCGTCATGCTTGGTGATTTTTGGTGGAGGGATCTGGTCGGACTGCCCGCGCGAGATCGTCGACCGTTGGTGGTGGGGCCCAAAGCTACCGGGGCCAAATGGTCCCTGCTTTCGGTCCGGACGACCAAGCCGGCGCGGTCCATGGCAATGCCCGAACCTCCACCACTGATTCCAAGTCCAATCGTCCCTGTAGAACTGTTGTCTAACGCGTATTTGAAGCTTGGGGTATTGCTGTTACTTCCCCAGCTGGATGCTCGTTTCGGAGGTCCCAGTCTGGCTGAGTCTGTTTCGGAGAGGCGTCCACCATCTTCACTCCCATCGGAATCAGTTACGCCGAGCTCGAAGTCTTGGGCTCCATCTTCGAGGACACGCTCGTAGGAGGGCGCACTGCGGCTCAGGAATGGTAGCATCGCCTTGAGTCCCTTCCGTTTCTTCGGGTGATTGGGATGGGAGGGTCCACCGCGGCGCAGCACATTACTAACACGGTTGAAGATTCTTGAACGACGGCTGCGACCACATAGGAAAAATCCGACCATGACGATGATCAGCATGAATAAAATGAAGCCTGGCACTCGGCGCGGTGAATCGCCGTCGAAAAGTGCGTCGTGCCAATGTTCGCTGTGAACGCCATCCGAGTCGGGTAATAACTGAGCACTTGGGTATTGGAAGTCATTTGGTATCCCAGGGACATTGCTGCCAAAACCAACTGGAAGGGCTTCTTCGACTTCCACGGGCACTTGGGAAGATGCGTACAAGACGATCTTTCCCAGAGTCCAGCTCACTTCGGTCGAGTCAATCTTGTTGACTGCTTGGAAGGCGTCAAGATAACCCTTTTCTTTCCCGTGAGCCAGAACCTCTTTGGTGCCGTTGTGGGATGAGCTCGGCGTTTCTTCCAAACCGACCCGAGGAACCCCAATGCCATCATGTAACATATTAATGATCCATGATGCCTTAAAGCATACCTCAGCGGCCTTCTGCTGGTCAACCTTCTTGCCCCACTTTTGTGCTTGGATTCCCTTTTCAACCGAGTCCCAGTCCTGGGAACAGAATAGTTGAACGCGTTCTTGGTAGGTGTTGAAGTCGTAGGCCTTGTCCTTGAATCCCATCTCAAAGATCTCGTGGGTGGTATGCCAGTACTCGCTGATTCCGATAAAGTGATTCACATCAAAGTCGATAGCTGGAACATGCATCCCGTGTAACAGGCAGGGTTCGTCTGTGCAGGGTGCATCCTTGTCCAATAAGGGAAACGTTTGACGTAGACACTCGTCGAATTTGCCTGTACCTAGCAAATAAGGGTCTGCCTCACTCTGCAATGCCACATCCTTCCCGTCCAAAGTAGTCCGCAGTCCACTAGGAAGGCACGGGTCCGGTAATTCCAAAATCCCCGGTCCCGCGGTAGTTTGCAAAGCCTCCAAGTAGCGTCTCCGGGCTTCATGCACGCCGAATTCAAGCCATGACGTAACAAACACTCTGTGCTCCTGGACGGATCCATCCACATTGCGCAGTCGCAGTAGCTTGAGGTCGTTGCCATGCTTCTCCGTCTCTGTGGTGTTCGGGGCGAACGCAATCTGCGCTGACGCACCACCCATATCGAGGAATCCGTAAGTGTGATGTCCTTTCCCGTGGTCGTGCTTGTCCGGGGTGTCAAAAGCACCCATCAGGTAATTTGTCGCAATCCATCCATAAAGTCCCTCGGTCACACCCGGAATCACCTGGATGTGAACGCCGCAGTCCGGAAGTAGGAAATTCGAATTGTCGCGAGCGTACGAGCAGATGTTGTCGAGGAGAATTTGTCGCTCCACGTTTCCTACCAGTCGCATGCCAGCCGTGGCGAGGAGAAAGATAGGAGTATCCTTAGCATCCTCAGCGGGTATGATTCCCTTCGCGTGATCCAAAAGTTCGGCCAAGTGATCAGATCCGACCAATTCGGGCTTGTCGGCGAACGAGGAAACACCTGTGGCGCAAGCGGGGTTAGCCTCCGGCGCCTGTGATGGCATTCGGTAGAACGAATCTCACCAGGGCGAATCTTCTTGGTCCACTCCTCCTTCGTTTTGATCTCCGGGAGTGATTTCAGCTCCTCGACGTCGGCTTTCTTTCGTGCGGCGGCATTTCGCAGCCATCGGTAAACGTGTACGCGGGTCCCCTAGACGGTCAGTTGGGAATGAACCGGTGGAATTGACTGTCGACATACAGACGATCCTGCGTCCAGGACGACACCATAACGCCCTGCAAATATTAGTTGCGAATGGTTGGGGGGGGGCAGAAGGACCACATACATTTGCCCATTTGGACTTTATTTGATTATTCGCAGATCATGGCAGTGTGGTCAGAATTAAATAAGCGATGTGCTCAATTATAGAGCGCAACGAAAGTAAAACGAATGACAAGAAGCAAAAGCCTTGAGAGAGGAGAAAGGGCCAGAGAGATAAGGGAGCCAAAAACGGCCGGGGGGCTGACGCGACGGCTTCGGGCGGTACAAAACGTGACGGGCAAGACCTGGTGTTCAGGTGGCGAAGGGGGGCCTGGACCTGCCCGCACTAGGGTAGGTGTGGTAATATTACCATACGTGACGATCTGGTTTCTATTTTTTACTATTTTTTTAGTTTTCGCTTCGCCTTGACTGTTGAGTACGGAGTAATTACACTGGAGTTGTCTATTTACTTTCAATAATGTATACCTACCTAGGTACCTAGGTGCGGACTACATAGGTATAAACTACGTACCACTTAGTGCCTACAGCTTACTCGCCCTGCATATGAATCAACAGGTCTCACTGCAGGGAACCGTTAGTGACAGTCTTGGTTCCACCTTTAAATTCTTATTCTGAACTCCCTTACTCCGTACTCTCTATTCTCTATATCCAGACTCTGGAGGACAGAGTACGATCTACTTATCAACTGTTATATTAAATAATCCATGTTCGATGCGGACATCTCTTCCCCGGAACGCTGCAGGGACGCTAGTCTTAGTGAATGAGGCTGCATAAAAGCATACGTCAGCTACGGCCCTTGAAGCCGATCGGACGTCACTTTGTCCCAGTCTGACACATTCGTCCTTTCAAGGGTTCCCCCTTGAGACACACAATTTCTGGGGAGGTTAACGTGGTCAAACTACTCAAGGGATAGGAGCTTTTGGATACTAGATACCAGTGACACCACATTCAATCCATGTTGTACTCGTATGCCAGGTGAGACAAAATCGCAAAGTACACATATCTATTTCTTGGCGACGGGGCCAACCACTTCCCCTAAGACGCTGGCACCAGGTGACGACCCGCAGAGATCGTCCAACAACGCCCGTTCCCCGATCTGCTCATCGATAAACTGCGCGCGGTCTAAGCCAACCATTTCCGCCTCCTCATGCACGCGCAGCTGCATACCCGGGATAAACTTCAAAATGTAAAGCAAGATACACGAGACCGTGAAGGCGTACGCGGAGATCGCGCACACCTCCGCCAATTGTTTCCCCACCTGGACCCCGTTGCCGTCAATGCCACCCGCCGCCTCGGTCGTCCCGTCTAGAGCGGCGATGGACCCCGAGGCAAAAATACCCGTCAGAAAGGCCCCAACCATGCCACCAATCCCGTGGAGCTTGAACACATCCATTCCCTCGTCGATGTGTACCCATTCGTTGATGTCTTGGAGAAGGGCGCAAACTGCGCTGGTGATGAATCCGATCACTGCGGCCAGCCAGATGGAGACGAAACCCGCCGCCGGGGTGATGCCAACCAGCCCCGCGATGGCACCTTCGCAGGCTCCTACCACCGAAAACTTGCCGCGATACTTGATATAGTCTACCAATACCCATCCAAGCACTCCAGTGCAGGCTGCTGTATTGGTGTTAAATGCTGCTAGCATTGCACGCATGTTGACGTTGAGAGTAGACCCGCCCTGGAGCTGTCAGATCAATCATTCCTGGGATCTTGGAATGAGCCTTCACTTACATTGAATCCAAACCACCCGAACCAAATCAATGCAGTTCCTATGAAAACGAGAGTCGTGTTGTGAGGCTTTGCATGGGAAGGCTGATCAAGATGCTTCCTCTTCCCTAGCACGAAAGCATACGCCAAAGCCGACCATCCCGATGCAATGTGAACAGGGCCGCCGCCAGCGAAATCCAATGAGGGAAGATTATACAGCCACCCGTTGCTGTTCCATGTCCAACAAGCCAGGGGACAATACACAACGGTTGCCCAGCAGAAACTAAATATCAGCGAAGGAATGATGTTTCCTCGCTCAAAGGCTCCGCCGACAACGATCATAACCTGCCATTGTCAATTTGATCCCCCAGAGCATATTCTGGGGTGGCTTACTGTGCATGCGCAAAATAGTAGCTGATAGAAGCAGAACACGATCTCTGGCAGGTTCCCCGACCCTGGCGACGGCGCTGCCATCACATTTCTCAGCCCAAAGTTCTTCAGTGTTCCGATGAACGGGCTTGCATCGCGGGCATAGGTGAGCGAATATCCCCAGAATATCCACTGGAAAGTTGTTCTATGATGATTTAGCGCGATTCACAGAGTGCAAAAGGGCTCACATACACCGCGACGATCATAAGAGACTGGAAGAGCAATGCAAGTGCGGACTTTCTCCTCGCAAGACCGCTGTAGAGAAGTCCAACTCCGGGAATAATGAGCCACACAATGAAGGCACAAAGTATGATGTAGATGTAGTTGAACTCAACTCCAGCGTACTGGGAGTTCACATCAACTTTGAGCGGATCTCCGCCTGCTGGGATGGATGCATTGTATACAGGCTATGATTTATACCTAGCATTAGCTCAAATTCGTCTGCCGTGGCTTTCACTCAGACATTCCCAGGTTCACTTACAGCTTCAACCATGACGAAAATCTAGGTGATTTTGAATCATTATTTCATGGTTCTGGGCTACCTACATATATGATGGTCGTCTTTGGCCTCGCTCAATGTAGCTCTACAGGGAGAATACCAAGACTCTTATCTTCCTGGATCTTGGGCAGAAGCCAACAGTATTCGCTCGAAAGACACAGAATCTGCCCCCGACGTCCTCGTATAATGGATATCATTATTTTCTATGACTATGCTACCTAGGTAGTGATAAGGGAACCTCGTCGGATCAGATTGATAAGGACACGGGCTGTCCAATAGCAATTTATGGTTGAGTCGACCCCCGGATCATACATCCATCTGGGGTTTAGACCCGTGGTAACCTTGTCTTCTGTTTCAGCCTGTAGGTTCACGGGCTGCATGGGAATCGGGCTGGATAACATCTAGCTCATTCTACTAAGGTGTCTCCTTCCAAGGTTGTGCCCCGTCGAACCTGTTGATGGAAATTATAGTAACTTTGGAATCTACTAGATAATGAGAACATGTATGCATGTTTACATGGTACCTAGGTACATGGATGTGCCCAAAGTTCCAAGGTTGAGACTATGTAACTCATTTTTACCGAAAAAGACCTGGCTTCCCTGCCTGTCCCCTTTGGCGGACTCCTGGTTAGTCGTTGGTGACGTAGGTGCATTTTTGCCAACCTGGGAAGACTTGGAAATAGTCCTTATCGCAAGTGAATGAAACCGAGGTCCTTTTAGCCGGATTACCTGGGGATGTATATCGAGGCGTAGTCCTTCGTATCCGTCGACCGTTCCCTGAGTGCGGGGTTGGAAAAGACAAGCAGAGGACAGGTAGGACTTGCAGCATTCCAGCATCGATCGCATCGGTTCAAGGTTGGTCTACGCTATGGTCCCTTTACTGCAAATGAACCCGTGGATCTCTTAATGACAGAAGAGCGGGGCCCGGGAACGTCTCAGGTAAAATGCCGGGGATCTGAGACAAACACCTAGTTTGACAGCTTCTTTGACAGCTTCACAGACTTGGGTCTCCGTCCAGTGGCCTTGGACACAAAAAATCAAGATATCAAACTTCCAGTCGGACTCATCGTCACTTGGCATAAATCACAGAGTGTGAGGTCTTCCGAAAGCCATTTCAGCAGGACGAATCACCTCTTTATGATATATACCATCGCTGTGGTTCTTATCAACGGACCCATGAGTGACCTGGCTTTGCATTCGAAAGATATGATGCCAGAATTGGTAGAGATGCGTGAGTTCTGAAGAAGCCCGGTTTGGATCCGGCCCCCTGCTTTCCCCACCCCCACGGCCCCGGTCGCGCGAGGTCCCGTTGCAAAAAAAGAGAAACGGCGACCCTACCTGCCAGGTACCGCAGTGGATACAAATTTGACCTCAAGACATGGGGATCGCGGGAATGGGTCTTCAGGACTGAAGCCGTCAATGGGTGGCTGTGTTGATAAGCAGTTGAACCAAGTGGATCGGCCTATGGACGTGATTCAAGTTGTGAGCATCGTAGGCCAGTCATTGTAGGCCAGTGCTGAGATTGATGAAGTCTCAGAGAATCCACTTGAAGAAGCGATTTCCATTCGTTTCAGCCCTATACAAACTGGCCCCCCACGGGAGGCTGAGTGGGATAAGAATAGAACTGGAACGCTGTGGCTGGGGCGGTTATATGGTAGGCAATGCAACGAGGAATCTTGCATGTCAGAGCAATTAATAGCCCGTATGTCATAGCCACAGAATGGGGTGGACAGGGATGCCCTAGTGCAGTGTGTACCAGCAGTGCAGTACAGTATGGCCCCCAAGTATGCCTTGGGAGTGAGATCATAAGACCCAACACTAGCCACATGAGGCTCCGAACGATTTCCCTTTCAAACAAGGCCGACTGACGGTGGGGACTCAATCCCCTTGAGCGCCCTCTAATTTCCATAGCCCACCTAAGTGGGTGGTGCGCCCGGCGCTTGTTCAGTTCCCGACTTCGCTAATACCTGATCGTCGGCCCCCATTCTTTTTGCGCCCTTTCTCTGATCTTCTTCTGATTTAAAGATTGAACGCCTCTCTCTTGAGTGGGGGAAAGTTGCCCCTCATATATACACGCTTATCTTATATACCACACCTCAGGCACATGACTCGATGAGAGATCGGCTCGACAGTTTTTGTGATCGCGGGGCCGAACACGAACACGAACATGTCGCGCACTTCCAGTGTTCAGGGGCACTCGCCGGCGCATATTCCAATCCCAGATCCGTATCTGTCCACGCGATGCGACCCCGAAGAAATCTCTTTCCAAGCCAGTGCGATTCGTCTGACACCGTCGCTCGGAAGTCCACACAGCAACGGGCCCGGCTCGTCCCCTCACGACCCCACAGTTCAAACAAACTATTTGGACCCCAATGACCACAACATCAGCACCTGTACCTCTCCTCTTTCCGACTGCTTTGTCGAGCCCAGGGAGGTGGAACTCGGCAGCGGCTCGAGTAGCTGGCGCGATGACAGCTATTCGTCGTATAAGTCTGGGACCAGTGCGCCAGATCCCGCTTGGTCTCCTCCCATGGCGCCAAGCGCCTTTCAGTGGACGAGCTCGCAACCACCTCCAGCCACAACAGTTACATCGACGGCACTGGGGCCCAACGGAGTACAGACACTCCCTCATCCTGGTCTCGGTGTTTTTAATCTGGAACCAGACCGACTTGCGCCTTCGACCAACCAGGACTCGACCGAGCTAGATCCGGACGTGCCTAGAGGGCGAAGCCCGGTATTCAAAATAACAACCACAACCTTCTCTCGGGGGGATTCACCCGAGCGCGGCACATCGCACAAAAGGCGTCCGAGTCAGTCGTCGGCGCATCTTTCAGCAGATCCCAACGAGTTGGAAGAGGACGACGAAGATGATTGTCCACAAACCCTGTGTGCGCCTCAGAAGCAGAAGCGAAGTCATGATGGCACATGGCTCCGTGACCCGTCTACTAATTTATCCGGCATTGGTCCGACATCTCGAGGTGATGAATATGTGCCAAGCCCCAACGATGTTCACGTGCACAGAGAGAGGGAAGAGAAGAATGAGGACATTGCAAGCTGGTCCGTCTGTGTGAGTGAGGCCAACAGCGTTGCTGGAACACCTAGCCCCCCACAACCGCGCCCACACATCCCAAGGCGACTTCGAGCAAGGAGCACCGGAGATCATCCTCTGAAACATGAGGACTATTTCAATCTGAGCACCCGTACCACAGATCAATCTTTCCCCGGACCCGGCGTTCTCGTCCATGAGAGCAGCGATGAAGTGAGCGAGGATGAGGAAAGCATCGGCACATACTCGAACGAGACATCTGCTGGAGTCGACGACCCCGGAAGATATGATCGAAGCACCCCCGAGGTCTATTCATCGCTCTCGCCAACTAAAGCCGATGAAAGTATTCGTCTTTATCCTTGGCACGATCCTCCCCGCGACTCAACCCCTAGATCTCATGCCTTGCAACCTGACAGCTCCACTGATGCTATGATAGCATTCAACAAGCGTGCCCGAGACCTCGAAACGGCGTCTCTCGCAGCAACAGTCGATAACAACAGTATCTTCAATGTGACCACGTCGTTCGAGAACTTCTCACTCGAAGGCGGGAGACAGCAACCGAAGAAGCGAACCAGTCTCCTCAAACGCCCGTTCCTCCAGGCATCTTCGATGTTAAAACGTCAAGCGTCCGACATGTCGATGAGCCAATCTAGCACCTATCCCCCACTCCCCCGAGACCCCGAGGACTCGCAGCTGAAACAGAGCTATTCACCCCGAAACCCATTCTCGAACCGTCGCCATTCGCGATCGCCCAGCCTAAGCAATGCATTGATGGCGATGACTAGTCAAATAGCCAGTGTTGGCGGAAGCCAATCTGTCCAGGCGGTGTCACCGGCACCATCTCCAAATCCAGAAAGGAGCTCTTTGAATCTCCACCAATTCACCGGTCGCGGTCGAAGCAGAAGCGAGTTACCCCGGCCAACTGGCCCAGGACTGATGAACCTGATGACTGCCCACGGTGGCCCTCCAGTTCCAAGCATTACTTCGCCTCGTGTCAGCTCAGAAGCTGACCAAACGCCTCGAAGTACATTATTGGGTCCAGATAACGCGGGTGGCGATGGTGATGTTGACACCAGCAACACCAAGGGTGTGATAATGGATTTCCCCGCTATTCAAAGCCTCCCAGTGCCAACATTGGAAGGATTCAAATCGCAAATCATGCAACTGAATCCGAGACTCGAACCGGCCTTGATCCACCGTCTTGCGAATGAGCAAGATCGCCGGTTTAAGGTTTTGGTTGGCTTGCAGCAGAAGCATTCCCAGGCAGTGGCTAATCACTCGTGCAAATCCGCGAATTTCTGTTTCGCTCAGGGCGGCAAAGAGACTCCACTGTCAGACTCCAAGGCACCGGTGGAGAACAGGGCTGGACAAAACCAATTCCACGTGAACAATTTGACCAGCGGACACGAGCAAGGGTATGCGATAGGAGAAGGCACGGTAGCCGCGGCACAATTCCCCCCTGGAGTGCCCCTTCCGCCGGTCAGCCGCCTCCCTGCCCGCTTCGAATGTCCCATCTGCTTCCAAGTGAAGACCTTCGCTAAGCCGTCCGACTGGTCCAAGCATGTCCAGGAAGATGTGCAACCCTTTACCTGCACATTCCCGCACTGCAACGAGCCCAAGTCATTCAAACGTAAAGCGGACTGGGTCCGACATGAGAATGAAAAGCACCGCCACCTAGAGTGGTGGACCTGCGCATTCACTGACTGCAACCACACCTGTTATCGTAAAGACAATTTCGTGCAGCATCTGGTCCGGGAACACAAGATGCCCGAGCCCAAAGCGAAGAAAGGCACGACCGAAGGGCCGAACAGCCGACGCGATCAAGACATCGAACACATTTGGCAAAAGGTCGAAGAATGTCGGCACGAGACGAAGCAAGCTCCCCAATCAGAGCCGTGTCGCTTCTGCGGGAATGTCTGTAGCGAGTGGAGAAAGTTGTCAGTCCACCTTGGCAAGCATCTGGAACAGCTTGCCATGCCCGTTCTGCGGTTATCGAAACCGAGTAGTGCTCCCGTTCCTGCTGACCCAGGACGATCGGCGCCCCTGGCTTCGTACGAAACGGCTTTGCAACCGCCGTACGCGGCGCAAAACAGTATCCTGGACTACAATTCAATGACCGGTATCGAACTTTCTACCGAGCCCGAGTCCATGACAGAGACCCTCAATTATCCTTATCTTGGCGCCGGTCTCGACGTGGCCCAGGCTCATCCCCTGCATCAGAACTCGACCTATCCGCCGCCCTATGCCGCTCCACGCTCGAGATCTCCGGAGCCCGATGTCATTCATTCGTACCCTCTTCCTCAGTTTCAGGTGTACCCCGCGGATTACTACCAGCCGATGGAGTCCAACGCCCCCTATACGGCCACTTATTCGTCCGGGTGATCCTCGGTTCGGAGACCCTTGATTATTTATGACTCTTCTTTTTTTGGATCTTTCCTTTTTTTCCTTGCTTATTCCCCCTTTTTGGTGCATCAGCTTCATCGTAATAGATGGCGCAATGCTCACGAGTTATGCGAGTCCATTGGAATGGCTATGATATAACCTCATTTTCCGCCCCATTTTGCGGGAATTCCGTATTTCGCTCGGCTCTCCTCCGTAGCAGGTGCATGGCATATGAGCGATCAGATTGTGTTTGGCCTTTGCCGTTTCGGTACTAGCGTGACGGAACAGACACACGGTTCCACGGTTCGTAGCACCAGCCCGAACTAAAGTACGGACCACAGGGTCTAGGACGGAGTACTCTCGATGATGGCCAGGGTCTGCAGAACTACTCCGTACTAGTATGATCATCCGGGTGGGTGAGAGACACTCTAATCAAACATCCAATCGTTTCAAATGTAAAATCTAAATTCGAAACGAACTTCTCGTATAACGTGCCTCATCCCTTGCAACATGGGGCCAGTCATGTCGATCGCCCACTGTCACAGCCCGATCCAGAAGTCCTTGCTTCCAGCCTGCCTTTTGAGACGTTGTCTTGCATGCCTCGTGCAGGAACGGCTCAGCTGTGCGGGTGTGATACGTGTGCGTGGCTCGAGTCACTCGAGCCTGGGTGACGAGATCGGGGATCTGGGAAGTGGAGAAGATCTGAGGGAAATGGCTCTATCAGCCCAGACAATTACACTGCAGGATGCAGGCTGCGACCACTATTCTGCGTACGCCGTATTTCCACTCCAATAATTATATCATTATGAAGACACGCACAAAGTGTAAATCCTGACACCTGGGGGGGCTGTGCAATCAAGGGATGACATGTTGCATTCCACGCTTATACGCGAGGGCACGCGAGGGCGAACTCAGTATCCTTCTTATCCGCGTAATTATGCTCTGCATTTCTAACCCTTGGCTCGTTTATCGCGTGGTGAGGTCAACCCGGGCCGGGGCGTAGTGGAGCTTGCGTGTCTCTCGCGTGTAGGCTTTGGCATTTGCTGTCGCATAAGGTCATGGATACTTTAATAATGCCCCTCCCGCTGATTTGAGGTGTGTGCGCCTCACTCATTGAAATTACTCACCCGGGTTTTTTTTTACTCACAAAATGGAGGTTAGTGCTTACCACAATCATCCCCACTACTATAAAATCTAAAATCCACCAGGGCCCCCCGGATTGGACCGATACTGATGTCCTCCAAGGCATCATGGCTAACGACGACAAAGCCTTTGGATCCAGCCTGGACTTGCAGCTTGGCCCCGATCCCTCTTATCTCAACCAGTGGTCCTCAAATCCATATTACTTCTCCCGTGGGGACCAGGATGCCTGGAATCCGCTGCTCGCCACAGGCGTTCCAACCTCGTCGATCCCCCATATGAACGTTTCTCTCCCTGACGAGTACTGCTTTTCTCAACATCACTATAGCGAGCCATCTGAGAGTGGTAGCCAGTACCTGGATAGTTACCCCTCTGCCGACTCCGGGTATGGTGGAACGAGCTGCGCGACACAGTCCGTTGTCGCTTCCAACTATACCGACTCAAGCCCACCTAAAGATGTATCCGATGGCACTTGCGACTCCCTATTTACATCGCGGTCATCTTTTTCATCCGAATTCGTCGGGTCGCCATCGATGCTCGAAGGGCCCATCCGATGTGATCATCGTTCTTGCCTCTGGGTTGGGAAATGCCCTTCGGATAAGAGGTAAGCTTGAGATGTTTTCTAGTGATTCTTTCAGATGATTGACATGTTCAGAAAACATGAGGCTCGTCATCGGAAACTGTTCAAATGCGACGAACCGAACTGCACCCGCAAAGAAGGGTTTGGGACTATCAACGACCTCGCTCGTCATAAGAAATGTGTACACAACAAAGAGCCTGAGCGAGGACCTAAGATGATGTACATGTGTTTCGGGATCAACTGCCCTCGTCCAACCAAGAGGTGGCCCCGACTGGATAACTTCAAGCAACATTTGCATCGGATGCATCACGAAGAAGACGGAGAGGCTCTGCTGAAGAAGTACGTCTTATATCCAATCTTATATGGTGTCGATGCTTACTTCTCAACAGATCGATGGAATGGTACGAAAAGGTCATTTGTCGGCCCGCAAAGAGCGTCGCCGCCAACAGCCCCAACTGTGAATCGGTACTTGAATCACAGGAAGAAGCGATCACTGCCAACTCGGCATCAAAGCTTGAACCCGGAGCCAACGGAACGTCTCAAAAGTCCCAGGTTTTCACTTTTGGCGCCACTCCTGAGCCTCACCTACAAACATCGACGGGAACTGATCCCTCCCAATTTCCTGCCTTCGGCTCTTTGGGCCTGACGGGCCAAGATTCCTCGGTCGACCGCACCACAAAACCAGAAGCGTCTATCACAGACGCAGCAGATAACTTGATCAATGCCATGACGAAAATGATGAACAATCGCGGACGAAAGTCAAGTCAGAATTTCGATGAAGGCATCGACCTCGATCCAGATAATACTCAGCTCTCCCAAGCTCAACGCCAAATGCTACAGAAGGTCCTTTCGGCTGCTCTTGAGCGCCTATCAGATAATGAGTCCGTTCAAGACGGCGAAAAGCAAGACTGGTTTCAGTGCGACGCATGTCCCAAGAGGACCCGACTGCGATGCGAAATGAAGTGAGTACTTTGAACTTTCCACGCCTTTCGAATCCCCTCCTAATGAAAATCAGAAAACATCAAAAGCGCCACGAAAGACCTTACGGCTGCACCTTTCCCCACTGTGCGAAGTCCTTCGGCAGCAAAGCTGACTGGAAGCGCCATGAGATTTCCCAGCACCTTAGCGTCCCAAGCTGGCTCTGCACCGTTCCCGACTCGACCAAAGGGTCCTGCGAACGGCTATTCTACCGACCAGATATCTACGCGCAGCATCTGCGTCAGCACGGGATGCAGGAATATCAAATCGCCTCAGCGACGAATAACCGCCTTGATTTGAATGGCCAGTCAGATTTCTGGTGTGGGTTCTGTAATCGGCGAGTCATGCTGAAGAGCCACGGTGCTGCGGCTTTGGATGAGCGATTCAATCACATTGATATTGAACACTTCAAGAAAGGAGAAAGAGGCCAGGACTGGGCTTCGCCTTCGGGTGAGATGGTTGATGTTAAGCTCGAGAAGGGGCGCAAACGCAAATTTACGGCCGTGTGATACTTTGTTTATAATATACTTGCATGGTGTTGAATAGCGTTTTCCCATACAGTTGTGGGTTTCATTATGATCAGCTCAAAGGACATAATATACAAGTCTGTTATCTACTTATTTCTTTGGTTGGCTTTGGGCCATCTCTCGTGCCTGTTTCTCTAGCACTGCCACCTGTTCTGTGAAAATAATTAGTACACGTAGAAACTTCGAAGTCAGCTCTTTCAAGGTTTTGGTCTTACCATTCTTTTCCACTCTAGTCTCGTCCATCTCCAGCTTCAGCCAAGTCCAATAAAGGACTTGGTAGACGAAAACACCGCCGAGGAAAACCTTGGCAAAAGGGCCAGCGAAGGTACGATATTGATTCATCTAGATTTCGATTAGTGTGCTGCTGCGCTGACAGTATAGATTAAATAACAGTCTTACTCCCTCCTTGTAGGCACTCGGCTTTTCGGGTGAGCTGGGCGTGTTGCATGTCGCTGGTGTTGATGTGAAGGCGCGTCGGCCGACGGAAAACCGGGCAGACTGCAGGGAAAACATGGCCGGTGTGATCCGGCGAGCTGATTGAGAAAACATATTCGGCTAGTATCCAATGCTGGCTCTTTGTATACTCAGTTCGATGGAAAACCAAGGGGTGATGTTGAAGTTCGCAGTCCATTTTGGGTATAGCGCTCTTGGCGTTCATGCCTGGGGTGTCTAGGCCGATCTTGAGAGCTTCATCTCTACGGTCTCTATGCGTACATCTACTACTTCCTATATTGCTGACACTTTGAAAATATCTCTATGTTCATATGAATATGGCTCGAATTTTGAAGGAGGAGTATCAACAATCAAGTGCTACTGGTGGAGCGATGGCCAGTCGGAAGGTGATGAACATGTTTGATCGAGATGCTGTTCAAGTGCGGTCTATAACTACATAGGTAGCCTTCAGGGTCACCAAAGAAACAGATACCCAAAAGGCCAATGGTTCCAAAATATGTTCTATCTGTCACATGCTCACCCTGTCTTTTAGTCCGAATGAACCACCTGCCCTCGCGGATCAGATCATTCAGATGAGGTCCACGTTATATGCACCCTCTAGGGCCTCTACCTAGGCATTTGGTGATGTATCTGGATTACAAGTCTTTCTGTATGTCAAGGCATATTTTCATTCATTCATAGATGCCATATTTTATGACATTGGCATTATTTCCGACACTCATCCGTGGCCATCTGGTAAATGACCAACTCAGGTTTCATGGAGAAACTACGATGGGAGGTGCAGCTGCCAACTCGCATCCAAACAGCCACTTTCCCTCCTCCCAGGACTTTCCTCCTACCAATATCCCATTCCTGCATCTTACTATTTTACCTTACCTTGCTATCTCTCAGAAGTCTTCCTATTCCCGAAAATGACAAAGCCGAGGAAGTCACCCGATCAGCCTTTCAAACCGCGTCACGGGCTGTCATCCACGAAGCAGCGCCGACAAAGTCCTTTCGATCTCAGACCTCGCTCTCAGGAAGCTTCGTTAGCAGCTAGTCCTCAGATGGCTACGGAGCCCTCGGAATCGCTGTCGGAGTCCCTGTCTCCCAAGCCAGCGGACCATATTCCTCCTGTCCCTGAATTGACTCATTTGCAGTCTCCAGTCTCGACAGGACTTGGTTCGACTCCTTCTGATCATCCCAGGGATCAAATTTCGTCCCAGCAAGAAGGGCAACTGCAAGACACGCAAATCGTGGATACGCCGGATATTCCGTCAAAGTCCCAACCTCCCTCGCCGGCGATTTTCCCACAAGAGCAGCCTTTGCAGCCAGTGAATATTAGAGGTCGTCGATACTCGGTTTTCGAAGACTCCAGGCCTCAGGAACTCCCAAAACAGAGTTATCCCAAGGATCTGAACACCTCCGGTATGCAAGCCCCAGAATGGTCATCAATCAATCGCCGAAAGGACTCCGATCAAACCCCGTTCCCGAATGTCGATTTGAGTGAGATTATAGAGAAGTGGAAGGCTAGGCCCCCGAAAAAGCCGGAGAACTACCAGCCAATAGGATGGCAATTGGGAAAGCCAGAGGAAAAGACGGCTGACAAGTCGGCTGAAAAGTCGGCTGGAAAATTGGCTGGAAAGACGGCTGGAAAGACGGCTGAAAAGCACACGGATCCGGATCTTTGCCAGAACACCACGCGATGTGTCACATCGAGCTACGAGGCCGACAGGACTGTGATCGATCACCTGAAGCGAGCACAAAAGAGGTTGCGGGCGGAATATGAGGAGTTCGAGGAGGAGGTTGATGAAACCCTTGAGGTGCAGGGTATCAACGACAAGCAGCACAAGCGCCTACGACGAATCAGAGCCAGGCTTCATGATCAGTTGGGTGAGATAGAGAATGATCTCTGCAATTTTGAGAAAAAGAAACAGGATGATCACAAGCGTGTGCTGGAATACCTTGGCTCTGAGTAAGAAAGGTGCAATTCTGGGGTGTATGGAGCGTCATCGAGGCCAAATTCGAAAAGGAATGACATGGAGGCACCGAGATATTTTTGGTCTCATTGGGAGATATGGGAAGATTCACAGATGGATTCGTTGACCCGGGAGAAATAAGGTATTATTACTTGACTACAGCAGGGCTTGGCTGTCACATTAAAGGTCCGAACTGTTGAGAGGAGCAACGTTGGACAACTGGGAAGGACACGAACTGAACAACTCGGCTTTTGAGGAATATTGTTTTTACCATGCCTGTTACCTACATACAGGTAGTATTCTTTCTCTATGTATTATGCTGCAATCACACTCACTGGCAATCAAATTACAAATTTGGAACAAACCTTGGAATGAAATGGAACTTTACCTAGGTAGAGACCTTGGAAATAGGAAGAAACTCATCCCTACTAGGTAGTATTTGTTTGGCAAAAGACACCCGTCTCTGGGAGTGAAACCATGAAGGGCCAAACGAGGGCTGAAGAGAGCAACCCTGAAACCTTGGAAGGCCACTAACATCTAAGTACGTCTACGTTGCCCCTTCCAGGCTATTTAAGTAATTCATCTATTTTGCTTTGTCTCTTGCGTCGCAAAATGTCGTGGCTGCCGACAATGATATAGTTAGGCCAGGGGTCTCATCTTGGTGGCTCAAATGTTTCTTTGCGGGAAGTATATAATTGCCGCAGATCCCCAATGGTGGTCGCAAACCTGGAAGTGGTTTAGAGCCACTACCGCCATCACGATCTTCAGTTTGACAATCCTGGAAACAATCCATAGACACAAGCACTGATTTCTACATTTTTGTATCTGGAGGTGGAAAGGTAGATTTAGAGTGAAGAGTGTCCACCAACCTTGGTACTCAATGGATACCGAATCTCTCAATAAGGGTGATACCTGGAAGATTTTGCCAACATACTTTGAGCAAATGAGAAAATAAATAATTTATTATTGTCAATCAAAGCCATAATATAGATGAAGTGAACCAGCACGGTGGAGATGAAATCGACTTTACTGCGTGGAGCGGGCACGAGCCACGCTGAGTCAGCGGCACATGATATCAGGTTCAAAGTGTCCGGGCAAAAAAGAACAGCGAACCAAAGGTCAAAATGGCAATGCGCCTAATCTCGTCTTCTTCATGTCACTGAAGGCTCTCTGACGACGACTTTCACCACTATGTCCAGCCCGGGCTCCACCCCCTTCAATGCTCTTTTTTGGAGCTTTGAGGATTCAAAATGGCCCAAATGATCGATTCAGCGAATTTAGAAGGAGCAGAAAGGGTTTGAATAGCTCTTACTCATGGGGGCATCATTGGCCTGGAGGTCAATGGGGTATTGAAGCAAATCCCCATTGAAGGGTGGCCCGTGCACCATTGACTAATAAGGGGACAAGCCACATTGTGGCTGATGCATTCAGATGAGCGCGAGTCCTTTCCGCCCTTCTTCCCTGAAAGAACTGATCCTTCGAGTCCCCATCGTCTGCTACTCCGCCTGGCAATTCTCTCTTGAATATCTATTCCGTTGATTGCCCTCCCACATATCTGTTTTCCCACGCGTTCCCGAGTCCGTGAGACCTTTCCACCTCTGGTTGCGCTCCACCGTGCTGGATCCGCTAACCTATTGATCAGCAATTGTCGGGCGGTTCCAAGGTTGATAGTCGGACAGCCTGATTTAACTCTTTGTGATCGGGTGGTCCAGCAGTTGCTGGCGACAGCTTATCCATTCGTAAGTGTTGATACTGCCCGCATTGCGCAACTGTCCCAAAGCCTGTCTTCGACCTCTTTGTGTTTGTTTGTCATCTTCACATTGACCAGCGATGGCTCTTCGCTATAACCCTTAAATCCAAAATCCCTATGCTAATTCGATCCTTTGAAGTGATTTACCCGCCATCAGCACCGCGCCATGGCCCGAAGCGCAAAGCGTTCGTACGAGGAGGTCGCAAATAAGTCCGATTCCGACGACGAAGACTACAGCGACCATGCTCAGTACCATCGCTCAACAGCCCGGAAATCGAAGTCAAGCCCCAAGAAAAAATCGCGCTCAGCCCCCAAAAGGCGACGACGCGGCTCCGATGACGATGGAATCACCTCTGATGAGGAGGAGTTCTCCGAAGACTTGTCCGTCGAAGAGGAGGAAGAAGAGGAGTCGAGCGATTCTGATGCCCCACGCAACGCCAGAGGAACGCGTCGACGAACCACTCAAAGCCACCGTCCAATTTACGAAGAGCCTGATTCGGAAGAGGTCATTGATGACGACGACGAAGGGACTCGAGCTCCATCCCCGCGTCGCAGCACGATTCTTAAACTCCGAGTTCCCCGCCACGCATTGGAACAGCAACAGAAACAGCCAGCGCAGTACCAGGAATACAGAAGACACATGACTCGCCATACTCGAGATCCTTCAGAGGACATTTACGCTCTTACAAACTCCGGTCGTCACATGGAAACGGTCCAGCGTGGCACAGTGAGCCCTCCAGCTGATGTGCCATCACGTCGCACTTCCCGTAGCAATCGCAACAAACACACCATCATTGACGAAGAAGATGAGGATGCCGAAGCCGAAGAGGTCATAAACGAGACTACCCTCAAGGATTCTATGGAGGTCGTGGAAAGCGATGTTCCTCAAGGCGGCGACGAAGGCGATACAGTGCAAATGAACGACGCTGAACATGAACTGGTCGATGATGATATGTCCAACGAAGTGGTTGTGCCTGAATCAGAAAACGGCGATGCAAAGAACAGCCACATTGAACCGACCGATAATGTTCCAACCACTCGACTTCTACGTGGCCGGCCACCGCAGACGCAATCTCATGAGCACATCACGGAAGACGCAGAGGGCAATGAAGACTCTCAGCTACGTCGTTCTAGCCGTAAACAGCCACCTCGGAGCTCGCAACGCACTGCCAAACTGGACAGTGACTTCGAACCGGAGGAGGCGTCTAACGAGGAAGAAGAAGACTCGGAGCATGGATCGGTTGCATCTCCTCGCAAACAAAGTCGCTCTCGAGAAGAAGCTGAGGATAGCTCTACCAGCCGCCGTCCAGGTTTGCGCAAAAGACCTTCTCGCTCCCGTGCACCATCCGAAGAAGCGGATGAACTTGCCGAAGAGCTGGAAGATCTTCACGGTGGTCGCCGTTTCCGTCGTCGTGCAAAGCAAGCAGTCGTGTACGAAAAACCGCGACGCAACCGAAAGGACGTGGATTATCGTATCATTAGACCTGAACTTCTCCAACCCAATGACGACAGTGACCACGAAGTGACCGGGTCTCCCTCACGGCGTGGTCGCGGAGGAGGTGGTGGCTGGCAGCGCACCTTGTTTTCGACAACAGGGCCATTTGGTGGTGGTGGCAACTCGGCAATTCTCGGTGCTCCCGGTGGTCCCGGAGCAGCAGCAGCAGGAGGAGCAGACAGCGACAGCAGTGATGATGAGGGCATGCAACAGCCGACTCGCACTGGTCTTGGTCCTCACGGTGCCGTCGCGGCTACACACAACCAATCAGCCGACACGGCTCAAGCCGCATCTGGCACACCTGCCAACCTGGGCAAGTTTAATAACAAACAAGCGCTGGCTGACGCAGACCCCCTGGGAGTGGACATGAATGTCAACTTTGATCATGTTGGTGGTTTGCAGGGACACATTGACCAACTGAAAGAAATGGTGTCTCTCCCATTACTTTACCCGGAAATCTTCCAGCGTTTCAAGATCACGCCTCCACGTGGTGTCTTATTCCACGGTCCCCCTGGCACCGGTAAGACGCTCATGGCTCGTGCTCTGGCGAACAGTGTCAGCACTGAAGGACGAAAAGTCACATTTTACATGAGGAAGGGTGCGGACGCGCTAAGCAAGTGGGTTGGCGAAGCCGAGCGACAACTTCGTCTCTTGTTCGAGGAAGCCCGCAAGAACCAGCCCAGTATTATCTTCTTCGATGAGATTGACGGCCTAGCACCAGTGAGATCCAGCAAACAGGAACAAATCCACGCTTCGATTGTTTCGACCTTACTTGCTCTGATGGATGGTATGGATGGTCGAGGCCAAGTTGTTGTGATTGGTGCTACGAACCGACCGGACTCTGTGGACCCTGCTCTTCGTCGTCCCGGTCGTTTTGATCGTGAATTTTATTTCTCACTGCCAAACATTGAGGCTCGACGTGCCATTCTTGATATCCACACCAAAGAATGGGATCCTCCGCTCCCAGGAAACATCAAGGATGAGCTCGCTGATATGACAAAAGGATATGGCGGTGCTGATCTACGTGCTCTTTGCACTGAAGCCGCAATCAATGCTGTTCAGCGGAGATATCCACAAATTTACAAATCCGACCAAAAGCTCATCATTGACCCGAAAACCATCGATGTTGCGCCAAAGGACTTCATGCTGGCGATCAAGAAACTGGTGCCCTCCTCGGAGCGCTCTACTTCGTCGGGTGCAACTGCGCTTCCTCCGAATATTGAGCCTCTCCTCCGCCATCCACTTTCCGAAATCAAGAATTTACTCACACAAATTCTACCCCAAAGAAAGAAACTCACGGCCCTTGAAGAGGCCCAGTTTGAAGAGCCTAGCGACGGTGAAGGCTTTGGCCGAGAGCTTCTTCTACAAGAATTTGATCGCTCTAGGGTGTTCCGACCAAGACTACTCCTCCGGGGCTCTCACGGTATGGGCCAGCAGTACCTGGCTGCTGCATTGCTTCATGTCTTCGAGGGCCTACATGTACAGGCGTTTGATCTCCCTACTTTGCTGAGTGACTCTACTCGCTCGCCAGAGGCAGCTGTCATTCAGCTGTTTACAGAAGTGAAAAGACACAAGCCCAGCGTCATTTACATTCCCAACATACAACTGTGGTCCCAAACAGTCGGACCTGCAGTGATATCGACATTCATGGGTCTACTTCGATCAGTACCGCCTTCCGACCCTGTTCTCCTGCTCGGTATCCTCGAGTCACAAGACGAAGAGATCGACGATGCCTTGCTGAAAAACATGTTTGGATTCTCTAAAAAGAACTTCTTTGATCTATCTGCTCCTGGGCATGAGGCCCGCCGAGAGTTCTTTGCCAAGATCATTGAATTTGTCAAAACTCCTCCCAAGGCATTCCCGAACCCAGATAACCGCAAACTCCGTCAACTGGAAGAACTTGAAGTTGCACCGCCTCCTCCCAAGGTTGAAGTAAAGCTTAGCAAAGAAGAGCTTAAGGCCCAAAAACGGAAGGATTACCACACCTTGAACCTTTTGAAAATCCGAATCCAGCCCATCATGGACCAGGTCAAGAAGTACAAACGGTTCAGAACAGGCGTGATCGATGAAGCTTCAATTCGGTACTTGTGGGATGAGGATGATCCCAACATCGTTACAAGCGATCTCCCGCCTGACCAGCAGAGCGGTTTCCGGCCTTACGAAAAATCACATGATAAACACGGTGTTTTGGGCCTTCGTGAGACTGCTACTGGAAAATTCTTCTACAACCTTGAGATTGTCACGATCGAAAAGCGGCTGTCAAATGGATATTACAAACGACCCATGGACTTTGTTGCCGACGTGAAGCGGATTGCCAAAGACCACCGTCAAACTGGTGATCAGGAGCGCACGTTACGGGCCAATGAACTTCTATCAAACGTCGAGGTTGATGTTGCCGGTATTGTCGTTGCTGATCCGGCTCTCATGGCAGAGTGTGAGCAGGTCTACCTGCGTGAACTCGAACGTGAAAAAGAGGCAGCAGAACGCGCCCAGCGCGCTGAAGAACAGCGTCTCGAGGAGGCACCTAATCAGCAGGGGGAGCTTGATCCTGCTGCTGAGACTCACAACGCTGAGGCGAATCAAAATGGCCCCCAACATGTTGCTGATTCATTCCCAGTCAATGGTGATGATGATGACGATGAGAAGAAGCCTGTATCGCGTCCAGTGACACCTGCTAACCAGCTGAGCTTCGCCAATGGCAACTATGGAGTCAACGGCGCCGAGCCCAACGAACTCGGCTCCCATGGCCCAAGCAACGGCACACATGGAGAAGCAGAAGAGGGTGATGGCGATGGTGACATCTTCATGTCCAATTCTGACGACCACTCCGGTAGCAAAGATACCCAAGGCAGCTCATTTGGGCCGTCTGCGCAACCCAAGCCTCCATATTCCCACACTGCACCATCTCAACAGGTGCGCCGGGAGTCTGGTCTCTCTAGCTTCTCCCAGCGAGGTCCAATGACTCCAATGGCTCCTGGCTCCCAGCCCGCCGATTACACGAACGAAGCATCAACCACCCAAACAACTTCTGATAAAAAGTCATCCGAGCATCTTTCAAACCAACAATACAGCACTCAAAGCCCTCACGTCTCAAGAATCGAATACCCCGACCTTACTCAATACCCTGATCGCGTGTCTCAAGAGGATCATCTGCCAGATACCCAACAAAGCCAGCCCTCCCCCCGCCCTCGGGACTCACTGGCGAGCACTGTTGATACCCAAGACAATAGTGGTTTGAACGGGGGCCAATCCCAGTCCAAGCCCCAGCCACCACTGTTTGATGCGCCGAACTTGTCAAGCAACGCTTCCACCAACTTACAATCGATCATTCAAGAGGAACCCCATGCACCATTTGTCCTTGATCTGGACATTGTTGAGAGATTACACGAGCAGTTGACCCTGTCAACGAGTGGCTTCTCTGTGGAGCAACTTGAGCAGGTCAATACCAGCCTGATGGACTACGTGTGGCATATGCGTGGCGAATGGAACCGAACTCTTGTTGCCGATGGCCTTGGCAAGACGTACAATGATGTGCTCGAGGACATGCAGGCGATGCAAGAGATCGGCAACATCAGCCAGGCCACCAGGGACATTCTCGCCAATCTGAGCTTCCAGTGATTACAATCTCTTGTCCCACACTCTCATACTTTTCATACTTGTTTTCACCTTTCATTCCCCTGTCAATATGTTGACGCATACTCATATTCCCCTTTGGTCGATGGTTTTTCTTTGTGGCGAGATGGATGGATGGAGCAATGTGTCTACTAGCCGAATTTCCCTTGTTTGTATGGAACCAGTCGGCATGTCCTTTGACATCATGTACGTAAACTACGAAATTAATGGCACAAGTCTCTCGAGACACCGGTATCAAGTTTCTTGTGAGAGCTGTAAGGATGATTATCACGAGCTAAACAACCTCACTGGTTCACAAAATGCTAGAAATCGCAATATTGGTGGAAATTCTTGAGACGAGAGGGCAAGTGAGGGTCGAAGTATAGAGGGCTGAACATGTGACGTGACCCACTAAACACACCTGGCCTTTCGAGCTTGACCCGCGACGCTTCCAATACCCTTGATTGTTCAGTCTCATACCCTCCTGCGAATGATTGTTTGGATTTTGGCGTCCACTCAAACTCTCTGAAACCCGTTTTCCTGTAACGCCCATCCGACACAATGTTCGGCGTGGACTGGCTCGGTCTCGCCGTCCCTCTCGCCTACCTTGGCATTCTCTTGGGATCACTCGCCACATTCTCGTCACTATACCGCAAGCGCAAGGCCCGTACGTTCAACAATCGCAAAGCATATGCTTTCGCTGCCCGGCTCGCGCCGTCCTACGCGTGGCCAATTCCATTCCTCGGAAGCTAACATCTCATCTCGAACCATTCAGACAAGGCCGCATCTCTAGAGCCATGGTTCCCCGCCCACCTCCAGCGCGATATCTACTTCTCCCTACTTCACCTAGAGCCATCATCCAATGAGAAGAAGACCGCCGCTATTCCCGACTCCATCTTCAAGGCATCTCTCCTTCGCCGCGCAGCAGAGGACATTCGTCGTATTATGGCGCTGCGCGGTCAAAAGCAAGCTCTTTCCATGTTGCTCCAGCGTGGCAGTGTTGGAGATGATCTGTGGAAGCGATTCGAGCGCGCAGAGAAGGAAATGGAAGATGAAGTCAAGGACGTGGTTTCAGAGGTAAATGAATCGATCATGTTTGTGGTATGTGCGATGCTAACAGACGCAGGCCAATGCCTATGTCCCCGGCTGGGGACAAACAATCTTCCAGTCCGCAAACGAGATGCTGAACAACGAGATCTACCGCAAGCGTATGGAGGAGCAAGCCTCCAAGGTTGAGGAGGAGCGCAAGTGGTGGGACAAGAAGAAGACCAGCATTAAGGAAGGATTCATGAAGGAACTGGAAGAGGATTCTTCTGCGACTCAGACCACACCCACATCAACTACGGCCAAGGACCCCGAAACTGCGCCGACGACCTCTCCAGCTCCCGGTGCTTCGGTTCAGGGCAGCGATGATGATGCGGTTCTAGTGGAAGCGGAGAACACATCCAGCACCCCCAATTCTCCGGCGAGCGCGAAGAAGAAGGGCAAAGGCAAGAAATAGACGAAATTGTGTTTTATATTTGTACGCTTTCCGGGTTTGAAATAATTCCAAGGGATTTTTGAGCTTCAGGTCTTGCATTTTGAGGAATTGCATTATTATACCAGTTCTGTTAGTCGGCTTGGTGTTTTTGAATATCATGGGAGTTGATTTTCTTTTTATTCATCTCGAGTAAATCGTAGTAGAGTAAGGTTTATTTCAGATAGGTGTTCAAAAGCGAATAATGTACATGGCCCTTTTTTGGGCGTGAATGATAATCCCAGACGCCGCTGATGCTTGGACCAAAATGGCAGAAATTACTCACAGAAGCTTGCTATCATACATCCCCAAGGGCGATCCCAAGTCGATCTGCCCTACCGTCATTTCCTTCGCCACTGCGTCTACTTTGTCCTCGATTTGGGCCGGATTCAAGTCGTCAGTTCGACTCAGAACGATGCGCAGCATGCTACCCATGATCTCTATTTGATACTGCTTCAGTTCCTCCGGATCCAGCTGATCAACAGTGAGTCCCTGCAACCGCAGACTTTCAGCCTGGCGGTCACCCAGCAACTCCAATAATCGGCTGACTTGGCCGATGTTTTCTTTGCTGCGTGGTGTCGAAGACAAGCGACGGAGACGTCGTTTCGGGGTGTCGGCTGGTACGGCAGCTAGTCGCGCGACTTGAAGGACGATCGAGCGGGCAGTGGTGTCGTCGGGGGCAAAGCCGAAGACAGATCGCATTGAGTATATAGCAACTAATGTGCCAGGTACGTCCTTCGAGAGACAGAAGCATCGAATGATTTGATCGTACAGTTCCTTGGGCATCTGCTCGCGTGTGGCTTTCTGGATGCTAGGAGATAATTGCGAGAACCAGGACAACATGTTGGCATACAACTGGCGTGCGGACGGGAAGCCAATGTCAAAGGCAGTGCGTCCGCGGTCATACTGGAGTTTACCGCAGTCCCAGAGACAGGCATATGTCTCTAGGTCGGGTCGAATGGCGACGGACATGGTTTGGAACTTAGACCAGAGAGAACGCACGTCTTGTTTTCGGAGTTCTGCGTATAGGAGGTGATTCATGAAGTAGGCGTTTGGTTTGATCTGGGCGTCTCCGAGACACTTGATTAAGTATTTGACCATGTTGTCATCACCACGACGGGTATAATGTAAAAGAAGAATGGAGAATGTTTCAATCGTTGCAGGTGGGACTTGTCTTTGCATGAAATGGGGCAGACGGACCTCTGGCTCATGCGTGACTTGAAGGCGGGGGGAGATCGCGGCTGGTTGAAAGCGTTTCCATGCAGCATCGATGCGATGTTGAACCATAGACCAAGCAAGTCGCTCTGCTTTCTCGCGCGCAACGGTGCTTCCATCGCGAAGCCAGCCCGCGATGATTCCGTTCAGATGCTTGCTATCAGGCTTGACACCGCGCTCATACATGAGTTCAATGACCAGTGCCGCCGAATCAACCTCACCCATGCCAATGAGCTTCTTCATCCAACTGGCATAGAAGAATCGATTTTCGAATCGACGAGGTAATACTTTGAGCACAGACAAGGAAACCTTGTTCACGGCGTTTTCGTTGATGCTAGATGCATGCAGACTTCCTGCTAGACCAAGAGCAGATTTATACAGAGCAGTTGAATCGTTAGCCGGGTCTTTTCCTGTCACCATCATGTCCTTGAAGATTGCAACGGCAGTATCCAACCGGCCTGCGGTAAGAAGACCAATACTGATCTTATCGTAGTCTTCCATGGACATTTCTGAGCCCAGCAATGTCTTCAGTTGCAGATAAAGTGCCCAAGCTTTTACTTCGGCTTCTTTCCCGGACAGCTTGCCCCATGCAATGATGACTGGAATGAGAACCCGCGGCTGGCGAGTCTTATCGTTTGCTAAGAAGGCCAAAGCAATATCCTGGGCTCTTTGAGGGTTGTTGTCTGCTGCAAACAATCGAACACCAAGTTTCCAGTACTCCTCCAAATCCTGTTTCTTTTTGGATAACTCAGCCTGATGTGCCTCCCATTGTTCCAAAGCCAGGCTGGTGGCGCTGGCGTCATGGAGAGATACGATGTAGAACAGTATCTGGGGCGTGCTGAGTTCTTGTCCAATTGATGCAGCATCCTGAACCAATGTTTGCATATGTGTCGAGCGCAAGGCGGCATCAGCCTCTCCTGTTGCTTGCGCGTTCCAGACAGCATCCAATGTGCCCTTGGGCATGATAGTCAAGAAATTCGGAATTGTCTGCTTGCATCGCCTATACCACTTCCACAATTCTTGCCGAGCTCGATCATCTGATTCCTTGCCTTGAAATTGTTGCAAAGCGTCGTTCAACTTGATTGTGTACGGGTGTGGTTCAGAATCTGCTCTCTTCGCAGCAGCGGCAGATTTCGCGGCGAGACGTTTCCTTGACTTAGCACCATCCTCCCAGTTGGCTTCTTCGTTGGCAAGGCCCTCGAACTCTTCTCGTAGCATATCGTCCAACTCGTTGTCGAACACCTCCGTCAGTGAAGGTTCATGGTCCGGCGAAGGATTTTCGAGGTCAAATTTCCGCAGAGCTTCCAAAGCAATCTTCCTGTCCTCCTCCGGTAGGCTTTGTATGAAAGGGCTGTTTGGAGCAAAAGGCCCGTCTTCCAAAACTTTCAGTTCATCGTCAAGTTGCGCCAGCTGTTTGGCGACATCCTCTCGCTCTACATTATCCTCCGCTTCAGGATCGACTCGATTTCGTTTGCCGTTGGGAGTTTCCTGCTCGTAGAAATTCACTTTGTCGTTCGGTCCGCCAAAATCAAGACGTCGCGGAGGTGCGGCGGTAAAGGCCCGGCGTGGAGCGCGTGTCGCTGAGCTGCGGGCGACATGCTGACACCATCGGGCTCCTTGAATGGCCTGGCGCAGCATGAAGTCTGTAATTAGTTGGTCATTGAAGTCGACCGGACGATCAAAAAAGTGGAAGCGTAGAAGTTCAGGTTCGGAAGAAAGCCAATTACAGCCCGATCGGGTTTAGCGCCTGTCGCGCTTCCGCCCTTGAAGTCATCCCCGGTTTGCGACAACACAGTCTCTTCGACAGGCAGCATGGATCCAGATGGGTTTGACGATGCCCTTGGCTTGTCAAATGAAAAGTCCCAAAACTTGGTATGTCCTGCAATCGGGGGTTGGTGTATTGATCTAACAGAACATCACAGGGTGCGTACATCTACCAACCGCCGAAACACGCAAAAGCAGGCGAACGTCCCTCGAAGCGTCGCAAGGTCTCTTCTGGGGCCAATTTGGATGGCCAGGCAGATCGAAAACAATTCGTGCCCCTCCTAAATGGAGAGGAGGATGCAGAGTCCGTTCAGTTACGATACGAGACCTACAAGCAGCTATGGTCAAAACAAGAGAACAAGATCCAGGATATTCTGGAGTCCGTTGATGCTGGAGTTCTGACAGATGTTTTGTCTTTTGTCAGAGATACTTCTCCTCAGACGTATGTTCCTCATCCTTTCAAGAGCAATAATCACACTCTAATGGCGACACAGGTGTGACGGATGCATACCCACAGCGTTGGTCACAGTTGGCTCCAATGTTTCCTCTCTTAGCAGGCTGTTATCGCGGCTCAACAGTCAATTGATATCGTCTGAAGAGGGCAGTGTGGTGGTTTTGGAATCAGGCGATGCTCCAAACCTTAAAACAACCCTGAAGAACATCATTCGAGCAACGGTTACAAACACAGATGGCAATGATGGATATCAAAAATTCTTGACAGACCGTGCTGTATGTGATTGCTCTCTTCTAGAAGAAGTCACATCAATTGACTCTCGAACGCACAGGGACCCCGTTTACTTGGCTACGATCTCGACCTACTTCACGACTATGTGCAAAGAAAAGGGACCAAAAAGCTGGTCCTCGCGCTTCGTGACAGTGAGGCGTTTGATCCTGGACTCTTGACTGACCTCTTGTCACTCTTCAAGTATGCTTGATGTCCAAAACTCACCATGCCTTTCGCTGACCTTCTCGTAGATCATGGCTAGATCGCATACCATTCACCGTCCTACTTGGTATTTCCACCTCGGTGGAGCTTTTTGAAGGCAGGCTGCCTCGATCGTGTGTTTCCCTCCTTAGGGGGAAGCATTTCGAAGTCCAAGAGGCAGGGAACTGTGTGGACCGGATCTACGAGTCTCTTCAGACAGATCCAACGACCCAGTTGTGGCTGGGTCGCAACGTGACTGGTACTTTGTTTGAAAATACCAGTGATTTCTTCCAAACCCCGGAAGCTTTTAGTCGCATGGTCAAGGTAAGCATCTTTCAACCCATAGTCATATCAGATACTAACGTGCGCAGTACGCATACATGTCTCATTTCTTCGCAAACCCGCTTGCAGTATTATTTGCCAATCAATCTCCTGCAAAGCTCACTCAAAGCAAACTTCCTGAGGCCATTCGAAATCTTCCATCATTCAGGATGTATGTATGCTTGAAGTCTCAGTAGATCTGCACCGGCTAATATACACAGGTTCTGCGAGGATTTGATTGAAGAGGGTTCTACGGATCAGGTTCGAAAGCTGCTAGAAAATGACGAATACCTGATTCAGCAGACTGTCAGGTCGGTTGATGCAGGCCAGCGCATAATGCGCAAACTCTTTCAGACGATTCGCACAATATACGTCTGCCTCCAATATACACAGACAGGGAAAAAGTCCAGCATATCTGACCTCTCTGTCCGTGCACTCTCTGGCGAATTATATGAGTCCAGTGTTGTGGAAGAGATGTTGGCCACAACCAAGGCACTCGACTCCGACAAGTTGTATGAATTGCTCTCGGATTTGCAGCCTGTCATTTCCACACCCACAATTGGAGAAATTCTACAGAATCTTCAAAGTTTACTCAGCTCAAGTTCAGGCCCGCTACGCAGCGGATACAACATCAACAGCACTGTCACAAAAACCACTGTTGTTCAGCAGCGCATCCAGCTCAGCAAAGGGAGAGCTGAGCTTTCAGAGCAGGATTCTCAGTACACCAAGATAGTCGACCAGTTAGTCGCACTGCTGCAAGAACACCTGACGGAAACCCTGATCAATCCTCAAGATTTGTTCTTGCACGAGGCCTTCTTGTTTGATTTGAGGAGTCCTTTGAAGGAGACTTTCGGGCCTCGTCCTCGTTTCGCAATCGAGCGTGCTCTTGTTACTCCGTTCGATTATCTCCTTTCGTCCACGGACGCTGCTTCCACCAATGTGTCAGCTAAACAACCTGCCACCGCAATTCTCTACCAGCTGTACCTCGACTCTGGTGCTATGGTGAACGTTCATGACCTTTGGCAAGCCTTCCTTGGTGTTTTCGAAAATGACCAAGGCAAGGCCTGCGATGATCGAGTTGTGATGTCCCTGTTCTATAGCGCCCTTTCCGAGTTGAAGGCATTCGGCGTGGTCAAGAACAGCCGAAAGAAGGCTGATCATTTGGCCAAATGCGCATGGATGGGACTATAGCTCTATAACTGTATTCGAATAGAACTCATAGCATTTCATAATTCTCAATTGGGGGTATCATGGAGCATAAAAATACAAGCTAGCAGACGATAGGTCTGCAAATGTCCACAGTGTCTCGCAGACAACCCAAGGGTTACATTTTCAATCAATCGGCCGCTGGATGATGTCGTCATTTCCAATTGGCCGTCCGCCGTCGCTCAAAACCATGGCTTCTCTCCTTCGCCGACGCAGTGCCTGGTCCTCGACACTCCCTTCAGGAAATCTGCGCGAGGGAGTTCGTCCGAACGAGCCCCCTGCCTCATCCGCATCCACCATCCAAACGTCGCTATCTGCATCATCGTCGTCATCTTGGTCGTTTTCTGCGATCATGCTGCCCATCAACCCATGTTTTCGCAATTGCTTGATGCCGTCCGGGTGAGAGGAGAGTGTGCTGAAAATTGCACTCATGACGACATCATCGGACCACCAGGTTTTCATGAGAATCACAACATCTCGTCGACGCGAAGGCTCAGCCAGCGCGCATGGGAAAGGATACCTGCACAGCCACCGGCTGATAATTCCAGCTTCCAACGCCTCGGGTACGTTCTCTGGCAACAATGCGTGTAGAATGTTGAGAGCCTTCTTCTCTCCCATGGGTCTAGTTTTGGGCAGAATTGGCGAATTCGTGGTTGTGGTTTTCTCGACATGCTCTTCCAAGAAATTGCTGAGGCAATTGACCAGTGCAGTGAAGGTGTGAAGGTCGGCAATTCGAGTGCATATGGAGGTTCGAGTGACTTCAAAGGTCAGGCTGGGTATCTTGCCTGGATGGGATAGTAGGAAGTGACATACGAGCTCGGTTTGAGGTGAGGAAGTTCAATGCATTCAAAGCTCGTGCTTGAGGAACTTTGTCTTTGGATGCCAGATCCTCTAAAAGCAGGTCGCGAGTGGCACCCTTGCAAGACCTTTCCGAGATGATGCGCAGAGATCTATATTATGTTAGCCGGTCAGAGGAACACCCAGAAGAGACACTTGTAGCATACGCAGCTCGGAGGTCATGGTTCGTGCTTTGAGATAACTTGAGAAGTGTGTCTAATTTTAGGGCTTGGTAAACTGTCAGCGTATAGCCGATAGAAGCGCGAGGTGAATCTCATGCCTTCTTCTGTTCCTTCACTGATAATCTTGTCTTCCTTTTCGACATGTTTGATTTCCGTCAGATCGACAACTTGACGGAGATCCGTCGCGATGCCGCGGACAGCAAAGAATAGCGAAACACCTAGCAGAGTCAGCAGCGTACTCCAAGGCTTTGCCCACGATATACCCATACCTAGACACAGCCATAACACACCATCCCCAGAAAAGGGAGCCATGATGTGGGAGTTGGAGATGCGGAGACCTCTTCACGGCAGAATGTTGATCGGCGCCGGATGTGCCTTCAGTTCACCGCGTTCCTGGCCGCCTTTTAATGCAACCTGCTAATCTACCTGCTGCCTCTCGTCTCAAGAAATGGGATCATTGTACTCCCTATTCATGTTGTCGTTGCAGCTTGCCATCATTGCTCCTATATGGGTCAAACTAATCCAATCTGTTTGACATTACTGCCAGGAGACAACACATCTCTCTGACATCTCCTCTTTCCACATCGAGTCCATTTAATGAAGGAGTGGTAGTTTGTTCCATGAACCAAGCTGTGGTGCTGGCACTTTAACTGGGAGCACGTTTGAAAACCGACAACTCCACATACATAGGAGAAACTTTAGGTAGCCAAGAGTTGATCGCAAGGTGATCAGATGTCGAAGATGAGATATTGTCAACGGAGAAAAATGCAACGCCGAGGCTAGGTAATTGGATATCAAACCTTGGTATAATGCCATATGCTTCTCCCGTATACACTCTCTTTATAGCTCTATTTGAAGGTCTATTTAGAGGTCCCTGACGAAAACCCCCATAATCAACGCGACTGTATACTCCGAGCGGAGAGATTCTGCTGGAATAATGACCCACTGTGCAACATTCCACCAATCAACAGTGAGTTCTCCCGGCAAAAAACTTGCGGTAGCTAATTTTTTGTATCAGCGACGAAAACCTAAACTCTTCTTGAGCTCAGCAACAATGCCGCCTTCTCAACTGAAACAGTTGAAGGCCTCTCTCCGTGATAACGGAGTGCTTGGCCCCCAGAAATCCAAGAAAGAAAAACGCCAAAATGCGAAGACCGGCGTCGGTGCGAAGAACCGCAACCAACGTGAGGTCGCCTTGCAAGCCATTCGCGATCGTTTCAATCCTTTCGAGATCAAGGCACCAAACAAATCGAGCAAGTTTGATGTCACAACAAGAGATGGATCCACGTCCGCTGGAGGGGGTGCTCGCCCCGGTGTTACTAAATCCCTCGGCGAAGAAAGAGTGCGATAGTTTGCTCCCTCAAAACTGATTCAAGGCTGACCCTTATTCTGATTAGCGTCGCGCAACTTTGCTCAAGGAAATGAACAGCCGCAACAAGATCGGTGGTCTTGTCGATCGTCGATTCGGAGAGAACGATCCCACCATGACCCCCGAGGAGCGGGCCGCCGAAAGATTCGCTCGCGAGAGCCAGCGCAAGATGCGCAAGGAGTCCATGTTCAACCTAGAGGATGACGAAGAGGAGATGCAGCTTACACATATGGGCCAGTCTTTGACATTCGACGGGCCCAACCAAGATGACTTCGAGGCGGGCGACTTGGAGGAAGCGGAATCCGACGACGAGACCTCGCGCAAACGAAAGCGACCCGCTGATGGAGAGCAAGGTCAGGACCAGGACCAGGACCAGGAAGACTTCATTGACTACGAGGATGGAGAAGATCAGCCTGGACGGAAGAAGACCAAGGCCGAAGTCATGAAGGAGGTCATTGCCAAGTCCAAATTCTACAAGGCTGAGCGACAACAGCTCAAGGATGACGATGAAGACCTCCGAGAGGCTCTTGATAAGGAACTTCCTGATCTCTTTGAAGCTCTTCGCGGCCTCAAGGCCCCGCCTAAGCCCGAGGCACCCAAGCAGGACTTCTCGGAGATGAACCCAGAGCGCGCTGCGCTGTTGGAGCAGTCACAAAACAAAAACCCCGAGAAGGAGTATGACCAGCGCCTCAGACAATTGACATTTGATCAACGATCAAAGCCCACTGATCGCACCAAGACCGAAGAGGAGAAGGTCGAAGAAGAGGCCGAGCGGCTCAAGAAGCTGGAGAGTGACCGACTTCGCAGAATGCGTGGAGAGGAACTCAGTGATGAGGAGGGTGATAATATGGATATGGATGATCTGCCAGAGGATGACGACGAGTCGGAAATCGACGATGCTACGCATTTCGGCCTTCCCGTCTACCCGATGCCCACAGATTCTCGACCAGGAATGGGCGTTGAAGACGAAGATGACTTCGTTATTGATGACGACCTTGTCGAGACAGACTCCAATGCTAGTCTTGAAATCGGCGAAAGCGACATCGAAGAAGATTCATCGGAAGACGAATCTGAAGGTCCAGACGGAGAGGACGAGCTCATTAACGGCATGACACTGCCCATGGACGAAGCTGCGGCTGCTTCAACGGCTGTCGAGGTCAACCAGGGATCGAACGGAAAACTCGCCTTCACATACCCTTGCCCTAAGGACCACGAAAGCTTTTTGGCTATCGTGAAGAGCGTGCCTGTTGAGGAAGTTCCCACAGTCGTCCAGCGTATTCGAGCCTTGCACCATGCCCGCCTTAAGCCTGGCAACAAGGACAAGCTCGGTCGATTTGCCGAGATTCTCGTTGAACACATCTGTTATATGGCGAACGAGACTGAGCAACCTCCATTTGCCGTCATTGAGCTTATCATTCGTCACATTCACTCTCTCGCAAAGAATCATCCTTTGAACGTGACAATCGCCTGTCGCGCTCGCCTTCGTGAAATCGGCAAAGAACGTCCGCTCAACCTTCTCCCTGGTGACTTTGTGTTGCTTACCGCCATCTCAACTATTTTCCCCACATCCGATCACTTCCACTCTACGGCCACCCCTGCTCATCTCTGTCTGGCTCGTTACCTGGGCCAGTGCTCTACCACTTCCCTTACAGATCTTGCGCGTGGCGCATACGCATCTAGTCTGTGCCTGCAATATCAGACTGTATCAAAGAGATACATGCCTGAATTCATCAACTACACCCTGAATGCCATCTGTAACCTGGCCCCTACAGAGCCGACTACCAACTTCGGCGCTTTCCCCTACCGGAAGTCCCAGGAATCGGTCCAGCTCGCCTCTACCAAGAAGGTCACACCTCGCAAGCTGCAGTTCCGCGACTTGGCCACCAGCCCCTCCGATCCTCAGGCAGAGGAGGAGCTCAAGATCTCCCTCCTCACCACGTTGGTGTCTCTCCTCGGCTCCGCCTCTGACACCTGGGCTGAAAAGTCTGCCTTCATCGAAATCTTCACACCCGCCCGAGCCGTGTTGAAACATCTCCGTTCATCACTCAAGAGCAAGGTCTACGCTGGAGCCCGAGACATCATCCAAAGCACCGCAGACAAGATCGATGCACACCTCGCCCAAGCCCGTCTTGTCCGTCGTCCACTCTTCCTCCACAACCACAAACCTCTCGCCATTAAGACTGCCATCCCCAAGTTCGAGGAGAACTTCAACCCAGACAAGCACTACGACCCGGATCGCGAGCGTGCCGAGTCAAACCGTCTCAAGAAGGAGTTCAAGCGCGAGAAGAAGGGTGCTATGCGCGAGCTTCGCAAGGATGCCAGCTTTATCGCCCGCGAGAAGTTGCGCGAGAAGAAGGAGCGCGATGCCGAGTACGAGTCCAAGTACCGTCGTCTCGTGGCAGAGATTCAGAGCCAAGAGGGTCGGGCTGCCAACGAGTACGAGCGCGAGCGTGGCAGGAAATAGTCTCGCTTCTTTTGTTTCTGATATCATATTGTGTGTATTTCTGGTATATACTTTCATCTGGCGCCAGGCTGGGAATAAAAGTCATATTCGTGAGATATTATGATCGATTTTTTGTAGATGGATGAGACATCCATGGACCGTGGACGTGATAGCATAGTACAACGCTGTCTCTTCAAGGGGATAGATATTCTTCTTTCCAGTAGGGTTCCAAGGTTCATTAGACAGAGACTCTACGGCAGCATGGAACGTGCTTCTCATCCCTACTAGGTAGGTACCTAGTATCTCTACTTATGGTTCTTGGTTCATAGTATCATTTCAAAGCCCTCTTCCAGGGTTCCAAAGTTCCAATGGGAATGCCCACCTTGTGCATATGTTATCTCGAGTACCTGTGAACCTTGAAACTAACACTCAAGTACTCCGTAGAGTTCTCATTCAAACACGGCAGGACTCCCGAAGTGTAAGGTCCCAGAGCTACTGCGCCATATCCTCGCCGATAGAAACCAAATACCGACAACGAGCCTTCTGTTCCCCCGAAACAGACTCCATCTTAGTCTCACCCGTCCTAATAAAAATCCGCCTAGAACCACCATCCTGGCCCCAAGGCTGCCATTCCGGACTCGACGGAAGGCGACGGGTATTTGGGTCCAACGAAACAATGAAACTAGTCCAGTAAGCCTGCACCAGCGGGACGATGGCTGCATTGGTGGTGTAGTAAGAAGCCGGCGCATTGTTACCGGAGTTCTCCAAGCCCCAGATGGCATTCAGTTCGACTGTATGATAAGTACCAGCCCCGGAGGCTTCATCAGTGGGGTCTTGTACTGCGTAGTGGTAGTTCCAGCTTGGTAGGCCTGCCTTGGCATATATGGAGGACATGTCGATTCCAGGACAAATGTAACGGATTTCACCATAGGCCGTGCTTGCAGGGCGCCAGTAGGCGCCAGCATCTGGGAATGATTCTGTTTGATCTGGTGTGAGATATATGCTGTTGATCTTAGTTGTATGGGCTGGGCTCATGTACGGAAACTGGTTCTGAAGGAAAGTGTCTGCTGCATCGACGCTGTCGACACTTTTCGTAACGAACTTGGTGCCTTCGTTGGTGTCATCGCCGAATATGACGGGTACTTTGATGAATTTGCCTTCGTGGAAGAGTTTGTAGGTGTAGTCTGGTACAAGGTCATCGTCGATTGTTGGGCTGTAGAGATATAGCGGAGCAATCTCCATTCCTGGGTATGGCCTGTTGATATTCTTCTGTTGGAGAAGGCCGACATCCAGGCTCCGTAAGCACGCCAGTGTATCTTTGTTGCTGCTGCATCCAGTTTCAGCCACCAGGGCATTGTATGCAAATTGGCTCTGGGTGACGTTCAGCATCGTGGCGAAGCTTTGAGACTCTGCAGCTGCTCCAACAAAGAGGCCCTCATCCCTGCCTCCGTATGCCGATAGCATCAAAGTGACCGAGGCGGCACCCGCACTACTGCCACCAATAACCACATGGTCCGGATTCCCACCGAACTAGAAAGCCTGTCAGACAATGGCCTGAATAGCAGAAGAGACTTGACTTACTTTGCCGATGTGCTTATGAACCCACTGTAGTGCCTTACGCTGATCCTTCAGACCGTTGTTCAAACTTGCGCGAGCCTCGACTTCCTCACTGGCGAGAAAACCGTATGGTCCCACCCGATAGTTAAAAGTGACCACGACAATGTTATCCCCGGAAGCCTTGATCAGGCCGGCACCATTGTAGTTGGCATTCGAGTTCTTTGCGAAGCCGCCTCCCTGGATATAAAAATATACTGGTAGCTTCTTTGAACCGGCAGCACCAGAAGGAGCATAGACGTCCACAAAGAGGCAATCTTCGGAGGTCCCATCGGGGACAGCCAGGCCTTCTGCAGCCGCCGTGGGGATGCAGACAGATCCGTGCTACTTGGAAATCAGCCCAACTCCCCCTATGTTGAGATAAGTGCGCAGACATACCTCCGTCGCCTGCTGTATTCCCTCAACGGGCAGGGGATCCTGCGGCGCTGCAAAACGTAAAGCCCCTACGGGAGGGGCAGCAAAACGCATGCCGAGCCACTGTGTGACACCAGATACCGTAGACCCCTCATACCTGCTATATCCCAGGTCTACCGTTGAAGCAGATGCCAGAGAAAGCAAGGAGAGAGTATACCAAAAAGCCGCCATGGTGACCTATGGTCCGATTTCGAACGGGTGGCGCCATGGCTTTAAAAGCCGGAGTCCAGAAGAAGACCCGGTCCAGGGGGGGAGTTCACGAGCCCATGGACGGAGACAAAGCCGAGTCCTTGCTGGCAATATTGAACCCGCTTGCAGGGATGTTCGGGAGTATACATTCGAACCAACAAAACAGTGGGGCTACTTTCCCCGCAAATGCTATCGGCCCTTTTTTTTCTTGTCCGCCTTCGGCCCCAACGTTTCGTCTCTAGTCTCTGAGCCCATCCTCCACTAGACCATTCTGGCCAATCTTGGCATCATGTCCGACGACGATGATTACATGAATATGGTCATCGAGGAACCTACCCAAAAGGAGACTCTGACACAAAGAAAGCGCCGTGAGCAACGCGAGGTACATTTTACTACCCACCGCTGTCCCCAACTCCAAACACTTCTGACGCGTTTTTTCTAGGCCGAAACCCGAGGTCGCGTCCTCTCGAAGTCCGAGCGTGCCGCCCAGGAAGCTGCCCGCCGCGATGAAGCTCTCGCGACGAGCACCCTCAACCCGACCAACAAGGGCTTCCAGATGATGGCCAAGCTAGGTTTCAAACCCGGCGAGGCACTGGGCAAGCGTGTCAGTGAGGAAACCGAGAGCGACTCCTCCCGAGCACGCGCCGAGCCACTGAACCTCACCTTCAAAGAAAACCGCGGCGGAATCGGTCTCGACAGCGAGAAAAAGCGCAAGATCCGCGAGGAGGCCGAGGAAGCTTCGAAGAAAATCAAGCACGAGGAAGGGACGTATCGGGATCGTGTGCGCGAAGAACGCGAGACAAAACGGACAGAGGCGCAAGTGCGCGCTGCGCAAAAAGTGGCTGAGCGGCTGGATGCGGGCGAAGAATCAGACCAACCCAAAACCGGGGATGAGGATAACGCCAAAGACGATGAGACACCCAAGCGCAAGCCGGTCAAGCTCACGTCCCAAATCAACGTTCTTTATCGGGGTCTAGTTCGTGAGCGCGAAAAGCACGATAATGATCGGCAAGCGCGCCACGCCATGCAGTCTTCGCTGCCGTCGTCATTCTTCCCGAGGGCGAAGCTTCCGGAATACGACGATCCGACGCTAGAGCGGGAGGACAAGAAAGCCCTCGGACAGCTTGATCAGCAGACGTCAGCGCTAGAGATTGAGCTTGAAGAAGAGGACGAGGAGCTCGATGCGTTCAACGCTCTTGAGCCTGGAGAGCGACTACATAAGTTGGTCATGTACCTTCGCGAGGAACACCGGTATTGTTTCTGGTGTAAATTTGCCTACGAAACGGAGGCCGAGCTGGAAGGATGTCCTGGGCTTACGGAGGAGGATCATGACTGAACCTTGCAAAGGTGACGAGCTTATTCAAAACATCAAATTTGCGAAAAGAATGGGGATAAGGTATTTTCATTATAAACATTCAGCTTTGGCCCTCTGGCTAAAACCATAATATACACGAGGCCCTTGGTATCATAACTAACAAACGCAACAGAACTATCAAAATCATGCAACACATACTTGGAGTCAGACACAAAACATGAAAAGAAACAAAATTGCAGATATCACGCAATGCGATCAACCAGCTCCTCCACAGACCGATTCTTGCACTTCTGCAAAGTCTGATAACAGCCTACGCAAACGCGCAAACAGCAAAACACACATCGGTGCCTGATCTCGGTATCGAATTTGTTACACGTCATGCAAGGCATCGGACACCACACGTTTTGCGCAACCGGCATCGCGCGATGCTGCTGATAACAGGTCAAGTGGATCTTGTCCAAGCTCGGCGCGACGGGCTCCACATCCGGCGGGACGAAGGGGGAGGGGGCCTCCGAGCGCGCAGAGGGGACCTCAAGCGGCTCTGCGCTATCGGGTGTGGGGATGAAATCTTCAGGCTGGGGACTGGGCTCGTCAGGGACTTCGATCTCGCGCTGGGGCTCGTCCTGGGGCGCGGGGGGCAGCGTTATCGGCGGGGAAGGCTCCTGGATGCGCAGATCGGGCTGCGAGATCGGGCTGCGCAGTCCGGTTGTGCGGGGCGCGGGGCCCTTTCCGAGGGCTGTTGCGGGTGCTGGTGCAGGAGCTGGTGCAGGAGCGGGCGCTGGCGCTGGTGCGGGAGCTGGCGCGGATGCAGGCGCAGGGACAGGGACCCGTTGGATGGGGCGCCGCTCGGAGGCATCGCGGATTGGTGGGAAGTATGGGTTGTCGGTGAGTTGAGAGGGGGCCGGGATGGCTGGCAGGTCCTGAGGGGGAATCGGAAGCTCCTTGTTTGGTGGCGGTGCTGGCTTTGGTGGAGGGGTTGGCTTCAGGGTTGCGTCGTCGGATGGCACGGATTCCGTGGATTTCTTGCTGTGGAACGAAAACTGCGACTTGGCTGCAGCAGAAGACTTCATTGCTGCAAGGGATGGGACACGCAGGCCTCGTGGGCGCTTCTCTGAGTCGAAGATGGCCATGTTTGCTCTATAGTATAGATATTCTCGGTGGATAAGTGGCTATTGACGCCACCAGAGGTAATATCAGGGAAGTAAGGAGAACAATAGATGGGAAGAAGTAGATATACTCGTATCGCAAGAGAGAGAAAAAAAAAACAGAAAACACTAGAGACTGATGCGGACCGTTAATTTCCTGATGCAGGTTTTCTGTTCCTGGATATCCACTTCGATCCAGCAAATTTCACTTGCATCGCGAATTCCAATCGCTTTGTCTCTGACGTTTGCAGGGGGTCCACTGATCTCACATTCCTTTGCGATCTATTCTTGCACAAACCAATTGTTCTGTCTACCAGTACTCTACAGTACTGTGTACTCTACTCCGTACCAGCAGTTCTTTCTGATCATATCGCGTTTCAGGTGGGGGCGAAATAATATGATCTGTCCAGGCTAAGCGCATTAGGGCCAATAGATCTGTCCACGATCGTTTCTTATTGGGAACCTACTCAGCCCCTGAAAACTCGCTTATCCATTCCAGTACTTATCTGCCCAGCTGTTCCGATAGGATCTGCCGTCTTCAGGTCGATCTCAAGTTCTTAATGTCATCATTGACCGACGGGGACTCCGTATGCAGTCCAATCTACACATTCGCAAAGCACTCCGTACCGAGCTACTCTGGTCATTGGTCTCAGATCCAATTGCGCATTTCTCTGGGGTATATTTCAAATAGTTAAATTGCTCCGGTTCACATTCGATCTTCAGCAACGGGCATGTACGACCTGCGTTCGCGCGCAGCCTATCCAAGCCGTTAGTCCAATGGCCTTCCAGCCAAGGGGGGCGATGACCTACCTCGACGTATCGCTCAATCCACGGCTTACAAGCCGCCCAAGCCAACAATCCCCCTGTAGCAAATATGAAAATGAACACCACCGCCTCATCTTTTTTCGAGTCTCGCTCTGTTCCAGTTAGCGCCGGCCTCTTTCCAATTCCAAGATCACGTACGGAAACAAGTCGTAAACACATCATCCTCTTTCGCGCCCTTACATGTGGGCAGCTCGTAGTCCAGGCAGAACTTGCGGTTGCAGTCGTTGCAGCTGAGCGAGCGGTGTTTCTGCGCGCGCTTGGTGTGTTCGTCGGTGGGTTCGAGCTCGGCGTTTATGGCGCGCTCGGAGAAGCGGAGGACGTGATCGATGCTCGATTCGGATTTTTTGGGATCGAGCGGGATGATTGTGCTATTGGAGAAACAGGTACATTTGCAGAAGGACGTTGGTGCTACTTGTGTTAGTATGGCGTTCGGTGGGTATCGAATGATGTGCACTCACTCGATGCTAGCGTTAGCGACGCCAGTGAGAGGAACATGCAGACAAGGAGCAGTAGCTGAGCTCCGCGCGAGCTCCGGGCCGGTAACATATTGGGTGTGGTTGGCAGTTCAATGGACTCGTTTCGCGTGGCTTTGATGACGAGGGCTTTGATCACGTGACCTGTATATACCGGACATGGGGATGCGAGGCAAAGGATATTCAAATCAAACTTAGGAAAGGGGATAACAATTCGGCAAGGTTTGATCATTTAGGGCTGCGGGCAGACTTGTTGTCAAAATTACATGGTATTGGTGCGTTAAATAACCACGACGGCTCAGTATAAACTAGGTACAGACATTGCTTTTACATTCATGACCTTCCCTTCAGTCCCTTCTTCCGGTTATCTCTCTGTCTCTGCTCCTTGGCGGCATCACGTCTCCGCTTCTTCCAAGCGCGGTTGTTGTCACCCCGGTTCTCCCAGAACCACTTGGCGAATTCTGTTTCGCCGTTGTCGTCTCCCGTGCGAGCTTTCACAGGGCTGTCGATTTCAGCGTCATCCGAGTCTTCGCTCTCATCCCACTTGGTGTGGCGGGTGGCTGCAGCGGTATCAGGAGTGGGCGCTGCACTTCGTTGACCACGATTTTGCAGGTCATTCTTGGTGAAAGGTGTGAACGGCGGCTGCGGTTCGGACTGCTCATCCTCGGACTCAATGTCATTGCCAAAGAAGCTGAAGCCTGCCTCGGGCTCCGCCTTTGGCTGGTCATCCGATGCCGCGGGGGCAGCACGCTTGAAGAGAGCCTCTAATGGGTGGACTTCTTTGGCGGGCAGATCCTCCGCCTGTGTGGTCTCTAAAGTAGCCTCTTGGGAGTCTGATGTAGTTGACTCGGCTTCGGCTTCTGGCTCACTGGCTTCTGAAAGTTCTGCGGCCTCTTCTTGAGGTGTCTGTTGCTTCGCCTGTACCTGCTCCTGCTCCTCCTGCTCGGAATCCGAAGACATCGATGCATCTTTGGGGGGTTCATCATCTTCACTCTCAGAGTCGCTGCTCTCTTCGGCGGATGATCCACTTGATGAAGTATAATCTTCAGACTCCGAAGATTCTTCTGGGGTCTTTTCCTTGCGCGATTGTTTCTTCTTGTCGGCAGACTTCGTTGCTCGGTGCTTTTCCTTGGCGCCTGCAACCTGACCAGGTCGCTTGTTATCTTTTTTGATCTTGTCGTTTGCTGGCTCTTTCAGGTTCCCATCGGCATCCACCCAGCCCTTTCCTTCCTCGAATGTCGCTGTAGGCGGTGCGCTTTCTTGGGCTGTGCGCAGGAAGCTTGGCTGGGTTGTGAGCTTGGTAAACTCGTGGACCACGTTATCCTTGGACTTCTTCTTCTTTGCCTTCTTATCGTCGGCGGCATCGGCTGCGCGGTTGGGTGGGAGTGTTGCTCGGAAGAGACATTCGGATTTGTCGGTGTACTTTGACTTGGGTTGTAATTTGGCTTCCTTCTCTTTCTTTCCCTTCTTTTCGGACTTGCGTCGTTCCTGCTTGGCATCGTTCGACTCCGTCCAACCTCTCTTCACTTTGCGGCCCTCGGGCAATTCGAAGCCCTCCACCACACCATCCTCTGGCCCTTGCTTTTTGGATTTCTTAGACTTCTTCTTAGAGCTGTCGGCTTCGGGCACTGGGTCTTCCAATTCTCGATGTCTCTTCTGCGGGCGAGCAGACTCGACCTTAAATTTCTTTCCCTTGAGCATTGACCCATTGAGCTTCTTCTTGATCTTTTCGGCTTCCATTTTCGGCAAAGTGACGTATCCGTAGTTGTTCTCTGGGAACGTAGCGATCTCGTGGAAGGAGACGTCTGTGGCCAAGTTGCGGATCGATGCTGGTAGCACGGATGGAAGGATTTCCGGGGTGAAAGGTGCGATGTGTAGTCTCGTAGTTTCGGTAGCTTCAGTCATCGCCGTAGAGACCTTTTGTCACTGCGAAAAAGTGACTATCAAAGATGCATAGTATACAGCTTTGTCCCAAGCTTTCTTTTTTTTTTGGCAAAAATAATGTAGTTTTGTGCCACCGCCTTATGGTGGAGTTGTCAATCATTCTGGCCTTGTGGCCTTGGTGCCTTGGTGCCTCACATCCATGGATGGCATCCAGGACTATCAACATCCAAAGTTTTTCTGGTAGTTAACAGCTCTGGAATAATAGCGCTGTAACTATTTTGAAAACTTGCCGAGCCATCATTTCCCAACCCTGGGTGTTCTCTCAGATCGTATAGCACAATTCTGGAACTAAATAATTGAAGCCAGCATAATGGGCAAGATCTTCAAGATGAATTCAGATACAGTAACTAGTTAACTACTCCATAGCGTGTCAAATCATACCTGAGAGGAATTAAACAACAATAGTTTTTTGGGATTCTCTGTTGTACATACTACATATCTGGCTACTTAGGTAGCGCTCAGGAGCCCCTGCACTTGTGCTGCTTCGAATGATCCCCCTAGAAGGTTTCCAAGGTTCTAGGGTTAATCTACGCTCTTCGGATAGGCCGAAGACCCGTACAATGATCTGGGGGATCGCGTTGAGATTGGACGATCTGAACTGCTTCCGCTTCGATCAGTTTCTGAGTAACTAGATAGCGAATGAATTCCATGGTCCATTCCTGGCATCGCTTATTGGTAGTATCATTGACAGGTGCCATGAAGTTCTCATTAATACCAGGTGCCGGGACTTGAGAGGCCGCAATCTCAATCTTCCCTCTGGGGGATGAGTCCGTGGTCTCTGTTGCGTGGACAGGGTCTGAAATGTTGCATGCGTCAGTCTTGCCTATAGGGAGCATACATTGGTGCCGTGGAGGGGTAGTAAGAGAGAAATTCCGCCTGAACTCGAGACTGTACCCCGTCATAGGTGTGCCTATGACATGGATCAAAGTGCCCTTTTGGTCCGCTGCTGATGGCACGAATATGGAAAAGTGCGCACGTTGCGATGAAAAACTTCGCCAAGTGAGCAGGTAAATAGTTCTGGTGGCCATTGCACTGTATGTTCTGCATTCTGAGGAAGAACAGTAGAACCTTGGAAGGTATATAAAAGATTCTATACAGCTCTTTTTGGAATGTTTGGATCAATAAAACAAAGGACCCATTGAAGCAATGTATAGCAATGTATGGCAGCTATAACTACTTGTCTCGATGGATATCTGAATGCTTTGTGCTTTTTCCCTTTGTTTGAACCGTAAAATAAAATCTCAAATATCCATTCAATTTTCACTTTGTCATTATACTCGTGGATATGGAAAGATGACCAGTATTCGCTTCCAAACATACGGTCGTCTCTAGATATAGATGAGCTGGGTCTAACTTGGAACTGCAGACATAGACATTTTGCATTTCAGAGCACGGCCACCGAAAGCCGGGGTTTAATTCAAGAATTATTCATTATATTGAGAGAATATAGGGATAGCTGAACAGTTCACCTAAAGGTATCTGAATGGAAGATTCAAAGTGTCCTGCATGTTCCCGAGGTTGTCGGGTTGCCGGTCTGCTGACTGGGCTAACATTTCGAGACTCCAGGGCTGTTTTGTCTGGGCATCTGACAGTGTTAAGCTCGAATATGCGCTTACTGAGCCAGACCAGATCAGCCCTATCATTCGTAATATGCAACGGCTAGACTCGCTAAAACCGGATTGAGATTTTCAGAGAACAGTGGGGAATGCCCAGATGCCTCGGGATGACCTGGTGACGAATTCCTGCCCTGCAGGAGATATTCAGGTATACGGTGTGCATCTTTGACAACTTGACCGTCTGTCCGGAGTAGGAGTAATGGTCCTGCCTGACTGTCGAACCGGTTGGCAGTGTACAGCTGCCACATAGTAGGTTTCCTAGGCATGCATATGTGGATACCTACGTACCGTCGTGAATCCGCAAAGGCGTTCATCCAATAAGAGATCCAAAAGGAAGAAGAAGACAGGATTAAAATATAATAAGATGAAGGTCGAGACGTTTCTCATAAAGATCCGCCACATCCGTTTGAGTCTCGGCCTCACGGTTTTCCCTCTCACCGATCTCACTTCCCCAGTTACTCCGGACAGATCACAACCCCCGCTCCTTGCCTCGTCCTCCACACTTTGACTTTCCTATGTCTTTCTCGCCTTAGTTTCCTCGCCTTTCTGCATTTCCCCCCACCCTATACCCCCCAAGGGGGTCTCCTCCGCTTCTTCTAGCTATCCCGCGATAACCGGACAACCGAACTCCCCTCTTCCCCGTCCATATTCGGGTCCAATATGGGAAACTCCCAGACCAAGGAATCCCGCTCCGCAGTCCCATCGCGTCATCGAAATCAGCAATCGTCGCCCGGTGCTTCCGAAGGTTCAGGTCGCCCTTATCATGGCTCCCGGACAGCCAGAAGCAGTCGGCCGGATCTTTCCATCCTCGGCATCGGCAGCAGTCATGATCGCGAGGGGGCCGCCCCGGAGCACAGGCGGGAGACAAAGCAGGAGCGGGAGGCTCGACGCCTAGAGAAGGAGCGGGTCGCTCGTTTGAAGGAGAGAGAACGCAGCATGAAGGAAGAACATGTGGATGGAGGCTACTTGGTCACCCAGGGTGTCTATGTAGGGACAGAAGACTACAGTAAGCCGGTCGTGCGGCAATTGATGGTAGGTACACCCCGGAACCTTCTCCGCATCGCGCCGAGCTAATCGTTTAGATCGAACGCCGCCTGGCTCCTTTCTGGCGGGGTCTAGATGACTTCTCGGAGTCATGGGCTGAGCATCAGCTGATGGCGGCTGCGCGAGGGATGACTGTCCCTCCGCCCGATGAAATACCGCCCGAGCTAGAGTATAAGTTACCCAAGCCGGGGGACAAACCAACTCTCGATGCGACCAACATTCAGCATCTCACAGTACCGATCGGGTCCAGGTCGCAATCCTTGAACTCGGACGCTTCCCAGACTTCTAACCCCCCTCAATCTCTTCCCTCATCGTCACCAATTGCATCTGGAACTTCAACATCACCGCTTTTCCGAACCAGAGCAAAGACGCTCGCGGGTCTGACCACTTCCAAGCATAGCTCGCAAACGGATTTGTCTCCACGAGAACTCCAACTTCCCAAAGACCCGTTTGTCAATGGACAACCCATCGAAGTCAACTTGTACAAAGACGCGAGTGAATGCCCTATCTGTTTCCTCTACTATCCCCCGTACCTTAATCGCACCCGATGCTGTGATCAACCAATCTGCTCTGAATGTTTCGTTCAGATCAAGCGTCCCGACCCGCATCCCCCAGAGCACGCAGAACCCAATGCGAATGCGACTTCAACCGAGGGCCAGCAGCAGGCAGAGGCGACAGAGTCACAACTGGTCTCCGAGCCTTCTGCATGTCCATTCTGTGTTCAGCCCGAGTTCGGAGTGACTTATGCGCCACCCACATTCCGTCGGGGCCTGACTTATGCGGCTGACCCGAGTGCCCGACTTTCGCCCAACTTCACCTCCCCCGTATCATCCACATCCTCCTTGGGGGTGTCTACTACCATTCCGGGCCGCCGCCGTGCCACGTCACTTTCTGCCACAGACCCCACTGTGGTCACGACAGACAAAATACGACCTGATTGGGCCACCAAGTTGTCAAACGCCCGAGCCCATGCAGCTCGTCGGTCTGCGGCTGCCACTGCCCTGCACACTGCAGCCTATCTCATCAACCCCGGCTCTGGTAATGATTCCCGCGGTTTTGGTATCGGGCGGCGCGGAATGCGAAGAGCCACCGGCGGAGAAGGAAACAGCGGCCGGACCGCTTCACCCGCCCTCAATGCGTTGGCTTTCTTGACTGAGCGCTCTGGTTCCGATCGCACGCCCCCTCGGGTAGCCCACGATACGGACTCAGCATCTGCCGAAGAAGGACCTGGTCACCTGGCAGCTCCGCGCTCAAGCTCAAGGCGTACTCGCATCGATGATCTTGAAGAGATGATGATGATGGAGGCTATCCGATTGAGCTTGGCTAGCGAAGACGAGCGTCTCAAGCGAGAGGAGAAGGAGGCACGGAAAGAGGCCAAGAAGAGAGAGAAGGAGAAGGAGAAGGAAGCCAAAAAGGCAGACAAAGTGGCTCGCAAGACTGGAATGTACAGCAACAATGCTAGTACCTCCGCTTTGGAAGTCCCTGGCGAGCACAGTCTAGGCACGGTGGCCAGCCACTCGTCCTCCGTCATTGGCGAGGACCCCGTTGGGGAAGAACTCGCTACTAGTGGCAAGGGCAAAGGTGTTGATCGTGCGCCATCGACCGAGAACCTCAATCCCAACAGCCTTGATCCTGCCTCTGCAGCGACCTCGGGCGACAAGTCTGAGCCCTCGCGACAATCTCAAAACCGCCAAGTCTCCAGCGCATCCTCCTCTTTCTCGTCCCTCGTGGGAACCACCCCGGAAGAGCGCCCTGGCCACACCGCAGAAGCTAGTACCAACTCGGAGCCTATGTTTAACTTCCGCAGCCTGGCTGCCGTGATCGGTGACGAGGAGAAGGGCGATGAATCTGCAGAGCATGTCGAGGATGCTTCACATAAGTTGCAGTGCGAGGGATCCTCTTCCAGCGCCACCCCGTCCATTCACCAGACTGCCCCGGAACACCCTGAAATCACACCCATCATTGAGTCCCGCACAGAGGCACGCGACGGTCCAGGCAGTCTCCCCAAAGAGCTTGAGACCCGCTCTGTCGAAATCGCCAGCTCGCCCCACCGTCCGGAGGTTTGACACCTATCCATTCCTTTCGATATTTCATTTTCCTTCTTGCTCATTCTCTTCCCCCCTTTCTTTTTTTTTTTCTCTTTTGGCTCTGTTTGATTACAAACCGGACCGCATAGCAGTGGATTTGCCGGCGCAGAAGGCTGAGGGGTTCGATGGCATCTTTCTATTTGTTTTGTCTGTGTATTAGCATCATTTATGCTCATAGAAATCAGATCTTCTAAACAAGCAACTCCTAGATATGAGGTTTATGGGCCAATATTCGGCACGTGAGGGTTGGCCATTTCCAGCTGAGATCTTTCGTACGTCCGGAGTCCACTGTATGCGTTTGCGGGTCTTTAACTTCGGCCTTGGCTCTAGTGCATGCATCCCCGCGGGGGTGCCCACCTGTGATTGGTCGATAAGAGTTTAAGAAATTGATTCCAGAGTCAAGTGGATACGGAAGACCGACAAGTCCGATCTACTCCATACTATCGCAACATATTGCATATAGCAGAAAACTGACACATTACATGGAGATACGCAGTCTTGAGTCATATGCAGCAAAGGTGGTACGGAGTACTCCGTGCAGGGAAAAGAGCACATGCCACCGTCCAATGCAGCAACTCCAGGTACCCGTTCGCCACACGAAGAATTTTCGTGCCTGACCCAACACGCCTGATCACCAAAGACGGAGGGAAGGGGCTCTCATTTTAATGTAAATCAGTAGAGAACAAATTAGCCCGTAAATGAAAACTACTAAGGATACCCCCTTTCAATCCGTCTCAGGATAGGGAATGTCGGGACGCATGAGGCAAGGTTTTGTGTTCCGTTCTTGGCCAAAAAAAAAAAGAAAGGAAAAAAAAAACCTTGACACAGGCTCTTTAAGGTTCCACAACATCTTTCATCCACGACTCTTACAAGATCTTGGTCTAAGACCAGACTCTGATTGCCGTAAGATCTTAACTACTGTTCAAGAATGGTATTAACACACAGATCCCAGTCGCACGACGACTTCCCCACAGCTCAACTCTTTCTCCTCGGTATGTACATTTCCTAATGCTCGGGACCTCACAATGCCTTCAAGTACTAACCTCCAGTAGCAATATGTCGCGTCGCAGAGCCAATCGCCTTGACATCCATCTTCCCCTACTCATGGGTGATGGTCAAAGACTTCCATGTGGATGATGAGAATGCCTCTTTCTACGCTGGTGTCTTGATCTCCGCATTCTCGCTCGCCGAAGCGCTCACCGGTATGTTCTGGGGCGGGCTATCGGATCGCATAGGTCGCAAACCCGTCCTGCTCTCTGGGTGCATCGGTACGATGCTCTCTTTGCTTCTGGTTGGGCTCGCGCCGAACTTCTGGGTTGCGCTCCTTGGTCGTGCTCTGGGTGGGGCCCTGAATGGTAATATCGGGGTCATCCAGACCATGGTCGGCGAGCTGGTCAAGCGGCCAGAGCACGAACGTGAGTTCCCTCTGCATTTTCCAATCGCGCAATATAGTCTAACGTTGCCTTTCCAGCTCGCGCATACACGGTCATGCCCTTTGTCTGGTCGATCGGGTCAATTATCGGTCCTGGTATGTGTCTTCCTTGACCTGGGACGTCTTCAATGCTAACCCGGCGCAGCTATTGGTGGCTTGCTCGCAAAGCCTGCTGAAAGCAATCCTTCCTTGTTCCCAGTAGACGGTCTCTTTGGGAGGTTCCCTTATCTTTTACCGAATCTCGTCTGTTCTGTGCTGCTTCTCTTTAGCATCATTGGAAGTTGGCTGTTCCTGCAGGAGACCCACCCAGACATGCAGCCTGGCGAAGCTCATGGATACTTCGACCATGCGGCCGAACAACCTCTCCTCGTTACCTCCGGTGCGACTGCGAATGCCGCCGTGGACCTTCGAGCGGAGTCGTATGGAACCTTCAATCAGGTGCATCTGCATCAAGATGAACAGTGGAATGTACAGGCCGATGGCTCATCCCCGTCGTGGAAAACATTGCCCAAGCCCAAGGCTTTCACCTGGCGAGTCATCATGCTTGTGCTGGCTTTGACCATTTTCACATACCACTCTATGACATATGACCATCTATTGCCCATCTTCTTGCAGGACAAGACCGGAACAGGCTCACACACCTCATTGTTTGATATTCCAGGCGGAGTTGGTCTTTCCACTCGGGCGGTCGGCTTCATCATGTCCACCGATGGAATCATTGCCATTGCCATCCAGAGCATCGTCTTCCCTGCACTAGCACATTACCTCGGAATCTGGCGACTGTTCATAATCGTCACAGTCCTGCACCCAATTGCCTACTTCATGGTTCCATTTTTGGCTTTCTTGCCAACCCAATTCCTCTATGGTGGGATCTATACCTGCCTAATCACCCGCAATATTCTATCTATCATCGACTACCCCGTGCTTTTGATCCTTATCAAGCAAGCCAGTCCTTCAGACTCGGTCATGGGTAAGATCAACGGCTTGGCCGCCTCCGCTGGAGCTGTCGCCCGCACTCTCGCGCCTCCAGTTGCTGGTTTCCTTTACAGCAGTGGCTCGAGGGTTGGTTGCACAGCTCTCGCCTGGTGGGGCAGTACTCTCGTCGCTCTGATCGGAGCTTTGCAGCTGTGGTTCATTCAGCGGAACAATCATTCCTCGGCCACAGTTCATCCTGCCCCTCCTTTTGAATACGTTGCTGTTCCGGAGCAGCCCCACAACGACGTCGTTCACATTGTCGTTGATGGCGATGTTTCAGACGAACGAGCTGCGATATCCCCGTGAGCACGTCGCATTGTCTCGCGGCATTCATATATCATCTTTTCTGGCTCTAGCCTCTGTTCCAGAAGGCTTGGGCAACATTTTGTACAAATCAGCATGGTTAGCTTGATAAGCGTTGGGCGTCATTACATTGGGCATATGTCTGGAAATCTCAAGGCATTTGCACGGCGTTTGGGTTTGTTTAGAGGTCGGTTGACCTGACAAAGAGATCAATAGTCTCAATCAAAATCATATCACCAAAATATCAAATAACTCAGTCCCTTGCGATGAACGTACAGAAATTTTGATGGTCGTTGCGCGATAGTTTGGATGCGCCTTTCCCAATCCGGCTTAGCTTTGTTTACCCAGCAGCGTCCGCACGGCAACTCGAGGGTATGACACAAACTCTGCCTCTGAACCAACTGGGTACTTAAAGTCGAGGCTAGGAGAGCGCAATCAATTCGCATCCACTCCATTCTTCCTAGCTTGCTATCGACATGTCAAACCCACTTTCGCCCCTCTCCACCTCCTACCAGAACGCGCGCGCGCAATCGCAAATGGCGAACTCTTCGCCCTTCCTCCACAAGACTCTGGACCAGCCCTCCGAAAACGCTGCGCCCTCAAGCCCTCTGAAGAGAGAATGGACAAGTCACGCCATGTCCTCCCCCAATGCTTACGATGAACACGAAAATTACCCTAACGAACCTGACTACGAGAACGATCACGAGAACCACGATTACCAGAATGACCACGAAATCAATGAAACAGAATCATACCAAGCGGGCGCTAGCTCACCATTTCAATACGAGGGACGCGAAGATACCGTTGATTACCAGAAGCTGCGCCAGATGCGACAGACATCTCAATCATATCCACGACTAGATCCATTGGAAGAAGAGAGCGCCACAAGCTCCCCCTTTCGACCAAACGCCGCAGAAGACACAGTTGACTTCCAAAGGATTCGGGAGGTAGACTCCATGTCGCCTGGCTTGGATAGGCGACTTGCTCTGGAAGAGCCTATGAGCTCTCCATTCCGTCCCAATGCTGGTGATGAGACGGCAAATTTCCACAACTTGCAGGAGGGTCAGTCATCGCCTCTGGCACGTCCGGAACTTCATGCGCTAGAGGAGGAAAGTCCTCAAATTTCCCCATTCCGCCCGCATGCTCGAGAAGAGACCGTGGATTTCCAAAATTTGCGAGAGGTGGAGCCTTTGTCGCCTGGTATTGAGAAGCGGTTGGCGCTAGATGAGCCGGCGAGTTCACCGTTCCGTCCTGACGCCCGGGAACCAACCATTGGTTTTCAAAATCTACGTGAAGTTGAGCCTCTGTCGCCTGGTATTGAGAAGCGGTTGGCACTAGATGAGCCGGCGAGCTCACCGTTCCGCCCTGACGCCCGGGAACCAACCGTAGGCTTCCAGAATATGCGTGAAGTGGAGCATCTGTCACCTGGCATCGAGAACAAATTAGCGATGGATGAGCCGGCAAGTTCGCCGTTCCGTCCCCATGCACGGGAGGAGACGGTCGATTTCGACCAATTGCCAGAGTTGCAGAATCAATCGCCTGGTTTTGAGGCTCAGCAAGAACCAGAGCCGATGAGCTCGCCTTTCCGCTATCGGGCTCGAGTCACGCATTCTGAGTCCCCTGCACCATCCGAGGCGCCAGAAGATTCACCAATGGCACAAAGAAACTCTTCTCCTGCTGTGGCTTTAGGCTCGCCATCCCCTCCCAGGGACCAACAGGCAGAGGAGCCTTTGGAACAGCAGGACATGCAACCGGAGCCATTGGAGGCACCCCAATACACCTCCCCTGCTCCTGCGCCTTCTGCCTTCCAAACAAGCCGTAATTCACAAAACTTTGGATCGCCTAAGCTAGTTGAAAATCATTCAACGCCACCAAGAGAGTCTCGCAACTCTTCCCCTACTCCCGCGCCGGTGGCTATTACAGCCGCCGAGCCGAACCCCAAGGAACATACGCTCAATCTTCACAAGCCTCGTCGGATTTCCCGGATATCGCTTGGTCTGAGTGGTCAACGTCCAACTGCAGCAACCCCTCGCAAAAGATCCTACGATCAAACGCCTCAGGAGCAGGAGGAAAGTCTGCAGATTCGCGCCTCTTACAAAAAGGGCATGACGAGCCGACCAGAGCCACCGACTATCCACGTTGACGCTGGTAATTCTAGCGTGGTTCAAGATCACAGCTTCCTTTCAACAGGCGCTGCGCAGGAGCGCTCAGCGATCGGCAACAGCCTGATGGAAGATAGACACAATGAAGGCATGAGCACGGTAATGCCAGAAGATGGTGAAAAAGAAAGCCACGCCCACGCGCAACAGTCAAATGAAACTTCAATGGTTGATGATTCAATGGACGACACTTGCTTGAGTACCTTCTCCGCCGTACCGGACATGACTACATTTGCAAAGCTTCGATCTCAGTCCCCGATGAAGTCAATGCGAAGCTCTGTCGGTGGGTATCGTCGTAGCCTCGACGCCGCTGCTCCGGGAACAGACCGCAGGGCTTACAGGGCAAGCACGCATCTTGAGGCAACCTCGCCTACAGGATCGCCTACCCCAAGACCCAGAGGTCCTCGGGACATGATGAACCCAATGGAGTCTGGAAATTTGCTGGACTTCTCTGAATCCATGAACTTCCACCCCCGCCAATCCATGCAGAGTAATCGTCTCTCTCCGCGGCGCTCGCCTATGCGGCCTCCCAGGCAATCGATGCGATCACCTGGGAAAATGTCCTCGCTTCTGGACTTTGATATCCCGCCTGCCCCAACTCCTCGATCTATTCCTACGGTGACTCCCCGGGAGTTAGAATCACTCAAGTCTGGCTTCATGTCGGAGATTTCCTCGCTAAGGGCCACCCTCAGCGGGAAAGATGCCGAAGTTGCCAGCTTGAAGCAGGCGGTGATTGACTCCGAGAGACGTGTTGGTGAAGCTCTGGAAGACTTGCGCAACGAAGCGGCTCTGAAAGAGGAGCTGGAGATCGAGCAAGCTGAATGGGGCCGTCGGGGTAAAGAAATGGAGACTGTCTTACTCTCTGTCCAGTCTCAATTGACGGATGGGGAGCGGGAGCGGGAAAATCTCTCCCACAGGGCCGAGGAAGCCGAAAAGAGCAAGGAAAAGCTGGAACAAAGAATTGCCGAGCTCGAGACCCGGCTCTCTGCTGCCCGCGCTTCGGCATCTTCTGCTAGTAGTGCCAATGCTTCTCGCTCTGCTTCCAACTCGGCGGAGGATACTGCACGAGAAGTCCAGGATGCCGTTGAAAAGGTGGCTCGCGAACTGCACACACTATACAAAGGAAAGCACGAGACTAAGGTCGCCGCTTTGAAGAAGAGTTACGAGTCTCGGTGGGAAAAGCGTCTCCGGGAGTCAGAGAAGAAGCTTACTGCCGCTCGCGAGGAGAACGAGCATCTCCGCTACGAGCGTGATGCTGCCCAGTCCGGCTCACATGCGTCTGGCCATAACAGTCCCTCCGCGCGTGAGAACGAGGAGCATGAAGCCGAGAGGCGTGCCATGGAAGCTCATATCCAGGACCTGCAGAGAGATATGGCTTTGCTCAAGCAGGATACCGAGCAGATGCGCTCAGATCTCGAACTTGAACGCGTAGAAAAGGGCGAGCTTGTTGCTGCGGTTGATGAATGGTTGGCCATGCAGCAGACTCAGCCTGCACCCCAGCGGGAGCGTGGAGGGTCTACTGCTTCTTCTCAAGGTCCCGTCGAGGAGGCCCGTCTGTCTCGTGAAACGACCCCTGATGACTTCCGTCGCAGTATTCCTCGTTCTGGCTCGGGAAATATTCGTCCTCTTGCTACTGCCGAGAAGAGAATTCCTCGGTTTGGTGCCCCTGCACACTCGCGTGGTAATAGTGGTGGCAAGTCTGGCATTGCGATGCCGACTCCTAATCGAGGTATCATGGGCTCGATTGAGAGGATGGGTCGTGGTGGTGCTTAGTTTTGGGATTTGAACTTGGTCTTTTTGTTGGTGTTTCTGGTTTTGTTGATTCCCCTACTGTTATTTCTCTTGGTGTTCTTCTTATGGTTCATGTTTAAATGGTCTTTTGTTAATCATGGAGATGATATGTAATGATTCATGCCTTTTTCATACTTCACATGCCATTCATGGATGTCTTCACCTTTTCCGCCGTATCTTTCATGTAGATCCTTCCAAGGTTCCAAGGTTGGGTTTATATATCAGGGAGAGCGGTTGCAGTACTTCGTCTTTTCCATGAGTATCCATGATGATAACAGTATATTTGGGTGGAAGGTAGCATGCCCAGGTGTTTGTTATTTGCACTACAACATGCAGCCTGCCATTCATCATCATTCATGGATGCAAACAGTCTAGGCTCATTTCCACTGGGCATATAAGTTCCCAAGGTCCCGAATGTCTGTCTATGCTGTCTTGCAACGCAGCACATCACATCACTCTCGATCTTGCCATCTCTTGCCTCAGGATTTTCCATCCACCACTTAAATCCCTGGCTCGGAGCTACATCGTATTCTGCTGGCTAAAAAAGCTACAATCAACATGTTCAACTTCTTAGCCCTTTTCATGGGCCATCTTTTTTATGGTAACTAAGGCGCCTATCGACACTTATAATCTCACTGACTAAGTAGGCGCTGGCATTTTCCATGTCCTGTGGATAAAATTCCTCTGATTTCTTGGATTTGGGCCTCTTGGGGTCATTGCAGGTATGCTGAAATACATAATCACAACTGGAATTAGCTCTACAACCATACTTACCTTCCTTCTAGGCTCTATAGCGGCTGCTTTTCAGTCATTCTTCTACGGGGCCTTTACTCCAGCCGGAGGAATATTCGCAAAATTGACCAGTATGGCTATTCTTGGCTCCAAACTCACAATGCCTGTGAGATACATTGCGGCTTACTTTGCATCATTGATTCCAACTTGGACCTTGAGAGGTTCGGTCACTTGGATGATATGCTTCCTTGGAAGGCGTTTTCCATGTGAACCTTGAATCAGATAATCAAAAATAATGGTGTGAGAAGCAGGTCTTGTTTCCAAGGTTATCACGCTCGTTCCAAGTTGCTTTTCAGCATTGGAATATGTAAGGAATTGGCGATCATGAATGTCAGTGATACCTAGTATCCAAGAACCTTGAATTGTTGTGTATGATTAGATGTTCGTGGCTTCAGCCCCGGCGCCCAGGAGAGTACTCCAGGGCTCATCGTACTTAAGCGCCAGGCTCATTTGTTTCAAGGTTGCAAATATATTTTTAGATCTTTGGTCGATGATACACCTACCTAAGTTATCTTAGAACTCATCAGATTTTACTAGGTATGACATTCAAAGATTTCTTTCAACTTCACCATCTCCCTCAGGACTTGTCAATCTCATTAATCGAATACCTGTGGACTTTAAATCATAGCTGTGTTGTGTCGTCAACCCTGAAAGGCCGCAAGCCTAGGCAAAATGTATCTACTCGACTTGATGGCCACCGATCTACAGACTCCATTCACCAGCCTTGCACAAGATTATGAATCGTGGTGGACAGAGTTCGTGAAGTGGTTCCTGAATTTCGGTATAGCATTCATCAGGCCGTCCTGGTCCACGGGGGTATATATCGCTGACAGATTCAGATATTCCAGGCATGATCTCAGCATGGTGGAAAGACATCATCGACTGGCTCTGTCGTCCCGGTAATATACCACCTACCCGTCCTCTTACCTAGGTATATACCGCTGACCTCGAGACTGGCCAGATGTCATAGCAGTCATCACAGTGTGGTGGATCACATTCACCGTGGTGATGATACTTTTTATGATGGTAGGATTTGGGCCCATTGGGATCATTCCAGGTATGTTGAGAATCGTACAATATCACCCAAGAATCCAAGCTTACTGATCTGGCACCTAGGCTCGATAGCAGCAGGATTTCAGTCGTTCATGTACGGTGGCTTCACGCCAGCAGGAGGTATATTCGCGACATTGACAAGCATGGCTATGCTGGGGACACTGGTACCTGTGCAGGTGGCCATTGCCGCTTGCATTGCCACTTGCATTGCCACACTGGTTGCATGGATGATATAGGTGAAACCGAACCAGATAGGCCGATAGGCAGATAGGCAGAGATGCCCAAAGCCCCGAATGAAAATCACCTCACATCTACCGCGTACATGGAGTCGAGATATGCCCGGACAGCGACCCAAGCGTACATGAGGTATGGCCGAATACCAGAACAACGTACGGAGGACTGGAATTCGCCATCGGGGGGCCGAGTCTGACCTCTCCGAGGCTGCAGGTCACGCGCCCACGCCAACCTCCCGGGCTAGACCAATGGATTATTTCGCGCGGTAAGCCTCTGGCGGGGTATAGAGGGGTAGGGCGCCCTGACCGCGTGCAACCGCGCAGGTCTTCCAGGGGTTTCTTTATGCTTCTCCAGATCGGTGTATCCCCGGACTGGTAAAAACGTGGGATGCCGGTGTGCCGGCTTGGGCCCTTTGTCCGATTGGGCTTGGTGTGACAGGTTCGTCCGGGGATTGGTTTGAATCTGTCCATTTCCTGTGGACTGAGCTCTGGTACTCCGTACTCCGTCTGGGGGATTTGCGACAACGGCGACTTGTCCGAGTGGGGATCATGGCTCCGCTATCATGCAGCGCGTTTCGGTGCTTTGCAGTTGCATAATCAAGGTCAGACGTTAGCTGGGCGCTTCCCGCTTTCTCTGTGCTGTCTTCATGATCAACGCTATACTAGTAGACTCGGCGATATGCCGAGCTGTCAGTGTTGCGGCCTTGCAGGTTGCAATCTGATAGTTTTCGACCCAATGGATGTGGCTTTCCCCTTATATCATCGCCGTTTACATCAATTGATCCGGGGCCCCCGGGGCCCAGAGCCTGTTTGACCTCAGGTGTCCACTGTCACCTGTACCCGCCACCTGCCGAACGCTGGACCGAATCGGATGCCAAATTCGGCAATTGCTGTCAGAGTGATATTGTATAAAATTTGAGTGGGCATCTCAGGTCGAGTCTGTACATCGGAATCCTATGTAGCTTACCTAGTCTTCCCACGCGTTCCTATCCGGAAAGCCTTACCCCGGAGTCTGGGCATTTCTGGGGCGGAACATTCCGGGGCAAAGGAGAAGTCCGGTAACGAGATTACCGCTACCGTAGTTACCAATCGCAGGGAGAAATTAGTGAGCGACTTCGTGATTGGAGTCCCACCAGCCCTGGTCCGCTTTGGAAAGTTGCGTCACTGAGATAAGGCAAGGACTTTACTTACTAGGGTTGCCAGAGTCCGTACTCACATGCTCTTTCAATTCCGGAAATCGGCAATTTGCACGTGAGGTTCGGCAGGCCGGCTGAAACATTGCGGGATATAATCTTGGTCCAGCCCGTAGTTTCCGGTCTCCATGTTTTGCCTCTTTTCCGGGGCTGTGCGGAGGGACCCTGTACTCGTGAGTAATCCGTACGCTGTAAATTGGAGCATACCTTGTCCTCTATAGTATGTACAGTATAAGATTACTTGGAGTCTGGACTCATGGGATTAATAATGAAATAGTCAAGCGGGACCAGAACGCATGCACATGGAGCCTTGAGGGCCGTGCTGTTAGAGCCGTTATAGATTTACGAACTGCATACGGAGTACAGTACATCCATATACTTTCAAGGTGATTTCATCGAAAATGGAGACTGGGATCCACGGATCCACGGATATCCCTTGCCTCGACGTAGCATTGCTGGCTTCTGCATGGAATAAATGTTGTCTATCTGAAAAACGAGCTCAGTGATGGACATCCACCCATGCTGATCGCATTACTCATTCTAGCTGTCCATTACCGAATCGGGGTAAGCCCGTAAATTATTAGGCTCCGCTCTTCGGAGACTGGAGAAGTCTCCCGTACACAGTCTGGGTCCCATCGGGGTGAATGTGGGCAGAAATCTTGGAATTGGTTCCCCTTTTTTTTTTCTCGCACTGTGACCCGCACAGGATCTTCATAAGGATTTTCATTTTTTTCTGTTGTTTTACTTTTTCTCTGTCTTTTCTCTGCCTTTTCTCGGTGCTTTTCGGAGGGCCCACTTTGACAGCCCGCATATGTACCTATGTAAAGAGAGTGAGAGGCATTTAACGAATATCCATTGATTTAAAATAATAAAAGGAGCAGGAAGAACACGGGCAGAATGATCCAATAATATATGTAATACTATGATATGAAACATGGACAGTCCCATGACCGACGGCATCTACAAAGGCATCGGCATATAGCCGAATGGAGTGATTCTGCACAAGATACGAGTACCCTTGAGCATGATGATCCCAGGTCCGTTTACGACTAGAAGTACTAGGTAGGGACCTTTAGGCTTCTGATTTCTGATTTCCACAACTTGTATAGGACAAAGTGTGAAGCATTCAACGTAACGTGACCGGGCCGGACAAGCCACTAGACCCAATTCGGGGCGAGTGACGCAGTGTGTCATGGTAAATACGGTGTAATGTGGAGTGTACAGAACCCCATCTGAACCAGCGGATCCCAAAAACCTTTTTAGTTCGAATGTCATCGGGTGATTGGCGAGAAAACCTGGAGGCATTTGGCGACTTGGTACTTAAACCTTCGCTTTCCCCGGCGCGCGATCCTGTGCTGGGACAAAAAAATACACTCTCCACTCCGTTTCCACACGTGCTTTCACACGTTGTGATCTGCTCGTCTCACATGCTTCCTATATAACTCCTAATTCACATGTCCCCTAAACCTCAACAATGACCGACACCGACTCTGGGAAACGCAAGGCCTCTGCCGCCGGCTTGGGCCAGAACCGCCCCGTCAAGCGACGCGCTTCCAAGGCCTGCTGCTGCTGTCGTGCACGCAAAGTGCGTTGCGACGTTGTGGAAAATGGCTCACCCTGCACGAATTGTCGCCTAGATCAGGTTGAATGCGTGGTGACGGAGAGTAAACGCCGCAAGTGCGTAACAGCGAATGCATCATATCCGTAACCAAACTGACCCGTGCAGGAAATCTCGCGTCGAGGTAGAGAATCATTCTGAGTCTCCTGAAGCTGTGGAGGATAACCATTTCCACGGCCGTTTCAATGACTTATCCGGGCTGGCGGACTTGGTGCCGACCTCCCCGTCACAAAACTCGGTGGATTTGGACCAGGGTCAACATATGCCCCATCTACTCTGTGAGTAATTGGACGAAAGGCGGCCCCAGGGCTCAATTGCTAAGTGCTAATCATGATCAGACCAAAACCAAGCTACAAGGATTGGCTCTATCGGCTCTGATGATCGCTACCAACGCCGAATGGCACCCAATCCGGCAGTTCCTGCTTCTATGCCCCTGGCCAACGTCACCTCGCAAATCCAGCAATTGCTAGACCCCAGATTTGGCAACGCCCGTTCCAATGGTTCACTCCCGGACTATATCCGCGGTTTGCCCGCCCGACTGCTCAAGGAAGATATCGACTACTTGGCCATCAAGGGTGCTCTCACCATCCCGGAACCCTCTCTTCGCAACGAATTGCTGAAAAGCTACATTCACTATGTGCATACATACATGCCCTTACTTGACCTAGAAGAGTTCCTGCAGACCATCGCTCAGAACAATGGCCTGCACCGGATCAGTCTTTTGTTGTTCCAGGCGGTCATGTTCGCCGGTGTTGCCTTCATCGACATGAAGCATCTGCAAGCCGCAGGTTACCAGACTCGCAAGGCTGCCCGGAAGGTGTTCTTCCAGCGGGCTCGTCTCCTATACGACTTCGACTACGAGGTGGATCGTATTTCGTTGGTTCAGTCACTCTTGCTCATGACCTACTGGTACGAAACCCCCGATGACCAAAAGGACACTTGGCATTGGATGGGTGTCAGTCTGTCCCTGGCCCACACCATCGGCCTGCACCGGGATCCCGGCAACTCGCGGATGGATGTGCGCCGCCAACGGATGTGGAAGCGGATCTGGTGGAGTACCTATACTCGTGATCGACTGATCGCCCTCGGCATGCGTCGGCCTATGCGTGTCAAGGATGACGATTGTGATGTGCCTATGCTCAGTCTTGATGACTTTGAATTCCATCCGTTCTCCCCTGAGATTGTGGCCATGGTGGGCAACTCGGAGATCCTTCAGAATGTCAGCCATCAGCGCGAGCTGGCTTTGATGTTCATCGAGAAGGCCAAGCTCTGCCTGTGCGTCAGCCACGTCCTTTCAGCTCAGTACTCCGTGTTGAGTCACAAGTTCGGCGGCACAATGGAGACTACCATGATGCTTGTTCCGAAGAAATCCACAGCCGAAACCTTCGAGGTCCGCAGCTGTGACCAAGAACTGGAGGACTGGCTGGCCAACCTGCCCATTGAAACTCAATACAAGATGTCAAACGGCTCCAAACTCCCCGAGGCAGATGAAGTCCTACACTCCCACAGAGCCCTTCTTAAAATGGTTTACCTCACCACCTCATCCGCCCTGCATCGCCCACAAGTCCTCCCCGCCATGCCCTATCCATCCACAGACGCCGAGCTACAAGACATCTCCCGCAACAAAGTCCGCTTCGCCGCCGTCGAAATCACCGCCATCGCCCAAGATCTCCACACCCTCGATCTGACCCGCTACTACCCAACCACGGGCGTGACAGTCCTTCTCCCCGCCGTCATCATCCACCTCCTAGACATCAAGTCCACAGACCCCACGATCCGCATGACCTCCCTCCAACGCTTCTACCAATGCATGCGCATCCTCCAACGTCTCCGCGAAATCTACGCCTCCGCCGACTTCGCCACCTCCTTCCTTGAAGCTGCAATCCGCAAAGCAGGCATCCAACTCACCGTCTCACCCCAGGACGTCTCCGACAAACCCCGTCACACTCTCACTCCCCCACCAGACTCCCTGGCTCAAAAGATTCCGGATCTCACATACCCACCGGCGCCTACACGTCCCGCAGACATCTTCGCCTCCACGCCGCCTCAGTCCGATGGATCCGAGAACGGAAGCACGAACAATGTCAACGCGCCTGCTAAGGATGCATTTGCGATGCCTTCGGAAATGAGTCTGACGGAGTTGATGGATCTGGCGAATGATGCCGAAGTCACGCAGAATGACTTCGATGCGCTGATCAATTTCGATGACCCGGCTCACAATGAGCTCTTTGAGGAGCCGGCTGAGGAAAAGTTCGATTTCACTGATAACATGATGTTTGATACGGAGCCTAAAGCGGTGGATTTCGCTTTGGAGGGCATTACTACGGAATAAGAGCGTGGAAGTGAGCGTTTACTTTGTTTCATGAGTGATGATTGGCGCGTCTGGAAATTTGCGACGCTCAAAAAGTCATATGGATATACAGACTTGTCTTGGTCCCCCCCTTTTTATATACAGTACATATTTATAATGATGATGATTATGACTGCGGTCCATGTTCCATGAAGATCGGATCCCAGAAGTTAGTCGGTAGCGATAGATCCAGGAATTCACCAAATAAGGTATCTATATCCGCGAACCCGTCGACTGGCATATCCATCGGCGCAGGTAGTGTATCGAGCGCGATATCAGGTGGCGAGACCGGCCCACTGTTGGTGCGCTGTCTTTTGGCTGGGACGGTGTCTTCGTGCGGCGCAACATGTACTGTTTCCAGGGCCCCGGTTCCGCGCGCTTCTGGTTTAGACTGTGTCGTTTGCCCCTGGATCTGGTGGAGCGCCTTTTGCCCGAGTCTGGCCATGGCTTCTGCGGAGTACCAGCACGGGCTTATATGTTCTAGTAGTGAGCAGCAAGCTTCGAGGCTGGCCTTTGCCCGGTCGAGGTGCGTGATGAGTTTGCTGGAGCGGAGTTGTCGGTATGAGACGCCCATTGAGAGTGTGATTGAGTACGGGACGACTGGGAGTGGAGGGAGGCTGTCTGCGCATTCCGATGCGACGATTGAGTGGATGCGCACGGCTGCTAGGCCTTGTCTAACGGATGAGAGTCTGCCATCTATACTGTCTGTTGGTTTGTAGCGACAGGATAGGATGGCGACGGAGTGGTAGTATAATTCCAAAAAGCCTGGAAGCTGTTAGTTGGAGCAGAGAGTGGTGGTGGATGTCATACCTAGTGTGGCAAAGTCTAGATCTTCTTGTGCATCTTCCCCTACCAGATCCTCAAAGGCGGGGAATCCCTCTTCCCAGCCGCTGGTAGGATCTGCGGCAGGCCGATAGAACGATATTACATTAGCCAGTAGGTCTGAGACTGCGAGCCAAACCTCGAAAGCGCCCCGTGACTTCTGAGCGACGTCGGGTTTCACGACCGCGATATCGCGATCGGCTAGCAGGACCGGCCGGCCGCCGATGCTGGCGTGCATCTTGTCTAGTGTCCACAGACACCAGAATAGTTTCGTCATAGAGTCCGTTGGTGGCTGGTTCGGACGCCCGAGGTGCAGCCCTACAGTTTGGGCTTGATGTATGGCTTGGCAGAGGTGCAGAGACGCTGCTTCGGCGCCTTCATGTCCCTCGCAATGCAAGGACATCAGAGCAAGAATGCGGATCCGTGTCAGACGATCAGGTTCCAATTCTGCGTCCATGGCCACGACAAGCTCTTTGTATATATCGGAACAGAATTGGCGCGAGGTTAGAAGAGGACCGTACGGCGCAAGTGTTAAATGGGGAGTGGCTGCGGGTGCTTTTGCAGCTGCAAGACACATCGCCTTCTCAAGGAATACAGACGCCGAGCCATCGGCCTGCGCTTGGATGAACCCTTGGTCCACTATCGGGATGATATGATTGACCTTGCTAAAGTAGATAGCGATCAGAGGCTCGCGTGTAGATGAAGGCAGTTGCTGACATGCCTGCATTCCAGCAGCAAGCCGCTGCTGGAGCAATGCCGCTGTAGCATGTTCAGGCGTGGGCTCTGGCGCATGAGATGATTCTGCTTGCTCTGTCACATTTCGCGGCTTAGCCTTCTGCGCAGCGGGGGAGTTGATCCAGAGCCCTATACGGTCTCGTAGAGGATTGCCAGAGGGCTCGTCTAATCTTTCTCGAATCAATGACTCTGGATTGAGGTCTCCCACGAATCTCTCCGTAGCGGGGACAGAGGTCGAAGCCGGACTATCCGATGTTGTCCGCGCGCGATCTATACCTGACGGAGCCGGGAGGCTCTGGCCTTGTGGACTCGGCTGGAAAGAGTTGCTATCATTGGAATGGGGAGGTTGATCTGAAGAGGGTTCCCATTTTGGGACCAAATGTCGGCATCGTTTCTGCGGACGTTAGACGGGTCTGGAATGGTGTTGCGCGCACCCACCTTTGAACGCTGGCAACTGGCGCAAGCTCGCAGGGCCCTAGTGCGACTGCGCGACTGAGGAATATCTGGAAGCCAGGTCAGTTCCATCTAGGCGAGAGCTAACGGTGAAAGAAGCTGAGACGCGAAGTTGGAGATGACTCTTATCGATAAGGTGTTATCGCGACAAATTTAAGATTTTCCGTTGCATTTCACCGAGTCTCCAGGGCTACATTGTGCACTACCTAGGTAGGATCATCTGGTAATTCTTCCTACACTCAGTAATTTCTTGGGAATCGTCGGACACTATACCACGAGGAATGAGCTCTTATGTTTGAATCAATTGAAATTCACTATGATACCCGAGACAGTTGAGATCCATGCACCTTGAACTCCATACCTCACACAAAAATAGCCACATTTGATGTGATCCTCGTAATCTAGACAGGGCTTGAACAAGCCTCAGCCTCCACAAGAGCCTGGATAGCATCCTCATCGTCGAACTCATCCACTGGAGGTTTCGACTTAACCTCGACCTTGGCACTTTCAGGTTCAACAGGCGCCTGGTTGGGAGGAGAATTCAGATTCTCCTTGTCGGAGATACAAGCGGCCTTCTTACTTGGCACTAAACTCCAATCAATGATTTCGTCTGGCCCATACCTCGAAGCAAGCCAGTTGTTACACTTCTTGAAGTGCCCATTTTGGAACTAACGAACATTAGCAGTCTTCGCAAGATGTGAGAGGGCTCGACCTACGAATCCATGGTGCGCACTCAGAGGGCTGGGATGCACGGATTGCAGAATACAATGCTTTTCCTTGCTGATTTTCGCGACTCGCGTTCCAGCAGGTCGGCCCCAAGCAAGAAAAACGACACCGTTGGTTCGGACTCGCGCAACGAGATCAATGACCTTTTGTGTGAATTTCTCCCAACCTTTGTTCGAATGGCTGTTTGCCTGGTGTGCACGGACAGTAAGACATGTGTTCAACATGAGAATACCGCGCTCAGCCCAAGGAATCAAGAGGCCACCCTTGTCGGGCGGTGATTCAAACTCGGGATAATCGACCTTGATACCCTTGTAGATATTGAGCAGCGACGGCGGGGCCCGCACGGGGGCTCGGACAGAGAAGCAAAGGCCATGGGCTTGGTTGTGGTTGTGGTAGGGATCCTGACCAATAATAACTACCTTCACGCTGTGCAAGGGTGTGTGTCGGGACCTGTCACTCATTAGCACGTTGGAGCCACTACGGGGGCTCTCATTTACCAAGAGTAGACGTCTTCCTCGGGTGGGAAGACCTTGGCACCAGAATCTTTTTCTTTCTTCAAGAATCGTTTCAGGTTCAAGAACTCGGTGCTGACGACTTCATCCTTCAGGTGGGCAAGCCAGCTCTCGTCCAGAGTGTTGATTTCCAATTGCAGCAACTCCTTTTGTTCCGGGGTCAACGAAGCCACCCATTTCTCCTTGTTGAAATTGCTTGGCCGCGGCGGTGCGACTGAGCCTGACGCTGCGTTCGCGGGCTTGGGTTTGGGAGCTCCAAAGAATGCGGTGATGCTGCCACCTTTGGGCTTCTTCGAATCCGGTACGGGGAGATTCTCCGATTTGCGCTTGACACCAGGGCTGACCATGATGAATTGAGTCTTTTCGTCTTCTGTTTGGTGTTCGGAAGGTGTGGAAAATGAGGGTTGGAATTGGCCACAAATTGCCCCAGAGATGAGGCTCCGCGAAAAGACATTCAACGCGTCGCAACGCGTCGGATCCGCGAACGATCGGCCAAATGGCTCCGCCTTAATTGACAGGTCATACCGTAATAGTGGATTTCTTGGGATTTATTGAGCAATATGAGTCGATTTCAGATAATAGTACGTATCGAGTTACATTTTGATAAGCAATTAAAAACTTTACAGCTCGTCGTGGCCCTCCTCCTCAACGGCCTCAGTGGCCTTGGGGGCAGCGGAGGAAGTAGCATCGCTCTCCTCGGCCTTGGCGCCCTCGACAAGACCATCAACCTGGTGCTTGCCGTTCTCCTTGATGAAGTTGGCAAGATCCTCAACGGTGCGGTCACCAGCGTACTCAATGGGAGAGTCCTTGGCACCAGCGGGGTAGATCTTGATGGTGGGGAAGCCAGTGATGGAGTCGGGCACATCGTTGGCAGTGGCGTCGATCTTGGCAACGGTAACCTTCTCGCTCAGCTCGGCGTCGGCGTAGAGAGCGGCAAGTTCCTCGTACTTGGGAGCGAGAGACTTGCAGTGTCCACACCAGGGAGCGTAGTACTCAACCAGAACATCCTTCTCGTTGTCAATGACAACGTCCTGGAAGCTACGGCCAACAATGACGGTGACACCCTCCTGGGTCTCAGGAATGGGCTCGGACTTGACGCTGGCCTCAACCTTGCCAGCGAGAACGTTCTTGATGAACTTGCCAATCTCCTTGGCGTCAATCTTCTTGGTCTGCTCGAAGGGGTACTTGGCGTTCTTGGTGACGTCCTGGATGGCGAAGGCGGGGAAGTTCTCGGGCTCGAGGTTGAGGTTACCGGCGTGGGCACCGAAAAGCTTAGCGTCAAGGGTGACAATGTTGATCTCTCCGCGGTGCTTCTCAGCGATGGGGCGGAAGTCAGCGGCGAACTGCTCACGCTCTTCGGCGGTCTCGGCGAAGATGTAGGCGAGGGGAATGCCGGCCTGTTCGTCACAAAGTTAGCTTTGTTTGCTCGGGTTAAGTGAAGACTGAGAGTATTAAAACGTACGGCCATGTACTTGGAGTAGGTCTCGGGACCGAGCTCGCCAACAAGAGGGGTGCTGGCGGTCTTGACCCAGTTAAGGATGGCCTCGTCCTCGAGCTTGCCATCGTAAACGGCCTTCTTCTCGTCAAAGTCCTTGTAGAGAACGATGGAGGGCTGCTTGACGCCCTCAGCCTTGGCAAGAGCAGCGTCGTCGGAGGAACCGAAGAGGAAGTTGTCACGCTGGGTTTCAGCGAAAGAGCTGAAGCTCTCGTGGGAGGTCTTGTCGTCGGAGGCAACGTAGCCAATGACAACGATCTTGTCAAGGGCCTTGAATTCCTCCAGGTTCTCCTCGGTCACGGTGGAGACGGCGGGCATGGACTGCTTGGTCATGTATGAGACAATGCTGTGGGAGTGATGTCAGTTTCCACAGTGTTTCAAGGGATAAGTCCGGGTTGAACTTACGCGTCAGTCTTGCGGGCGCCAGCGTAAGGCTTGTGGGAATCAGGGCCACGGAAGACCTTGAGGGTAGGGTAGCCATCAACCTCGTAGGTGCGGCAGAGCTCCTCCTCAACGGTGCAGTCAACCTTGGCCACGGGGATATCCTTAGCCTTCAGCTCGGTAGCAGCTTCCTCGTACTTGGGAGCAAGGGCCTTGCAGTGACCGCACCAAGGCGCGTAGAACTCAGCAAGAACCAGAGGGTGCTCCTTGACGAAGTCATTGAAGGTGTCGGTTGTCAATGTGACAACATTGGCATCGGCATCAGCAACTTCGGGCTCAGCGGCATGAACTGCCGCGGTAGCTCCGAGAAGGCTCAGTACTAGAGGAGCGAAAGACCTCATGATGTTGATTTCTGTAATTCAAACAAACAATGAGTCCCAATACCCCAAGTCAAGAGCGGTGGGGTTTTACTTACCAAAAGGTTAGTTGAGGAAAGGAACTGGGTCCAGAGGGGAATGTAATATTTATCTCAGAGGAAGAGGACAGTTTGTTCACTAAGGCTGAGAGTGGAGCTATTATGACCGGGCTATGCAGGGTTACGAAAGGGCGGTCCCTGCCAGGTACTAGGTACCTCCACTGACCGCCAATCTATGGAGAAAGCTTCGGTACTGGGCACCTCGGACGGTACCTGTTTAACCGCCCTGATCTTAAACCCTGGCCTCCTTCTAGTTCCCGTCACCTGAGGAAACCTAAGTACACTGTCTCCTTTCGTCAAGGACATGGGCGTCTACTCACTAGTACAGTTACACCTACAGTTAGGGACAAGTGGCCTCTGATGCTTGGCGGCATGGGCGTATTGATGTTCATGCATTCCTAGACCCCATCCTCCTACATTGTATGCGATGGTGCAGAAAGACAAGTCAAATCATAATAGTATCCGAAAAAAGCAATGATCTCATATCACAGTCAAATCAAGCTATTACTCTTCTACCGCTTCTTCCCCTCGAGGGACTTGGGGACAGGCCCCATCGCCAGCCCCCTCGGGCGTGCCGTCCAACTCGGCCCCCAGCTCTAAGGCATCCCGTTTTCCACGTTCGACATTTACTAAAAGCATGAGGGGGAGGGGGACTATTATTAAAATAGCCAAAAATACAAACGCAGGGCGGATGTCCCCGTATCGATCGGTGATGGAACCGACAATGGCTGGCCCAAAGATGCTGGATCCTTTGTCCGTAATTGCGTAGAGAGCATAAAAGGCCGCTTCGTAGCCTTGAGGGATGAGTTCTCCGAAGAAGCTTCGGCAATAGGATGATAATCCGCCCATGACAAGGCCATAAACTGCGCCCAAGGGGTACATCTCCCAAGGCTGATGAAGACCAAGTCCCGCGCGTTTCACAGCCGGAATGAATCCCAAGAGACCATATAATGGGATCAGCTCAAAGAGGACAATGCATGCTATGATGGTCTGTGAAGCTCGCAGATCAAAATAACTCGATACGTAGCTCCAGGAAAACGCGCCAAAAACCCCTGCAACCATGACAATGACATTAATCAATCCGAGAGCAGCAGGTTTCATGTCCAATTCTGTTTTGGCAAACAGAACAGCAGTGCCGCTAACGGTCGCGATCCCGTCGCTGAGGAGAAACCAGGCGGCAAGGAAGATCCCGATGTCTTTCAATCGTCGTGCCCGCATGATAGTCTTGCCGAGTGATTTCCAGGCGTACGCCATGTGGGCCATCCATGAATCGAGTGGCTTGCCATCACTTCCTAACAAAGGCGGGCCGGGCCGGGTACGCAGCCACAAAGCTGCCGGAATGGTGAAGATGAACCACCAAAGCCCAATCAAGAAGAGCACAACACGTAGAGAGAATGTTGGGGGACGCACCACCACGACCACCAAAATGGAGATTATTTGAAGAATCACGGCACCGATATATCCTATACCAATACCATTCGATGAGATTTGGGTCGAAAGTCGAAGCTCCAGAGAAGTCGCAAGGTGAGATGGATCTTTGGTCCCACTGCTAGGCCCCAGTAGCGGAGTAGTGTCATCTGGATCTGTTTGATCAATCGTTCCTGGGACAGGCCGACCTTCGCCATTGACCGCCGTAACATCACTCGGCGGCCTCTCCCCTTCTCCCTCTTTGAGCAACGATGGGTGGTGACGAACTAGAACCGGGAGGAACGAATTGAGGAGGACAAATGATGCACCAAAGCACGTGTTAGAGATGATAGCGAGAAGTCCACCTAGAAGGTACACTCTGGGCACGACGGCCAGGAACAACATTGTTGCAATGGAGCCAATAAAAGCGAACATGATCAACAGTTTCTTGCGATAAGTTCCATGGTCAGCAGCGCCTGACATTGAAATAATCAAAATGGCTTGGACCAAGACGCTGAGTGAGAACGTGTACAAAGCAAAGCTGGCGGTGTTAATTTCAGCGCCGAGAAAATAGATAATGCACTGGCCGCCATTCGATTGGGTCTGATACCCCAATTTGCTTCCATCGGGTGGTAGAGATGGACTCCAAGTGGCGCTGCATGGTGTTGTTTTGTCTGAGAGTAGGACACCCCGATCTCGAGCCATCTGCTCGAGGGTGATAGGAAGAAAGGATCCTGTTGCCTGATCAGAGAAACCCAAATGACGAAAGATATGAATCAGATAGACATACCCATGGCGCATACTACGAAGACCTCAGCAGCCCAGCCATAGCAATACCAGCCAGCCAGCTCCCGCTTGCTGGTCGGCCTAGTGTCATCGCCAGGAAACTGAGGGAGGGCCTCAGTATTCGGTGTAGTCATGATCGTCCAGATTCATGGTCCACTTTGGATCACAAAGGCATTGCACCAACAGTGGCGAGAGTTTGATATATGTCTAAGGTAACAACAAAGGGAGGTGAAGTCATGAGCTGTGTACAGAGCCCAGACCACCCAAGCTTGGGACCGGGACATCCACAATAGCGGTATTTGTGTATTGCCAAGGGATCGGGTCTGCGTCAGGTTTCAATACAAATACATGCTTATGTAATAAATAACATCGGGGCACCCACCCCCAGGTCAAAGGCGGTAGAACAATCTGAAGCCCAAAGATGATCGCGATGCGCTGCATGCATTGTTGACGCAATCCTCTCGCCGTGATTCACCTCTTCGCATAGTTTGTTGTTCAGAGGAGCTTTTCGATCCAATCTATCGCCTCGGCACTTCTTGTTTCTCTTCTTACCAGGCCGTTTTACGTTGTTCCTCCCATTGCGACAACCCTGCTATCAGCAAAATATCTAGATTTCCGACCGACAGTCCTCACCTGAGCTGGTCGCTACTCCGACAGCCACCTAAGATCAACCTCTGCGAGAGGCTCGTCGCCCAGTCCGATTCGGTTTCCACAACGCCCGGGTCTCGACCATTCGTTGAAGGCCCATCGGCTCATCTGAGTCCCCAGCGGTGCGCTGAGCTCCTTCGATTATGAGCGAGGCCTTCTATTCGCACGGCCCATAGATCGAATGGCATAGATTTGAGGACTTACTCGTTGCCTCATCTTTCGAATCGGCTTCCCTTCCTATTCCAGCGCCAACTGGACCGAGCCCGGAAGATTGGCTGTGTCGCTGGTTCTGCGCCGTGCATAGGGCCAAGGAGGGGAAAGCTTCTAGTGGGAAATAACATCGCAGCACGTTGTGTTTCCGGAAATGCCCGGTGTCGTTATGGCCAATGTCAACAAAGAGGGATCCATCCGGCGGCCAGGCTTGGATGGGATCAGCAACGGCATATCGAACAATTTTGAGAACTCCGATAAAAGTATTCAAGGATCTGGTATGAACGGCTCCGCACACACAAATGGCGCATCGCAACATACACCGAATGCTATTGCCAAGGTCGGAGACATCGTGCCAGCGGCCCCCTTTGAACTACCTCATATCACCCAAGGATTCTTTCCATTCGGTACACTAGTCAACCGCTCAGTGCAGCAATGCTGGATTGAACTGTCCGAAGTGATCACAGAGCTGGCTGCCATAGATGTGCCGCCAGCCAATGGAAAACCCGGCGGAAACCAATCAGCTGAAAACCTACGCAAGAAATCACGACTCTTAGAATTTGCTCATGACAAGAGGGCTGAATTCATCAAACTCCTAGTTCTATCGCAATGGAGTCGACAAGCTGCCGATGTGAGCAGGCTTATCGATATTCAGAACTTCATTCGCACACGGCATCAAGCATATGATTCAGCTCTCCAGTTTGTGGGTGAAGTGAAAAGAGATCTCGTTCGAGCACAAGTCGCCAACCCAGATTTGAAAACAGCCCTGGAGGTTCTTTCAAAGGGACGAGTATCTTCTTTGCCAGATGTAAGTAGTTCCTTGGATCGTGACCACCGTCCCCTGCAATGCTGACATGCTAAATAGCTCGGCTACAAACCTCCCAAACCACTCACAGCACGGTCCACCCTCAAGAAGCTGCTGAAACTTAACAAAATCATCAGCGTGAGACTGACTTTGCACGACTCCGTGCCATTCGCCCTGCGCAATTATCGGGTCCACGATGGCCGGGTCACTTTCACAGTTCCTGGTGAATTTGAACTTGACCTTTCAGTTGCAGAAGAGTCGGAGACATCACAATTCTTTTTCGTGGATATTCGTTTCCTCTTTTCGCCATCATCGCCCATCCCGAAAGGTCGTATTTTCAATGAACTAGACGGCAGGATCAACGAAATCCTTCGGGATGATGGCCTGATGGGCTGTTTCAATTTCCTTCACGGCTTGGTTCTCACGAACAAGATCAACATTCTCTTCAGACAAGCCATAGAACTTACTCGAGGTGTTTGGGCGGACAGCTTACACATTGAACTTCTACACCGAACACTGGTTGTTCAGTATTGGCCGCAAAGATCAGGTCTCAAAAGCTGGCTTGAGATTGGAGTCAAAAGTGGCAACCAGGCTGCGAGTTCCACCACATCCAAGCCCGGGGTTTCTCATTTAGGTCTCCGATGGACGCGCGACGGTCAGCAAGTCAGCAGTGATCCCATCAAGTTTGACACCAATAACCTCTCCATGGAGCATATTCTCAGAAGCGTCATCGCACTACACACCTCACAACTTATATCCGCCGCATTCAACACCCTCAAAAAGCACCTTCTTTTCGCCCACCACAAATTATCACTCAAGGCCCAACTATCATCCATGGAACCTGGAGATTGCCGACTCGATGTCCAACTCACTGCCTCACGCTCTCTTCGGGTCTCAATAGAACCAATGTCAGGTTCTATCGTTTTCTGCGGGGCACCAAATATGTTGGACCGTTTGGATGGCGACCGAGCTGTTTACAAGTCATCGATAGAAGAGATCTTATCTCGCATCGCTAAACTGCGTTGTCTGACCGCAGTGAACGAAATCGAAACTGGAACCAAAGCCCTTGGTCTTGAGTCTGTGAACCCGAATGTACTTGGGCTCGAATCCCGAAAATTATTCCCCCCAGGCGTTATGCGCACCGCCTTCTTCACTCATCGACTTTGGAATCGACAATGGGTGGCTGCTGCGACAAGCAGCATGGACGGTGACCGTTGGTGGCTCGTTCAACTTCGACCTGCCGGTGCAAAGAAAGTTCCGCAATTTCCTATAATTCACGATGCCACGAGCCTTCCGCGAGCCCACGCTGTTAGTGAAACTCTCCTTCCACCGAAGAATGGATTCAATTTCTCAGAATATGCGGAACTCGTTGATGGTCTCACTGGAATGCTGGCGATTCATGCCAATGCACGTTATCTGAGCGACTTGCGAGGTATGCATTACTGGCCATCATTGAAGGAGTTACAGTTGGGCGCGGACCTGACCGTCCCGGATATCCTTTTCAACTATAACTCATCAACATTGCCGGTTGCGCTACGAATGACTCTGCCTTTCAATGTGAGCAAACAGGCATCGTTCAAGGAGATGATTCGACTTTCGTTCCATGGAATCGACACCAAGAGCAGCTCGGTCGTGATCGTTGCACGTGGCACATTCCATCGGCGCATTCAAAGCTTGAGCAGCCTTGTTTCTCAAGTGGATCCTTCATTGATCATTGAGGACAAGGGTGCCGGTTTTGCGCTTCGCTTGTTGGTACCAGCCGGACAGTCTGTGATTGCTTTCTTTTTCGAACGACTGCAACGACTCGAGTGTGTGATTGCCATCCTCTACTCTCTCATAAAGAAGGGATTCCAGCCTCGATCGTTGTCTTTGTCCCAGGTTGCCTTTTCCTACGGAAAAGATACAAAATACTCGGCTTCGTTTGAAATCGGTGTTCAAGGTCCTTCATTGTCTGATCACGTTGATGTCGCCGGGGCTATCTCGACGAAAAAGCCCCTCTTCCAGTTGAACCTTCGCGTCAAGTTTGAAACGTCGAGCCCCCACCGCCGAATTCAAGAAGCCCTCACCGTCGATTTAAACAACTCGACTACTCGAACAGGTGTTGATCAAACCATCGAACTTCTGTCGATCACGCTTCGCTTGCTATTGGCCTTTGACCAGATTTCTTCTCTCTCAGCGGAATCCTCTATTGTGATCGTCACCGTGCGCAAGCCGACCGAATACTTGATCCACTACCCTAGACTCAAGTCTCGCTTCCAGCTCAGCATACAAACTCACGGAGACAAGTCGATTTGGCTACTGAGAGACGCGAATGGTATGGACCAGTCAGGCCGTGATCAAGTCGTGGCTGCAACAAAAGAGAAGATCTATCACTCAAAAGGCGACGGCTGGACCGGTCTAGGAGACGGTGCCAAAGCCAGCATCGCCAAGATTGGAAACCTTGTTCTTGCGTTGCACGAGTGCATGAACACCCCCAATCTTCAACTCGATGAGATCGAGGTCAAACCCCAGCAGGCCCCAGAGCAACAGACACACGCCCCATCAATCCCAGCGCCGCAACCTATGGGCATTGGGGCTTCCGATGTCATCACGATTGACTAAACAACGATATGCGCCTCGATGGCTCTCAATACCTTTTGAATTTAGTTTCCCTGCTTTAATACGAGAGCGACTGCAAAGTTCTCTTCACGATGTATTCTTAGACTTTTTTTTGAATGACATGGCATCTATATGTATTTGATCATGATCCGTGATATGTATTAAAGTGGCCTCGTACAAATACCTAGTAGATTAACAACGCTCTTCTCTGATCTTGCCCCGGTTGCGCAGCACATCGTACTCCACCCATCTCGCCGTCGGGGTGCCACCTTCGGGTACTAAACGTCCAGGATTCATGACATGGCAGCCTTCATATGTCATGCAGAACGGGGCGGCCTCGGGATCTGCCAGGACCAATGCAGTTGGCAATGGATACAACTGCAAAGCGGAGGCATGATCCCATAGAATGGGTCGCAATGGCAACGGGAATGGAGAGACTGTCCCCTGGTCCAAAAGTGTCTTGACCAGTCTGCGAGCCATGGTAGCTCCAGATGCAGCAGTCGCTTTAGTGTTTTCATGTTGGCCCAGATCGTCAATTTGGCTGTTACCTTGGGCGAAGGCACCAGCACTGCTAGGAGGTTCCTGCATTGTGACGTCTGGGTCTTCACTTTCAAGTGTCGTATTCACAGCGCTGCGTCTTAGACGTCCCGACATGTCATCGCGGAAGACGGCGATGTCATGAACGGGCCCAAACCAGGAAAGACGTGCAGGGTTCGAAGTCCAGACGGCATCGCCTGGTGGCTCTTTGTTCTGGGCTCCGAGCTCTGAATTGGCGGTTGCGAAGGCCCGTCTTACTCGGGAGGTGAATAGATCTGGGATTGGCTGTCTGGGCACTGTTGAGGCTGCACCAGCAGAAAAGGCCGATGCCCATGGGTCATTGTCACCTGGCACAAAGACAAAAGTCGAGTGTTGAAGCAACGCCGGGAAATCGGACAGCACTAAGGCTAATGAATCAAAGTACTCCTTATACTCGATGCTTCCGGCTCGACCACCTCCGCTGATGACAGCCTTCTGCACGAAGTTGCCAATTAAGACAAAGGCCTGTGGACGCTCCCGGAGAGCGAGATCATTGTAGGTGCTGAAGACCTTTTTGAGCGCATCCAAGGTCTTCATGTTATCCAAGTTGATTTCGCTCATGACAGCGACCTTGAGCCTGGGTGGTGCTTCCATGGTCTCATGATCATGCGGGAGACATTTTTCTTGGATTCTTCTCATCCGTGCACCTTGCGCGCGCTCACTTCCGAGCCCAAGGAAGTCTACCCACCCAAAGCCGCCGCTGGAGCTCATCTGCCCGCTGTCATGGCGGTTGCTTGTACCCAAAGAGATGTCTCGCCTTTCGCATGGAGGTCCACAAATTGATATACCAACGAATTGGCCACCGATTGCACCTCCAATGCCGGTATTACCACCCAAAGCAGCACCCTTGACCATCTCTTCCTCTTCGTAGATACCATCCACGAGCACAATCATACCCGGTGCAAACCATGCACCATCTTCGGGAATCATGCGGGCATGGCTCAAATCCAATGCCACGCTTCCAGATAGGTCCACAAGGGACAAGTCACCAGTGGCAGAGATTGAAAGTAACCCAAGAAGCAAATGAGAGGTGCCAGTCCTGCCCAGCAGATTGGCAATGGGTGTTAGTTTATAGGACTGGCGCTGCGCAAGATTGGATGAAGAACGTTGCAAGGATGGAACACCGGCTGAGCCCAAAGAACTTTGAAAGGCTTCATTGCGCAGCAGTCGCTGGTAAACGAGGTTATATCGGTCTCGGAATAGGGCGGTTTTGTGAGCTGGCGAGGGAAACAAAGATGGTTTGGACTTGATGGCCTCGAAGTACTTCTTGTCGACGTTATATGTCAGGCGCGGGAGATCAAAGGCGTCAACAACCCTAAGCCAGTGTCGCGGATGAAGAGATAGCTGTGAATCCTCTTCTTCATTGGCGGGCATCGCCAAAGACTCGGTTGTTTCAATGTGCCCATCATCCATGCCGAGCGCTGATGGTTTACCATCCTGGGCTTTACCGACAACAACCCTTCCGCCGCTCATACTGCCTTCAAGGGTCTGCAGTATCGTCTTCAAGGATGCGCCTTTCCCTTCCTCCACAATCACGCCTCCGCCGGCTCGTTTCCATATTTTGGCTACCTCATCCAGAACTCGCTCTGCAAGGCCTTCTTCTCGCCATCCTGAACCACAGTTCTTGCCCACGAAAACAGCTAATGTTTGCAGCGCGGAAGATGAGATTGTGAGATTGTGTTTGCGGGTAAAGGTTCGGAAGGCGACTGGGCGTAGGGTCGATGGGGGGAGCAGGATTGGCAATATTGAGGTTTTGGGCGGTGCATTTCCCTTTTGCAATCGAAAAGGACGCGCTGGCGTTCCAAATCCAGGCGAGGATGAAGGAATAGGATCATTGAAGCGATTTGGATGTCGCGGTGTTGAGTCCATCCTGATGACTCCCAATGGTTGAAGAAGTCCTTTTCGACTGAGTAAGGTAAATTAGACAAGTCCTGATGAGTCTAGTTGACCGTATAGCCCTAGAGACCTGGAACTTGGGAGGATCGGGCTGTGAAGGTGGAGAGCGTGAAATGCGAAATCAATTAGATTGAGACGCGTGACACGCGCCGCGCCGGAGCTAAGCTTCTCCCCTTCTGATTTTTTTAAGACACCTTTGCGCCTCGCTCTTTTCTTCGTGTTTCTCTCCATATCTATCCAATATAATATTCACTATGAGCGAACCAACCGAAACCCAATCCCCCGAGCTCTCGGAGCAGGAGAAGCGCACACAGCTGGACGACTTGATCGCCCGCGCCGCTGCGAAGGATGCGACCAAAGACCACGACTCTGCATCCGAGCTCTACTCCCAAGCCACTGAACTTCAGGCCGAACTGAACGGAGAATTATCAGTCGAGAATGCTGATTTGCTGTACGCCTACGGAAAATCGCTGTATAACGTCGCAGTGAGCAAGAGCGACGTTCTTGGCTCTAAGGTGGCCGGTGAGCCCGAGTCTGGCACCACATCCTCGAAAAATGCTCCTGCAACATCGAAATCCTCTAGCGCCACCGGCGGTAACCTCGTGAAAGACGCAATCGCTAATCCCGCGCAATCCTCATCCGCGAAGCCCAAGAAAGAGTCGGAGCCTACAACTTCCAAACCTTTGTTCCAATTTACCGGCGATGAGAACTTCGTCGACTCTGAATCCGAGGATGAGGACGCTGGGGAGCAAGATGAAGAAGCGGAAGAGGACGACGACTTTGCCAATGCCTTCGAGGTCCTCGATCTGGCTCGTGTCCTATATCTCAAAAAGATGGAGGCTGCGGAGACCGACGGCGGCAAGGGAAAATCCACCGAACTCTCCAGCGATACAAAGCAACTCATGGAGCGACTGGCCGATACGCATGATCTTCAAGCCGAGATTTCGTTAGAGGCGGAGAGATTCAGCGATGCGGTTTCCGATTTGAAGACTGTCCTCGAATTGAGAAACTCACTATATCCTCTTGAAGATCCGTCTGTCGCCGAGTGTCATTACAAGCTTTCTCTCGCCTTGGAGTTTGCGTCAGTGCAACAGCCCGAGGAAGATAGCGGCGAGAAGCCCAAGGTTGATGAGGAAATGCGCAATGAATCTGCCACCGAGATGGAACGTGCTATTGAGAGCTGCAAGCTCCGGATGGCCCAGGAGGAGAAGAAGCTTGCATCCGAGAAGGATGAGGACGAAGACAAGGCGAACGCAACAAAGAGAAAGATCGCAAATGTCAAGGAAATTGTGACAGACATGGAGCAAAGGGTAAGCAGTCTCTTCCACCTCATTCGAGCTTGCTCCTACTAAGACATAAACTAACGTTGATCGCAGCTCGTGGACCTGCGCCGACCACCTGTCTCGATCGAGGAGAACGATGAATCCAATGAAGCCATGCTCAAGGGAGTCTTGGGACAGATCATTGGCCAGTCGGCAACAGATCAAAAGGCCCAGCTTGATGCGGCCAGCAAGGGAGCCACGGATCTGTCTGCGTTCGTCAAGCGCAAGCCTGCAAAGAAGCCAGTCCCGACTGAGACTTCCTCTAAACGGCCTGCGGAGGAGCCTGCCACCGAGAATGACTCGAAGAGATCTCGCGTTGATGACGCTTCTTCGTGAATAACCTTGAAAGCCCTGCCAGGGGCTTGAACGAGGTCTTGGAGCTTTCTATTTTATACAACCTCAGCCCCTATGAACAGGGGTAATAATGAACTATCTACGAACAAAATCTGCGCAGATTGACGCAATCTGCAGCATAGGTAACTTTTGGAAACATTATTTCGTATGTCATTGGCTAGGGTAGTAAGATGCATGTAAAAGAAAGCATAACGACTCATCATTAAAGGGTATCATGTCACACCATGCACTCGCCTCGCTCCAGCGTCCTCAGAACCTCGCTTCATGAGATGCCAAACATAGCAGGCCGACGTTCAATTTTGCGATTCCTGCGTCGGGCAGCAAGCCCCGGGCTCCAGATGCCAGCAAAGAGATCCTCACACTCATCCTCGTCTTGGCTATCAAATTCGGCCTCTGCATGAGCCGACTCAGCCCCTGACTGACCTTCCGCCAGGTCAGGATGGACATTTGGCGGTGACTCCCAGCACGAAGAAGTGATGATCTTCTTCGTTTCTAGAATGAACTTCCCGACTTTGTATCGCTGGGACTCTTCCTCCGCAGCGACATATTTCCAACCCAAAACGTTATCACAGAATTTGCAGCTCACATCGCTGACTGTGTGTGCACCTGTCACAAGCTGGCGCGGTACCGGGTGTTGTAGTGTGGTATTGGGTAGTGAGACCGTAGGCGACGATGACGCGCTGACTGACACGGCTGTGGCTACGGGCTCCGCTGAGACGAGATAGGCTCGGCCGTGGCGGCCTGTAAATCCTTTGCTGATTATTTGAGAGGTCAGGCAGAGGTGTGAGGCGCAGCCGGCGCAGCGCAGGTAGGAGGCATGGCCGTTGAGGTACTTTGGCGCGGAGTCTGAATGCCCCGCTTTTCGTTTGGGAAACAGGGAGGGAATCAGGAACTTTGGGAACTGGAGAGATTTGCGCTCCTTGGGCATGATATGAACGCTTGTGTAGGGCGAGTCAATCTGACAGACGAGGCAATGACAAGTGCAAAGGGATACCTCTAAGGTGAGGTCATACCTGTGGACCAATGGGGCACATCTTATCTTATCTTATCCCTCGGACTTAAAACCCACCTGGGCACCCCCGGGGCCACTTCATTGTCCTTGTGGCTTGGCTTCATCGAACACAGCAAAGGTGGCCTTGCCTAGGTTCGTAATGCATACATGGTCAGATCCAATAGGGTATTAATGGAGGTGTTGGAAGGGTGTGGTCAAACATGAATCCTTCGAAATAACCCATAGCAATTATTGAAAGACACATAACAGTGTATTATTGAAGACTAATAGTAGAATAATGTCATATTGAAACAAATAACTCAATTTGAAGAACATTAGAGTGAAATAAAAAATTCAACGCAACAAAGAGCAGCGGGAGAACTCGCTTGTGATATCAAAGTCGAGAAAATCTCATCCTCAGGCTCGGTGCTGGGGAATCCAGCCCTCTGCATCGAGTTTTCCCACAACCTTGAAAGAGAGGCTGACATATTGCCAAGTAATCAAGGTAGGGGTAGTGGGCGATGGCAAAAGAAAGCCATGAAAGGGAAGTGCAGAAGGGGTACTTGTTGGTAATGGGGCAAAATGCCCAGACTCATGAAACCAATCAATACAAACATTAGATTTCAGCGACCAGGAAGAGCCATTCGTCACTAAGGGATCCTTGATCATTGCTTGTCATCCAGGGCTCCAAGGTGGTAAGATTGAATCCACACCACCCCAGGCTTCGGACAAGCTCCATTTCATCTGTTGGCTGGGAGCGGCTGACACAGGCGACAATCTGCGAGCACCCGAACGTGTCCATCTCGGCCAATTCGAAGAGCGCCATTAGTCTAGAAGGGTGTCAGCAGAGCATCAGAGAACATGGACACCCAAGGGGAAAAGCCTTGGGATGTCTCAAGGTGTTGTCCACACAGAGGTAACATACCCTGACTTGAGGCCGTGGTCCAGCGCACGGTCGAAAAATACGAACATGGTCCGCTCCTTGTTGTGCTCCGCCACAAACCCACGATAGATGGCATCACTGGCGTAGTCCCATACTTCGATCCACTGTTGGATATCGTGTCCGGTGTTTTGGGCGTTGGACGCACCCATCCCCAGCGACTCCTGTCGCACGAAAGTCCCCTCACCAAGGAAAATCGAAGACAGTTTGTCACAGAAGAGTCTCTCACACTCTTCCGGGATGTTGTGCGTTGCCTCCCCCTTGTACTCTGGCCATTGGTTTCCGGCCCAGAGCCGCTCGGAAGCGATGTCGCGGGGAGGTCTTTGAAGAGACGATTTAGGCCCCGAAGGGACCTCAGGGATACCACTGTACCCCTATGACAGAGTTAGATGGAGGAAGGTGTTTGGGAGTTGGGATCCGTCACTTACCGGCGCCCAGGGTAGTGCAGTAGTGGAAGCCGTGAACCTTGGCGGTGGCCGACTCCACGCTGTAGCAGGTGGCGAGGACGGACTGAGATTCTTCGTCCAGAAACCGCTGCATTTGATTGCAATTACTACTGTGATTATTCATGTATTTCGCCATGATAGTCGATCTTTCGGATAATTGTGGGGTTTGGATAAACGGGGTTTTAAGGTTGGTGGTTGGTGAGGCGGTTGACAGCGGATGGTCAGGGTATCGAAGCCGAGCGGGTATTGAGATTTAAGAGTAGAAAAGACACTGTGAAGACTGTTGGTGGGTTTGGAAAGAGAATCGTTCTGTGGTCTGATTGTTGGGCAACGAAAGCCGGGGGACGAGCGTCTTCTTTTTTCCCCCCCAGTCACCTGACTCATCGACCAATGCTAAGTATAACTACGGTGTGCGCGCCTCTTCCAATTGCGATTGGATCGTCGTAAATTGTGAAGTTATTGCGTATTTACAGCCCAATTAGACCCGAGTGACAATGAAAGAGGCTACTATGATCAATAATTGGCCCACTTTGGCGCAAGGTTAGAGGCTTAATGTCAATATTGTCACGTTGCTACATTCATCCCCTCCTACGGCAACGGTGATAATGTTTGAATGGTAAATTGAATTTCTGCTCATCTCTGCTAATCGCGAGTCCATGGAAGCCAAAGAGCGCAGTGTAATATGGAGGACGAGGTAAAATAAATGTGTAAGGAAAACCGCTCTAAAATGATATGCATATTCACAAGATGCCCCAGAATCGAAACGTTCATAGTTCCCGGTAATCACTAGGGCGAACTCGTCGGTTCCTAGCCTGATGGCGCTGAGGGTTCACAGGTTGTCGGAAATATGGTGAATCCTCTTCGCGGGAGTATGGGGTACTGAACGCAGTCCGTTGCTGATTAGAGAAATTATTCATTCCACCGCCTTGTCCCTGGAACCCATTCTGCATGGGAAACATCATTGATGGGTCGCCGTTGAACATATTGGGAAATCCATTGGGCATTCCGGTGTTTTGGTCGAACATTTGGGGGTTGAAGGGCATGTTCATGGGGTTCCATCCGAGATTCATGCCGTTGGGGAATCCATTGGCCATGGCCATGGGGTTCATGAAGCTCATTGGGTCATTGCCAAATCCAGGTCCAGAGAAAGGCATCATGGGCATGCCAGGCATGGGTGGAAAGCCGTTGAAGGGCATTCCTGCGTTGGAGTTGCCTGAGGCGTCACTCTGAGCGCCATTTTCCACGCCTGGGGTATCGGTTTGGTCGTCCGACTTTTGTTTCTTCGCCGCATTACCCGAATCGGAGCCTGGAGCTTCGTCCTCGGTGGGCTCGTCCTCGGCGGGACGTTTCTTTGACTGTGTAGGGGCTGCATCTTCCGCTTGATTGAATGGACTTTGCTCCTTTCCTGGCTTGGGATTGGCCTCTGACTCTGTCTCAGGCGCAGGTGTGTCGGCCGGGGCGGTGGCTTGCTTTTCTTTTTCCTTCTTGGCTTCCGCCTTTTCGGCTTCATATACCTTGATCTTGGACGCAGATTCATCGTCTGGGGTAAGGTTATCAAGCAGCACGCCCTCTGTAGAGCATCCCGGGCAAACAAAGTCACTTTCAATAAGAGCATTGGAAATACAATCATTGCAATACGTCCTTTCGCAACACGGAGTCTTTGTTGGATCTAAGAACATCCTTTTGTCAATCGGGCATTCCAAGCCCCGAGCTTGCAATGCTTTGCTTTCCTCCGCGGCTGCTGCTTCGGCAGCGGCAGCTGCCGATGCCTTGGCCTTCTCCTGATACAACTCCCAGGCTGCTTTATCTGGCTTTGCAATAACAAAGTCACCATCGGCATTCACCATGACCCCCGTATTCCTTGCTTCTTCGGTGGAGCCATCGGGCGCCAAGGATTCTGGTTTCTCCACCTTGGTTTGGAGTGAGCGTGGGATACCAGTTGACCGCTTGACTCGGTATTTTCCATCAAATTTGGGGTCATTGTTCGTTGGGCAAGCTTGAATCCAGTGACCTAATCGATTGTCAGCAATTTTATGTAGAGTTTCAAGACATGGTGGAACACACCTTTCTCCCGGCAGCGGTAGCAGAGATATCCAGGTGGAGGAGGATGATCTGGGACATTGAGGGGTTTTCCTCTGCCACGGGGCATTTGCACGGGTGTCGCGCTAAACGAGGTCAGTATATGCGATCCTCTCATACATGTGGGATTGCAGCGCTTACTTTGCCATTTCATTCTGTTGTTCCTGCCATTGGCTGGCCTGCAGGTTGAAGAGGGCGTTGATCTTCTCCTCCTCTGTCTGGGCATTATTGAGTTCGAGGACGTTGTTGTTGACGGACTGTCCAGTCCCAGGCATCGTTCGGCCCGTTGAAGGTTGGTTCCCGCCAATTCGAGCGTTGACGGGCATTTTGCCTGAAACATAACGGGCAGCACCTCCCTTACCAGGGCGAGCGGCGGGGAGCCTGCGGGCGACCACGGATGTCGATCGGGGAATAATGGTAGTATCATCGTCATATTCTGTAGTGCCATGTTAGATGAAAGCTTGGCAATGGCGTTGAAAGGACCGCGCTGAGATGGAGTAACATACCCTCTTTGGTGTCTTCGTTGTAGATTGACAGCTCAAAGTCGCTTCCATCGCCCAATCTACTTTGGCTGATAATCTCTCTCTTGAGCTCAAAGACCGAAATACCAGTGCCGTCAAAAGTGACCCGCGAGGGCTCTTTCGAGGACTTGAACTTGAAATGAACGGACGAAGACATTGTATTCAATTGGTGCAACAAAGATGGTCGTATTTGTAATGAGACCCGATTTTAGAGGCACCACCGCCGTGTACAGTGAGCGATAGGGGAGAATAGAGAAGGAAAGTGGGAAGAAGGAGAAGCTTGAGATGGCAGTCCGATCACAAGTCACGGCAAAAGCAAAAAGACCAGTTAACAGGATTGTCTGCTCAAGCAACAAAGGGAGATATTTTAGGGGATGATAGACCAGTATCTATCAATGAACGGGGGAAAAGTATGAATGAAATCTTTTTGTATGGAGAGTTTTCAAGTCCCTGCGTACAAAGAGTCAAAAGAATTGATGAATACGATGATCGAAGCACTGAGGCTGAGGCTGAAATCGGCGCCAGAGGGGTTGAGGTTCTGTCTTGTCCTCCGAGCACTTTTCAAGCTACTTCGCACCACCTCGGGTCGAATCGGTGATTGTGTTTCTTGCAGACTGGTGAATCCCAGCTTCGGTTGTGCAGAGACCTGTTGGGAGTGAGTGAGTTTGACCTCGACCGAAAACGGGGGCTATCGCGACCGGCGGGTGTCACGCGTATCAGGTCGTCGAAGCGAGGTGTCAAAGGAGGAAAGTAAGAATGCTACGCGCAAGGACAATAGAAACCAGGGGTTTCGATTGTCTTGGGCCGAAGCGATAAGGGGGTGTGTATGGCAGAAGGGGTTCGGTGTTAGCGACGAAGAAGAGGAGGTGGTGGCAAGTGCAGGAAAAGTCCACGTTCTGTGCCGGGACACCGCCTTAGTGACCGCCTACACATCGACTTGCTTCGTGCTCACCGCCTGCCTCAGTAGTCACTTCAGATTCACTTCAGATTCACTTCTCACTTCTTACATAGAACATAACGTGTTTTTCCCAAATGGCCTTCTGGTTTCGGGGAAACCTTAGGATTTATAGGGTATTAATGTGCTTGGATGTTGTAAAATTCATCTATTGTCGTGCAAAATATATACATAAATCTCAGAAAATATATCTAGAAGTAATCTTCACCATCTACGCCTGGTCATTTTCAACTTAGATCTCAGCTTCAAATTGACGGACCAAGAATCCCTCGGTCTGAAGGTGATCCTTCACTTGAGTAACGGTGTATTCGCCGCGGTGGAACTGTTACGAAGTTAGCATACCCAATGTTGACTGTTCAGGAAGAAAGGAAGACTGACCATTCCAGCCCCCAGCGCCGCATCAGTCGTAGTCTTGTTGAAGACTTCAGAAAAGTGCGCCGGGACGCCTGCGCCACTTGAAGCAATGACAGGAATCTTGATTGCTGCCTTCACGTCGTTGATCAATTCCAGATCAAATCCACTGTTGCTTCCATCCTTGTCGATGCAGTTCAGCAGAATCTCACCAGCACCCATTGCCTCAACGGCGCGAACAAGTTGCCACACATCGATGTCGCGAGTCTCACGACCACCCATGACAGTGCACTGGTACCAGCAGTAGCTTTGTCCGCTCGCATTTGGGAACTGGGTCTTAAATGTGTGGTGGTGGGTGTCCTCTGGCTTGTCCACATAGACACGCTTAGGGTCAACACTCACAACGACGGCTTGCTTGCCGTAGGCCTGCGATATCGTCTCGATAGCGGTCTTACCGCTCAACTTCTCGCCGGCATTATAGTAGTCCTCGGCGGCGAAGACGGAATCAGATCCCACGCTGACCTTGTCAGCCCCAGACTTGAAGTACATTGTTGCCACGTCCAAGGCGGGGATGCGGGTGCCGTCGGTGTCGACTGTGTCTTTAATTCCACCGCCAATTGTCAAAGGCACAAAGACAGTTTCGGATGTGCGTCGCAGAATCTCCAACATTGGTGTGTCGGCCACAGGGCAGTTTCGGAAAGAGGTAATGTTCAAGAATGTGACTTCATCTGCTCCTTGCTCATAGTACTTCTTGGCCATGTCGACGGGCTTGCCAAGGTTGCGAACATTTCCGCCCTCGTCACCACTCTTCTCGCGGACATCATATTGGTCACCCTTAGTGACGACCAAGTCACCAGAATCGTTTGTGCGGACGTCAAGACAAGCAATCACGCGGCGAGTGAGTCCATTTGCCTTGCTGGAGTCGATGTCTCCAGAAAGCGATTGGAACTGGTCACCATTCAAAAATGCGCGAATGACCCTGAGACCAGCGGTACCACTCTTCTCTGGGTGGAATTGTGCACCAAAGACGTTACCCCGACTGATGGCACCAATGAATTCCTCCTCGCCATATGTTGCTGTGGCCACGGACCAGCCATCCTTCTCCAAGGCACCTGGTGTGTACGGAGCCGCGTAGGAGTGGACGTAATAGTACTTGCTGGAAGGTCGCAGTCCCCAGAAGCTCTGAGATCCGGTGTTCATTGCTGAGTTCCATCCGATGTGTGGCACGCTTTTCGAGGTATCGTTAAACTTTTGAATGCGCTCGGGGATGACGCCAAGTCCTGGGACGTCGTTGTCCTCCTCTGAGCCCTGGAATAGAGCCTGCAGGCCGACACAGATTCCCATGAATGGCTTTCCAGAGTCAATGTGTTCACGAATGGGCCCGAGGAATCCTCCCTTCTCCAACTGGGAAAGACAATGGCCGAAATGTCCCACGCCCGGGAGAATCAATTTCTAAGATTTGCTTGTTAGTATTGAAGCGCCTCGGAGCCTGATGTGTGCTCAATGGCAGTGGGCAATTGACCAACCTCTGCATTCTTGACGTCCTCGGGAGATCTGATCCATTCAACATCGTATCCGACTTGGTTGATCGCATTGACCAGGGAACGAATGTTCCCCGCAACGTAGTCCAGCAAGTGCACAGTAGGCATGGCGGTGGGAACTCGGGCCAGAAAGTTTGCTGGTAATGATAGCAAGCGGGTAATAGAGTGATTGAAGTCAGAAACCCAGCACAAAGAGAATTGGGCCTGGCAAGATTATCAGAGGGGTTCTTGAAGGAACCCCACCAAAAATCGCGGGCTGACTCATAGCCGCATGTAATGAGAGCGCTTTCTGCCAGACAAATAATCTACTTGAAGGTACTTTATCTATAGTGTCTGCACACACTATAAGTTAGGTTCCTCCAAGTACCCACAAAAGGATGCTCATAGATGAGTCATGTCTGCATCGCATAAATTGATCTGCGCATCTGGGCAGGCGCCTCGAGGCCGGGCAGGTAAATTCTAGTGCAGAATTAAAGGCTATTTAGTCTTTGAGTATGAACTTTAGGACCTTGGGAGCCTCCCGAGTCCAAGTGCTTGTATATTTGTTCATAAATGCGCTCCAGGGCTATCGACTACCTAGTCTGGATGTAGACTGTGAATATGTCTTTCATATGCATGACATTCCTGCTCACATGTTCTTCATTGGCATGTAATGTTCTGACGAATTGTCGAGTCTGCTAAGGTCCACGGGTGACGGGTGGTATGATCCTCCCAATGGATTTTAAATGGTCTGTCGTTGAGATCATAATGCTAATCAGTCTTGTGTTTCAATGTCTTGGGTCTCGATGTCTTGGGCTTCGATCGACATCTCGGAGGCCTGGAGGTAAATCAGTCCATTTGAAGGCTGCATGTTCATGGTCAGTGCTACACAGAGAAATGTGGAATAGAGGGCGTAATAGGTACCGGGTGGAATTGTCGCAATCGGACCCCAGCTTGTTCGAGAATGGCAGCACTCTGTTCATCGGTCAGATTACCAAAGATCATCGTATATCATATCCTCACTCACGTCACTATCCATGTTATATCCCTGTGAATAAACAACCTCGGAAATCCCAACCTGGGCAATTTTGACTGTGCATGTTAAGCAAGGGCACCTGGGATCAATTGTAAGCCGGGTACTTTCATAGCCATGTGGATTTGTGGTCATACGTATCACAGTAGAGGATTGCCCCCTCTCGAATTCGCTCTCGGCCTGCTTCCAGCAACGCGTTCTCTTCGGCATGAAGACAAAGGCAGGTTGAAAGACCAACTCCACCGCCATCTCCGCGATTGCATCGTGGACCTAGGGTACTCTCCGGTCAGCAAATGGGTAACCAAGATTTTAATCTTGTCAGCATCGTACATCCACCTTGGTTGCAGTTCTGAAGATGACGTGGCGTGCCGTTGTATCCTGTGCTGATGACACGGCTTTCCCTAACGAGGACACACCCCACTCTCCGCTTCATGCAATTGCTTCTTTGGGCAGCAAGTGAGGCCAGCTGCATGAAATACTGATCCCAGCTCGGTCTAAGTCGCTGTTCATCTGCCAGGTCGAGATTCCTCAGGGCAGAGTGTAGCTCGTCGAGAGACGAAGAGGAGTTGAACAGGCGGACCTGGGCCTTGTCGGTCAAGTAAACACGCCCAATATCCTTGCCGTATAGGTTGTGATCATTCCACAGAACAAATTTCTCAAGATCAGGTGGATCTAGCTGTCTCCTCCAGCATCTGAGGCCATCAGCTTTTTTTGTCCAATCACACGGGTTACCACGAACCTGTCGGCAAATCGCTTCCAGCGTAGGCTAACTGGGGCGTCAACGCTCACGAGGAGGAAGAAGGGACGTAGCAGGAATTTATCCAACACGTTGGCATCGGCAATATCCGTAGTGACCCAGCGCTCTTGCCATCTTTTGAGCGCGAAATCGAGTAGAGACTCGGCATTCTGGAATATGAATTCAGAAGATTGCGGATCCTTCTTTCTGACCTCTGAGACTTGCAGTCGCAAATCATCCCCCGAGTCTAGCGACTCCGATTGCGCATTGGCCGCAAGCTCCAGAAGCTGAAACCCTTGGTTTTCAACCAGATATTCGGCAATGGCATGCTTGCCAGCACAAATGCCTAGTCCGGTTAGTTTGTTTCCACTTCAAGTGAGATTGTCTGCTGACCTCCACACAAGCCGATCAGCATATCGACGTGAATGTACCGGGGAAATATGTAGAGAAGAAAGAAGCCGACTCAGTGGGGCCGGTTGCAAAGATATCTTATCGCGAATATCTGCCTGATAACATTTCAATTTTCCAGGTTGGGCTGTGCTTGACGTGTTTTCCTGCAGAGCTAGCAAAATACAGGATGTCTCATCGTGGAATCGCAATAGCTAATCGGTGCCCAGCTGCCCAGCTTCGGCATTTGTTGTTTTATCCCTGGTCACCTGTTGCTCGCACGGGATACGGGTGGTCACTAGATCATTTCGTGAAAATGCGTGTTTTTGAACGAGATAGAAGAAATACGCAGGTTAATAGACATGGAATTCCATCTGTAACTATCAAAGATCATTCCAAAGTTCGCACGTTGGTAACCTTGGAAATACATCGGGACTGCGGAGTATAGACGCTCCTTCCCCGCCCCTTGACATCACCACAACATCTCCCCCCATCGTGGCCCAGGCTAAGATGCAGTACACCCCGTTCGCGTCAGATATCGAATTACCATTCTACACGTCTCTAGCCTCCCACAAGATCAACCATGACAAGCTAGACGACTCCGCCCGAGCGGTGTTGGGTCTATATGAGATCCGTCCGTCTGACCCCGAGGCTGCATCGTGCCGAATCCAGATCCATGGAAATGCTCTCAGTTGCAGCGAGTAAGATGGGATTCATCCCCAAGTACCTTCGCCTAGCTAACGGCCACAGTGCACCAGCCAGCTACTATAGGGCGGAAGGAATGATCAAAAATGTCAATACCGTCGAAGAATACCGCAATGCAGACAGGGCCAAGATGTTGTGCCAAGTCGGACAGATGGTAAAGCAGCAAACAATATTGTCAAGATCTGAATAATCTACTGACTGGGCTTAGGTCTGGGATGCTATTCATGATGGGACGATATTTTCATGTCCCTCCTTGTTATCCAGTTTCCTAATCGTGTCTTTTGCCGACCTGAAGAAGTATAAGTTCCACTACTGGTTTGCCTTCCCAGCGATACACTCAGATCCTACGTGGTCACTCGTCCAAAACCCACAGACATCTGTGTCAGACCAAGCTCGGCATATTGACAACGCAAAGGGGACACGCCTGTCTCCAGAGGAAAGCACTTCCCTCGTGGACGCCGTTCAAACGTGGTCCTACACCGTCGATCATCGACAGCGAGGTTTCTTTTTGGCCCGCAGGGTAATAAGTCGTGGCAGTGTGTCAGTCAGCCCTACCGAAAGAAGAAAATCAGAAACCGGAACACCGGCGACCACCTGGCAAATAGCAGCGTTATCCGAATACGAGAATGGGTTCTTCCAGAATGTACCTGCAGGAAACCGTTTCATCTGCTTTGCAGACCCGTCGAACTATGAGCACGCCCCAGGGTGGATGCTGCGGAACCTGCTAGTATTGATCAAACAGCGATGGGGTCTCGGGCGAGTGCAAATTTTACGCTATCGTGATGTGCATGCGAAGCGGGATCAAGGCCGCAGCTCAGTCATCCAGTTGGAATCACTATCACAAGAACCTCGGTCCCCGAAATCACCCTCGAGCCACGGGGCGCTGCCTAAAGGACCGCTGCCAAAGGTTACCGGCTGGGAGCGCAACCCGGCAGGGAAACTTTCGGGGAGAATGGTAAACTTGACGGAATACATGGATCCCAGAAGGTATGCCATCTTGACAAGATATGCTTGAAACATGGTGTTAACTTTGCATGAAGATTGGCGGATCAGTCAGTTGACCTCAATCTTAAACTGATCAAATGGCGTATCAGTCCAAACCTGAACCTCGACAAAATCAAGAATACCAAGTGCCTTCTACTAGGAGCCGGAACACTGGGAAGCTACGTCTCTCGGAACCTATTGGTTTGTGAAGACTGCTCATGTAACGAATGAAACACTCTAACCGCTCTGTAGGGTTGGGGAGTGAAGAAGATTACTTTTGTGGACAACGGCACTGTGTCCTTCTCAAACCCTGTTCGGCAGCCACTGTTTAATTTTGAAGACTGCCTGAATGGCGGGGCTCAGAAAGCAACTCGGGCATCTGAAGCCCTGACACAAATTTATCCAGGGGTAGAGACAGCGGGCCATGCGTTCTCCGTGCCGATGGCGGGTCATCCCATTGTGGATGAAGCAGCATCAAGAAAAGAGTTCGATACATTGAAAACCTTGATCGATGAACACGACGCCATATTCCTTCTCATGGACACTCGTGAATCAAGATGGCTACCCACCGTTATGGGGAAAGCAGCTGGGAAGATTGTGATGAACGCAGCCTTAGGATTTGATTCATTTGTGGTTATGCGCCACGGCGTCAACGAGGGTGAACAACCGGCTAAGCTTGGATGCTATTTCTGCAACGATGTTGTAGCACCGGCCAATGTAATGATACCAAGTGAAGTCTATGTGCAAAGGCTAACCGCATGCAGTCTATCAAGGACCAAACCCTCGATCAACAGTGTACAGTGACGCGCCCAGGCGTGGCGCCTATAGCCTCAGCACTCTTGGTTGAGCTTCTTGTCTCGCTTCTTCAACACCCACAAGAAGCCGCAGCACCAGCCCCGGTAGCCCGGAGCGTCGAGCGTGATGATCATCCCTTGGGCGTTGTGCCTCACCAAATCCGCGGTTTCCTCTCCACGTTCGAAAATCTGTCTGTCACAGGTCAGAGTTACCAAAGCTGCAGCGCATGCTCGGAGAAAATAGTCGGTGCCTATCGCGATAAAGGCTGGGACTTCGTCCGGAAAGCCCTCAATGAAAAGGGTTATGTTGAAGAATTGAGTGGTCTGAGAGAGGTTAGTAAAATGTTTAGAGCAACGGGTTCGGCGCTGACGCACAGCAGGTCCACGAGAAAGCAGAGGCTGCCCTTGCAGATATTGAATGGGACGAGGGATCTGACAATGAGGAGATCGAGGTTCTCTAAAGGCCGTCCTCATTTCCCCGGTAAGTTGCTCGCTAGATGGAATTGCTCAACCATCAAGGCTTTCGCTGCAGGCCAACGAAAAACGCCTCTTTGGATTCCTATCGCTTGTTTTAGTTGGTCATTTTGATATTGGAGAGGACGAATCATACACTGCGCGATGATTCAGGCTTTAATCGATGGACCTTTTTGAACAATGCCTTCAGCTGCATCTCTAGTTCTTTATCCTCGGCACCTTGGTAGAACTTGCAAACAAAGTGGCCGCCTGTTTTGAGGACATCCGTACTGAATCGCAAGGCGGCATTGCAGAGGTCCTGTTTGGAATTAGCTTGTTTTCCTCATAATTTGGAAAAGTGGACATATCATACCATACTTCCAGCATGGTCCCTGAAGGTAACGCCGCTTGTATTCATCATCCTGTTATAAGGAGCACTTAGACTTCGTTTCCAAAAACCGGACGTCTGGTGCCAGGGTGCAGACATATCACTGAGAACAACATCAACTGTCCTTTCAAGAATTTTATCTTGCCCATCCTTTCCTCCTGCGCTCTCGTCGGGTTTCGGCTCCAATAAGCTGGGCGTAGGTTCGCCTAGACCAGGTTGCCGTGGTCTGCCCCTTTCCGGGTCCCGAAGAAAGTCTCGGATATAAGTTTGGATCTCGGTTGCGAGGAAGTTTCCCTGGATTGTCGAGACTCCCTTGGGAGGTTGCGCGGGAATAAGATCGACGCCGAGGACTCGGCCGTGTGGTTGGGTACGGTTTGCGGCAACCTGTCCAAATGGTCAATTGGGAACTTCAACAAGTTACTTTCAACGAGGTGAGACTAACTTGTGACCAGGAACCAGGTGCATAACCCTAGAAAGGCAGATTGCGAGTTAATGGAATTGTTCCGCGCCGACTTCGAGATAAGCGTACTAGGTCGACCACTGTTTGTCCGCCTTTAAAGATTCGATACTTCTCATCAATCTGGTACAGCAAGCCGGCAGGTGAGCATGATCACCGTGTTGATAGTTCTGTTGTAATGTACCTGTAATAACTTGAAGGCAGCTCGGCTTTTAAGTCCTTGGACGGCGGCTTCTTTTGTGAATTGATCCTTTTGTTGTCGAGCCTGCCAGCGCTTAGATGACGCTTGCCTCACCTGGCCAACCAAAGGCGTGCAATTGACCCGACAAGGCCGGAAAGGTAATGAAAACATGATTGCTCAGCTGGAAGAAGAGCTATTTCGAAATTTGCGAGCCCCGAGCTTCTGATGCTGTTCTGCCGGCAAAATACGAAGAACAAGTCGGTCAGCTCTTATCGATTTAGGTAGTTAGCCCACCGCTCTACACATACTCGTGGACGCATAGGAATAAATAACTAGGCGCAACGGTTTACTAGCTGTAATTCAATATACAGACAAGAGTCTCTGGTATTAAAGAGATAATGTCATGTGCAAAACACCAAGTGGTTCATGCAATTTAGATGCGCTTGCGATCTTTCTTCAACGGAGAGAATCCCATGGGTGCCCCAAACTTGGTCGAATTAGCAGGTCCCTTCGACAGAGTAGATCCTTTTCGCGCAATATTTTTGAAGAGACCAATATCATCTTCATCTTCCTCGAAAAGGCTCCGATCTCGTTGACCAACAAGCTTGCGTTTCTTTGGCTTCGCCAGTTCTTCGGCAGAACTGTCAGATAACCCATCATCCTCAATAGCCGACACCATACGGTTGACCGATGTCTTCTCCTTGGCAGGCAATTTTGTAGGCACCTTAACGGGCGCCGGGGCGGTTGAGGCACTCTCTCGTGCTTTGGGCTTCACGGTCTTCGATATGGGGTTCCGATCTTGGCCTGGGGAGAGCTGGCGGCGCAAGGCAGAGCCCATGCGCTTTGGTTCTCCATTCCTGTTGCCTTTAAGGGCCTCAAGTGGTGTTGGAGCATCCGCAGCCCCATCGTGACCAACATCGTCATCACCGGCCACTGAACTCATTGGAGAATCAGAAAGGCCTCCCCCAGTGCGGTTTAGGAAAGGCGTGATTGAGAATGATGATTTTTCACCTGGCATAGCCGAGTCTTTCCTCATCTTCCCTTGCACGCGGAAGGCACCAGGGGTCGCAATCTCCACACCGGAATGAGAGCTTGGCCGAGAAATCTGGCCTGGGCGTTGCAGTGGCACAGACCGAGTAGCTTCAGATCCATTCGCGGCGTGTGCTTTCACATTGCTTCGCTGGTGAAGTTCACTTTGCACCTCTTGGAGCTTGCTCTTGCTTGCCCGTAGCTGCTTGTTGAGAGATTCAACCTTGCCTTCGAGGACCGTTCGCTGACTTTCCCACCCCGAGCTCTGCTGCTGGAAGTCTCGCTCTTGCTGCTGTTTCGCCCGGAGTTCCCCTGCGAACTCCTTTCGTAGTTCTTCAATGCGAGCAGAGAGGTTGGTTATCTCGGTGGCTTGTTGCGACGCCTTGGCCTGTGTACGCTGATGGGCATGCTTTTCATCGTCAAGCTGAGCTTCCAGGGAGTTTGCAAGGCGTTCCATCTCATTGTTTTTGGCAACAACAGCCTGGTATGATCCATCTTGGGTCTTCAGCCGCTCAAGTTCTGACTGTAGAGCAGTAAGCTCTCTAGAGAGCTGGACCTTTTCTGCCAGCACAGAATTGTAATTGGCTGAGTTGTTTTTCTGGGCCGCGAGTTCATTCTTCGGATATAAGTCAAGCGCTCGTTCTCAATGGGAAACCAGGGACTCACTTTTAGTCGGTTCATCTCGTTTGAAGTATTTTGTGCTTGATGCTCCAAGCGATCGATCTCTTGACAGGCATCTTGGAGTTGGACGCACGCCTCCGAATCAGCCTTGGAGAATCCTAGAAGGTGTCCATTGGATTCTTCTAGTTGGACCTTAAGTGCCTCGTTCTCGAATTGTAAAAACAGCTGCTCCATGCGTCGCACACGATCTCGCTCCCCATCCAAAAGACGTGCTGAGTCGGAGAGAGTCTTCTCATACTCCTTCTCCAAGTGAGTAGTCCGCATGGACATTTCAAGCTGGCATTCATTAGCATCTCAATAACCAAGCACCGGTAACGACTGAAAAGCCACATACATCCAAAACGGACGTTTCTGGATCCGCCATGATGGAAGATCGATCAAGAAGGCAGTGGCTGCGCAAGTAAATAAGATGCTAAAGCAATAGTCGCTAGGTAATACCACAGTAAGAGGGATAAGATAGAAGGTATTCTTCCAAAAGTTGCACAATGTATAGATGTCGTCGCCCAAGACGCGTCGGTCCCGGTGTTTTGGCCGGCGATAATGAAATTAGGTAAGCAGGCGATTACGTCCGATAGTGGACACCTGGACACTCTCCTCAACGTGTTCAGTCGTCTTCAATTGCAACCAATTGATCATCTTTTGTTTCGAGGCACATTTCCAAAGCTGTTAAGCTCCCTGTTGTGCCAGTATGAAGCTCTGGATGGCCATCCTTCCACTACTCTCCGTCGTTGGCGGCGTCTTGTCCGCCTCAACCCCGGACAAGTTTGCAACATACCAAAGCTTGTCTCGCTCAGGACCCGTTGATCTGGATAGCGCCTCCTATGAAGATCTGACATCCGCGCCTCGCGATTACCATGCGGTGGTTATCTTGACCGCCACCGACTCCCGATTTGGATGTCTTCTCTGCCGCGACTTCGAGTCCGAATGGGATCTGATTGGCCGGAGCTGGAATAAAGGTCCCAAGTCTGATGATATGAAGGTAGTCTTCGGTACTCTTGATTTCGACAATGGCAAGGCCGTCTTCCAGAAGGTATGAGCAACCGCTCGAACCAGAGCTATGCGACGTTGACTGACCGGAACAGATGATGCTCCAAACCGCACCTGTTCTGCTTGTGTTCCCTCCGACTGTCGGTCCACATGCAAAGGTTGATGGAAATCCCGTTCGGTTCGACTTCACTGGGTGAGTTGCTAGTCGAAATTCCTATGCCTAGGCCTTCCGACTAACTTGTCCCACTCCAATAGCCCGATTACCGCTGAGCAAGTCTATGCTTGGATTGGACGCCACCTTCCCGAAGGCACTAAGCCAGAGATCGTTCGCCCCATCAACTACATGCGCATTGTGTCCGTGGTTACCACCCTGATGGCCGTTGTAACCGTCTTCACGGTCCTGTCTCCCTACGTGCTCCCGATCGTTCAGAACCGAAACCTGTGGGCTGCAATCAGCTTGATCGCTGTCCTGCTTTTCACCAGTGGACAGATGTTCAACCACATTCGCAAGGTTCCTTACGTTGCTGGCGATGGCCGAGGTGGCATCAGTTACTTTGCCGGAGGGTTCCAAAATCAATTCGGAATGGAGACCCAGATTGTGGCTGCTATCTGTAAGTCAAGCTTGGCCCTGAAGCTCCTTGAGCTTTGAAGGCGTATATTCATATGTTCTAACACTCTTGTCTAGATGCCGTTTTGTCGTTTGCCACGATCGCACTTGCGGTCAAGGTCCCCCGCATGGAAGATGTCAAGGGTCAACAGCTGGCTGTCTTGATCTGGGCGACTGTCCTCTTCGGAACCTACAGCTTCCTGCTCAGTGTTTTCAAGACCAAGAACGGTGGCTACCCATTCTTCTTGCCTCCATTCTAAGGGCGGTTTGAACACCGCCAAGGCGCCTTAAGGCATCGCATCATTCTTCGACGTATCTTTTGGGCCTGTATCTCTGTATATGTTAGGCCAGACGCAGATCCGCCAGTCGAAGCCAACTGGAAACTTAAACCAGGACGACTTTCAAAGTTGAGTCGCAGAATCCAAAGACTTTGCACTTGAACACATTACCAACCTCTTCCGATCAACCGTAAAAGAACACGTAAGCTCAATTTGAATCGTGTAGACACATTTGAGCGACGCAACAAGAATAGTCATAGACATTCAGTTCAAGGCGGACCGAATATTGATCTACCGAAAGCCCCACCCGCCGACGTGGAACTTGGCCTCAACTTGCATTCTACATAGCTCTGCAACACCGTGCTTTCGCCATGGCCAAAGGCGATGCCCGCATGGGCAAGATCCTGGCATCTTCAGCCACCGGAACAAGTTTCTTAATTCTGATACAATTGGTATCGAGAATCCTCACCTTCGCCTCAAACCAACTGATTCTGCGCACCCTCTCGCCAGTCGTATTGGGAATAGCAGCTCAGCTGGAGCTCTTCCAGGTTTCAATCTTGTACTTTTCAAGAGAAAGTATTCGGATGGCAATTCAGAGACAGCCAATTTCCGAGAAAGAAAAGCAAGATGCCGTCGAAACGCAATCGGTGGCTTCTCAAGCAGTGGTCAATGTTTCTTATCTGAGCTTGGTCCTCGGCGTCCCTGCAAGTGTCATGTTCACTATGCTTTACCAGCGAGTTGTGCCAGAGGAAGCATTCACGACGGCATTCTTCAGCTACAGCGTCATGATCACTGGAGCGGCATCCTTACTGGAGCTTAGCATCGAGCCCTTTTTCGCAGTGGTGCAACAGCACATGCTATACGAGAAACGCGCCGCGGTGGAAATGCCAGCAGCTTTTTTGAGGAGTGCCGTTACATCTTCAATCTTTATATATGCTTCACGGGCGAATTATCAGCTTGGTGTACTCCCTTTCGCTCTCGGTCACCTCAGCTACTCAATTGCCCTCCTTTGTGGCTATTCGCTGGCTTTGCTAAGAGGACCCCGTAGAGGGTTTTCTTTTGTTCTGACCCGTGTGAAGTCCAGGTACGTAACGACTTGTCTAAAATAAAAGGGCGGCTTATTAACCTATCACAGCGACCCGTCAGACTACTTCCTGGGTTTATTCTCTCTGAAGGTGACCTCACTTGCTGCAAATGTTTTCTTCCAGTCGCTAGTGAAGCACTTGTTGACTCAGGGCGACACCATGATGCTGGCTGCACTCACAGGGCTGGAAGACCAAGGCATATACTCCCTTGCGTCAAATTACGGGGGTCTTGTTGCACGCATTATTTTCCAACCGCTCGAAGAAAGCAGCCGGAATCTTTTCTCGGCTCTTCTGAGCCCTGACGAGAAAGGCAAGGTGAACGAGACTCACGTTCTCTCAACCAAAAGTCGTCTAATAGACATATTACGTGCATACCAGTTACTTGCGGTCCTGGCTTTCCCACTTGGCCCGTTGATGGTCCCTCAGTTGTTGCATATTCTGGGTGGTCGCCAATGGGCTTCCCCCAAGGTCGGAGAACTGCTCTCTGTCTATTGCTATTATATTCCATTCCTGGCATTCAATGGTATCACTGAAGCATTTGTGTCCTCTGCAGCCAGCTCACAGCAGATACGAACACAAACGGCATGGATGGGTGTCTTCTCTGCTTGTTATGCATTGGCTGCATACACCTTCCTAGAGATTGGGCACCTGGGTGCCTATGGACTTGTTCTGGCTAATATCGTGAATATGATTGTCCGAACGATCTGGAGCTACAGATTTATCAGAACATATTTCCAACAAAATGGATGTAGCCTACTCACGAATGAGGTGGCTATTCGACCAGCCAGCTTCGTCCTTTGTGGTCTCACAAGCGTGTTCCTGAGTGAACATGGAGTTGGGCGGGATCTAGGTTTTATTCGCGCTTGTGCTTTGGGTGGTGGCTACGGCCTTCTGATGTGAGTCTGATTCTCGTGAAACGCTTTTTGATTGTTGACGCCTGACCAAAACAATAGGGTCTATGTAGAAAAGGAGTATCTGATGGAACAGCTGGCGCGGGTTCGTGATACGTTGACCAGGAAAAAAGATGAAAAAGTGGTCAAATCGCAGTAGATGAATTAATCGTCGAACGTGATCTTGGTGGACTTGGCGTTCATGTCAACGTCCTTGAAGAAGGCACCGTAGGTGTCGTGCTGCTTCTTCTTAACAGTGGTGCCGAACTTCATCAAAGACTCTGGCACGTCCTGCTTAGCAGCCTTCAGAACATTGATCAATCTGTCTCGAATCAGCATTCTGTTTAATATTCATGCCCTAGGAAAGATGTAACATACCCTCCTGAGAGTCCCTTGTCAGTTTCGGTGAAGAAGGTAATGGCATGACCATTCGCGCCAGCACGTCCAGTTCTGCCAATGCGGTGCACGTAGTCCTCAACAGTGAGAGGGAAGGTAACGTTGATGACCAACATCACGTTGGGGATATCAAGACCACGTGCCGCAACATCGGTAGCGACAAGGACAGTCGCATTACCCTTCTTGAAAGCATCAAGGTTACGGAAACGCTCTGCCTGGCCCAGATCACCGTGGATACCAGCAACCTTGAAGCCCTTGTGTCGGATAAGGTTCTCGATTCTGACGGCTTCCTTCTTGTACAGGCAGAAAACCAGAACCTTCTCCGGATTTTGACCACGCTGGGACTTGCCGAGGAGCTGGATGAGCTTGCCCTCCTTCTCTCTGGGGTCAACAACTTGGACTTCTTGCTTGATTCTGAGGTTAGCGCGGGGATCCGCAGAGGGGTCTCCACCGATGGTGACAGTAACGGGGGTCTTCATGAAAGTTGCCGCGAGATCACGAACAGAGCGGGGCCATGTAGCAGTGAACATGACTGTCTGTCTGCGGGAGGAAGGCATGGGCTTGACAATGTCCTTGATATCCTGCTCGAATCCCTTGTCAAGCATACGATCCGCCTCATCCAGAACAAGGTAGTTGACTTTGCCGAGATCAATGGAACCATCGTTCATGAGATCCTTCAGACGACCGGGAGTAGCGACCACAATGGCAGCCTTCTTCAGAGCGTGGCGCTGTTCGTCCTTTCCAACACCTCCGTAGATACAGGTGACTTGGGTCTTCTCGTTCTTGCCGAACTTGACGAGCTGGTCATAGATCTGCATGGCAAGCTCACGAGTTGGGGAGATGATGACGGCTCTAGGTTGGCAAGGGTTCTTGCTTGGCTTAGAGTCCAGCAGCTTCTTGAGGCAGGGCAGACCGAAGCCCAGGGTCTTTCCACTTCCAGTCTCTGCGATACCAATCACATCGCGACCAGAAAACAGCAGAGGCCAAGTAGATGATTGAATGGGTGTCGGCTTGGGGAAAGCCTTTAGGTGAGCGAGCACGGCAGCATCGCATTCGGGCAGATGATCGAAGGAAAGGAGTGGGCGGAAGCTGGGTGCATCGGGCGAGGGATCAGTGACTTTGATCACATGCTCAGTCAAGAAAGCGTCAATCTCGGATTGAGGCAGCTGGCTGAGAGCATCAGCTTCAGTGTAGGATGCCGTCTTCTCGTCCTCGGTCTTCTTGGGCTTGGAGGCTTTCTCGGACTTGTCAGACTTGGGCTTGTCGGACTTTGACTTCTTGGACGGCTTTTGGTCGCCGGACTCGTGACTGCGTTTTCCCATGATGGTGATTGTAGACAACAAGTAAAATACAAGATTCAAGAAAAGACTCCCCCAAAAAAAAAAAAAAAAAAAAAAAGAGGCGGACCGGGGTCCGTGTGGTCATTTTCACTCTTTTTCTCATATCTTACCCCCCCATCGCCCCCGGACGCCCCCCGTGGGTACCCCCTCCCCCCCCAGCACTTTTTTT